ACCCTTTTTAATCCGGATTCGATAATAAGTATCTTTAATATTAAGTTTTAAAAAAAACTAAGTCTTATTTATCCGATTTAAAATCTCGGAAATTAATAAAAGAGTATACCGGTTTTTTACGGTAACTTTATTTAACTTATAATAATTAACGTAAAGTCGTAACGTATTATTCTTTTTTAATATAAATAATATAAGTACGTCGGTTAACGACTTAAAGGGACGAATACGTCCGTTTTATAAATTCTTCTCGATATAAAGTCGTAACTCTTATAATTCCCGTTTAAATAACGGGTAAATCGTTTTATATAAAGGTTACGTATCCGATAAAAGATTTATAATATAATTAATTTATTTAAACGACGGGATAATTATCGTTTTAAATATATTAAAGATATTTATAAAGTCTTTTAACTCGACGAGTAGTACGACTTTTTTACGAGTCTTTTACTCTTTTATATTAAAAGAATAGTCTTTGTAAAAACGTTTACTCGAGACTACCGGAAACGTTATAATTATATATACTACCGTTTCGTTTCGTATAATTTTTATAAACTTCTTTAAAGTTTTAATATAAATCTTTAAAGTTTTATATGCGAAACGTTATAATACTTTTATTAAAATATTAATATTTAACACTTTTAAACTTATAATACTTAATAAAATAAAATTAATATCCGGACTCTCCGGTTTATCGAGTACGATATAAAGACGGATCACTTTTTTAATTCTTTTACGGAAATCCGTAAAAGTAATAAAGATATTTTAAATTTTAAATATTTAAGTTTTAAAGGTATTTATTAAACGTGTTACTAGATTAAAATATCTCGTTTTTCGTAGTTAAAGTCGTCTCGTAAATTAAATACTTACGATATTTAACTTTATAATAGTGTTTAAAGTAATAATCGTTTCTTTTTTAACTCTTTTACAATATATTATTAACACGTTCTTTAATAGTTTATATTTTATTTTTATTACCTCCTTTTTAAACTCGAAAGAAGTAATTAAAGGTTTTTTAACTTAATAAACTCTTTAATAATAATATTTTAAATAAGTACGTTTTTTAAGTAGTTATTTACGTAATATCCTACTTTATTACACTTAAAGTAAGTAACCGAGGGTTTCTTTTACGACTCTTTTTTATTTTATAAACGAGGAGGTTAAAAGTCCGTTATATTCCTCCTTTTATCGTTTTTACGATTTTTATAATCGTTCGAACGGTATTAACGTTTCCTTTTTTAAAATACGTCTTTTTACGGTTTATCGTTAAGTCGTTTACGACTTTTTTATAAATTATAGACGTTATTAATAAAACGATTTTTTACCCGTTATATAAATAATAATTCGGTTTTTACGTATAAGTTTTAAAGGTTAATCTTTTTATAATCGATAGTTTCGTTTAACGTATACTTAAGTTAATTATTTAACTTAAAATAAAAAGTTTTATTTTTAAATTTATTAAAAAAAAACGTTATTTACTCTTTTAAAAAGTATAAGTAATTTAAAAACTCGAATAACGGTTAATTAAATCGAAAACGTACTCTTTTATATAATTTATAAACTTATATCGACGGGTCGTTTACGGTAAAAACGAGTATCGTTATTTATTCTTTAAATTTATTTTAAAAACGTTTAAGTCGTTAATACTTTTTAAGATCTTTAACGTTACGTACGTATTAATTCTACTACTTTTTAAACGGTTTATTTATATAATTATAAACGACGACGACTTAATTATAAAAATTCGAGAATTCGTACGGTTTAACTTTAAATATTATTTTTAATTTTAAGATTTAAAATTCCCGGTCTTTAAAAGTGGAATAATTCTTATAAACTTTAAACGATAGTCGTATTTTTAAATCTTTCGATTTATAATTTCTTTACGTTTTTTCGTTAACTTTCGAGTTATTATTCGGTTTAAAAGAATTTTTTTTAAATAATAAAGTTAAAAAAAGGAAACGGTAAATTTATTTTTAATCTTTTCGTTTTAATAAAAAACTCGTTAATATTTTACGTCTTTTAAAACTACGATTCTTTTTTTTAAAAGTTCGTTTTCTTTTAAACGTTATTAATCTTTTTTTAAATATTTTTTTTTCGTCGTCTTTTTTTTACTTATTCTTTTATAATAATATTAATCTTACTACCTTTTTCTCCCTTTTTACTACTAGTCGGTACTATTATTACTACTTTAATATTTAAAGATTCGGTCGAGTCTTCGACTATTAATTATAAGTTAAAGTTTTTAAAGATAAAATCGACGTTTATATACGAAAGACTCGTAAAACCTTATAAACACGAACGTATAACTCGACTCGACTCGACGAAGGGTGGGTTTATTACTTCTTTTTTTTAATTATCGTAAAAAAGTATCCGTAAAAAGAAGAATTAAAATTATTATAAATAGTTATAAAATAAGTCTTTATAATAAATTAATTAATAAAAAATATTAGTTTCGAGAATAAAAGTAAGTATATATTATAATAAAGACTAATTCTTACCCTTTCTTTTTAAAAGGAAAAAGGGAGTCCTTTTATTTAAAAAGAAAGGTTTTTTATTAACGTAGTGTTAACGTATAGTTAAGGACTAGTTATACCACGTCTTATTATATAAATTTAGTTACTTAATTCGTAGTCTTCGGTTACGAATCGATTATAACACTTTTATACTTATAAACTTATTTAATACGGACTTTCGATACTTTTTAACGACGTTTAACGTCGAAAAAAACTTGTTTTTTATACCGTTAAATAAACTTTAAAAAACTATTACTTTAAATTAAAAGTCGTTATCGTTTATTAATACGGTAATTTAAAAATAAACCGATACTTTTTAAGTAAAAACGAAGACGATATTTATTAATACGTTAATACCGATTTAATAAACTTTATAAACCTTATTAAATTAAATACTTGATAATATTATAGTTTTATAAAAAATAGTTAAAAACGTTACGAAAGTCCGTAATATAATATAAATCTTATAAAATAAAGTAACTAAAATTTAAAATATTTTAAATAATTATTAAAATATACTATTAACCACTTTAACTCGAATAATAGTATTCGTAAACTTATTAACGTAATACTCGACGAACTAACTTAATAATCGACTTATATAATATATAACCGTCTTTTTAAATCGTTTAATACACTTTTAATCTTAATAAAACCTTCGAAACACTACTCGTTCGTCTTTATTAACACGTTTTTAAGTTTAAACCGTCGTTACGTTTACCCGACCCCGTCCCTTTTTACGTCTCGGTTAAACCGGACCGTTTACAACGACGTTATTACGGTGTCGTATTATTATATTAACGTTAATACTTTAAAACTTAACGTTTATAAAAATAAATATTAACGATATTTAAACCGTATTATCGTTTATTTTCTCCGTTTATTTCCTTTATTTTTTAATATTATTTTTTTTAACGGATTTAATATAAATTATCGTTCTTTTATATATTATTACCGTTTATTTTTTATAAAGTTTTTTATTTATTAAATAACGTATTATAATATTTACTAATAAAAAACGAAAATTATTTTTCACTACCGTTTAATAAATATTATACGTAAACTCCTTTTACGAGAGTTTAATATCACACTAAGTTACGTACCGTTTAATTAAACTATATAACGGTTATATTAAACCTTTTCTCCGACCTTAAGTTTATATAAATAATTTATAAAATTAATAATTATTTATTATATATTATATTATACTATTATTTAAGACTTATACTATTATAAGGTATTTTAAATCGTGATATATATAAGACTTCACTTTTTGTTCCGTTACTTAATATCTCGAAACTAGTGACGTACTACGTATAAGCGTAATATTTAGGACTTATATTATTATAAGGTATTTTAAATCGTAATATATATAAGACTTTAATTCTTATTTCGTTACTTAGTATCTCGAAACTAGTGACGTACTACGTATAAGCGTAACATTTAGGACTTATACTATTATAAGGTATTTTAAATCGTAATATATATAAGACTTTAATTCTTATTTCGTTACTTAGTATCTCGAAACTAGTAACGTACTACGTTTGTACGTAACATATCTCGTTTATTAATATATTCTATAATAACCTACGGACGTTCGATATTATTAATAATAAAAACACGACACTAAACTCACGTTTTAAATATATTAATATATATAACTACTAGTTACATTAAAAGACCGTAAAAGATATTATTAAATTCTTATATATATTAACCGACAAATAAGAAACAAATAAATTAACTAAATCTTTACTTATTTAAAAACACAAGGCCTTCTTATATTAACTACCTATGTTTATTAATAAATAATTTTAACAAATTAAAGGGGTGTACTGTGTAGGACTAGATTAGTAACCCTACTTACTTATGTATACATATATAGATTTTCTTAGCCGATCTAAATGGATCCAAACTTAGTTGAATCAACGTACATTTTCTGCTCGTTTCTCCAGCCAGCAAGTATTCCTCGCACTGCCCAGCGCTGCCTCCTACACATCGTGCGACATGCGGTCTGTGTGTTCGCTTTCGTGAGGCTCGGAGGCTGGCCGGTAGCTGTCTTTCTTGTTTTTAAGCCGACTGAATGGCACATTTCGTACTCCGTAAGCCTGCCAATACGCGAAACAGCGATGGCCGAACAAACAAGACACGCACGGCCAACACTACCAAGACTAATTCTTACTTCCTGGCCCCAATGGGATTCCCGCCTAGGTACGGCCCTAGCCTAAGGCAACCCCGCCCGAGGTTGGTTTAGTCCTGCTTGGGAGTTCGCAGGGTCTGGTCTAACTCCCAAGTGACTAGTCACGGCTAGTCACGAGGTGCGGACTTATCCGACCAAGGGACGCTGCCCAGAGTTCGAATTAAAACACGTCACGATTCTTCTCATCCCAACCTCACAACGCCTGCCACCGCCCCCGAGAATGCCGGAACCTCTGGCCACACCCAGGATCCTTCCCAACGACGAACGCGGTAAACACAATACAACACACAATGGGTGGTTGTTGGGTTGCGCACTGGGCGCGCACGGGGGAGTTTGTGCTCAAGGCTAATGACGATAAATCGAGCGACGCGCCGCCCGAGACGACCGAGGATAAGTTCGACCCTGCGCACTACCACGGCACCGGCGAGGGCGAGGCCGACTCAGACCCTTCTTCGCTACCTTCGGAGTTGATCGGGGACGACGATGACCCCTTGATCCCCACGGCTGCCGCGATTGACCGCGTTTTCTACGATGCGCGTGCGACCTGGCAGCACTTTGTTCGCGAGGCCAAGGCGCTGCCCGCGTGCTCATTTCCCCGCCATCTCAACGACCCATACATTCTGCTACAAGATGTGCCCGCTTTACCTAGCCGGATGCCGTCGGCGCTTCTTTTAGCTGGGCGGCCGATATGGTATGTGCCCGATCCGGGAGCCGATCTTGGAGCCACTTCCGGAGGACACGAGCCCGAGGGTAATAGTGGTTCGTTGGACTTGCAAACCGTTGCTGGCCTACGTGAGAACCTTACCTTGTGGCGTAAGGATGTAATAACCTGCCGCACCACGGCGGTGCCCCCGTTGGATGATGTGCCGGCGCTCCGATCGCGTGGTCATTTAATTTTAACGCTGGGCTGGGCATACATCTTGTCCGTGCGTTTATTGGAAATCCAGCATCGAAAGGTTGTGTACACGCAAGAAGTTCTGCAGCCGCAGAACGCCACGGATGCGGTGCGCCTACGACGGCAGGGCCGGCTGGTCCTGAACTTGACGGGCGACGTCTCGCCACAACTTGTGCGGTGGCTCTGTGCGCTGCTGTCGCCGCAGCTTGGTTGGCGGGCACAGGGTGCCCGGATGGTGCCACCGTGGGCATTGCATTGTACGGGCGATGTTGTCTTCGCTGTGATCGCCAACGACAGCACTTTAAAGACAGAAGAGACTGCACCGCCGACCTCAACCGACGCTTCGATCTTACTTGCCGAATTCTGTGCCCTTTATAACCTGGATGCGGCAGACGAGCCCGGCGACGCGGTGTCCATCTCGCCCATTACGGCGTCATTCATGGCAGCGCTCGCACTCCCTTTACATCGCCTATACGACTTACAACCCCAATTTCCCATACCGCGGTTGCGGAGACTCAATTTCCCCGGCGACAAAGAGAAGGTGTTAAAGTGCATTACCCGCTACGTCGACGACTTACGCTATTTCATGACACTCAGCATGAGCCCGTGGACAGTGGGGTCCGTTATTTGGAGCGTGTTTTGGCAGCCCGACACGGATGCCAACCTGGTCAGCCCCTGGCTGGCCGGCGCTTTGGAGGCCCTGCGCCCGATTCTGGCGTCGGGCAATGTTGTGGAGCTCGTGCAGGTCTTTGCTCAGCGCCGGCCACGCGTTGCTCTGTGGTGGCTCGGTCTTTCTCTGCTTGGCAACCAGCGCATTGTCGAGTTGGTGACACGGTACTTGGAGACGTCGGAGGAGGAATACGGGCATGGGTCGTTGGCTAGGGCCAGTATCACCGCGTTCGCCTGGACCGGCGTCCAGCATGCCTTTTCACACGCTCCACCGCCGCGCCCATACAAGGACGAAAAGGACACGTCGCAGCTGGTTGCACGAGCGGACCTTTTGTGGCACCGGCTGAATTTTAACCTCCAAGATGATTCCGGTCAACTGGCTTGGCGTCCTTTTGGCCATGTCCGCAAAGAATACATCGAGCGGGATATTTGGCCCTGGCTCGAACACGGGTGCCAACGGCGGTACGTTAAGTGGATATGGTGGTTCGAGGCAAATAACAAAACCACTGGGGTTATTAAGACCACGGCAAACGAGGAACGCGGCTTCCAGGCCGACACCGGCCGAGCCGTTCAAAACGTGCCCGATGTTCTCGACGTTCTTGACGGCGCGGCAGAACCCGGCAACGCAGTCGTCAAGCTGCAGCCGTCAATGGAAGCGACGCTGCGCATGGTCCACTTTTGTATGATGGAAATGGGAGGCGAACTAGACATGAGCTTGGCTGTTCTAAATGGAATCACGTCTCACAAATGGCTACGCGGATGGGGGATGTTTCGCTGAACAAACAAGAACTAGTATGCTAGTATAGATTACATCTCATTCGGTTTAAGCTCTTACATCACGCGAGCCTTTTTTTCCAACTGCTTCCTCCATGCTTGCCTTTGCGCTGTTTGTCTTTGCCCTTATTACCCAACGTCACAGCATTGCCTGTGAGATCGTTCGTCCAGACCTGCCATCCGGCCTTGTGGGTATACAGAAAATAAACGCCGTCATCCCCGATGCAGTCCTCCCAGTTTTCTGGCCTCGTCTTGTACTTCTCTCCATTCGCAAGTCGGAACCGGATGTGCTGCCCGTTGTTATCGACCTCCACGAAGAGCGGGCCGTCCGCTGATCCGTCGCCGCCTCCGTTGTCGGGATACAGTTGCGTTGCCGGGCCAGCTCCGCCCGCACTGTCCCCGAGAGTGGCCACAGCCATCAAGTTAGTGAGATCTGACACCGGATCGCTGGCTGCCTCTTGCGAAATTGGGTCGATGGATTCATGGGAGAAGCTACGGCTGTGGTACACAGCAGTCCGCCTCCTTTCGTTTACCTTCCCTTTCCCTTTACTACTGCCAGCCGTCGTAAGCAGAGCAGTGTTATCGTGACTTGTAATCGGATCGTTGGACTCGTCTGACGGATATCTGTGGTGGTATACGTACGGTGTGTTGACCACTTCTTTTGTTGGCGTTTGTTTTATTGTGCCGTGAATTGAACGTCGGCCAGTGGACAATGGGAATCGAGTCGTTGTGCCGATGCGTGTTTGTAATAGTGGTAACGGATGAGAGGTGAGGTGTTGATTGATCTGCGTCACGAATGCCACAAACGCGCCTTCTAGCTGTGATGCTGTTTGGTTCCGTGTTTACATGCGACTATAAATGAAGGTCGCGTGGCAGTTATTACGGTTGTTTATTCTGGCGGCTGGCCTAAATAGGCCCTAGCCCATGCTAAGTTATCATGTCAAATCGCACCGCGCAGACATCTAGAAAAGCCCCTGAAATGAGCCCCGGAAAAGGCCTCTCTTCTGGGGAAAACAACTAAGATCCCTACAACTAGACGCAGCAGTGATTTCGAAAGGCCTTTTGCTTCTATTTATCCGTATTTAGCCCTGGAAGAGCCCATAAGCCGACACACTAATATTGTGAGCCATTCTATTGTAGGGACGTATGTATAAAGTGGTTGATGATGCAGTGTGCACTGCTGCTGCCTGGGTCCGTTCACCCAAGAGCCGCAAAGTTCGCATGATTTTCTTCCTACAAATATACGCATTTACGCAAAGTATTATTCACGCATGCGTTAATTTACATGGCGTTTTGCGGTTGAGCTCCCTTCTTCCTTTCAAGGGGTAAGAATTAGTCTCTATTATAATACACACCTACCTTCGCCCTCGAAACCAGTGTTTTTCATTAACTAATTTGCCGTAAAGTTTTATCCAACAAACACTTATAACAACTCTCGTTATTAATTAAGTGAAAAGTATCGAAAATTATAACTAGTTTATTAATTCGAGTGTCGCGTTTATCGCTCTTTTTAATTGAAATGAATAAACCGCGTGTAAAATAACCGTGCCCGTAAAGAATGTAAATCACTTTGACCACACGATGACTCATGTGGGGATAGTGAGTAGTGAGCGCCGCAGTGTGGATATGTAATTCAAGCAGCCAACAACGTTCTGTACTTTGTACACGATGGTACGAATACAAGCTCTTATGTATCAGTCCGCACAATGCAACGCACAACGTAACGATCCAGGACAATCCCACTCACTTGCCCCTCGATGACGTCGAGATGGATCATCATCTGACCAGCACTGCCTTCTTTAGATTGTCCATACGAGTCGGATTGATTACTTTACATGCCCGCACTGCGGGTCTCATGCCCGTACGACAAGGCGTTCTAGAAGGCTTATAGAAGGCTTGTAGAAGGCGTCATAGAAGGCGTTCGTCACAGGAGGCGTCACAGAAGGCTGTCTGAGCTGTTAAGCTTTTCTTTTGCCCATATTGTGACTTGGCTTTTGTGCTAAGCTTTGGCAAGTATTCTTGGAAGAAGCGACGCCGGAAAGGGTCCGTTCCAGCCGCCTTTACCGCTCCAAGCCCGCCCCACCCTTAGCTTTAGGGCGTCACCAACCCCGCTTTACTCCTCTACGTCGTACTTCCCCAGACACCACTGCTCGTAAAGACAACACAAACAACGCCCTGCCTCTGTGATTGGCTGCATCGAGAGGCTGAGCCAACTGAATCACGCCCGAGCCAGCCTGCCAGAACGCCTGCAGGCGACCGGTCCGATTCCTGATCGAGAACCGAACACAGTGCGCGGAACGACGTTGAGATAACGCCCATCGTCCTTATATTGCGAGCAAGACGGACGGGAGAGAACGACAAACACTGACTTTCCCTTCACTCTGACCTCAAAGGCTGGCAAACGATACCAGGCAGCAACAACAAGGGAGACGAACAGCACAACACATCAACACCCTCATCGCTTGCTCTCCTTGTCGTCACAAGGTACAATGGCACCGTGGTCGAGGAAGAAGAGCGATGCGGCTGCGGCCAAGGTCGACAAGGAAAATGAGGCCCTCGCTGAGAAGCAGCAGAACGGCGCGAATGGCGCCCGGGCAGCTTCGTCGGACGAAGCGCTGCCTGCCTACTCGGCCGAGGCACAGCCGTCCCAGGAACCACCGACGGCGGCCGACCTCGCCGCACTGACGGACGTGCTCGCCAACCTCAAGCTGCCGACGACGCCGCAGCCGATCCCGGCGCCGTCGTCCAACATGGGCGACGAGAGCCAGTATGCGTGGCCGACGGCCGACGAGGCGCTGGCCCACCTGCAGTTTCTGGCAGCGGTGCACGCGCTCAAGGAGGAGGTGGGCTACACGGACGGCATCTTTGGGCTGCACGACGCCCTGGCCGCGGCGCCCGACAGTGTGGTGCAGATCCCGCTGCACCTGCCTGACGGGCAGGCGGCGCCCCAGACCCGCGAGGACCTGTACCGCGCGCGGCTCAGCAAGGTGCGCGAGAAGCGCTGGGCGCTGTACGTCGCGCGCGCCGTCGACCGCTACGAGGCCTGGTGGCTGCAGGTCACGCGGGACAACACGCGCCTCCGGGAGGCGGACATGACCGTGCCCCTGCACCCGGCGTACAGCGGCTTTGTGAACGTGGACCTGCCCAAGGGCACGCTGGCCTGGACGGCGGACAACCTGCTGCCGCTCGACGTGTGGATGGTCCTGCACGCGCACATGCTGAACCCGCGCGCCTTTCTGGAGGACTGCATCCGCGCCGGCGCGCGCAACGTGTGGGCCGCCGGCATGCCGTGGGCGGCCATCAGCGCGGCCATGGACCCCGAGCAGGGCACGTTCAGCCGCGTGACCGAGGCCGCCAAGACGGCGTGGACGGCCACGACGCAGCGCGCCTGGGACAACGTCGACGACGACGCCCACAAGGCGGTGCCGTGCCCGGCCTGTTCCCAGCTCACGCGCGCGCCCTGGACGACGTGCGGCGGCGAAGGCGGCTCAGGCGACCTGGTGGGCGCGGGGTACGGCGACGGCGGCGACGCCTTCGAGGTGCAGTGCGCGTCGTGCCCCTTTTTGATCGACCGCAAGTCGCTGGCCGTGGGCAAGTTTGTGCGCGACGGCATGGCGCTGATCCGCGCCGGCCAGCCGATGCCGGGCACGATCCTGGAGCCCAAGACGGGCCGCGCAGACACCATCCCGGTACGCACGTCGGCCGCCCAGCGCCCGGACGCGCTCACGTTCCCGAACCGACTGATCAAGCGGGGCGGGCTGATCGCGGCGATTGTCGGCAGCGCGGGGCACGGCGACGTGGCGTCCTCCGCACAGGCGGTGCCCATGGTCGATCTGAGCGCGCCCGCGCGGACCACGTCGATGGACACGGTGCGGGCGCGCCTCGAAGAGATTCTGCGCGACAGCGACAAGCTCAAGGCCGTCGACGACTGGCCCGGGCGCACGCGGTACCGGCCGCTGCCGGCGGCGCGCCTGGCGGTGCGCAAGATGATGAGCCGGTACTGGGACAATGCGAGCGTGTTTGCGCTGGACCTGACGGGCGCGGTGCTGCGGCAGGGCATTTTCACGGACAAGATGCAGGCGATTGACTGGCTGCACAGCCCGGCGGCCCGCGCGACCATGGCGCGCGTGCTCGAAAAGTACCGGCGCTTCTTTGGGCTGCTGGCGGACCACCCGCTGCAGGTGTGCGTGCCGACGCTCGACGTCGACCTCGGGTGGCACACGCACCAGCTGTCCCCGCCGGCGTACTACCACACGAGCGTGCGGCGCACGCTGCGCAAGTTTGTCGACCACGACGACAAGATGGACGAGGACAAGCTGCACCTGGCCTTTGAGTACACGAGCAAGGCCTACCAGGACAAGTACGGCGAGGTCTACAGCGCGTGCACCTGCTGGTACTGCGAGGCCGTCCGCGCCGCGCACGTGTCGTCCGTGGGCGCCAGGCTCGGCCTCTCCAAGCAGGGCGGCGTCGCCGACGCCTTCCACGCCAGCGGCGCCGCCGCCCAGTGCCCGCCCGCCGACCGCGCCGCGCACGTCTCTGCCCACAACGCCGTGCTCTTTGCCGAGAACGACGTCCGCGCCAAGGTCACCCGCCAGATCCGCGCCGCCCAGCGCGCCCGCCTCGACAGCAACTACAACAAGGCCGTCAAGCGCGCCGCCAAGAACGGCCGCACCCTGCCCCCGCGCGAGCAGTACTACGACCACTGGGGCTACTCGTACTTTATGTACTCGCCCTTCGTCTACCCCCTCTACTTCAGCCCCGCCTACTACTACGCCGCCCCCGGCTTCGTGCCCGTCGGCGGCGGCGAGTGGGCCAACTGCGCCAACGGCAGCTGCGGCGGCGGCAACGGTGTGGCGGCCGGCGCGTGTGGCGGGCCGGGCGGGTGCGGCAGCTGCGGATCCATTTCGGGCGGCTGTGCCGGCGGCGCCGGTTGCGGTGGCGGTGGTGGAGGATGTGGTGGAGGTGGCGGCGCATGTGGTGGCGGTGGTGGAGGCTGTGGCGGCGGCGGCGGCGGTTGTGGTGGTGGTGGGTCGTAAGTGCGATCACAAACAGGTGCAGCAACAACCGTGGAGTTGTTGAGTTGTGATTTTGTGAATGTATCTTAGTTGATGTCTGTTTATGTTGCTATTTTGCGCCGTCTACCAACCTAGTCTGTTCGTAGTCCCCATATTCCCCTTCTCACAGTTGAGTTAGTACTGAGAATTTGAAATTGTCACTCCTAGTTCTGTTATTTAACCTTTTCTATTTTACCGTCTACTGTCTACTTCATCTCTATCCGCAGGTCTTAACTTTCTCCGTCATATTGTCTCTTTTGTCAGACCGCATTCAGTCCCACGCGCATGTGGCCGTGGCCGCCGCGGTTGGCCCGATAGTAGTAGGGGATGAAGACGAGCGTCCGTTTCGTCTTCGCCGCTGCTTTGGTCCCCGCGCCTTCGGCGTCCCTCTCCACCTCCATGCCCGGAAGACCGCCCGGCACCTTGTCGGCCCACTTGGCCCGCTCATCCGTCAAGACGTAGCCGGTGGTGCGCAGGGCAATGTAGCGTTCGCCCGTGGCCGCGTCGACGCGCTCTTCTTCCTCGACGTTGTTGTCGGCGGAGACGGCCACGTCTTTGAAGTGGTTGGTCTCCCAGGGGTTGTCGGCGTCCTCGACGCAGTAGACGAGGGGCCCGCGTGCGAGCGTCAGGGTGCGCTGGTGCGTGTAGGGATGCGGCGCGAGGAAGCGCGGGCGGAAGCCGTGGACGTCGAGGGCGAAGGCGGTGTTGGTCGCGAGGTAGGCGGGCGGCAGGACCACGTAACCTTTTTCGACCGCTGCGCCAGGGAGGTTGGGGGTGAGCTGGGGATATTAGCGGGTGATTTTGGTCCATCAAAGGGGATAGGGGACACGAACGCACCGTAAACTGTCCCTTGGCCCACGCGGGGATGCGAAGCCGCAGCGTCGTCTTCGCCTTGGCCGGGTTGTCGAGGCGAAAGGTGACCTTGCCGCTCCACGGCCAGTCGGACGTCTGCTCCAGCACAAGGGGCTGGCCGTCGACGTCAAAAGACAGCCGGGCGGTCGTGTAGAGGTGGACGTTGACATGTGCGGCGCCGGCGCCGTCCGCCCCAAAGTCCCACAGATAGCCGCCGAGGCTCCCATACAGCCGACTCACGTTGGGCGGGCAGCAGGCGCACTCGAACCACTCTTCGCGGCGGCTCGGCTTCTCGGCGGAGCTGGCCAGCTGGTTGTCGTACGTAAAGGCGCGGCCCTGCAGGTCCATGGCCGTCATGACGACGTTGTAGAGCGACAGCTCGAGCACGTCGGCGTAGCGGCTGTCGAGGTCCAGGTGCAGCAGCCGCTCGGCCAGCATGATGGCGCCGATCGAGGCGCAGGTCTCGGCATAGCCGCCGCCGTCGTCCGTGCCCTGCGGCAGAACGTAGTCCCGCCCGAAGCCCTCCCACGCGGGGACGGCGCCGATGCCGCCTGTCAGGTACATCTTTTTGTCGGCCATGTTGTTCCAGAGGCGGGCGACGGTCGCAAGCCAGTCGTCGACGTTGGCCAGTGTGGTGGTGGTCGTGGTCGCGGGACGGTCGACCAGCAGGTCGGCCACGGCCGTCAAGAGGTAGACGGCGCGCACGGAGTGGCCCTCGATGGTGGCCTGCTGGAGGAGCGGCGCGTGCGCCTGGTTGTACCAGTAGGCGCGCTGGACCGGGTACGGGTCGGGCCGCATCCAGGGACTCTCGCCGCGCTCGTCGCCCTCGACGTCGTAGTAGTGGCGGCCGTCCTGGCCGGTCGGGTTGCCGCGCTCCTGGACAAAATACGCGGCCAGGTCGTACGCCTGCTGGCTGCCCGTGGCCCGGTGCATCCGCACGAGAGCCAGCTCAATCTCCGGGTGGCCGCAGTAGCCGTGGCGCTTGTGCGCGTCCGGGCCAAAGGTGTCGTGGATGTGCCGCACGTACTTGTGCATGGGCTCCATCAGCAGCTCGTTCTTGTAGTAGGCGCGGTGCGCCAGCGCGGCCTCGATCAGATGGCCGGCGTTGTACAGCTCGTGCATGTCCCGCAGATTGGTCCACCGCCGGCCCGGCGCGACCACGGTGTAGTGGATGTTGAGGTAGCCGTCCGGCTGCTGCGCGCCGCGGATCATCTCGACCAGCGCCTGGACGGCGGCGTCGATCTCGGCGTCGTACGTGTCGGCCAGGCCGTAGCAGGCCGCCTCGATCCACTTGGCGCAGTCGCTGTCCCAGAACAGGTGCTTGGGCACCGGCCACTGCGACGTGTCGTCGTAGATGGGGTGCCACTGCAGCTTGAAGGCGTCGAAGCGGCCGGTGCTCTTGAGCATCGCCAGCTGCGCCTGCAGGGTCACGGTGCGGACGGTGGTGCGGCGCGTCTGGAGCAGCGACGGGCCGTGGAACGCGGTGTTCCGAAAGGACGTTTGGGGGTAGGCCATGGGAAGGGAGATGGTAGCAAAATAGCAACAAAAGGGAGTGGACGCGGTGGCCGTCTGGCAGACAAATTGACCGAATTCGGGAACCCGGATCTTAAATTGTCACGACATTCGAACGCGAACGGAGAGTGTGCCGCGGTTCAAACACATTGACGACCGGTGCCGTGTTGGAGAATCCGGTGGGAGCGAGAGTCAGGTCCTCCATCCAAGGCGAGCTCCAGCTTAGCTCCGGCCTCCTTCGATCTTTGAATTGAATGGTGGGAATGCAACACTGGCACTTTAAGCGGGACAGCAGCTAGTCAGTCGTAGCAGCAAGGAACAAACAAGCAAACACACGTCAGATGATGCTGTTCTCAACCGCGAGCCACTGTCCCGGATGATTGCATCCCCTCGATCCACTTGCGACTCCGGTGGGATGGATGACAGGACTTCATACAACGTCAGATTGCGCGCCAAATGGTGGGAGAAGATGACGTCCCGGCTCCGCATATGCCCCATTTGTCCCATTTGCCCCCATTGCCCCAAAGCTTGCGGGGAAGCGGGGAAGCACTGCCTGCCAGAGAACGACACGACTCCGGTGGGAGATGCGACCCTGGACTATCCACAAGAGGCAGCGCGATCGCGCATCCCACCGGAGTTTTGTAAGCACGACGCACGATGCACGATGCACGACCCATTATTTGTGCCAAGGGGTCGGGGTAAATCAACACGGCTGCATTGCCGACGATCAGCGTCCAGACGCCATGTGCCGGCGCTGTTCACGACGAGTGCGGAGAGAGTGCCATGCGAGGATATATAGAGGCGTTCCGTCATGTTGTTTCCGTGTCGTCACTTTGTCCGTTTGTCCTTTCGTCGGTTGGTCCTTCATCCTTTGTCAACACATTCCCCACACATACATCATGGAAAAAGTCGTCCCCACCGCGGAAGAGCTCAAAGCCTTCAACCTCGACGATCCCCAGACGATCGAACTCATCCAACATGCGCGCGACAGCTACGACGCCGACGCCAAGCTCACGCTGTGGGAGGCCGTCCGCAAGTACAAGAAGGCGTGCTTCTGGGCCATGTTTCTGTCCACCAGCCTGATCATGGAGGGCTACGACTTGGTGATTGTATGTCTCTCCCGACCCCTCCTCCCTCCTAATTCCGTTGCATCGCCTAACCGTGCAGATCACCTCCTTCTACGGCCAGAGCCAGTTCCAGCAGCGGTTCGGCACCGTCGACCCGGCCACGGGCAAGAAGCTCATCACGGCCGAGTGGCAGTCGGGCCTCAGCAACTCGTCCCTGGTGGGCCAGCTGGCGGGGCTGCTGCTCAACGCGTACGCGCAGGACCGCTTCGGCAACCGGCACACGATGATGGCCTTTATGGTGTGGATGGTGGCCGCCGTCTTCATCCCCGTGTTTGCGCCGTCGCTGTCGGTGCTGGCCTTTGGCGAGGCCATGTGCGGCGTCGGCTGGGGCGTGTTCCAGACGCTGTCGACGGCCTACGCCTGCGAGGTCGTGCCGCCCATTGTGCGGCCCTACGTGACGGGCTACGTGTGCATGTGCTGGGGCGCCGGCATCCTGCTGTCGTCGGGCGTCGTGCGCGCCGTCGCGGGCATCGACGGCGACTGGGGCTGGCGGCTGCCGTTTGTCATCCAGTGGGTGTGGCCGGTGCCCATCATCATCGGGACGTACTTTGCGCCCGAGTCGCCGTGGAGCTCCGTGCGCCGGCACAAGGACGACGAGGCGCGGCGCAGCCTGCGGCGCCTGCGGCAGGACACGCCCGACCGCGAGCGCGAGGTCGAGGCGGCGCTCGCGCTGATTGTGCACACGATGCGCCTCGAGGCGGCCGCGACCGAGGGCTCGACGTTTCTGGACTGCTTCCGCGGCACGAACCTGCGGCGCACCGAGATCAACTGCGTCGTCTGGGCCGCCCAGATCCTCTGCGGCAACGCCATCCTCGGCTACTCGGTCGAGTTTCTCGAGGCCGCCGGCTTCAACGAGCTGCAGGCGTTCGACCTCAACATCTCGCTGTCCGCCTGCTACATTGTTGGCGGCGTCATCTGCTGGCTGCTCTTCCCGCACTTTGGCCGCGCCACCATCTACATGGCCGGCATGCTCTTCATGCTCGTCTGCCTGCTGGCCATTGGCGGCCTCGGCTTCTCGAGCAACCCCAACGCCAACATCGCCGTCGGCGTCCTGCTCGTCATCTCGACCCTCTGCAACATGATCACCACCGGCCCCGTCTGCTACCCCATCGTCGCCGAGACGCCCTCCGCCCGCCTGCGCTACAAGACCATTGTCATCGGCCGCTTCGTCTACAACCTGACGGGCATCTTCAACAACTCCGTGACGCCCCGCATGCTGTCGGCGCTGTCCTGGAACTGGGGCGCCAAGAGCGGCCTCTTCTACGCCGGCACCAACCTGCTGTGTCTCATTTGGTGCTGGTTCCGGCTGCCCGAGACCAAGGACCGCACCTTTGGCGAGATTGACGTGCTCTTTGAGAACAAGGTCTCGGCGCGCAAGTTCAAGTATACAAAAGTGGATGGTGCGTCGCCCTCCGTTTTCTATGTCTGCTGTTTGTGCTTGCTGCCTATGTCATACTAACACTCCCAGAATTCGCCCATCAGTCCGCGGTCAGTGAAAAAGCCGGCGTCGAACACATTGACGAGGTGGCGTAGATATGGCAGCGTTTGATTCCGTACTTCGACAGGTTGTTGGACAATACATATCCTTGTACACTAGTCTGTTTCTGTAAAACCTGGCACTATGGATGCTGCATCCGCACCCGCATCATCACTCGGCCGCCTTTGTCAGGGCGGCGCGCATGCCCGTCAACACGTAGAGGAAGCGGTCCGTCCGCCCCCAGGCCATGGACACCTTGGCCAGGACCTTGGCCCCCTCCTGGAGAATGCGCACGGGCGCCGGCGGTGCGCCGATGTCGCCGATGCCGCTAATGTACGCGCGCATCACCGACGGCCGGCCGCTGCGGACAAACAGCATTACCATTTCGTCGTCGTTGGGGCGGTCCAGGTGGATGAAGGAGGGAAACTGGTCGTCGTCGGAGAGGTTGTCGCCGGGGTTGTCGGGGCGGTCGTCCTGGTCGTCGCCGTCGTCGCCGTCGGACGGCCGCACCCCCTGCCGCGCATACGAGCTGTAGGCCCAGAGCGCCAGCGCCGCCATGTACACGGCGACCGGCTCGTACCACGCGTTCGTGCTGTAGCGCCGCACGTGCCAAAAGAGACAGCCGCAGTGCAGCACCGCCAGCCGCGCCTTGTGCTCGTCCTGCTGCGCCCAGGCCAGGACGCGCCGCTCGGCCGCCAGGCCCTGGGCGCGCGACGGCGACGGCGACGGCGACGGCGCGCTGCTGCTGGCGGACTGGCTGGGGCTGGCGCCGACAGACGCCAGGTACCGGGCCAGCGTCTGGATGGCCTCGTAGGGCGTCAGCAGGACCACGCGCGAAAAGTGCAGGTGGAACACGGTCGTGTGCTCGCGCCCCGCCCGCTGGGCAATCGTGCTGTTGGCGGCCCAGTGGAGGGCGTCGATGCAGTCGCACGCGGCGTTGCGCCAGTTGGAGTAGGTGGTGGCGGCGGCGTCGCTGTCCCCGGAGGCTGTGTCCGTCGATGGCGGTGGCGACGGTGCCACAGAGGTAGCCGTCGACGCTGATGCGGATGCCGCCAGAGGGGCATCAGACCGATCGACTGCCCGATCAGCGGCCCGATCGACGACCCGGTCCGGCACCGCCTCCCAGCTGACCAGCGGCCGGTCACAGTAGCGCTTGACCAGCCAGATTTCCTGGTAGACGCCGTGCAGCAGCAGGATGCGGCTGAACTCGCCAATGTCGGGCTTGATGAGTTTGTCGACAAACAGCTGCTGGGTTGCGGATGGGAGTGTAGGGTTGGCTTGCGAGTTAGTGCCATGGAAAGTACATGAAGAATAAAAGACAAATGGCCGAGACACTCACCATGCGTTTGCTTCATCATGGCGGACCACGTCTCTGCTGTCGGTGCGGCCCACAGTCCGTCATGCGGAAGAGGGGCGTGTGCGTCGGACAGGGACAAGAGAGCTTGGTGGCCCATGTGAAAGACCATCATGCAGTCGAGCAGCTATAGTAGCAATATTAGTAACGGAATAAGTTTTAACAATGAACAAAACAAGGCGCATAGAATAGAACGCACCCATATGGCATAGCCAAGCCGCCGTCGCGACTCGTCGTGCACCCACTGGCGCCATTGGGTTTCGACAGAGGCCGAGACGGTCGTCTGCCGCGTTGTAGACGGTTCCAGCAGCTGGTGACAGCGCAGCATGTCCACGAGGATGCTGTGGTTGACTTTTGTACGTCGGAGGAGACGTGACGGCCCGTGGTACAGTAAGCCGACTTGAGACAGGAAGAGGGCTTGGACCGTGGCAAGACTGCATGTGCCGTGGCCCGTGTCGTCGTCGTCCAGCGCCATCTGCAGGGCCCGCTGGAGGATCTCGTGCAATGCGGCGGCACAGGCGGTAAACTCCTCTGTAAACGTGTATTGCGCGCCGACTGTGGCGACCGCCAGGGCCAGCAGCCACGACTCGTTGAGCGCGCCGATGTAATCGTGCAGAATGGGCAGCACCGGGTTGCACTTTTCAAAGTACAGGTGGGCAAAGTAGTTGGTCTGCTCGAGCGTCGGGATGGCATGGTCGTCCAAGGCGCTCTCGCCGGGGTCGGCACGGGACGCATGCCGTATGCCGTGTCGGATGTGTTCGTAGGTCGACGGCCAGATGTGCATGTGTGCGCTGGCACCAGCAGGCAGCACATGCGCAACCGAGATGTGGCTCAGGGAGGGTAGTCTGGGAGCACTGGTGACTCTGCCTCTGTCGCGTGTGGCATCCGAGACGCCGCCTCCCATTCCAGCCGAGATCGCCGGCAGCGGTTTCGTCCCGGGAATCGGCACATAGTCTCGCGTGTCACGGACCGTGCAGGGGGCGCGAACGCCATTGGCACCGTTCGTGTACAGGTGTCGCGCTGTGCGGTTGGTTCCCGGCGGCGTATGGCCCGATGCCGTCACAGGCGATGCCACCGGCGAGGTCGACGCCGAACTGCCGAGTCGGTCTCCGCTATTGTGAAGCAGCGGCGGCATGGCGTTGCTGAGCGTGAGATCGGCATGGAGCGGCGCCTGTTCGACTGGCAGATGCATCTGCTGGAAGGGAAACGACGACGACGGCTGTTCAAGCTGCGACGTCACCAAGTCGGACGACATGAGATGCAGACTCGGGCCCAGAATGGAGACGTAGTCGAGATCCGAGTGAAGGTTCTCCGGCAGCCAGTTGATGGAAAAGTTGAGTGTGGGGCCGTCTGGCGGCAGGCTGAGACCCTGCGCGGCCCAGTTGTTGTAGGCAGGCATCAGTTGGTCGCCCGCAGGCATCCCGGTTTGCATCCCGGTTTGCATCGACGCCTGCATATCCGTTTGCATATCCGTTTGCATGTCGAGCAGCAACGTCACTGCTTCCGCCGTGCTGTCCTGGAAGGGCACGTCGACAAACGGCGCGGGTGCTTGGTCGACTGCCGCCGTCGTCCCAGCAAAGAACGACGCCGCAGCAGCCGTCGTCGCCGGCACGGGCTCGGCCGCAGAGGATGCGCCATGCCCGCCCTGCCCATCCTGCCCATCCTGCCCATCCTGCCCTCCGCCGTCCATCGTGCTCGTGCTCGTGCTCGTGCTGTAGACACACTGCACGGACCGCACCAGACACCGCTGACACGGCGCGCCCTTGGAGCAGCTCTCGTGCGCCTTGGCACACGCCTGGCAGGCCCGTCGGCGCTCCTTTCGCGGACGACCCGGCGCGGCGGATGCGGATGGCAGTGGGCGGCCGCTGCTCGCTGCTGCGCGTGGCTCCGCTGGCCCTGCCGCCGACCGGTGCAGCAGTGTATGGCGCAGCAGAATGTCGCTGCGCGCAAACCGCTTCAGGCACACCGGGCAGGCATACCGCTTGACGGCCTGGTGGCTCTGGCGGTGGCGGCCGAGGTGCTCGAGTCGTTTGAACGAGCGGCCGCATGAAGAGCAGGCAAAGCGGCAGCTGTCGTTGCGGACGTCGTCACGATTGTCGTTGAGCCGATGAGGTGGCTGCTGCCTTTCTTCCCGCGACGCCATGATCGCGACTGCGTTGGTTGGTATCGTCCGACTGCTCGTAATCATAACGTGATGAGGAGATCGCGGATAAAGTACCAGGACCCCGGATTCGTCTCTCCGCACGGGGCTGGTCCACATGGGCATGTTCGCGCTATGTCGTTTTGGTGCGGCGGCCACGTTATCTGGTAAGGGGAATGCGAATACAACGCTAATCCTGTTGCTTTCGGCTTCGTCGCTTTACCAGGGTCAGCACCACGTGACAGTCATCTGCCATGCTGACTGCCACAGTCACCGAGTGCCGACGGGAGCCCAAAAGCTCAGTAGGTGAAGGTTGAGTGTCATTGGATGCCGAGATATATTATACATGTGATTGAAGGACTTGTGTGACGTACTGAAGGAGGTCATGATCGTTTGCAAGGCAATAAAGAAACGGCAATGCAATGACCACCACTTCAAACGCCTTGTTTGCCTGGATCGTTCGTGTCACATCTCCAAGGGTAATCTGTGGAATACTGTATAGCACAGGGGCACAGATGCAACTTCAAAGCCAAGCATTGTCAAGTACATTTTTCGGGTTCTATACGGAGAGGAGTTTTTGTGTTCCCAATTCGTGATGGCTGATGGCCGCTGACATTGTGATCACAAAGCGGATGGATCATGCCTCGTCGCTGATCTTGATAATCACCTTGCCCTGTGCCTTTCCGCTCTCGACCCGGTCAAACGCCGCCGCAAAGTCCTCCATGGCGTAGGCTCGGTCCACCGCGGGCCTGAGCTTGCCGGCATCAATGAGCTCGGCAATCTGGACCAGGTCGCTGCCGCGCGGGCTGACAATGAAGAAGAGGCTCTTGCCCAGTGTTTTGCTGCTCAGCGTCGCGGGCTTGGCCATGTCCGGCGGCGTGTTGACGCTGATGAGCTCGCCGCTGCCGGCCTTGGCGACGCTCCAGCAGCCGGCGAGCGTCGACCCGCCGACCATGTCCACGACGAGATCGCACTCGCGCGCCGCCCGGTCCGCAGCCACCCAGTCGTCGAGCGTCGTCTCGCGGTAGCTGACCACTTCGGTCGCGCCCAGAGCCCGCACGGCGTCTGCCTTGGGGCCCTGCGCCGCGCCCGCGAGAGCCACCACAGCGCCTGCGCCCGCGAGCGCCGCCAGCTGCACGGCCCAGCGGCCGACGCTGCCGGACGCGCCCGTCACGAGCACGCGCTTGGCGCCGTTGCGCTGGCGCGCCGCCGCGTCGCCTCGGAGCCCGGCCGCCTCCAGCGACCCCTGCTCAAACACGGCCTGCCACGCCGTCAGCGCGCTCAGCGGCACCGATGCCGCGTCCACCCAGTTCAGCGTCCTGGGCTTCCGCGCCAGCTCGCTGGCCCGTGCCAGCGTGTATTCGCTCGCGCTGCCCGGGCGCGCCGCGTCGATGCGGCAGAACACCTCGTCGCTGGCCGTGAAGCCCGAGGCAGCGGGCGCCGCAACAACGGTGCCCGCCATGTCCTGGCCGACCACGGCGAGTTTGCCCGCGGGGATCATGGCCGGATAGTTCTTGGCCCACAGCAGCTCCCCGTTGCACGGCGCGGAGGCATGGACACGGACGAGGACGTCGTCTGGGTGTGTGGGCTTGGGCAGCGGGATCGTGGTGAGGACGAGGTCAGTCGTCTGGATGTCGGGCTGCAAGACGGCCTTGACCGTTTCAGGAAGGCCGGCGGGGAGTGAAAAAGTAGCCATGTCAAGGGCTGGTAACGTCTGGCAAATAAATAAAAAGAATGTAGTCTGTTTAGCTTGCCGGCTGGTTGTTGTGATTCGCAAGGAGGCTCTGCAGAAGCATTTTTGAGTAAATTTGGGCCGGTTGATGCCGCATTTATAGAAGTGGTTGATGCAACAATTGAGCAGAAGATGTAGATGTGATTGTTCCTATGTCTGTGAGTTCGTGAGCGTATATTCGTGTGTTCGCGTTTTCGCGCAAATCGAGGAAAGTTTCGGGTTCGGAAAGTCCATGCACACGCCGGCCCAAAGACAGGTTGAGTAAGCGTGGTGGCAACGATGTCCCTTTTGGGCAAGCCGCCAACCGTCGTCGTTCCGGACTGGGGAATGACAAACAATTGTTAATCAGTCCGCTGTGGCTGCCTACCATTTGAGGGGCGCCAAGGCCCATTCCGCACCATCATTTTCGTCGTGGCCATGCGCAGAGCCAGGAGCGGTGTCTGCATTTGGAAGACAGCCCATGTAGAGTTGCATACTAAATCAAAGTGTAAGACGAAAATCGAAAAGGCGATACCAATGGCCCGGCCGCCGCCCGGACGCCCCGAATCATAGGCCGCCGTGAGTGAATTGGTGCTGTCTTACAGCAAACCGTGCACGTCCATTGCGCGCTGCTCCGAGCCATTTTCTTCACTGGCAGTCTCCGCCTCTTCCGTCGTGATCGAATGGCAGTCGTAGCATTTTCGTATTGTGCTGCACGTGAACTCGCTCGATTTTCGCGCCTCCAAGGCCGTCTCCAATGACCGTTCCCATTCCTCTGCAGTGGAACACAGACCATGTTGGGCCAGGCTTTGTCCATTTTCTGCCGCCGCCACAAACGGCGATGCTCAGCAAGGGCTGGAATTTTAGACAAGTAGCAGCAACAAGACCAGCGTATCCACTTCTGTTTGTTCAACGCAGGCAAAACTGAATACAACCGGAAGAGACACTAGACAAAGCTAGAGACGAAACTACAGACAAAAGACAAATCAAAAACACATGATGGTCTTCTTCAGTTCAAATCAAAACAAGCGAAGCCAGCCGTCCCTTTACGCACCACATGTCGGTGAGCGTGACGGCGGCCGAGCTGGACCTCGAAAGATTTGTTTTCCATGAGGATGCCGTCCCAGACGTGATTAAAAGCGAGCTCAGTCAAACGAGACAAAATAAAGGAAACGGGGAGGTCGAAACACACTGCGTTTTCTGTTGAATGGCGGGGCTCAGATTAGACTTGGTCTGCATAGCAGGTTTGGTCAAATCTTCGCTTAAGCAGATTTTTGTCTTCCCTGGCGCTGAAGTCGCCCCTGATGTCGCTACTTGCACGTTGTGATACGAAGGCTTCTAAGCGGCACGAGACAAACCACCTCCTCCATTGATCCAATGATGCAGCAAGAAAACGCTTGTAATTTACTGCAGCTACATACTTGTCATACTCTACTGACAAAACAGGACCTCGTATGGCTTCATGCCCAAAACTGCACTTTCGAGCAGTATGTTACGTTGGCATTTGGAATTGCTACCCAAGGTTGACAGCCTTCCAGAGTCTTGCGCAGCACCGGGAAACGAAAAATGAACACGGAAGAGCACAGTTGCTGTTTTGTTTTATGAACTCGTCAGTGTACTTCACTCTTCGTCCTCCGTCCTTTTTGACCCCTGCCTTTTATTCTTTCTTACCCTGTATCTTTCCTCTGGCTTCTTGTCGACCTCCCCTTCCCTTATCATTAAAATAATCTGCTTATTCAATCCAAGTGTTTCTATTTCTAGCTGTACGACAATCACAAAATGGAAAACAACGTACGCCGGCACATTTTTCTCTTTCAAAGCCCTGTCGGTGTGGCCAATTTTTTGCCATATACGCCTCGCAGTTTCTCTCTACCGGCGTGCCAAATTTGAACCTGACGGACCTGACCGACCTACGCCAAACCACGGCTGTTCCCCGACTCTCACCCAACGACAAGTTCCATTTTTGCAGTCACCTTGGCATTTTTGTCATTGACGACGGCGTGTGTGCCGACTCAACCCTCTCGTTGCATGCGAAGCTACAGCAATGCCGTATTTATGAACACCAAGGCCCGCGAATGGCCACGGATCAACCTGGCCGGCAGCCAAACGCCGACTTTGCGCGCCGCATCGTGTCCATGATATATATTGCTTCCACGGACAAAACCGATGCCGGGCCGAATGTACCGTGTGAGTGTCATGTATGGTTTGTGTCGGTTTAACACGACCACAACGCAAAAATTTTCATAAAGGACTAAGGAGTTGAAAGGCTGACCTCGGGGCATACATCTGTTAGTGCAAGGCATACTCTGAGTGGGAACTGAGCAAACTACAGCCCCGTATCGAGCTTTGTACTGGAACTGCCACGATATTGCGTGCCGTTTTGCCCATCTCGCAGCGCATGACGGCGCGGACTTGACTTTACTCTGCGACCTTTCGGCCGTGTTTGAACGCAGCAAATTTGCCATGCAGCGCACCATTGACGCTACGAAAATGCCCCAGCACATCCTTCAAATCGTTCCATCTTTCCATGGACGGGCCTGGTATCGAAATTAACGAGTCCTATTTTGGGTACTCGTACGACCTGGCTTTTGGCGCACGAGTATTCAGAAAGGCAGTGGCAGACCGCAGAGGCTGGGTGAAGGAACTGAAGCGACAATATCCACTTCTCCACAATTTGAATAATGTCACCGAAGAAGAGTGGAATGGCTTTTGTTCGTCGAGGTAAGAGAGATGGACCTCGTGAAACGTGGATTTGGTCTCCTTCTACAGCCTGGGATTTTCACGATGGGCCTGGTTGCTCTGCGCATTGCCCAAGACTAACCATAGATAATAAACAACGTACTGCAAACTACCCTGCCTATCTCCTTTGCTTAGTATGGTGCAAAAGTGCCACGGCCGGGTTAAACGGGTCGAGCCGTCTTATGTTGTCGTCGCTTATCAGGATCTTGATATGAGACCTTGATGCTAGGGGAGAAAACCAACGACACAATATGGCCTCTGTCACTTGTCGCCTCCACTGCGCTCTGGTTTTGCTGCCATTTTTGCGAGTTGGCGTTCACTAACAGCGCCACTAATCCCAGTGGGTCTCCACTAAATACGGGCCGTGCGTCTCTAGCCGCGTGCGGACGATGCCTAAACCCCTAGTTAGTCTAGGCCTAAGTCCACCGTAGATACCCCGCTAAACCGCCCACCAGCACGACGAGAGGCAACTTGGCGTTTGCGCGCCTTTTTTCCACTGAAGGGCCCTGGCCCAGGGCTTGGACATGAAAAGCACCGTTTTGACAGATTCGGTGGGGGTGCAAAACAAAGCTGCGATTCTCACTGACTCATATTCAATTTTCCACGCTGGATCATCAGGCCACCACGTCAAGCCGAAACCAATAAACGTAGGTAATCTGTCACTGGTCAACATTGCACCGAGACTCAGCATAGCCCCTCTGGCTGACAGGGGTGCCATTCGGCCTTGTGAAATTCAGCCACAGCTTTGGCTGACTGCGCAAAGACTGTCGAAGCCTTTTTTTAAATGGCGTATTTGTATTCTGTATGGAACATTTCCCCGCACCCCGACACAACATAAAATGAACCTACTGTCCGTCGCTTCCTGACTCTGTTACCAATACGACATACAGGCCTGCTTTTCCCCTCCCTTGCACGCCGGCTGAGGCCCAGCCGCTCTGACGAACAATGTTGGACCCACTGACGGCGTTGGGTCTTGCTACCAACATTGTCCAGTTTGTGGACTTTGGGCTCAAACTATTCAGCACGTCGATTGAGATTGCACGGTCGGCAAAAGGCGCGACCTCCTTAAACCTCGAACTCGAACACGCGTACACGACACTCTGCAACTTTGCGTCCGACCTCCAGTTCACGGATGACGGTGCGTCCGATCGGCCACCAGTCAGCGGCAGTGCTGCGGTGGACACACTCGGCAAGGCGCATGCCAAGGCGATCCGACCGCACATTGCCGCCATCGAGGGCATCGCGGCGGACTGCCAGGATGTGTGTCACCAGCTTCTGCATGTTGTGCGCGGCCTGCGCGTGGATCCAGGCTCGTCCAAGCGTCGTCTCAAGAGCGTTGCTGCGGCTGTGAGGATGGTCTGGGGCGAGAAGAAAATCAAAAGCCTCGAGGAACGACTTCGGCGGTTTCAGGAACTCCTTGCTCTGCATTTTCTGCCCCTCCTCAAGTCGGTCTCCCACGTTCTATTCACTCTTACTTCTTTTCTTTTTTTTTCTTTTTTTTTCTTTTTTTCCTTTTTTTTCTTTTTTCTTTTTTCTTTTGTTTTTATCGTCGCCATTGATTACTAACGTCAGACACAGTGAACGGCAAACGTACATGACACGGGTTGTCGCAGCCCTACACACCCAGAATACTTGGCTGGAATCGCAGCAGTCAAGCGGATTCAAAGACATAGCCGGCCGGCTTGACGTTTTGCTGCACAAGATCCAAGCTCTGTCGACACATTCAACAGACAAGACAGCACAGCCCGTCTCCATACAGACGATACACGAATCAAAACCACAACCTGTCCGCCCGGCGGACGTCGAAGGCCTTTCTGACATTGTAAACGACCTGAGTCTTGCAGAAGATGACATTACTTTGGCAGTATGGGTACAAGATCTCCTCAAAAGCCTTCATTTCAAAGCACGCAGGCATCGACACGAAGCCATACCCGACGCCCACAAGGCTACTTTCGAATGGATCTTTTCCGACGAAAGAAACACGGGTAAACTAGATGCCGTCTCAGGCAACGTTTCGACTGGTCCAGTCGTCTTTGAAAATTCTGATAACACGGCTGCATCAGACAGTTTTACGACGTGGCTCAAGTCTGGCCGAGGCATATTCTGGATCAGCGGTAAGCCCGGCTCTGGCAAGTCGACACTGATGAAGTTCATTGCAGACCATCCGAGGACGCGAGAGTTGCTTCAAACCCAGGCCGCGGGAAAACGGCTGATTGTTGCATCGCACTACTTTTGGAATGCCGGGACAGAGATGCAGAAATCATTCAAGGGTCTTTTGCAGCAATTGCTCCTCGATATCTTGAGCCACTGCCCCGAGCTGGCGCGGAACGTGTTCCCACACCGTCTGTCAAAGTCGACTGCGGCGCCTTGGTCGGTCAACACGAACTACACGTTCATGTCTGCGGACGACGAGTGGACCATCCGCGAGCTGCGCCAAGGGCTGCTGCAGATTGCCCAGCATCCTGCGATGCCGATCCGCTGCTGCTTCTTCATTGACGGCTTGGACGAGTATTGTGGCGACGAAAACTCCGGGTACCACCTCGAGCTGTGTGAGGTGATCAAAAGCCTCGCGGCATCCGACAGCATCCAGTGCTGCGTGTCGAGCCGGCCATGGAATGTCTTTGAGGACGCATTTGGTAGGAACAGCGGACCGAATCCAATGTTACTTCAAGTGCACACGCTCACATACAACGACATTCTCCTCTTCACCGAGAGTCGCCTGCAGAGCATCGCCCAGTGGGAAGCCATGGGCATCAATGCTGGCCAGGTCGCGACCCTCGTCAAATACATTGCCGAGAACGCCCAGGGCGTCTTTTTGTGGGCATTTCTCGTCTCAAAGTCGCTCCAAGACGGCGTCATTGACGGCGACACCTTTGACGACATCAAGCGACGTTTGATGGCCATGCCGACCGAATTGGAGCCCTTTTTTAAACACATGCTAGGCCGTGTCGATGCGGTTCACCACACGTACATGGCACATGCACTGCTGGCGGCCGTAGATGCATACGAATCCATCTTGGGGCTCATGGTGTGTCACGTTCTCGGCTACGAGCTTGAAGACCCCAACTACGCGCTGACCTGGCCACCGGATTTTGACATTGCGCGGTTTGAGTCGCGTCCAGAACTCGCCGACGCGTGCCGACGCAGGGTGAATGCCCGCTGTGGTGGCCTCGTGCACTGCTTCAATTCGCACGTCGGGTTTATCCACCGCACCGTCTACGACTTTCTCAAGACACGCGCAATGCGCGACTACCTCGAGAGCAAAGCGATGCCGGGCTTCGTACCCACCGTGGCCATACTCAAAGCCATCTCTTTTCTCTTCCGCTGTGCAGCGCGCACGGTTGCCATGTCCACCAACACCGCGGATGTTGCATACATGGAAGTGCTGTTCCTTCAAAGTCTCGCCTACACCGGTCTTGCATGGAACGAAGACGAAAAAACAACAACGCGCCTGGTGGATGCCATTTCAAACGTTCAGCACGACGAGCCCTTTGGAACGTATCCTACTTTGCAGGTGGCCGTTGACAGGATCGTCAATAGCCGTGTCGTTTTCAAAGCCGATGTAGACGATCCATCATCCAGTTCCGGGCCCAAGTCGAGTATGGCCAAAGAACCCATGCTGCCACCCCCCGGGCTGCGCCACGCGTTTCTGGATCCACATGTCACGCCGTATGTCGTCGCAAAGCTGCGAAGCAACCAATCCTACTTCGATGCCGGCGGCGTGTCTCTCTTGGGCACGGCGGTTCGTCATCTCGGGTGGATCGATGCACGCTTGGTAGCCATTTTCCTCGAGGCGGGTTGCGACCCGAATGAACGCATCCTCTCGGGGGCTACCACGACGTCGCCGTATGACATCGTGTCGTGTACTGCCACGACTACGCCGTGGAGGTTTCTGCTCGCTTCTGTGGATGCGAACTCGGTAATAGGTTTCTCGAGCCGTGGTGTGGCCAGCGTGCTCGCTCTCTTTTTGCGGCACGGCGCAAGTCGAGCACCGATCTTCAGAGCGAGTGGCACAGTCTATAGCTGTGTCGTCTACCGCTTCCTAGATGCCAACCTCGGCGTCCGCAACACCTCGTCGAGGCCCGAGGCACCCCAGAGCCCCAATAGCAGACTGGAGCTCCGCGCCGTCTTTGAGCTTGTCGACGTCTTCCTCGACACGTCTGCCGACAACAACAGAGTCCAGATGATAGACATTCTTCACTATATCCGTACGTGGGACGCATTTCCACCCAGAGCCGTGTCGGAGGCAGACCGGGTGGCAACGGTTGCGTTTGTGGAAAAGATGATTCGCATGGCTGTCGAGCTGCGTCTGCCGGCCGCTGTGATTTCTCCACTAATGACCAGCGTAGTCATTTGGCAGCATCTGTCACCAAGCGTTCTCGCGGATATTGAGACCTACACGCGGTCGCATGTAAAATCGGACCCTGATAACCCGGTTACCCCGTGCGATTCGGAAACGGCAATGTTGAAGCACCCGTCCCATGACGACGACATCGAGGAAGCTAACTATTCTGCAAAGAAGGCTATGTTAGGACAATCCTTTCAGATGTATAATTCCGACTTGTTGTAGACGGCGTTGCAAACTAGGTTTAGGATTAGATAAAATGGCGGTAATGGTCTCGTATTTTATTACAGTGGACGTATAAGGTACTTGGGATAAAAGTTTATTCCTCTTTGTATGAAAAGAAAGTTTTTATACGGTTATTATTAGTTTATTTCGTATTTTTTTTATAAAAGAAAAGTTAAATATATTTGTCGATTAAAACAATATTTAAACCGCAAATACTCACAGATACCTATGAGAAATATTAAATCCAGGCCGGCCCAGACCCCAGTTGCTATTACCCATTCTGGCGTGACGAAGCCGAGGAGGCCGGAACGCAAACATATTATTTCGTGAGAATATTACAAAAGACAGCACAAGAAACAGGACGGAGCGGAAGGAATAAATAAAACAAGACCTAAAAGCTGTCATACAAGTAAGACATTTAAGCAGACACGTTTATCAGCCAGTCGTTAAGATCCAGGCGTGGTTCGGAAGAAAAGAAAATTTCGGCAATTTATCACCCCTCTGTCACGGGAGATGTGGTTGGAGCCTTTTACACACGCTCGATTCCCCGCTCCTAGGAATCAGAGTGACTACCTAGATGAGAGTACTTGACAAGTCTGGACAGAAAGCTGTGACCTCGTACTCTGTTACTCTTAAAACTACAAAGTTAAACGTACACGTCCGTTGGGATGGCTGTGATGGCGACGGCGTCGGTGACGTTGATTTTGTCCCGCAAGCCACTCTTCAACAAAAAGCTTTTTGTCTGTCTTGGGCTTCGTTGAACTGCTACTGGCCTCAATTACATCGTTCCCGCCCATACTCAAATCGAGATGGGCACATACCCATGGGTGTCGGTATATGTAATCTCCGGATACCTCCATCTCTGTTGCCGCCCAGCGAAAAATATCGCTTACGGCCTGTCGAGAGGCAGTCTGGTCCAGCCTTTGAACATGTCGACAGTTGACAGCTTGCCCTTCCGTAACCGGCCTTTGGTCTCGCATATCATCTCGCCCAGAACATCCTTCATCTTCCTCTAACACAAGGCCACGTCCCGCGCGTTGTTCGTTGCCTCCGATAACCCAAGTCCAGGATGTATATTCCCACTCGTGGCGGTTACAGCGAAGGTGTTTACGTACCGGCGGTTCTATCTCGTCGTCCCTCATTGTGCCAAACGGCGGCCAAGGGCAGAGTGGCGTATTCCGGAACGGCATGTCTGAGGGTTCAATGCCGCAGAATTCGTGTCGCAGGCGCCATACATCCGCCCGCTTTGCCCAATGCGTACCCGAATCAAATACCAGGTACGGACCTGTGCCGCATTCATCCATAAACGACTGTGGCGATTGTGTCCAAACGGCCACTTCCGGCACTGGCCAGTAAACCGACGGTGACTGTAGCGTTGCCGAAAAGCAAAGTATGGCGTGAAACGTCTTGGTTTGGCCGCAAGCCAAGACACCATACCAGAGCGGGGACACAGCCGGGCATCGGAGAGCAAAGAGATGCGCCAGGCGCTCCAAGTCACCGGCTAGGACCAAAGGCTCAACTGTCTCGTGGATCGGCTTGAGCCAGGCGCTGACATGGTTGCAATCAACACCAGGCTCCCAGAAGATACCCCACAGGGCAGATGACAGGAAACGAGGATTTGAGCTTAACGTCATGAAATAGCCTAGATTTCTGCACTGGTCATCGATGCACGGTGTGGGGACATCGGCTCGTTTTTGTCGAGACAACGCCGCTGTTAATCCGTACGGTTTTGGCAGTGTGACTGCCGACCGTGTCTCGTTGTGCAAAGGAATAGTAAGGGCTGGTCGTCGAGATCGTAGACAGAGGCAAATCTCACCAGGTACAGCGCAGCTTCTGCACTGGACGGCGGAGACATTGATTCCAGTTCCAGATCGGGGCGACCATTATCGGCGCTCGTATCGTCAGCTTCAATATGCAAACGAATTGTTTCCAGTGTACGCGAGCATCCACGGCGGATTTTGGCCCGAGGGCCGCCAGCCATGCCCCGGAGCCACCAATGCCCTCCACCATTGTCTCTCTGCTGCCGAGGCACGTCCAATACTGATATACATTTCCTCGTGTCGCTGGTCCTTGTTTCCGTTGGGAGGGGCTCGTTGTGGCGGTGTGTATACCGTCGGTATCCCCTGTCTCTCGAGCAGAGACGTCGAGAGGATGTAGGCCCAGGCTAGGAACAGAGGTGCTAGTGCATTGGTGGGATTCTGCACATATGTAAACGACGTTTCGTTGGACAAAGACCAAAACGTAGGTAGACCACCTCGTGGAGATAGCTTCCACTGCCGCTCGGGTCCCGTTCTTGTCGCGGGGCCATCGCAGCCAGACGAGCGCAGGTGCCAGGTCGCTTTTCCGGTAATCGAATGCATGTCCTTCAGGCGACTTGGTAGCTTCGGAATATTATTTAATAGACGCTTCGGAAGGACGGCGCCGGGGTGTAGATGGCTCTCGCTTGCTCTACTCAACAGCCTCGTCTATTCCAAATGGCTGTGGGACAATGTCGTTGACAGCTCGTCTTTTGTGGGGACAACTCCATCACCATTCCAGCCGCTCTCTGGGCTCGTGCCCTCACTCGACGACATGCAGCTGCTGTTTGACGACATTGGTGTTTTGGCTTGTGTTTTGAGAAGAAGGCTGGTGCCAAGACAAGTGACGCTGAAACGGGTCACTTTGGACGACTAGGCGTCACAGCTGGCAGAAAGTCGTTTCTGAGATCACAGCGATTAGTCAAAGTTTAGTCATAATGCTCCTACTTTACGTTCAGCACCTTGGACTTTCCTTCCTTCACAAAGAAAGAGAAAAAGTGAGACGGTGTGGTCGTAATGCAAAGGCCATTTAATCGCCAAGCATGCGTGGGTGACGGGGCTATTGTTCCACGGCGTCGTGCTGTCGCGGCGCGCCCAACACGTTGGGCGCGCCGGCCGCGACTGTAGGTATAGCGGCGGTGGTGATAGCGGGAGAGGAATACAGGGATCAGGCGCGTGTACGGTGGCCACCGGCAGGGCAGTTTTTCACTCTGGTAACGAACATATAGATATGTGTAAAAGTCTTTATATTGTTTACTTAAATCCAGAATGTGTCGTTTAAACAATGATCTCCACGAACCTCTGGACTCCATACTCTACCCTTCTCGATTCGGCGACGTTTGTTTGATTGCCCGTACAGAGCTCCGAGTATATTCCGACCGAGCAGGTGACATTCCAGACGCCTATTACCTCAGCTGCTATTATACCAGTACATGCTACACACTGTACTATGTAAACGGTGAGAGGAGTCTTAGGATTTAGTCATTAACAAAACGTCTATAGAACGCCATGTTACAAAATAATATACAGCTTACGTTGGAGATAAAATCGGCTTGAACGACAGCAAGAACAATAACAACAAGAATAATCGTACACATAGCCACACACACTTCTTTCCTCCTGCGCGTCTACGACCGCTTCGACGTCCGCCCTCTCCAATTCACAATCTCAGAAATGCTCGACTGGATCTGGGACGTCACTTGTGAAGCAACCTGCGATGCCCTTTGAGTTTTGCGGAGGCTACGTCGGCGGCCATCCGTTACGTCTAGATCCCCGAGCTCGTCTACCTCCTCGACCACCACAGTAAAGCCTTGTCCTTTTTCCTCCCACCCCATCGTTGAAGGGGAGCTCTTTGCCGAGTCCCAGGTCATGGCTTTGCGCACGACTCGCTTAACGGTTTTTGCTGCTGCCACCATTGGCGTCGGCTTGGGCTGCGGCGGCGTTTCTTTTGTGAGGCGGCCCCCGCTGCCGCTGCCGCTGGCGCTGCCATTGTCGGGTGGTGCGCCCGGAGCGGTAGCCGAGATGGGTGTCGTCGCCTCAGCGTCTGCCCGTGGTTGTGGTAGCGGTGGCGGTGTGTTGTCAACCATCGCATGGATGCGTTTTGGTGTGATGCACCACAGCTGGTGGGCAAATTCGTCGTACGCCCCAGTCGGGTGTCCTGTCGCGCTGTAGATCTCGGACTTGACGTACGCCGTCCATGCGTGCACCAGGCAAGGATGATATCCTCTTCGACCCGGAACCATTCGCAGTGATAATCATGGCACGAGTCGCACGGACCGCTCATCTGCCGATGTCGTAGAGATGCTTTCACGAGGGTTTCGACCTTTATGGCGCCTGGAAACGCAGCCTCGCTCACAAACACTGGCTCCCGACCGTCAATGACTGCCTCCGTCTTGCAAGGTACCTCCTCCCAGCGCTTCATTAAGTCGTCTCTCTCCGAGAAGCCAATCTTGAAGAGGCCGCACCGCTTCGCGCTGCGGAGCACATAGATTCGGCCGATGCATTTTTTGTAGTGTGCGTACCCAGTCTGCATGTTCCTGATGATGTTGATGTAGTTGGTTCCGATGTAGCAGTCCTCGTCGTTTTCCGGTCGAATGTCCTTGCTTCTGCAGCACATGTGGTCGGGATGCAGCGGCAGAGAATCCGCCTGCTGGAGAGGAGAAGGAGAAACTGTCAAAATGGCCTCGACCTTCTCCGCGAGCATTTCGATTTCGCCCGGTGAAGCCACAACAGGAGATGAATGGTTGGGTGCCGGGACACTAGATTCACCCTGGGGTTCTTGTCTCTCGTTGGCAATAAAAGGTCCATCCAATACCGGTGGCTGCTCATTGAGTTGCTCCTTCTGCGGTCTCTGTGTCTCCTGTTGCTGCTGTTGCTTCTGCCCCTTCTGTGGTGTCTGTCGCTTCGCTCGATCCAAACTCAGCGCTGACCCTGAAGTCGTCGCTGCGTATTTCCGCTGCCTATTGCTAGGAGTTGGTGTTGAAGGAGGGGCGGGATCATCGTCATCTACCCATTCCAGCGCGTGATTTATGCCGCTCTCATGGGCTTCTGCGCCACGCGTGCTCTTGGGTGGAAATGTGACCTTATTGACCCTCCTCGACTGAGGCGTGGTATTCGGCGTGACAGTGGACGAATGGGTCGGTGTTTCCGTCAGGCGGCGCAAATCGTCACCGGCGGCGGACTTCACCGAAGAAGCGTCGTCATCAGTGTCGCCATCAGATTCTTTGCTTTGCGCTCGGTTTTGATAGAACGCGTGCAACCTCTTCTGCAATGCCTCCACCGCTGCTATTGGCTTGCTCTTGTGGAGGTGACAATACTGGAGATCGATGCACGTAACGAGATGTGCACAGAACTTGTCAACTGGGAAAGTTCCGTGTCCTTCATTGTCGTCCCAGCTGTCCTCGTAGGCCTTGGCCAGCTGTTTCAGCTTGGAAAGGCTACTCATGAGCTTCGAGTATCGGTCGCCTGTTTTCTGCAGCAGATTGTAGCATCGTTTGCCGTCCAAGGACTTGGTCTTGCCAAAACACTGACGGTCATTAACGTCGAATAAAAAATCATGTTCTAATTCTGCAAAGGTGAATGGAGAGATGAGCTCTCTGATTCTGTCGAGAATCGGCGTCTGTATCTCGTCCATGGGAAGGAGTTTTTGAATTCGTTTTGATTGGCTTTGTAGGTTCGTTGTTTGCTTATTCGGGCCAGACTGTGAATGGTTTTGATTTGGGAAAATAAAAATCAGAAGACTGAATATGATGACCTCTTCTGCTGTTTATATACACATTTACGGACGGGCTACACAGATCAAAGCATCATATCATGGTGATGAGGGTGGCTGGGACGGCGTACGGCCGGACCTGAGGCTTCGAAATTCCCCTGCATGAGTTCGAAAAGATCACGCATATGCTACCAAGGAGGAGGCAATGCACCTCAAGTTCTGCAAGTCCAAAACTCCTCGACTCCTAGGCAGGCTTGCCGAATAGCCGCGCTCATCGCAAGGCTTCTCATTTTTAATGTTACTGTGCCACAAAGACCCACGTTTTAGGATCACGACAGACACAAGCTTTGATCGCCCTGAGCCTTGTTAGGGGCTCGTAACGTTTGGGACGGGGGTCAAGCGAAGCGCTTCGTTCGGGCGAAGGATTAGGGCAGCCCCTTTTTTGAGCTGGGGAAGTTTCGAGGCTTGGCCAAATAGTCCCATTAAAACCCCGGCCTCCACGAGGTATGTCGTGCTCCGGAGTCGTTTCTCTTTTAGGTACCGAGTTCTTCCAGAAGCATATGTGTCAAACCGTCCCAGGAAAGAAAAATAGCGGTTCACTCGAATAATCTAGAAGCATAGACCGTGCTCCGCAGAGAAGCACGAAACGCCATAAGCCCGCGTTGTCTTGTTTCAAGATCGACGACTTCTGGCCTCGACAGGGGTCCTTCAAAGACCCACCATTCAACGGGAAGTCCCAGTTTTCGTTTACTGCGCCGTCAACCGTCCTCAGGGGACAAGGGCTAGCCGTTTTCGGCATTCGACCGCAACAGTCGTGGACCGCTGTCACATTATCAGATGCAAACAATTTCGATGGCTGGTCAGGTAGGGGGGTAGCTGCCACCCATTTTTGGCAGCAATTCCCGCCCTTAAAATAGAAATCCACCCTTTACGATGTACCGAAAACAATCAGAGAACAGAGTCACCAAAAGGCGCTTATCCTTGATCACCTTTTACTGTGCCAGACAGCACAGCGCCCGTGCTTGGCCCTTTCAGGCATGTCGTACTTTTACACCCGTTGCGTAAGGACTTCGGCCAGGAGTGAGACGTCGAGGACGCCGGGGATACAGGGTATCAGGCGCATCTTGTGTTTCCGTCGACCGGAAATGCTCAAGAAGGTTGCTTTATTTTCTTTTTCTTGCCCCCTTTTCACGCTTTGTTTCTTCTATTTCCATTTGAGTTTGACGACTGTCATCTTGCGGCGCAGCGCCCCTAATCGATGGTGTGCCTTCATATTTTCTGATACATACTCCGTTGTTTCATATGTACGGTCATTTGCAGCAGTTGTCCAAGACTTGCATCTTTTGCGCTTCGTTTACGTCCTGCACACTCATCCCAAAATAATCTCCTTCCACTTCGGCCCATCACCGAGCGCTTCATCCAGGGCATCAAAGCCAATCGACGAAAGAGACACTCGCTCGGCATACGCCGCACTGGCGCTGTCCGAATCGGTGCCCTCCACCTGCCCGTTGATTTGGCCCTGTGCCCACCGCTTGTACGTATACGAGCCCTGCGTTTTGTCCCCTCCCAATGTCACCCACTCGAGCATCATCATCTTGAACCGCCAGCCAGCCGTGTGCCGGTCAGGATTGCCGTTTCCGGGGGCCCGCTCGTCACGCGCCTCGCAGAGGAGAATAAACTCGCGGGTCTGGGGCAGCGTCCCGCCGCCGTTTGTCGCCTCTTGGCTCGCGAGCCAGTCCGGCTCGACGACGACGGTACCCAGCTGGGTGCCGCTCTTCCCAAACACACCAAGGCGCCGGTGCTGTCCGTCGAGCATATCAGGCTCCGTGTCTGACCTCTGTACACCGTCTGGATCATCAATCGTGAGCAGAACCGACACTGTCCAGAACTGCAAAAAGCCCGAGCCCGGATTCTCGCTCAGCGTATCACTGACGTAGGTGGGATACGCCGCCCACAGCTGCATCGGTGTCGGGTTAGTCTGCACGCGGTCCAGCCCCGGGAAGCGCCGATCCGTCTGCGTCGCGCTGCCGTAGAGGTTGCACGCGTGGTAAGGCGCTGCTGGGCCGCTGCCGCTGCCACTCTCTTCCTCGCCATCCGAGCCAGCGCTGCCCTGCATGTGCCTGACCAGCGGAACACACTCGGCCGAGTCGTGGGCCACGCGGTGGTACCACACAATCCACGTCCGCGTGCCGATGGCCTCGTCGACCATGCCAATGTCCCGCGTGTACCAGTCCCAGATGTGCGCAGAGATGCGGCCGCCCGTCCAGCCCGACCACGACCAGCTGGGGCCCCGGGTGTCGCCGCCGCCGCCGCCCAGGCACCGAACGTGGTGCGTGTGGCTGCCGCCGTCCCACAGCAGATGCCAGTCGAAGAAGCGCGTGGGCAGGCCGTGGCACAGGTCGGTGTTGTACTGCACCATGAGCTGCCGCGCCATCCCGGCAAAGGCATGGTACAGGTCCGCGCCAAACGACAGCTGGCGCTCCGAGTACGAGTTCATAAACTCTTCCATCGTCCCAATGTCGTTGAGTTCATCGTCGTCGTCGTTTTCGTCGGCCTCATCCCGGCCGTCCTGTGTGCGAAGCTCGTCCGCGGGCTCAAACACATGCTCCTGCCACGCGTCCGCGGTGCGGCAGCGGAAGACGGCCGTGCCGCCGATGAAGACGAGCGACCGCATGGCAAAGTGGTCCTCCTGCAGCGTCCAGCCGCGCGTGTAGTACAGCGAGTCGCTGATGAAGTCCTGCCAGCGCGCGTTGGCCGCCAGACGGAATCCGGGTGCCATCTGCTCAATGGCCTGGCGCGGCCGGCCGCCACGGCCGCCGACGCCGGCCAGGCCCGCGTACGCGTCGCCCGCTCCCGCCGCAATGATCACGAGCTCGGCCGCGCAGTACAACAGGTCCATCTTGCCAATCGTCGCCATCTTGACCTCCACGTCGTCCTGCACAATGCACAGCGTGTCGATCCACAGGTACGCCAGCCCCAGCTCGCGCGCCGCGTGCAGCGCGTCCCGGATCGTCGGCGGCAGGTGGTCACCCAGCAGCGCCAGCGCGCCCGGCTGCTCGAGCTCGGCCACGGCCGCCCGCTTCGTGCAGTAAAACGCCCGCCGGCCCCATACGTAGCTGAGGGCCGCGTACGCCGCGCCCGCCGGCACGCGCGCCAAGCACATGCGCTCGACGTCGACGCACCGGAACTCGGGCACCGCGTCGGCCGGGTGCGTGTGGTCGCGCCCCAGCGCGTTGAGCGCGAGCAGCGGGTTGGCGCGGCACGTTTTGCCGTGGTGCGCCTGGCAGAGCGCGAGCCACTGCCGCACGCGGTCAAAGTCAATGCGGCCGGGCGTGCGCAGACGCACGAGGTGACTTGCGGCGTCGGGATGCGTCCCCGCGTACGGCGTGGCCGGCATATCGGCGGCCAGCATGGTGATCTCGGGGAAGAACATGCCCATCGCCTGGAGGTACTTCTGGTCCGACGTCTGCGCCGACAGCCGGAGCACCCGTACGGCCGGCGTGCGCACCCACGGCGCGGCCGGGTCCTGTGGACCGGTCGTGCCCCAGTTGCAGCTGACGTGCACGGCCAGGCCCCGCTCTTTGGTCGGCAGGCGATCGCCGCCCACTGTGACGTAGATCAGGCGGCACAGAGGGCAGGACGTGCGCGTGGCCATGTCGGCGAGAGGGCCCAGGTCGCGGGGCTCGCCGTCCGGTTGGTCCTCAGCACCGTGCTCAGGGTCACCCGGCAGGACAAAAAAGCGGCGTTTGGACACGTTGATTTGCGTGCATGTCTCACACAGCGCGTCGCCATAGCAAGAGACATCGAGGGGCACGCTCGGGAGGTTGCTCAGTGTCTTCAGAGGTGCGACGGCTTCGTCCGGTTTGGCGGTGACGGTTCCAGCGGCAGTATCTGGACTGGGTTTGGGGTTTAGACGGGCTCGAATGGCCGAGTACAAAGGGCCGGACAATTTGGCAAAGTTTCCAGGCATATTGGCAAGCTGTCGTGTAGATTCACTTGTGTTATTTTATTTATTTTTGTTTGAAGAAAAAGAACACCACACCGGCTCGACTTTATATCTTGGAAATAGTATACCACCACCTTTCTCTCATTTTCGTTCTTTTTTCAGCTGGCACCGGGTCAGCTGCACGTCCAAACACGACTCCATTGGGAGACGCCTGCAGCCGCCCGCAGCCATTCACGAACGTCCGCCAACAAGATGCAACCCTACCTCTACGGGAACCGGCAGCCAGCGCGACAGGGGTCGAATCCGAGGGCTCTGATTCGATGTGCTTTTCGCCCTTTTCTGTCGCGGCCCGGAACAGCTTTATTGGCTTTCCTTTGGGCACCAATACATCGTGTCCATCGTTGCATGTCTTCCATAACGAGGCTACGCACTTTTCCCATTGCTTTCTTGGCAGACTACTTAACGACGAACAACAACGCTGCGACTCCACAAAGCAGTCCACTTCGCTATGGGCAACACGGTAATACACGGTCGATTGGTCTAGTTGGTTATGACGACGCCTTAACACGGCGTAGGTCCTCGGTTCGATCCCGAGATCGATCACATTTCTGTCGGTGGAGTCGTTGCACTGCTTCGTTTGCTCGGTTTGCCGGTCCTCCTTTGACGATTTATTGATTTTTCCTTCGGTGACTCTGTCTCGCGATTGCCTCTCAGGGCCTCAAGGTTTGTCTTTTTGTTCATGACCTTGCTGTTACCAATTTTGTACTGTTTAATTCTATGAGCGGAGTCTATTCTCTATAACGCCAACGCCATTCTGTTGCCCGTAAAGCCATGCTTCGTGTCGTTTATGCTTCCAACACGTAACGGTACCGCGCATCGCCATTGGCCAAGTCCACCACGGCCGCATTTGCGTCCTTCATCGGCCGCAGCTGCACCCACGGCTCGATCTTCTTGTCGGCCGCCAGCTGCAGCATCTCGCGGATCTCGTCGGGCGCGCCAATGAGGCTGCCGCCGACCTGGATGCCGCTGCCAATGAGCGTAAATGCGTTGATGGCCGGCAGGTTGCCGCCGTCGGGCGCGCCGACCTGGATGAACGTGCCGTGCACCTTGAGCAGCTTGAGGTAGTCCGCCATGGGCATCTTGTCTGACGAAATCGTGGACACAATCAAGTCCACGCAGCGGGCGTGCTTGGCGGGCCAGCCCGCGTCCTCGTCCGTGGCAATGTACTCGTCGGCGCCCAGGGCCAGCGCGTCCGCGCGCTTGTCCGACTTGCGCGACAGGGCGACGACGCGGTCGGCGCCCAGGGCCTTGGCAAAGAGCACGCCAAAGTGGCCGAGACCGCCGACGCCGACAATACCGACCGTCTTGCCCGGCCCCGCGCCGTAGCGCTTGAGGGGCGAGTACACGGTGATGCCGCCGCAGAGCATGGGCGCGGCGTGCTCCGGCTTGATCGCGTCGGGGATCTTAAAGACAAAGTGGCCGTTGGAGCGGTTGTACGTCGCGTAGCCGCCGTACGACTTGCCAATGTCGTTTGGGTGGATGCCACCGTAGGTTCCGACGTTGACGCGCCCGCAGTAGGATTCCAGGCCCGTAGAGCACTCGGGGCAGTCCTTTTCCAGGCACGACCGGCCCTGGGCGCCAACGCCGACGTTGTCGCCCACCTTGATGTGCTTGACGTCCTTGCCGACGCGGACGGCCTTGCCAACGATTTCATGTCCAACGACACAAGCTGGGGGGGAGGGGGGAGAAGCAGTGTTAGTAACAGAACATGGATGGAGGGAATTTGTCTGCTGCGCGTGGATGCATAGATGCATGGACTTACGGAATGGTGTCTCACCCCAGCCGGACCGGAGCGTGTGCAGATCGGAGCCGCAGATGCCGCAGTGCGAGACCTGGATGTCGACGTCGCTCTCCTCCCACTTCTTGGGCTCAAACTCGCCCCATTTCATCTGGCCGTTGACACTGCTGGCGTCAAGACCCAGCCAGCCCTGGAACTTTTGGGGAGAAGACATTATGCGTGTGTGTGCGTCTGTGTTTGAGTAAAGATGAGTTGGTTAGGGATGCGTTTCGAAGGTGTGTGTGTTTAGTGGGTAATAGGTCGAGATATCTGGAGAATTCTCACTACTCTAAAGTACAGGACAGACAGTCGTTTTATATCTACAAAAGCCACGATGTAGAGGACGTCGCCGACGTCAAGCAGCCAGGCTGGAAGCTAAAACCCTAAGTTGTTGCCTATGCTTGCTTGGACAACAGCTTAAGTCCTTATTTCCGGGCAGAGCTTTCGATGTTTCGACGTTTCGACGATTTTCTACTCTTCCACTTTTTTTCATAGAAAATGAAATTATGTAAGTGACTAGTGCGCGATGGAGTTTGCAAGTGTAAATAGTGCGGCCATAAGCCAATTGCATAATTGGTACAAGGTAACACTCATAATCCTCCTAATAACTAATATATCAGGCTCCGGCGGCGTGGGCGTAGCTTGGGGATTTGGCTATGATGCCTCTCTAGGAGATAAGCAAGGCAACGAACAAAAGAACGGTGGACTTCCGCCGGCGATATCTATTAGCGCTACTGTTTCTGGTTTTCTTTCTGGTTTTCTTTTTAAATTCTTTTTTGTTTTCAATTTATTGCCTTGTCTATTCTAACACCCACCATAACACCCACCGTAATATTGATAGTAGAGCCATGACGGGCGGACCGTCGTCAACGGGTTGGATCTTGCGTGATTAGTCTTCAAACGGACGTTGTTACTGGAATGGGACACGTATGACTTTGCGAGTGGAGGCAGAAGTCTGTTGCTGACGCCATCGTTTCCACCCACGAGAAGGCAAAGCTGTACTTGAGAGTGAAACGGCGAGGTTTTCCAGAGAATACACAATGCCGACATGAAAATTTTGAAGAGAGGACTCTTGTTTTCGACTTGGGGGGGGGGCAGACTTTGCTTATCGCCGATTTGATTTCAAAGCGTCAAGGTATCTCCGCCCAAATAGACAAAAGGCCCCACTTGAGATCGGCTCCGGGTGTTGGAAGACCATGGGAAGTTGGTCGAGGTAGTTAATGTTTTTCCGAGTGTTTATAATTATGTTTCGGGATGTAGTTCAAAATGTGCGGAACAGTTTCGGGAATGATCACTAGCCGTCCGCAGCCTTGCCGAACGCCGATGTGTATTTTAGAGCGTACGTCATGCTAGTTCTCACGCCGTCACGTGGCGCTGGAGTGAGAACCTAATGTCAAGTGCAATCACACTTGCGCCTCTGTGCGTTTGTGCGTGCTGTGTGCTGCTTGCTAACATTGAGAGACAGCTCTGAACATGTGTCTCAGTGAGAGTAGTTTCACGTTAATGGCAAATAACACTGAGAGACGGTGTCCGCGCAACAAGCATCGAGGCGACACTTGCAGGGGAAAATAACAACGTAGAGGGCTGTATAAGAAGCAACAATGACCCGGACCATGGAAACTCTATGGTTGGTTCTTTGCCCGGTCTCTGCCAATGGCTGCAAAGATTCGGGTGGATCTCGGCCAGTGTGGCAAACACGAATATCCTGCAGCCGTGTCTGGTCTAAATTCGTTGTGACGCAAATTTGCCCCTGGCAATCAAAGTCTTAGTTCATAATCTAATACCAAGCGTGTGGTGCCACATGCATAATGGAACAGAAGACGCCAAGTGAATAAAATGGAAATAAAATAGAATGCAAGAAATAAAAATTTAAGAAACCCTTCGTCCCAATACTTTTTGTTTTGGCGTGGAATACGACGTTTCATCATCATGAGCATGAAAATGAGAGTGACCAAGTGACAAGAGAAGGAAAAAGGCACCCTTTGTACATGAACGTAAAAGACGTGAGAACATGATCGTGGAGGTAGACGACGAGGGAGAGAGTGTGCGACAAAAAAAAGGAAAGATGAAATGAAACGACTCGTGAGCACGGTACGGCCTACTCCTTTCTGCGCCAGTTGGTCGAGTCCAGCGACCGCAGCGGGCCGTCGTCCTGCCGCTTGCGGTAGCCGTCGCCGCCGTTGTTCCGGTCGCCGTTGTTGTTCCGGTCGCCGCCGCCCCGCGACTGGTACTCATGCCGTAACCGCCCACTGTCGGGCGCACCGCGCGCAATCGACACCCGCAGCGTGTTGCCCTCCTCGCCGTACGGCGTGCCGTTGAGCGCCTCCATGGCCTGGCTCGCCTCCTCGGCCGTCTCAAAGTCCACAAAGCAGTAGTTGCGGCCCGGGTACGTCTGGTTCGACTCGCGGTCGCGCGCCGTGATGCGCTTGCCAATGGCCGTGGGCGCGAAGCCCTGCAGCAGCGCGCTGATCTCCTGCTGGTTCTGCTCCTGGTCCACCATCGGGCCGAGGTTGCCAATGTACAGGCGCTTGCCGTTGGGCGCGTCGCGGTTGTTGTTGTTGTTGTTGTTGTTGTTGTTGTAGCCGCCGTTGTAGCCGCCGTTCCGGTCGCCGCCCTTCTTCCAGTCGCCCCAGCGGCGGTCGTCGCCGCTGCCGTCGGCGTTCGTGTTCGCGCTCGCGCTGGCGTCGCGCGACGTGCCCCAGCGGTCCGCCGGGCGCGCATCGCGGCGCTGGCCCTGCTGCTTGGGCTGGCAGGGGCCCACCTTGAGCGGGCGGCCGCGCACCGTGGCCACGAGCGAGTTGAGCGCGGTCTCGGCCGTCTCGCGGTCGTTAAAGTCCACAAAGCAGTAGCCCGGGTTGCGGCCGCTGACAGGATCAATGGAGACGTGGATCTGAGCGAAGTTGCCGAAGCCGTGGTCCTCGAGCGCCTGCTCGATCTCGTTGGGCTTGGTGGCGTACAGAAGGTTGCCTGGGGGAGAGGAGGGAGCGATGTTAGCAAGGGGTCATTGTCAGTCGCGGCTGGCGCGGTCGGGAAACACGGAGAGAAAGAACGCACCAAGGTAGATGCGGCGGCCCTCGGCAATGGCGCCGGTCTGCTCGTCGCGGTGGTTGGGGGAGTCCATGGTGACTGTGAGGCTGAGGGGAAGTGCCAGAAAAGTCGACAAAGGGGAAGTCGGTAAGAGAGAACAGAAAGGACTCTGGGCGGAGTGGCGGAATGGCGACGGAGAAGTTGGTGAGACCCGTAGGGTGGAGGTGGCGACGGCGACGGCGACGGCGACGGGAGAGGGGGGAGCTGAGGAGGGAGGTCGAGGTGAAGGTTGAGGTCGAAACGGTGAGACGTACGCAAAAGTACGGGACAGAAAAAAATCGAAAAATACAAAGGGGCTAGACGCGCCTCTACTCCGTAGGCGGTTTTGTTCCTGGCGGGATGGTGGGCTGAAAATAAAGTGGGGATATGTGAAAATTGGCCATCCACTTCCACCGATAAACAGAGCTAGTGCCGAACGGTTAGTGGTGATTGTTACAACGATATGTCTTAAAACAGTATGCATTAAATGTAAACGTAGTATTGATTCGTGTGAACGTGCCGAACCTAAAGAGCTCTGAAACGCGAAACCCTTATTTTAAATCTTAGCTCCTGGCCGTTCCTGGAACACAACAAACTCATACCCCCGATTCACGAAAAACAATCGCATTACGAACTGCCTTCGTCCTTTCAGCCCGTCCAATCCAATGTCGTGGCCAAGTCCTAAGAAAAAGGAACTAGGAGCGATTCTAGGCATGGGGGGGTCGTGTCTTGTCTCGTACATCGACGAGTGGACTGTTTACAAGAGCTATGAGGTTTGGGTGAATGGGGTACGGAAATCCCACTTCATAGGGGAACACGTCGACAACAGCGTACGCGAGGACAGTATTACACGCGAGGCGCAGGTGTATAAACAACTAGGCCAACACCCTCAGATCCTCCACTTCTATGGTATAGAGGAAATCGCCCCCAGCGTGCACGCACTGCGTTTAGAACGGGCTCCATTAGGCTCTGTTCGTGGATATATCGAATCAAATCCAAACACACCGCCGTCTCACCTCACGCGGATACAGATGAGTCTCGACGCAGCTCGGGGACTCGCACACGCTCACGACAGATGCGTTCGGCACTACGATTTCAGTTGCCGAAATCTTCTTCTCTTCGACGGTTTACGAGTGAAAATTGGGGATTGGGGTGGGTCTTTGATCGAAGGCCACGAAACATTGTCAAAATGCGCCACGTGGGAGGAAATGCAGTATGAGCTGCCATGCCGGGGGCGGGACTTTGATGATCGGCCTGTTCTTAATCGGGAACTGTTTGCACTGGGATCGGCCATCTATGAAATGGTGGCCTGGAAACGACCATTTCATGGCGTGCCGGACCACGAGGTGGAAAAACGATATGCACGCGACGAGTTTCCTTGTCTTACAGGTATAGTTGTAGCAGAGACTATTTCAAAGTGCTGGCATGAGCAGTACAGTTGTGTTGATGAAGTCATTCGGTCATTGAATGAACAACAGGTCTTGACGGGCCGAACCTTTAACGAAAATGGGGTAATAATAAGTGCCCCGTGGTTAACGTAGTATAACATCCACGAACATAAGTAAGTTGTAGCGGACCACTAAAATAAAAGAAGTTTATTTTCATACGATGACTTAGTTATGATGAAAAGAGAATTAAAGAAATAAAACAAAGCCTAGATTATATCACGCACGTAATAGATATCAAAAAAATTATAAACAATAAATAAAATGGGTTATAATATGATTTGTTACAATGCACCAAGTACACGTAAAATTAAATTCGGTTAAAGAAATAAACACACGATTGCTGCCGCGTGGTACCCATATTGTTTTTTCTGACCTTTCATTTAGTCTACAACTACTGAACCTCTGGTTGGGGGGGATGTCGGGGCAATTACGCCGGCTTCCGATACATGACACCGCCGCCCGCCTGGTGGCTCGGGACAATCATGGCATCGGCAACGACCACGTTCTCACGGCGGCTGGCCGCGAAGACAATGACCTCGGCAATGTCCTCGGGCGTCAGCGGCTCGACATTGGCATAGATGGCGTCGGCCTTGGCCTTGTCGCCGTAGTGGCGCACCACGGAAAAGTTGGTCTCGACCTGGCCCGGGTCAATCTCGATGACGCGGATGCGCGTGCTCACCAGCTCCATGCGCAAACTCTCTGTAAAGGAGCGGATGGCGGCCTTGGTGGCGCAGTAGATGCCGCCGCCGGCGTAGGGCTGGCGGCCGGCGGTGCTTCCAATGTTGATAATGTCGCCGTGGCCGCCGTCGGCGCGGGCCTGGAAGATGGGCAGGACGGCCTGGGTCATGTTGACGAGACCGGTAACGTTGGTGTCCCACATCACGTTCATGTCCTCCTCGGCAATGGCCGGTGCGCGATCGAAACCACGGGCGAGGCCGCTGCGGATGTGCAAAGGTGAGCGGCGAGCTGACTTGAATGGCATAAACTCAATGGGAGAGGGGGACCCACGCATTGTTGACGAGGACGTTGATGTCGCGGTATTCTTCTGGCAGCGACGGGACAAAGTTGCGAACAGCGGCAGGGTCACTGACATCGAGGACGACGGGCAGGACGTGGACGGTCTGGTTTGCAAACTGCTTTTGAAGCTCGGCAGCCACCTCTTGCAAGACGTCGAGGCGGCGCGCAGTCAGAACCAGGCGGATGGTGCTGCCCGGGCCGGCAATGCGGGCAAACTCAAAGGCGGTGCTGCGGCCGATGCCGGAGGACGCGCCGGTGATGACAATTGTCTTGCCGTTGATGCGTGCAGAGGCCATTCTCTGGGATTGTGCTTTGTTTCGGTGATGGGTATTGGTTGGTCAATGTAATCGTCAATTTGGCATTAAGGTGAAAGTTCAACGGTTAACGGAAGTTGAGATATCAAGAAGCTAGAGGATAATGGACCGGCCAATCCCCGCATCGAGACGAATCCACCTTCCGTGACTCACTTGCTGGTCCGTCCATCCCAATGGCCGTCCCAATGGCTGTCCCATTGGTCGGCGTCCAAAAGTGATTCCATTTCAGATACCATTTCGTCTCAATGAAATAGACAAGTATTTTCAGCCAAAAAAGGCACAAAAATTCTTGGTTTTGCTGAACGCGCCTGTTTGTGAGCCTCTAACCATTGCCACCGCCATACTTGCAAATTCCCCACAAGCCTGTGCAACTTGGTTGGCCGAGGTGGGGCTTGGTTCCCCGACGTGCCTTGCGTCAACAACGATGGGTTCTTCAGTTTTCGACGTCGTCGGCTTAACCTGATAGTTTTTATTAACATATATACTGATTTATATTTTCGAGGCCTTACATGGCGTATAGTACGATTAAACGTTTTGGCTGCTTGTTGGAAAACTTACGCCCCATTGATAACTGTGCCACATTTCCGGGGCACGCGCATGCAATTTTGAATATGTTTGTTGCAAAGAGCACGGCAACGTTCGCGATCATTGTGAAAGGCATCTCCGTGGTTTTGCAATGTTGGCCTCAGCTTGTCTATTGTAAGTTTGTCTAAAGGGAATCTATCCTACGATGACAAATAACTTTGTCTTACGAAAACAAATCAGCAATAGAAGGCATCCGAACTTTGTTCCATTTAGACACGGTACATCCCTGTCAGAATTCAATAAAAAGTTCGGTTCAAGCTTTCCTTGCTCGACATCTGCCGAAATGCAATTGCATCTAGAACGGCAATTCGGACGTTTAGATTTAAACATTGCGGCTGGCCATACAGCCGGACAGTTCCGTTCAATTTGACGGTGGATGCAATATGTAGACTTTTATCCGACCTTTCATCTTCCAGCTATCAAAGTCGGGGTAAGTTGACTTTGATAGACTTGGGTGCCAATATACCAAAATAACGCAAAGGCCATGGGGACGATAGACAGCGACATAGATACAAAAGGACAGTAATGCCCATACTTGGCATTGCGCCGTCCGTTGTTTCTTTCCCCAGATCAAGTTCAGACTCTTTGTATCTCGCCAAAAAAAAAAAAAAGCTCGCCATAATGCTCGTCAAATCTCTCGTCGCTGTGGCCGCTCTGGCTGTTGGGTAGGTTTCATCGCTAGGAGTTGACTTGCCGCCAAGGAGCACTGCTAACAAACCAGCATCAACGCCGCCGCGCTCCCCGCTTCGCCTGCTGCCGCCGGCAAGACCTTCAAGTTCCAGATTGTCGACCCCAAGAAGGGCAAGTGGTTCCTGGCCGACGCCACGGGCGCGGGCACGCAGGACCAGACCAAGGCCTTGGATTGCCAGCTCGCCGGTACAGCGAATGACGTCTTGACTTGTGGCGGCAAAGCTTTTGACAAGTACCCCAACTTTGGAGACATGTTCCAGATGGAGGCATCGCAGCCTGTGGCCAGCGGGTCGACGGGCTGGTCGATTGACAGCGACAACAAGGTGCACTGGAACGCCAAGCCGAAGATCAACTTTGACATCGGCATTGGGTCGGAGACAAACCTCTGGGCAGAGACGTGCCCGGATGCCCATGGCCACTGGACGGGCGAGCGTGGATATGCCGTGGCAGTGTGGGTGTAAGTTTAGGTCTGCGTCTGTTTAGCAAATAGAGAGTAGGTAGGATATATTATTTGTTATCGAATTTCGTAACTGACATCATCGACGGAGTGGCGTCGGTGGTATTAAATGATGTTCACACGTCGCATAAGAGAGATGAAGACATGTTTTCAGAGCAGTCGCTCTTGCCTCACCTTTGGTGATTCACGTGTTTATTTGCATTATTCGTCTTGTTTTCTCATCGCCTTGTTAACTGTTGCTATTATCGGTTGTGATTGATTTTGATTGTCGTGAGAACAGAAAAAAGAAAACGCACAAAAAAAGAAAACGCACAAAAAAAATAAAACGGAAGTCGCTTCTCTACTGACTTTGGGACTTTCCGCAGAATCATTTGAAGAAATGGAAGGAGGAACCAATGCTTTCTGTCCAAACATCGCAGTTGCGACTTACAGTCCTGCGCGAGCAGTTGAAAACGGCGAGAGCGACTGGCCGTACTGCATCAAACGGTAAGAGCGACCAGCAGTGGTAGAAGATAGTAAAACGCAGCCAATGGAAAAATATGGTCGAGATCACAAAAATCGGGTTGTAAATCCGAAGAAACAGAAAGAGCTATGCGGCGGCGCCACGTGCCTGCCATCGCATATCATGTTAGCACTCAGCGCGGTCTTGAACGGCCCACTTTTACCACTGCCGCCCGCTAGCGAACTGTCACTGGCCGCCAAAATGCTAACTGTGCTGTTTCAATTAATCGGTCGTTCCTTCCTTCTTTCCCACACGCATCCTCCTTCTTTTTCTCTCGTCACCAAATACTTGGGACGGCAGTCACGACGGCCATGTGACCGAGCACAAAATCCAGTGGTTGCTAATTGCAGAGACAAAAACGCACTCTTATCCAACGCCCATTCGCTCTGCGCACCACCGCCGCAGATGGCAGACACCGGCCGCGGTCCACGATCAGCGCGATCGGCCTCGTCGCGGTCGGCTGCGGCGCGGACGGCAGCCGGGGGATCACCACGATCGTCGCGCATCCCGTCGTGCGAGCCGTGTCGAGTGTCCAAGTTGGCCTGTGATCACGGCCGCCCTGTGTGTGCTCGCTGCTCGCGCAAAGGCGTTCCGGGACAGTGTGTGTACCGCAAAGACCCGTTCAAGAGAGTCAACAATAGCAGCAATGCGCGCAGGAGCAGCGCAGCACAGCCGCGGTCGCAGTCGCATCCCGAGCCACAGATCCGGTCGCATGTGTCGCCGGCGGGTGATTATGACCGTCTGGCACCTCTTCCCGAACTGCCTGCGTTGGCAGACGGGCAACCGCCATTGCAGTTGACGCTGTACCCGAACCCAGGGTTCCAAGGCTCCTCGTCCCTCAACACCATTCTGGACACAGTGGAACACGGCGCGGCGAGCTACGAGGGCGAGAACGAAGACGGCGACGAGAACGAGAACGAAGACCAAAGCGTCAACGCAAATACCAACGGGGAGGACAGCAGTGTCACGCAACTTGGCACAGACACAGCTGCACCAAATCTTGCCGCAGGGCTTGGTAGCGGACACGATCCAATGGACGGCAGCCACGGAACCGACGGACCATCGCCCCTGCAGGGCACGATGCTGGTCATGAGCGGTGCGGCCATGATTGAAGAGGGCGCGCAGGTCTTGGAGCTCCTCGCGCGCCTCTTCACGCAGGGCATCGTGCAGCAGCTGTTTGCGGAGTGGATGGGCAAAGGTCTCGAGGTGCATCTCGGGTCGCTGTTGGTGCGCCCGTTTCTGGACAGTTTTGACCGCGTTCTGGACACCCCGTCGCTCCTCTCGCGCCGCCTCTTTCACGCCACGAAAGTCCCGACCGACGTGGACAGCTCGGCGTCTCTCAACGACTTTGCCGACAAGTACACCGGCCGCAACCTCCGCTGGGAGACGGTGGGCCTGATTCTGGCACTCGCGGGCAACGCCGTGAGCAAGCTACGGGCGCCGCATGCTGTGCTGTACCGCACCGAGCAGGAACGCCACGCCCTCGGCCGGCAGCTGCTGCACGCCAGCAACACGTGCGCGACATTTTGCGAGTCGCTGGACATCTTAAACGATGTGCAGATCATCTTTCTGTACGAGAGCTTCTTGCTCCACTCGGTATACTTTGGACACCAGAGTTTCCGCGTCTGGGGCCGGCTGAACACAGCCATCAACGCGTTGTTCGGCCGCGGCATCCACCAAAGGCTGGAGCGAGATGCACGGGAACGGGACGGCGGGAGCGGCCACGGCCTGCCATTCTTTTTGGTGGAACTGCGCAAGCACGTATTTGCCCTGCTGTACAGCTCCGACATCAACTTTTCCGTCTTTCTAGGGCGGCCACCGCGCATCAGCAAGCGGCACTGCGTCATCCACATGCCCTTGGACGTCAACCCGGAGGCCTACCAACTCGCTGGCGAGGCTCTGGAGGACCACTTGAGGCAGCTCGACGAAGCCGGCTGGAACACGCTCGGCCAGATCCGCACGCACGCCGTCATCCGCTGGTCCATGATTACCTCGCAAATCCGCGAGGAGGCTCTGGAGGCAATTATCGGCGGACACGGCAGCAACGAGCTTCCCGAACGGCTTGCTCTCACCGCATTGCGCACCAAGATTGCCGATGCCTGGCGTGCCCTCCCGTCTTACCTGGCCGTGCCCGCGTGCGAGGTCTGGCGCGCCCGGCGACCCGGCCAGCAAACCGACACGCTGTACCTGATTCGCCTCTACTATCTGCAAACGCTCTTTTTGATCGAGTGGACCGCCTCTGTCCACGGCACCGCCAACCTGGACGCGCTCTTTGTCGTGGCCAGCGACTTGTTGGCCTGGGTCAACGAGGCCATTATCATGCGCGAGCGGCTCAACCGCTTGGGGCTCAACACGCTGGCCTGGCGCGTCTCGGCGTTTGGGCTGCCGGCCGCTGGCGCGCTGGCCAAGTGCCTGCTGGCAAGTGCGTCGACCACCGCCGCGTGGACCGCGTCCAGCGGGGCCACGTTCACCAAGGCCATCCGCGACTTGTCGGTCCTGATTGCGCACATGGACTACCTCTACGACTCCAGCGACGGCAACGACAAGCTGTTCATCCGCGCCAAAGGCATTCTCATTCGCGTCCTCGAGTCCACACTGTCGCCACGCCGACGCGGCCATACGCAAACGCCCACAGCGGCGGCAGCGGGCGCAGAGCCACAGTTGGCACAAAACACGTCCGCGAGCAGTGTCCCCATCTTTACGCCGCCACCGTCCAACGGCAATGCAAATGGGCTCAACAACAACACCGACGCATTTGACCAGGACCAGTGGGAATTCCGACCCGAGCTGTGGATTGGTCTGCCCGGCCCCAATTCGACCGAAGTCAATCACCTGGACTTTATGAGCGACTTTACCCACTTCTTGGACTGATAACACGCTACCCTGTACGATGCGAGCAAATCTCGGGAAGAGACCGGCGTGTGGGCAGAGGAGAGTCATGGGATATCGGCGTTCGGGGTAAGACATCGGAGTCAAGCGCTAAGTGGGATTTCGGAGTAAAGGCACTGTCGGCCACAACACTTTCTCGTTTTGTAGGCTCACGTGAGTGAAACGGTCTCTATTATTGACGAAGACCCTAGAGTGTCAATTAATTGAATATTTCTCTTTAATAGAAATCTATTTCTATGAATTTTGTTCGTCTCGTGTTTATGTTCCAACGACGCGACAGTTGGTTTTAGGACTACTTGTGGGCGTCCTTTCAGTTTCTTCCCCGAACAAATAGCTGCCCAATACGATTGCACATGATTATTTATGCAAGACAAATTTGTAATCATGTAAGAATGTTTTGTTCGTGTATGTACAGACATGGTTTGTATATGTCAAAGCAATAAATATGCAAAGAAGAAAATCCCTTCCATCCTCCTCGACCGGGCCACGGATGGCGTTGCGGAATTTTGTTTCACTCGAGTCTTGTTGGCCATATCTCACTTAACAAGCAGCGCCGCGGTCGACCGACCCCGGGTCCTTGGGAATGACACCGGCGGCGACGGCGTCCTTGTAGCTCCAGCGGTAGTCGCCGAGCTCCGTCTTCCAGCTCCAGAAGAACCAGCCGAGGTTGTGCTGCTCGTAGGAGGTGACCTGGGCGGCGAACCACTTGGTGTAAAAGTCGGTGTTGGTGCTGGGCGTCCAGTCGGCGTTCCACTGGACCTTGTCGGGGGGGCTGAGGGAGAACTCGCCGACGATGCCGGGGCTGTCGGACTGGCTGTTGTCGTTGCACGAGGCCTGGAGGTAGGCGGACTTGTCGATGGCGACCGACGACCACTTGAGGTAGCGGTGGTCGTCGTAGGCGACGTACCAGCCGTTCATGGACTCGGTGGGGTTGCCGCTGCCCCAGTCGTTGTTCATGACGGCGAGGTGGACCTGGGCGTTGCCGTGGACGCCGAGCGCGTCCTCCTTGGTGTGGACGCGGTCCCAGGCGTTCTTGTAGTAGGAGTTGCGCATGCTGCTGGTCTGGCTGTTTTGCGTCTGCACCGGCTCGTTGACAAGCTCAATCATGCCGACGTTGCGGTACTCGTTGACGGTGTGCACCTGCTCGACGAGGTACTCGAGGAACTGGAGGGCGCGCTCGTACTGGTAGTCGACGTAGAAGCCGGGCGTCGGCGCATACTGGCCCGTGTCGGCGTTCTGAGCGACCTGGGCGCCGGGCGCGCCGTGCAGGTCCAGAACAATGTAAAACCCGCGGTCGCTGGCCCAGCCGACAATGTTCCGGAGGTACGACAGCGCGCCCTGGGGAAAGTGCTCCGAGTCCGCGTAGACGAGCGACTCGTCGAGCCAGTAGCCGAGCGGGATGCGGACCGCGTTGAGGCCGTAGCTCTGCATCTCGTTGAAGTCGTCCTCGGTGATCCACGAGCCCCAGTGGCTCTGGAAGGCGGCGTTGGCGGCGGCCTGGCCCAGGTGCGAGACGCAGTCAAACTCCGAGTTCTGGCCGCTGCAGCCCATGCTCGACCAGGTGTTGCTGGCCATCCAGGGCTCGAGGACAAACTGCGAGCCCAGGTTCACACCGCGCAGGGGCGCGCCGTTTGTGGTCAGCCAGCGGCCCTCGACTGACCGGGTCGTCGTCTTGTTGAAGAGGTTGGTCCCATCACGGGCCTCCATGCGGTGGACATTGTCCTGGGGCAGCCAGGCTTTTGCCACGCCCAGGAGGGACGCGACTGCCAGAGTCGAGAGCGTGTTCACCATGATGTCCCTGGTGAGAGGAACAGAAGAAAATACCAACAATGAAGAAAGGAAGGAAACAGGAGTGGTGGCCGATAGCACAATCAGACAAATCGAGGGACGTTTGTCTCTGCCGCTGTTTTATACTGAGATCGTCCGATGTCGAGCATCCCGTATGTCCTATATTCCGCTGGACACTGGGTGCAAATCGACCGAAGCTGCGATCGTCGCATGTTCACGACGTCGACATCGAGCAAAGAAAACGAGTTAAAATGCAGATCATCTCGTCAATCGGTAAAATCGGTAAAATCGGTAAAACGACCAGACGTGGTCGACGGTCCGTGCTTGGACGATTGGTGGGCATGGGTGCCCTTCGCCCTAAACTGGTCGCTCGGCGTTATTGACCTCAAAATGCGAGAAAGTCAGAGGACGGGCCGAAAGTATGAAACACAAAAGACCGCCCATGACAGGGCCACGACAGGGCCACGACATAGACACGGCGTTGAAATGTGCCGAAGCCGATGCCGTGGAGAGTAGATCAATGCAATGGCGGCATACTCGGAAGCGATTTAGACTTTCGACCCAATCCATGAACGATCGTCGGTCAGGGAAACGCTGTGCGCAGGGTGAATGGCCAAGAGTCGCGATGTGGGATCGATTTGGGACGAGGAAAGCTAAAGTCGTAGCGCGTGTCGATCATGGCTGGACTGGAAAGGTTATCGGGCAGACCGGATCACACATACCTCTTTGAGCTAGAAGGCGGGGGGTGGTGCGGAAGGGGATACGGGGGAAGGCTGCATTGGTTGCATGACACAAGAACCGTACGACGATGGCTTGTGGGCTGTGAGCAAAGCCCACATGAATAAATGAGAGACCAACTGAGGATGACTCGGAAGGATGAGAATGTTGAAGACCATTCAATAAGAGAGGACAAAAAGAATAAACAATGGTGGCGGTACGTACGCTGGAGAGCCAAGAACGGTTGAAACTCTCCACGTGGAGCTTTCATGAGGAGCTGCTGGATCGAGGATAGGACACAAAAGGAGCGGACCCTTGCTAGGGGCTGTGCTGCCTGGCAGGGTGGACGTTGGTGTTGGGCAGCCTAGAAGGACGGGATGGCAACGGCTTTGTTCCAGTTGTCGCCACAGACCAACCACACTTCTCATGGGCAACACAAACATCTGTGAGTTTATTTTCACAAAGAACCCCCGCCATATCATTTCAACGGCAATGACGGCCCATCCCGTAAATCCTCCATTTAAGCATCGACTGTCCATTGGCATTGAGTCATGACGACCAAGATACCCCATTCAAAAATATGGATCTAGGATAGATGGGTCACAAGAGCGGTAGAGCACAGAGTTGACCACCTGGCCGTTGTGTATTTGGAGTATTGCAACATTGAGTAAAGTTGGGTTGCAAGTCAGGAAACGAATTTGTTTTTTTTCTACACATGTACTAAACAAACTGCCCCGCAACGATCAACTTCAGGGCATGCCAAGCAGGGTAGCATATTCTTAATTCCAGATGAAGGAGGTACGATGTAAATCATTCATCTCAAGTGCAGTGTGCAGGTCGTGGGGGGTGCAGATGGCTGGAGAAACGCGGATTGGCGGAGATAAACAGTTGTCCACAAAGTTTGTCCGCCGCACAGCCCTTTTGCGCATATTTCGCTCATTGAAGCTTTCTTGGGACACGGAGTACGGGACATTGCACGTTATGCACGTCTCCTGCTTACTGATAGACATCCACTCGAGAAATGCAATAAAAAGGAGGCAGGGTTGTACTCGGGGGCGGTGGGTGTACGTTGTACCAAAGAATGGGCGAAAGCTATGCATACAACAGAAACGACGCTCTGTTGACCGGGTACAACGTATTATCGTGAGATGCAAAAGAGAGAAGCAAACAGGTTCCAAAAAAAAGAAAATTAAAAAAGCAGACATTTAAGAATCTGACCGACAATAAATTACGATTACACAAAAAGGGAATAGCGCAAGGCAGGATCTAGAACGAATGATTGCCGAAATAAACAGTACGACTGTGATGCTGACATCAAACCCATATTCAGCTAGTACGTAGGATCCAAACACGTACGAATAAACACAGGCCAGTCTCAACGTGTCTAATCCTAGAGAGACCTTCCGCTGCTGACCAATGTGACGGCAAAGCAAATCCATGTGGATACATCGCTCATCGTCACGTTGATATAGGCCATATGTCGAACAACAAAGACGCATGGTCTCGCCGGCGATGCCGAGAAGACACAAATTGGTGACCGACGGTGCAAGGACAAACAACGATAGAGTGAGGAAAACTGACGACAGACAAAACGTGGCCGGAGTTTCGGTGTCGACTCAGTGATGCCGGCTTGCCGACTCTAGATGGGGACACATTTTTGACAAGGTAGCCCGACGACGGATCGAGTGACGCGGGATATCTGCGAGATGAGAAATTATAGCATCGTGGAGGATTTCTCTGCCGTCCGTGGGCAACGGGCTCTGTCGTCTGTAATCAGTCTGACTGCCTCTTGTCCGTAAATTACCTGGAATATTGTCGTCAGCTGTGCTCCGTAGCACTTTTGTATAAATCTGTAGGTTCTCCGCTGACATACAGACTCCTTTATTCATATCTCATGGAATACCCCCAGAATCAACAAGATCCCACTCCATATCTCACCTCACAGACCAGCTGGCCCCGACACCACTTTCCACAATGATCAGGGCACTTACTGCCCTCTCCCTGGCCGGTGCGTCGCTGGCTGCCAGTGTCCCTGCCACGGTTCCTGCCGGCGTCCCAGCGGGCTCCCATTCGCGCCCCAAGAGTCTGCCCTTCCCAGACATTGCAGCCATTACGGCCAACACGACGCTGCCCAAGCACAGCCATGTCGGCCTGCAGCGGGACCAGCCCAAAGGCACTACCGCCTCCTCGTCGCGCCTAGGCCGCCGCGACGACTATTGCAAGACGCATGCCTGCGTGGCGTCGCCCACGCTGACCTGGGGCGACGCCGACAACGGCGGCAAGGGTATCCACATTACCAACGCGGGCAGCGACTGGCGCGGCTTCTACATCTTCCAAAACTGCTGCGACCTGGTGCCGTACAAGTACATTTGGATCGCCGCCGGCGAGACGCAGTTTGTGACGCTGCCCGGCGACTTCCAGGGCCGCATCCAGCGCGGCGTCGACAGCACCATGCTCAGCGGCCAGAGCAACCTGCTGGGCACCTGGTTCGAGTTCAGCTGGGACGCCAACGGCGCCGGCTGGGCCGACATCTCGCTGATCCGCGGCTGCGACGGCGCCGCCCTCATCTGGGACACGGACAACGGCAACGAGTGGATGGGCTTCACGCAGTGGATCCTGGACGGCGCGCCCACGGGCGCCTACGACATGAAGAACGACGGCCAGTGGGTCCTGGCCGCGTCCGAGGCGCTGGGCAACCCGGCCGACGTCAACACCCTTGTGCGCGACTGGTACATCCAGCAGGTCGGCACCGACCGCGTCTATGTCGACGACTGGCACGGCAACGGCGCCGTCATGGAGTCGCCCACCGGCCGCATCTCCTCGTACTGGCCCGAGGGCCGTGCCTAAGCTGTTGCCGACCTCCGCACGAAGTTCACCTGTCGTCGATGAGGCTGGGCGTATCGAAGACATTGGCTAGCCGTTTTTGGATTCGTGTTGAAACCCTCCCCGTGTCTGGTGTTTTCACTAGTTTGTAAAGGCGGGTATCAGCGGGAGGGGACGTGCCGAGTCGGGCACACGGTCCAGACCTCGAGTGAATTTTGAAAATGGAAGAGACCAGGTTCCAAAGTAGATACTCAAATGGTCCCTCGTTGGACAACGAGAACGCAAACAAAGCAGCAGCGTAATCGCGTATATTAAACGTTTACTTTTCCATAGTAATGATTCTATTGGGAGAGATTAGCCGTTGCCTGCCAGGCGCGGACTAGTCAGTAATGGATCAGCACACTCTCATCATGGCCGGCCCCTCGTATTGGCGACGTGGCAACCGTTTTTCGAGCCACTTCTGCCAGCGATGCTACGGCCATGCTTGCCGGCCATGCAATATTATGTGACTGTCACGTGGTGTAGCGCTCAAGAGGTAAATCCTTTAGCAAGCGGGTTTTCCAAGAATACGTTAGTGCCCGAGTAAATTCTCTCGTCTTTTTCACGTCAAGGTTTTAGCCACGCTCGCACCCACTCCCAAAACGCGATGAATCACCGGAGTCGTGCTCTCAACGATGCTGTGCGGGAGATCAGCAATACGTCTTGGTTAATTGCTGGTGAGCTTGTGCTCTCGCTGACAGAACAGCCGCCCGTTGACCAACCATCCTGGAGCGACGGTAACAATTCATTTTATACTATTTCTAAACCCGCTTGTCCCTCAAACTCCCGACCAATTCAAAACACAAACAACCTTTACAAAGTCTACGATGCTGGCGGTATTTCAACCGTTTGGTGCGCGGGAGAAGCTTCTATTAAATTGACAAAAATCACTCAACGAGAAGCTACCCGAGAACATATTACTTTACGTTTTCTCCGCGAAAAGGGCCGTTTAGATTTTAACATCCCGGAAGTCTATTACTATGGCGAATTCGGTGACTTGTATTGTATCGTGCTTAACAGAATTCCTGGTCTGACACTTGTAGAAGCCTGGCCCACATTACCGGAAGTGGTAAAACAACGTTATGCCCGTCGAATTACCAACATATGCGACACGTTAACAAGGTGGCAAGGCACGCGTATTAGCGGCGTGGATGGTTGTCAGTTACCTGATGTCTTTTCACGAAACGGAACTCCGACAAAGACTATTCTCCTAAACACTTACGGGACAACTACGAGGATTTAGATATAGATTGTATATATCTTCGTTTTTATCACTGTGATCTCGGCCCGGGAAATATCATCGTTAAGACGATGGGAAAAACAATACAAGAACACGAGGATCTACAAGTTAGAATTCTTAACTGGGAAACTACTGGTTTCGTCCCCAAAGAATGGGTTCGCACAAAGTTTTGTATATCTAGTAAGACGGACCTTCCAGTGGAAGACGAAATTGCATGGTGCGATTGGAGAAGACGGGTATCCCGGGAGCTGCAAGGCTTGGGCTTCAAGAAGGTAGCGGACTAATGGATGGCATGGTGGAGCTCGTCTTGAGTTGACCATTCTGTTAGGTAAATAGTTGATCTATGTATTGAGGAGCCGGCCTCATCGTACACTCGCGGTGGCATCTTCGTGTTGATGTAGTTTATGTTTTGGGAATAAAGCCGTTAGTCGTTGGTTCTGCCTAAAGGCGGTGTAATATAACCCAACCAAAGTAGTTTGTCCCACCACGTCAAGTAAGGCTTACTGCTTCAACTCTTCTCATCACATTCACGACTTGCCACAGAACATGACTGCCCTATACGAGCGCACCTGTTACGGACAAAAGACACGATTAGTACCGTTACTTTACCTTGGTCGCTTATTTTCTTGTTTCTCGCTGCCATGGCTGGATACATCCAGCAATTTTACAGCCTCAAATGCAAGCCTTTCCTCCGAGACGACCCGACGGACGGATCGCCGCCCTGCACAAAAGCGGATTTTAAAGAGCCGCGTCTCGGCAGGTGTCCGTTTGATCTGAAAACAGTGAACTGGGAAACGGCCGAGGTCCTGGGCGCCGGGGTGGACGGACATGTCTGGCGGGTGCAATTCCAAGGCAGCGACACATATTACGCCCTCAAAGTTGTAAGTCGGCTGTTATACTTTATTCCTTTACCCCCACCGTTTACACCCGTTAACCCCCCAAGTTTTGGGTCAATAAACCACAAAACAACCGGGACTATTTTGCGTTGCAACGAGAGTGCCAAAACAATGCGCTCCTCCTGATGATCAAGGCTGCCGTAGAGGACTCAGACAAGACAGCGGAGCCAATTGTCGTTAATAGTCATCCAGAACAACTCTATGACGCAAGACGGAATCTCCTTTCATTCTCTGATGAATATCGCCAGCGAGCGAAGGAAGACACGCTGCGATGGGCTACCGGACTCGAAAAGGAGCAAGAGCATGTCGTGCAAGCTGAGCAAGCTGAGCAACATTGGTATCCCCAAAAGCAGCTTGACTTAACTGCCAACAACACTGTCAAGGCCCACAATGTCCCTCCTCTAGTCAAATGCTTCGGCTGGCTACATTTCAGCGGCCAAGAGCTTCTCAAAATGCCACTTCGGATCCAGCCAAAGCAATATATACGAAAGAACACCATGCGGCAGCTGAGCAAAGATGAAGAGTACACCGCCATCTTGTACGAGTACGTTCCCCCGGGCGAAAGTGCAGAGGAAGAACTGGGGAGAGCATTGTGGTTCTTCTATCGTGTGGGTTTCTGTGTCAGCTCATTCTCGCACCGAGGAAACTGGCACCAGGGGAAGCTAATTGATCTCTCCGACCTCATCTCTCCTTTTGCTCTCGGGTGGTCAAGGCACAAATGGACCGCTCTGTCTATACTCAATGATTGAGCGTCGTGACGATATTCCTTCAACGAAGAAACCACCTACGCCTTTCATTGTTATCGTTGTGCGACGGCTCCCTTATTACTGGATATCCGGTGATACATTGAGGTTTATGTCTAGGGAATAAAAGGACACGCTCTTATTACAAGATTGAGGCTCCCAAAGGGTTTCCTTCTAGCCTCTTGCCTGCATATTATATTTGCAACCCTAGGTCGATACAAGGGACGTTCGTATCATCAGTAACGTTATAAACGTGATTCTCTAAAACGTAGAGGCAATAATAAAAGCATAAGCCATTTCGGAGCCACTCTACTGTATATGGACCGGGTTTCAGTGTTGTTGGGGCCTTGTTGCATTATAGTCAAATTTAATATTAATGTGTTGTTTGCCTACGGAGTACGTCGGTACACATAGTTTTGGTTTACTTTCGCAGTTAGCCAGTAGCTTTTTATGGCCATGTCGTCTCGATTGTGATATCAGCTGCACTTTTATGAGCTTAATCCCCTTGGAAAATATGCCATTGACGAGTGATGGTGTTTACCGGTAGTCTGGGTCAGCTCGTGTTCCCGTATTCTCGAGTGGTGTGGAGAGTCATGAGATGGAATTGTTTGGAATGAATAATGTCGGAGTGGTTATCGGAGTGGCATCGGAGTGATTTATCAGGACCGGAGTGAGTTGGTAAAGTGGACCCACATATGCCAATGTCGGAGTAAACTAAGTTCAACTTTTCTGCTCACTTGCTCGGCAGTCTCCACCGTCGGAGATAAAAGAAAAAAAGGAGACGAAAGGTTTGATCGGCAAGCTTGTGTTTTTGCACTCCGTCCGTTGTTCATAGGTACATTGCATTTGGCCGCCATGATTCTGTCCCGCTGTTATGTAAGACCGCGTGCGGTGTGAAATATCGCGTCTCACTTGCATCATAATTTTCGAGGAATATCCGACTTGTTTATATCGTTATTTTCTTTATCTTGACATTCTCTCCTCCGGTTGTTTCTTTTGGCGTTTTTTTCTCGTTATTGCAAGTTCGACGGCAACGTCTTCCTACAACTCCCTCCGGCGACAACCTCCACAATGACCTCCGATTCGCTGGCGTCGCTGGCGGACCTACAAACAGAGCAGCGGAACGCAAAAACCGCCCAGATCGATACCGTCTCCACGCTCGAGTTATGTCGTGCGTTTGCCTCTTCTGCACGGACTCGGTCTTTGAACGAACAGGTACTAACCCCCGCAGAAATAATCAACGACCAAGACCAGGGCGTGGCGGCCGCCGTCAAGCTGTGCCTCCCTGAGATTGCGCGGGCGATCGATCTCGTCGTGCCGCGCATCGCCACCGGCGGGCGTGTTGTATACATTGGCGCCGGCACGAGCGGCCGTTTGGGCGTCTTGGACGCCTCGGAGATCCCGCCGACGTTTTCCGCGCCACCCTCGCAGTTTGTCGGCCTGATTGCCGGCGGCGACGGCGCGCTGCGGACGGCCGTCGAGGGCGCCGAGGACTCGGAGACGCTGGCGGCCGAGGAGATTGCGGCGCGCCTGGAAAGCCAGCCGCTGGGCCGCAACGACGTCGTCATTGGCATTGCCTCGTCCGGGCGCACGCCGTACGTGCTGGGCGGCCTGCGGTACGCCAAGTCGGTGGGTGCGGCCACCGTGGGGCTGGCGTGTGTGCAGCCGAGCCAGATGCGGGAGACGGGCCTGTGCGACGTGCTCATTGAGTGCGTAACGGGGCCGGAGGTGTTGACGGGCAGCACACGGCTCAAGGCCGGGACGGCAACAAAGATGGTAGGCCAGGGCATGCCCATCGATGCCCCATCGCATTTTGTTTTCGGTGTCCGAAGACGCACGCCGCTAACCAACAGATCCTCAATATGATCTCGACGGGATCCCAAGTCCGGACAGGAAAGACGTTTGGCAACCTGGTACGTCTTCCTTGCCGCCGCTGTCTCGCCGACTGTGTAAACAACCGCTAACCGTGCAGATGATCGACTTACAAATGTCCAACGAAAAGCTGAGGGACCGGGCACGCCGTGTGCTGCGCACGGTCGTGTCACCAGCCGGTATCCTGGCCGCACACAGGGTCGACGAAGACGCCGAAGTTGACAGCCTTTTGGCGGGCTGCGACGGCAGCGTCAAACTGAGCATCCTCGTGGCCATGTCTGGCTTGTCACCGGACCAAGCGCGTTTGGTGCTGCAAAAAAGCGGCGGCATGCTGAGCAAGGCGCTGCGGAGTGTTGACCAGCAAAAGATCTAGCGAGCATTGGAGCGGGATAGACTGAGAATAGAGCCAAGCATTGCATTGTTGTACCATACACAGTATCTTAGTTTCAATATAGAGTGACATGATTCATTTATTCATTATCGTATTGTCTATTCTACACGATGGCGCTGACTTGCCAGAAACCGAGCACCTTCCAGGGCTGGCGACTGGACATGCGTCGTCCATTGAAACTGGACGTTTCGTCTTGCCAGCTCGTCTCGTACCATGTTGCTGTAGGTTTTGTGGCACAAGAGCCCACCCGCCATGATAAGGGCTGTCTCTGTCGTGTTTGTATCCAGGTTTTGCACACGTAGTAATTCCTCCACCAGGTCAGCCAAACAGGCCGCGCCCTGCTCGAGGATCCGTCGTGCCTGGTCATCTGTGTCGGCGAGTGACAAGACGATGCGTGCCGCTTGCGCAATCGTTTTCGTTGGAGAGGACGAGGTGTTTGCTGAAGGTGGCGTGGATGCCAACGGCGTAGGCGTCAAAATACACGACAGAAGGTCTCTCGGGTGAAATCCCGTGCCTATCACTTCCTGTTGTTCTCGAAAGTAATCAAAGACGGCTTGACTTAATGCGGGTATGCTTTTGTCGTCACTCTCGTCATTGGTCCACGCATCACTGGTTCGTAGAGCCACACGCAAAGCATCACGGCCAATGGAGAAACCGGCCCCGTCGTCACCGAGCAGTGGACCCCAGCCGCCGACTCGTCCAGTGCGTGCAAGCACTGTGTCGTCACCGTCGGCATCGCTCTCCTTCCGTCCATAGCTCATGGACACCGAGCCCGTCCCCGCCACGAGGACGATGGCCGACGGCGCGTGCCACTGCGTCGCGTTGACGGCGAGAAGGTCAATGTCGGCCGTGATGCGCAGACGAGGACCCAACGGTAGCTTGAGGAGCTGCACCATGGCTGCATCCAGGACCGGCGCAAGTGATGGCCGGTCATAGCCCGCAATTCCGATCCATGCTGAGGTGATCTGTACACCGGCGAGTGTTTCTGCTCGTGGCGGCACGTGGGACAACGCCTCGTTCATGGCTTCTGTGATCACGACCACTGCAGCGTCCACGCCGATGGTTGACGGATTGCACGGCCCGGCTTCACCCACGACGGTTGTGCCCTCCGAGCTGATCAAGACGGCCGTGCATTTGGACCCGCCGCCGTCGACACAGAGGACGTACTGGGGAGACTCGGATTCCATGGTCGTGGAACAGTGTTGTTTTTGCGTATTGTATAGACGGTGAACAAAATTTGGAAAACAAAGCCGATACCAACTTGGAAGAATCGGCCACGACCGTAGTTAAGTTGCCGTTTATGGATGTACAGCACACAATCCAGCGTCGTGGTACGTGGGAGATAACAGTTGGACCCTAGCTCGCTTCACCGGGCTGCATGTGCATGTCGCATTGTACCATGTACCTAATACTTGTGGGATTACCGGCAGTCCACCGAATTAAGATTATTCGTGCCGCAGGAACCCGCAGCAGCCGGAAGCAGAAAGCTTCGGGGAGAGCTGACAATAGGAGAGCTGGGGAATGGAGCGAGGGACCGAACCATGGAGACGGAGAGAGAGTAGGAGGAGACGACCTGGAGAAGAGAGTAATCTTAGGTAACGAGAATGGAGAGAGTGTGGGGAGGAACCATGGAGAGATACCGAACGTGTGCATGCCACGAGACTTGGACCTGCAACAGGCACCCAGCGTCAAGGAGAAAACCGCCAGAGCCTGCCAAAAACGTGCAAAGCTGCCCAAACGAGTTGGCGTGGATATCCGCACAACCCGTAAAAAACGACTAATCGTCGGAGAGAGTCTCGGAGTGGATTGCCAGGCCCCACTCCGAAGCGCTATCAACGACAAAGTGCGGAGTAGTGTGACACCTTGGCAGGGAGACACTGAGCTTTTGCGATAACCGTGTTTTTTTCCCCATGTTTTGAGGGACGACGTTTCGTTTGTGACCCATGCTTTTCGCGACTCCGCGTCTTTGGACCCTTTATCAGGCGACATGCACTTGATATTTTACTTATATATGATGTGGTAACCGTCGCCGCCGATCTTTGTTTCCTTCTCCCCTTCTTTCATCTCCACAGCAGAGACCCGGAGCCTCGTTTGACCTTTCCTCGTTTCTTTCACACATACACACTACCATGGACAAGAATACACACGTCGACCCTGTGGTCGACCCTGCCGTCGAACCTGCAGCCGAGGTGCAGCCATCAAACGACGACGAATGGAGCCCGCACGCTTCGAAACTGGTGCGCTTCTACGCGCATCCGTGGACGCAGATTATCCTCGTCAGCTTCATCTTCTTTTGCTTGCCAGGAGTACGTCTACTCAAACGCACCCTCTTCTTATTGACCCCCACTAACCAACCAACCAACTAACCAACAGATGTATAATGCGTTGAGCGGCCTTGGTGGCTCCGGCCAGGTCGACTCGACCGTCGCGGCCAACGCCACGGTGGCGCTGCTGGCCGCCACCGCCGGCACCGCGCTCTTTATCGTCGGCCCCATCTTCTCGTACGTCGGCCCGCGGCTGTGCTTCATGATTGGCGGCTGGACGTATGCGCTGTACAGCGGCTCGCTGCTGGCGTACAACCACCACAAGAACGGCGCGTTTGTGATTGCGTCGGGCGCCATCCTGGGCGTCGGCGCGTCCTTTATCTGGATCGTGCAGGGCGCCATCATGACCAGCTACGTGCCCGAGGGCCAAAAGGGGCGATCCATTGCCGTGTTCTGGATCATCTTCAACCTGGGCGGCGGCGTCGGCTCGCTGGCGTCCTTTGGCCTCAACTTCCACTCCAAGAGCGGCACCGTCACCGACTCGACCTACATTGCCCTCATGGTCATCATGCTGTTCGGGTGGCTGCTCGGCGTCTTCATCTGCAGCCCGCGCCGCATCCGCCTGGCCCAGCTGCACGCCGCCCTCGAGACCGAGCGCCGCACCCTGCGCGGCACCGTGGACATTGCCGTGCGCACGATGCTGAGCTGGCGCGTCGCCGCCATGCTGCCCCTTTTCTTCTGCGCCAACGTCTTCTACTCGTACCAGCAGAACAACGTCAACGGCTACACCTTCAACATCCGCACCCGCTCGCTCAACTCCGCCCTATACTGGATGGCCCAGATGATTGGCGGCCTCGTCATGGGCTGGATCCTCGACATGCCCGGCCTGCACATCTCCCGCCCGACGCGCGCCCGCATCGGCTGGGCCGTCCTGTTTGTCACCGGCATGGTCATCTGGGGCGGCGGCCTGGCCTTCCAGCGCTGGGCCGAGGCGCGCCTGGCCGCCGGCCACAAGCAGGACATTGACTACACCGAGGGCGCCCTCGCCACCGGCCCCATCTTCCTGTACATTTTCTACGGCGCCTACGATGCCCTCTGGCAGAGCTTTTGCTACTGGCTCATCGGCACCGAGTCCAACAGCGCCGGCCGCGCCGCGGTGCTCGTCGGCGCCTACAAGACCTTCCAGTCCACCGGCGGCGCCATGGCCTGGCGTATCAACGCCCTCGGCAAGTCCGGCATGACCCAGTTCATCATGGACTGGAGCCTCTGCATGGGCAGCCTGGCCATTGCGCTGCCCACCGTCTGGACCGTGACGGCCCACACGACGCTGGAGCAGGAGGCCGGGTTCCTGCCGAGCGACACGAAGGAGGTGCCCCACGAGGCCCATGACGATAACTAACAAGTGGAGGTGACTGTGGCTGTGATACGAGACCGGGAATGTAAACGTTTTTGGTGTCTGGGGACCCTGTAATAAATACCTTGACTGTTCTCAACACGTTACTTTGCATTCGTACGGACGCAGCAGCATGCCGTTTTTTAGCTTCCTCTTTATACTAATTAGCTTAAGCATCAAGATGTTGTCATCGTACCTCTATTTGCCGTGCAGTTCCAAGTCTTGCCGCTGTCGGGTGTCGACATGATGCCGCCAGTTTATTAGACAGTTTGCAGTTATGGTCGTTGCAGGCACGTCCCTCTAAAGGCGCAACACGACCCACCCATTGAGTGACTGGGCTTGATGTTGTCGTTGACATAGTGATCTTGGTCCCAATTCTACGTGTCGTGGACGTGAGCAAGGCAGGCCAAATTGAGGTTATCGATACTATGGAGAAATGGTCGCAAAAGTAAACCGGACAGTCGAAGGCGCTCCTCGTCTAATGTATCCATCCCCTCACAAACACGGCGACCACTTCATGTAAAAGTGGTGGTAGACGGGCAGCAAGCAATGCCGACCCTGACCCGCACGGCGACAACCAGCTGGTCGGGAACGAAGCAGGCCTCGTCAGGGGTTTGACTGTTGCTGACGGACCCACTAATCAGTGGACTGTATCAACATGGCCCAATTGGGCAATATTTATCGGCATCTCCCGACCCGCCGGAACCTAGAATCCACCCGTCGTCGCTCTTTCCTCTTTCTCTTTTCTTCCTGAGTTCAGACAACTCGTTATCGCATCTATCCTCCACATATTGACTTGCATGACTGGGATTCGCCACTTGTTGATAGAATGCCATTCCTACCGGGGCCGACTAGCACCAACAACAATCGTCGACGATTCCACATGTCCGGCTGCTTCAGCGACACATTACCATTTCGACACACAATCTACTCATGGAGTTCCCATTTTTCGACATCAACAGCACGGGCGGCAGATTTTGTGGTTTCTTCACTCTCCATCACCGCATTTCCGACCCGGATGCCGTCCGCCGCTTTCTTTTCAGAGGCACTGCCGCCGGATGGCACCAAGAAGTGGATGCCACTGAGGTGCAAGCGACGCGGCTCTACAAAGTGCCCACCAATTCACCGACAGGTTTTGAGACAGAGTGTGTGGCGCTTTTGCGAGTGCCCTTCAGTTTCAGCTCATGCACCTGGCCGTGCTGCCGCTCCACTCATAAGTCTTTGATGCGGATGCAGCTCTGCAGGGATGTCTGCGGGGTGTGTACAAGGCAGAGACGCAGGGAACGTCGCACGCTGTCAGTTTTTTTGAACACCGTACAACATGGATTCTGATACGGCGACGCGGACATCATATACCTTCTGCTTGACCGGAAAAAGTACTTTGACTACCGGACCAAGCCGCATATGATGGCCCCACCGACACTTGTGACTGTCGGCGACAGGGAAATTTGGCCGCCAGGTATGTTTCTTTTCCTCCCTTTGTGGTCATTTTATCACATTTTACGACCGCCCGCTGAGTGACACTCTGGAAATCCGCGGCTCGTTGCGTACCGCATCCTGAATGCCGAGCTGGTCGTTGTGGTCGATGCCACCCACATGGTGCACATTGAGAAAATGCACGGGTTCTAGCAAAGGTTCTAGCAAAGATTCATAGCTTTTGCACAAGCTGCCACAGTGCACGTTGCGAAAAAAAAAACGCACAGGGTCTACAAATGATTCGTGTCATCCTGCTGGGGTGGATTGGGACCACTTCTGGCGCCGTGGACGTGGGGGCTGTGCCAAGCGTGCATGGATGTATCTCCTGTGCACATCGTGGCCCAACACCGGGCCAAAAATATGACACGTCTGGCTTTGTGCCACTTCTTTCCGCGGTGCAGGATTAGGCTTTTGGGCGGTGTGGTGCGAAAGCAGCGGCGTTGCATGTCGCGCTGAACATTTTCTTTGTCGTTGACGCACGCCAGGTTCATTGGTGGGGAAAACCAAAGTCTCCCCTGGTCCATCTTCGCAAAACACGGTATTATGCACGGGTATAACCGCCGCAAACGGAAAGCGCCTGTTGCGATGTGGTTCTCATTGGGCACGCACCAACCACCAACGAATTGTGACATATCATGCGATCATGAACGCCGTCGCCGCGCGTGTTAAAAAAACTAAATAGGGAGAAAGGCACTCCTCTGACTTCTTTCTCTCGGTTTCCATCAGTCCAACTGCACTATTATTCTTTTCCTATGCTCATCTTCTCCTCTTCTTCATCTTCTTCATCTTCTTCATCTTCTTCATCTTCTTCATCTTCTTCATCTTCTTCATCTTCTTCATCTTCTTCATCTTCTTCATCTTCTTCATCTTCTTCATCTCCTTCATCTTCTTCATCTTCTTCATCTCCTTCATCTTCTTCATCTTCTTCATCTCCACCTTGTCGGTGGTACTCACCATTCATCGTTTCATTCACGGCATGGAGTCACTCAGCACAACCACACTGCGCGATGCCCTCGTGCGACAGAAGCCGTTTGTGCCTTGCACATCCAGACGCACGGGCAACACGAAATACATACCGTGGCCGAAACCCCAAATCCGGGTGTGGTCCGAGTTCAACATCCAGACGCTCAACGACAGCTATGGTCATGTTCTAGATACGGCCCTCCCACGTTACCTCGTGGACAATCTCACAATGCCTGCCGACTTTTTCAAGAACTTGACTGTTTCCGACGATAAAGCTCCCCTGCATTTCATTGGCTGGAACGATGCGACCGTCATGCCTCTCGTCAAGTGGTCCATGCAACACATGGGCCTGCACACCGGCACGGCATTGTTCCACCGGTATACGGACGCACGGGGCACCACGGTGGCCAAACTGCCACAAGCGCCAAACAAGTTGACAGTGGACCATCTTGTGTACCTCCAAAATCCGCATCGGGATACCCTCGTCGTGGGTCTCGGGCGGACGAGCACGAAATGGCGCAGCGTGGCGGCCATGCGCAATCCTGGCGACGCCAGAGGCGAGAATACTTGGCCAATCCGGCAGCTGGCCAATTTGTGTGCGCAGTCGGGCACGCGGTACGGCTACATTCAGACGGACGAGGAGCTGGCGGTCTGTTGTTTCGGCGCCAAACCTCCGACAAGCGACAAAGCGGACACTGGAGCGCGGTGGCAGGAACCACATAATAAGTGGGACGACTGGTCGGTGTCCTTGATGGTCGTGCCATGGAATACGGAGCTATGTGGGAGTGGCGATGCCAGTGGCGGTGGAGCTCGCCGCATCCTCACGACCGAGCTGGCGCCGTGGTGGCTCTGCATGCTGGCGTTGAGCGACGGGCATCGGCCCCTGGTCGAGACGAAGGAAATCGTGGCAATTGATTCATGGGAGCGAGTGTACCTGCACAAGGAGTGCCGATGGGTGCGGCGACATCGCTACTCCTCCTGGGAAGTGCCCGCGGATCCACCGCCGCCTTCGGCTTATGAGACCCCGGAGCCAGGCAACGCAGCCACGTTGGCGGCAGATGTGGGTGCCAACGGACAGAATTGGTTCGATCTTATTGACCCTGCGACAATTGACCTTACCGGTGCCAACTTTGACGGGATGTGGCCGGTGTAGTGCAACGGCAACAGGACGAATTGGCAGTAAATAAGGTGACCGTCTTCATGGGGGTGTGAATTTGTATAGAGGGTCGTCAAGGTGTTGTTTTTCATTTCTTGCGCAGCTGGTTCTGGGATTATCTTTTCCTTTCAATTTCTGGATTTTCTTCATTTCTCGCGCAGCCGGTTCTGAGTTATCTTTTCGTCTCAAGTTCTGCTTTTGTTCAGTTGTCAGTTGCTATTATGTATGACTTTAGCTCGATCAGAGTAAATCAAAAACCTACAAAATACGCTTATAAACTGTGAAAACAAAGCAGAACAAACCATTCAGATTGGCAGCAACCGAAATTATGTTATACTGACCTCGTGTCACGCGTCACGTGATGATTAGTCATATTCTTCATTCATTCTGCATCTATTCTCAACCCGCTCCAAAGTCAACAAAGAGACATTGCGCATTGGACAATGAAAGCACCAGGGCATAAGACGCAAACGGCGACGCCCAAAATAGGATAAAATGCGCACCCGCCCGCCGTCTCTTGCCGCACATTTGGGGAGAATGCAAACTTTGCCAACTTCCTTTCCGCAGAATCTGTATCATTTCAAGTACATTTTTTTTCCCTTCACATCGCTGTCCAACATGTATCCAGACTGGCCTGAGACGGAGGCCGATCTCGTGCCTCTTCCGCAATGCGATGGCCCCAAACTGGCCGCATTTGATTTCCAAGGAAAGCAGCAAATCGAATTTCTCGAGTATCTCGGCGAAGGACTGCACGCGCACGTGGTCAAGGTCAGAATCAAGGACAGAGAGTATGCCCTGAAGCTTGTACGTCCCAAAGTCCGCCCTCCTGTCACGCCTCTTCATCGACTAACGAAATAGTTCCGCTTCGTGTACGATCACGACTGGTACGGCCCTGGTCAAAATGACGAGAACGAGGACCGCGTCAAATTGACGCTCATGGGCCAATACTCGGAGCCGTTCAACAGCGAGTGCCGCGCCTTTGGACGCCTGCACGAGACCGGCCACACCGAGCTGGCCGTTGCCTGCTATGGCTACGTGTTGCTCGATGAGGTCCATGAGCAGCTGCTCGCCGACCGCCTCAATCTCGAAATGAACGGCAACTGTGAGCTGCCTGGGGCGTACGATATGCGCAGCCGTTACCTCGGCGAACGCAGCGGCAAACCACCGCCGATCCGTGGCATTCTCAAGGAGCTAGGCACCTCCATCGAGTGGGTGGATCCGCCGAATCTCACCGTTCGCGACGCGCACCGTATCCTCCGCGACATCATCCAGCTACAGCAGCTGGGCATCTTTTCGCTCGACGTGCGCCGGGACCAGCTTATCAACAACAAGTTTTGCGACTTCAGTGTGGCCATGACGGTGCCGCACTTTTTGACAAACTTTGAGCTGAACCCCAAGCTCGCAGCTGAGCAAAAACGGGCGATGGTGCACGAGGCCTTTCTCATCGCCAGCAACGACTACTGGGCCTTTGAAGAGATGATATACAGCTCGTGCGAGAAGCCGCGCCAGACGTCCAAGCTGCTGGACAGCGTGACCATCTTTCCAGGGGGGAACCTTTTCCACAGAGGACGCGATCGACACCATCGGCTGCGAAGCACCTCGGGCCAGGATATTCGCGTGTACTCGTTGGTGGATCCGAGAAACTACGCCTGGGAGGATCGAGAGGTAGCGAAAACGGAGAGGGTAGCAAAAGTGGCCACGCAAGCGGCAGAAAAGCAAGCCAAAAGGACAACAAAGAAGGCAACTCGAACAACAAGGGTGACAAAGGCGACAAAGGCGACAAAGGCGAAAAGGTCAAACGCGGCCAAGGTGGTGAAGCGTACGCAGGGCCCAAAGAAATACCAGTACAAAATCCCGAGGTGGCCGGAAAAATGGCATTATGACTGCGACCCAAAGATGGCAGCGAAGTTGAGGGACAGTCGAACCCTTGGCACGACAATATCGTGGTATGTCGAGGACAATCTCATGCACCCTTACGGATGGACCTATTTTCGATGATGTTCTGATGCCACAAGACGGATGGAAAGGGCTGGTTTTATATAGCGTGTATATGCCGTAGTTTGGATTCAATAGAAAGGATACGCTTTAAACTGAAATAAGAATAGAGGAAATAAAGGAACAGTACCACGGCGAGGCCGCCACCAAGCTCGACACTGGTAAGCGGATTCTGGTCAAGACAGCCGAGCGGAAGGGGTTGCAGGGAAGTGTGATAGTAATAAAGACGAAACGGAATACGTAGAAGAATCATGAGCCGTGCACATACGTACTCCTGGAAGCGATTAAACTAAACGAGACAGTAATACAGACCGACGGTGATGGTCAGTTTACCGTGCCATAACACCAGGAGAACATGAGCAAAGTTGTCCGTATGCGATATACCGATGCCATAACCAATCTCTGAAGCCGTACTAAGTGGCGTTCGCCCTACCGTTACGGGCCTGTTTATGTTGTACATTAACCTGGATTAACCAGACGGTTTAGCGTCGCAGTCACAGCATCCTTGTCCGAGACAAGCCAGCCCTACTGCGCCAAATGCCAGCGCATCTTCTTCTGAGCCTTGGCAACAGGAAAGATTACTTATCAACACCAGGTCAGGCCCCGATCCCCGTGCGCCCGTGGCGCTCCTCGTGCGGGGTTGTGTGTTGTTGTCATCGTCTTGTTGCAGGCCGGCACGGGCCAGCACAATAGCTATCTGGGCGTATTACAAATACAAGCCGGATGTGTATGAGACACAGTTCCTCGCTCCACAACCCCCGTTGTTTCCTCACGTCCCGGCAACATCATCTTTAGTCGGTCGCAAATCACAAGGCATGCCTGGCACTCTTAATACGTGTTTCATCCAAAACATTGTTGTTGAGACTGACAATCGTTCGCGTCAAAAACAAAGATTCCAAAACCAATCATAGCATCGAGCACACGACGCAAAATGGTATCTGATACTGACACCGGCTACCTGCGTCGGTGCGTTGAGCTGGCACGCGAAGCCCTCGAGGCTGGCGACGCCCCCTTTGGCTCCGTGCTCGTGAATGCTGCGGGAGCGATCCTGAAAGAGGATCGCAATCGCACCGTATCCGAGTCCGACCTGACCCTGCATCCCGAATTCACACTAGCCGACTGGGCTCAGAAGAACCTCAGCGTGGCCGAGCGCGCGTCCTGTACGGTGTACACGTCGGGCGAGCACTGCCCCATGTGCGCCAGCCTTCACGCCTACGTGGGATTGGGCCGGATTGTATACGCAGTCTCCAGCGAGCAGCTCGTGGCATGGCGGACAAAACATGGCGTACCAGTCGGCCCAGTGAGCCCCGTCGCGATCCAGACGGTCGCCCCGGGTGTGGTTGTGGATGGTCCGGCGCCGGGTGTGGACGTGGACGTCTTTAAGCTGCATCAGCTTCGGCGGGACAGAAACGCGTCCAAGTGATGGTCGAACAGCGGCAACACGTCGTCGCTGTATGTGTCTGCGTCGAGCTGCCAGTGACCAAGAATACGTGTTGAATATGTTACTGCTTACTCTGTCACCGTTTTCTTCATTCACCTACTCGTAATTTTTGTTTAAAACAAAAATCAAATAATAACAATATTCATTCACCCCCCGAACGAAAAATAGCCTTTCAACAAGCCCAAAGCGCAGGTAGCTAGTTTGCAACCGTGCCGCCGGTACGCTCTGCCGTGGCCACTTTGGGTTTCATCGTCAGGCATGGAGGCCGCACAATTAGTACACAGGGAAACCGTTCTTTACAATGGCCAGCGCCATCTCCAGCCGGATAAAACCTGTCGTAAATACGAAAAAGGAAAAAGAAAAACAAGAACAATTCCCAAGAAAATCAATAAGAAATGCAAAAGTACAATGCCGACCAACAAACGATGGGCATGGCTTACTCCAGGCTCGACTTGATCGCAGCCGACGCAACCACCTCGACCTCCTCCAGACGATCAACATAGCTGAGAAGCCGCAGGCGCCGCTGGTACATGTTGTGCAGGTCCGTCCGGCGCTGGGCGTCGGCGATGTTGTGGCCCGTGATGAGAATCATCATAAAGAAGGACTCGACGATGCTAGGGGGCACGTTGCACAGCAGCTGGCCCGTCTCGGTCCACTTCATGGCGCTGGAGCCGATGAGGAGGCCGACGACGAAGAGCGCGCCGAGGATGACGGTGATTTCCGACGCGCAGATGCGGCCCATGCGGTCGGAGAGGCGGTAGTTGCACCGGCTCAGGCGGGCGGCGGTGCCGTCCTCGCCGTCCTCCTCGTCGACGTCGGGGAGGCCGGTCTCCACCAAGATGCTCGTGTCTTGCAGGTGCACGCCATAAAAGGCGTCGGCTTCGTAGCCGTTGAGGCGGGCCTGCACGTTGCGCAGGACAAAGCCGTCGTTGAGGCCGACCAGGCCGGCGTAGGTGCCAATCAGCAGCCACCAGTTGGCGTTGAAGCCCATGGCCGGGCCGATGGCCACCCACACGACCATGACGACGACGAGGATGGCAATGCCGACGAGCGTGCCGATGATGTCGGCGTAGTAAAAGATGCACCGCTGGATGCGGCCGACCTTGGGCGCCGGGACGATGACGGTGGGGTTGGGCACGGCGTAGCCGGTGATGGCGCGCAGCTGGAGCTCGATGCGCGAGTCCACCTCGAAGACGACGTTGAGGCATCGCTCCATGTAGGCCGTGTGGCGCTCGCGGATGTTGGCGAGGAACGAGAAGATGAGCACCATGAGCGCGGACGTGGCCGAGTTGATGTACAGCTGCCACTCGTCGCTCCAGCCCATGGACGGGCCGAAGCCGAGCCAGACGAAGATGCCGACCCAGAAGAGGCCGACGGTGATGATGTGGCCCAGGATGCGCGAGAAGAGCGTGGAGACGCGCCCCACGAGGTTTTCCGCGGGGAGGTCGGCGGTGAAGGCGGCCGGGCGCGCGCTGTCAACGTCATAGCGCGACACGTCGGCCGCCTTGTAGCGGCCGCTCTTGAGGATGGCGCGGAGCATGGCCTCCTGGCTCAGGCTGCGCGACCGCAGCGCGGCACAGGCGTGGATCAGCTCGTCGTAGCTGTTGAGCTGCTGGCGCATCAAGAGCGAGTCGTAGATGTAGCTGACAATGGCCTGGACGTCGGAAATCACAATGGCCCACTCGGGCGCGTCGGCAAACGAGATGCCCAGAAAGGCCCAGGCCAGGAGGCCCGTCAGAGTGAAGACAAAAGCGGCCTGCGAGCCAGAGAGCTGCACGACCCGGTCCAGCCATCGATCGAGGCGCCGTCTCTTGGTCAGCGGGGAGAACCCAGTGACATTCTCGGCGGGGCCCGACTCGGCGTGCGACAGCTTCTTTTCGCCCCCGTCGTGGGAGAGGACGCGCTGCGTCGGTGCGGCTGCCTCAATGGCGCCCTTGGCTCCGGGGGCGCGGAGGGCAGCCAGGAATTGCTTGAACGTGAACATGGTCGCGAAGATTATGCGAGTCGCTGCCCATAGCTTATGCACATGGATAAACAAAGGCCAGTTGACGCCTTGTGGTCCTTATGGTGGCCAGATCTCGACTGCCGGGAGGTTTTGGTGGCCGTGGCAGCTTGGCCGTGCGTGTGGCTTGAAGGATGCCAGCGTTGCGGAGGATACGGCAATGTTTGTGTCGGTGACGTTCTCTGCTCGGACGGCAAAGACGATATAACGTAGGGACAAGGAGGGTGCGGATTTGGGTCGACAGAGTGTCTGCTGGGTAAAATCAGAAAGAAGAAGAAAAGAAGAAAACGAGGGGAAAAAAGAGAAGTAGACGTGGAAATCGTCACGTCGCGAATAACTTTAATATATACAGCGTATTTTTTTCTATAAAATTTCATCGCCCTGTTATCCAGCCTGCGCCCAAAATCTAACTTTTCCGACAAACAAGCCGGGCACCGGATTCCCGCAAGGGCCATTGGGTGCCTATCGTGAAGCACCATTCCGCGTGAAAGCGCATCGTACGAAATCTGAAGAAAGTGGCTAAAAGACGAAACGAAGGGGCTAAAGAAACAAAGCTTTTAAATGACTCATAACAAAGAAACGCGATTGGAAGTACCGCGTAGCGACGGTGCCTGCGTTGGGGACAAGCATCGTCCGCAAAGTGGAATAAATACGGCTCGGACTCACGGGGAATGTATTCGTGTACGAGAAGGAAAATCCCCAGAGATGAAAACGCCGCTGGCAGCCTGAGAATACAGCCAGAAGCGCGCCACCCGTAGTAGTCTGTCTAGAACCTTGATGGTATGAAGCGACCAAACCAACAGGTGTAACGGGCTAGCCGGAGACATGGTGTCTTTGTGTGTTTTGTGTGTCTTTGTGCCAAAAGCAGTTGAACGCAGTTGTGGTGTGTTTTTGGGCACAAAACCAACGTCGATCCGCGGCCAACCACGCATGCACCGATGATTTGCGCGAGTAAAGCTTATCACGATGGGGGGACGTGTTTTTTTTTTTTTTTCAAGCTGGCGGTGCGACGTTGGGAGACACGAGACTGGAGCAATACGACAATGGAAATGGATGCCCTGCCGGCGAGACCCGGTCCGGTATGACCAATTGTGGCCGCGGTACACGAAAGGCGTGAAGTCTCGACGCATGGGCAGTGGACGTACTCCGGGCAAATATGCTGGTCTTCTTCGACTTGTGCATTTTTCTATTTCCATTTTTCCTTTCTAGTTTTTTCTTGCGTTTCCCTCCTTTAATTATATCATCCCCTTTTTTGTCAGGACTTATGTCGACCGCCGTCCCTGGTTTGTCCCGTAACAGGCAGTCGAAATACGGTCCCTACTGAAGCCGTCGAAGCCCAGCGACGAACCGGGCGACCGGTTTGAATGTGAGAACGTGAGAACGTGAGAATGTGTGAATGCGAGATGCACATGCCAAGACATGCGCCAAGACAACTTTGTTTTACAGAATACGGCAGTGGGTAACTCCCGCAACGGTGCCGCTAGTTTTCTCGTAAAGAAAGCACGCCCCGGTTTTGATTAAAAGCTGTGCGAGCCGTTGGAGTTTGGGACGCCACCCAAAGGTCTAGACTCACGTCGACAGGGCTGATGGGCCCCATGCAACGTAGACTCGAGCGGAACAATCCGTACAAACTTCCAATGGCCTTTGCTGTGGGTTCTACAACCGCCAAACCGTCGGCACCGACCCAGACCGCGTTTCCTTGCATTCTGTCCTCAACATCCTTCATCGTCTTAAGAACCCGAGTCATCGTCCTTGACCCTTTTTCCCCAACGCCTCGATCCCACTAAAATGGCGGCGGCGTAACTGGTCGCTTTACAAACTTCTTTCACATCGTCCGTCCACCGTTCTCCGTCCGCTCCGCGAGAGCACCGTTGGAGCCATGGCGACACCAATCGAGACGGTTCCGGCCGAAAAATCAGATCCGCTGCCCATCACACAGGCGTCGACGGATCGAGCAGTCGACCGGCCCTTGTCCGAGACGTCGTCGGGATGTCTTGCGTTTGTCAAACAAACCGGTGGCGACGGTCGTTATCGCCCGGAGCGGCCGACCAAGCTCCGAAACAGCCTGCTGGCCGGCGTGGGGTTTCTGGAGCTGGCCAACGCGGGCGACTTCGCCGCCAACGTCTGGAACGAAATACCCGTGCCCGTGCACGCCATTGTGCTGATGGCGCTGGGCGCGTCGGTGGCGCTCGGCATTCTCTATTTTGCCGCCAAAGACGCCCGCCTGAGCTGGGCGAACGTCTGCGGTCTGCGGGCCGAGCGGCGCCACCTGCGCCAGGCGATGGGGGACGCGCGGCGCCGGCACGGCGACGACAAGGCCGTGGTTCGCACTCTGGCCTGTTTGCTGGACGTCAACTTCCGGGAGACGGGCACGGAGCTCGTCGACCGCCTCGGCATGGACGTGTGTATGGGCTTTGGCGCCCTGACCGTCGGCGTCGGCACCTTTATGGCCATTGACGGCGCCAACAGGGACGTCTTCCTCGCCAGCAACCTCCTGTCCGGCTACGTGGGCAACGCGCCGTGCGCGCTCTACGGCCTGGCCAACCTGTTCTGGTCCCTCTTTGTATGGCGGCGGGCGCACCGGCACCGCCGGGCCGGGGCGACGACGACGACGACGGTGACCGGCCTGGCCGGCGGCCGGATCGAGCAGATGCTCCAGGCCCGCATCGCCCGCGTCCAGCTCCACAGCGCACTCAATGGCGTCACGGGCGTCGTGGCCGGCGCCGCATCCCTGGTCACCGCCACCATGTGGTGGGGGTACGTCGTCCTGATCCCGTGCATCGCGTCGTCCGTCTTGGCCAACTACTTCTGGCGGCACCGAATCGGCTACCAGCGCCCGCTTGTCGCGCAGCAGCACGCCGTCGTTCCCTTTGACGAGGCGAGCATCGTGGCGGAGCTGGCGTTTGTCGATGCGTCCCGCCAGCGGTGGCGCCAGCCCCGGTCGTCCGATCCCTTCGCCGGGCTGGTCGCCAAGCCCGACTCGGTGTCCTGCGTCGTGGAGTTCATCGTCCGAAACCGCCTCTTTGAGGCACTCTGCATGCGTGTGCTCGCAGACGCGCAGGTGTGTGCGCACACAGCGGCGCTCGTCGACACCGCCAGCGACACGGTGACGGTCCGTGCGGAGAGCCTGGCGGCGGTCACCGACGACGCCGCGCGTGGTCGGCTGATTGACCTTGCGTGGGCAGTGATGATCGATGCGGCCCCGAAATGCTTTCGCGACCAAGAGAATGCTCTCCTCGAAGTGCTTGGATGCCTCTTGTGCCGTCCCGTCGACGCCAACGAAAAACACGAGGCCCCGGAAGCTGCGGAAGACCCGGCCACAGCGACCCCGCCCGCGTCAGAGCCCGCGCTGGAACACGTTATCGAGATGGACGCCCTGCAGCAAGAACATGAGCGAGAGGTGTGACAGTAATGTTGCTTGTAGCCGGACCTTATCCTTTGCTGGCCGTTTTCAAGGCCCTGGCTGCGATCTGGAATCGCTCCCTTTGGCATTTTGTACGCTGGTGTGTAATACATCTGTATTACAAGACGATTGCTTTTGCACGCGTGGGCGTGTCCTTTCTATCAGATACGTTGTGGCTAGTCCCTTGCATAGGAAGCGAATTTTTTTTTTTTATCGGTGCAAACACAGGAACTCGTAGATGAGATCGATTATAGACCGGTCACTACAGTGCTATGAGGTATCTTCGTGATTGTGAGGACTAGCCGGGTGCACCCACAGGGTCCGTTACTTTGTCTCGTCGAGTTCTTCGCGGCAGGGGATGCAAGATCCACCTTGTCTGTTGCACAGCTAGACAGCCCGGGTTCAGCATCGTCTTGTCCCATCTCAAGGATTATGTACGAGACACCTTGGATCTTTTTTCACAATGCTCTGTGATTCGATTAAACGCCAATCTATCTCTCCGTCGCTCCCTTCCCACCTCCGCTCCTTGTTCCCCGCAGAAAATACCCTCACACATCACCATGGCTACGACAGGCCGCCGCCAAAGAAACTTGAAACGAAAAAAGACGTAAACTCTATGCAGCGCCCCTTTGCGGCATTCCACCAACCCGGGTTGGCGAGGAATCTGGTGTGTGATCGAATCATTGTCTAACCACTCCCTCAACCACTCAACCAGGCTGCTCCTCAACACTCGGCGCGTCGAATCTGCTCCCCATAGGGTCACATTGTTTCTATTGACCCGCACCCGTCTCTCATTTTCAGCAACGGGCCTGTGGCTTGGAACTCATCATAAAATCACGCGAAAGCTTCATCAGAGGCGCGTTTGTATGTTATCTCACGAACCGCGTCTTGAACAACGACGTACCCACCATGGCCCACTCGATCGATTTGTGTGGGCCGTGCGAGATGCCAGGTGTGTTTTACTGGTAAAGCCGCTGCCAGTATCTGCAGCAATCCGCCGCCCTCGTAGGACTACGCTTTGATGACCAGTAAAACCAGGCCTTTTCGTTTTGTTTATCAGCAATCGCCACCCCCAGACCACACCTACATCAAATCCTATCTCGAGAAACTGCACGCCACAATCTACCTCGCAGTACACAGGACGGCGTGGCCACAGCACGACCTGGGAACTTGCTGCAAGTCGCATGGTGATGCAAAGCACATTTTTTTTTTTTACTTTTTGTGCCCTCCTATGACCCTCTCCCACGTTTCACTATTCACATCGCCCGCTGACAGTTGACTGCTTGCAGGGCGGCGTGAATTGTGCCTTTGGTCATACACTTTTGTGCTCAATAAGCATGGAGAAACGCATTGTATGAGTGAGAGAATAAGGCCGGCGTGCGCTGTTGCTAGGGCCTGGTGCCGTACCATACATAGTGAAGCAGGTGTTGAGCATTTTGTATCGAACTCCAGCCACATATGTGGCGAAATGCATTGCTGCCCGACGTTGGGCAGCGAACTCAGGGTCATCGTCGCCGCAGTCATTTGTACAACCTTATAATAGTGGCCTGTTCCACCTCACATCGTCGCCGGAATCTTTCCATTGTTGGGTAATAACCCTCGAAATTCATTTCTTCCTTCGTCCTCCAAGTGGCCTTTCTTCGATAGCCTTACGATTAGTATACATTTCGAAATCAGCAACAATGGCGGTCCTCCTACCTGCCGAGCTTGTCAATTCGTGGAATTGTTCATGCGGCTACAACAACATGACGTTGGCTGTTACCTGTGCTGGGACCGTTAGTAACGGGAAAGGTGGAACAAAAACCTGCGGAAAGCCGAGTAACGTCGCGTAAATATAGGGCCAATGCGTACGTCCGGGCTCCATTTATAAATACGAACAAAGCTAATTCCTTTAGTGTCTCTAGGGTTCATGTTCCCGAACCTTTCAATCCGTTAGCGCGCCGTGGATGGAGTTGGACCGGGGATAGCGAAAGGCTTGTAGTGAAAATACAAAACTTTATGATCCATGGTAATAACGCTGCACTGTTCATCAATCAAATTTCTTAAACCACAAGTTATTTTACTACGTGTTACTCTTCCTCAGAGCACAGAGCGTTGTAGTCAGCCCAGAATCGCGTACGCCAAGCATCGCCAACCTCCGGAAAGCCTGCGTCTGCCAACCGAAGCTGGACCCGCTGTCTCCATTCCTTGCCTCTCTCCGCGTCCCCGTTGGCGAAGTTGAAGTTCATAGCCCCGCACACGCAAAATTTGGTTCTGATCCAGGTTTTAGGAACAAATCCGACAACTTCCCAATCAACAATACCGATTTGGCAGCCGTCGTTAACGTCTACGAGGACATTCGTGGGCCCCAAGTCACAGTGGTACAGCATACAATCCTTGGACATGTCCATCCCAATCTCTCGGCAATGGGCAGCTAGCGCCTTGGAGGAATAGTCTTTCGTCGGCACGAGAGGTTTTATCCAATTGTCCGCGAGCTGACCACCGTCGACGCCACAAATCGTAGCGCTCGTTTTTTGTGCGAGCGTGATACAGGTATCCACGATTTGGTCGACACATGCCTGCTGGACGGCCTCGTCCATCGCCGGCCACGCCTTTTCCAACGTCTCTCCTGGAACCCGCGTCGTGATAAGATAGTACCGCTCGTCAAATTCGTTGTGATACAAGACGCGCGGTGTCGAGGCGGACAACACAACGCCGTTGGAAGGGTCGTGGAGGTAGTCCAGCGTTGTATGCTCGCGGGTTCTGGCGAGGTAGAAATTCGCCTGCACTTTCAAAAAGGCCTCGCCGATCCGCCAAGCCGCATTGACGTCGCCTGCATCATTCACGAGTGCAATCGGGCTCTCGGGGGACAGTGGGCGACCGTGCAGGGCCTGCTGGCTTGCGGGTTCGGACACGGCAAAGAACTCGCCCGCGCCATCACTCCAGAACGGCCGATCTGACGGGGCCGTCGGTTCTCGCGAGATGGTGAATCGGCCTCCGACGACCCATAAACGATCGTTAATCTCGAGAATAGACTCCCGGACCGGTCTAGAGCGCATATCGGCTGGTAGTGCTATCCGATCGAGTGAAAAGGCGAGGTAGCAAACAGGTTTTTTTTTTGCTTTGTCGAAACTGAATTGTGTGCGAATACGGGAGGTAGTTGCATCTGTTTTAAATGTGTAGGCGGAATATTTATTAACCGGTGCGTCCAGCCATTCACATAAATCACAGTGCTGTTAGGCACCATCAAGTCTTACCAATATTGGCTTGTCGATCACCCTTCTGGCCAGATCCTACAGCTGTCTGCAGCCTTGTCTTCCAGGGATGTGCTGGTGTCTCACCGCCAACTCCCGACGTCGCCAAATATCAAACTGCCCTTTAAAATCCTGCCATGTCGCTATTCAAACTGTATCAGCATCACGTGCAAGCCCCGCACATGTTCGTATTTTAGCTCCTGCCAAGCTTGGCAGCGCGCCTGGCGCTCAGCAGGGTCGTCCTTGCCGTCATGTACGCTTTCCCTGGTTTTTGTTGTGGTCGTTTATTGTTGTCTGAGAATCCCTCCATCTTCTTCAGATTCTCCCTTTTGCATCTCACATGCCGGCCTGTCCATCCACGTTCTTACATTCCTTTTCCCGCTGCCCCTCCATCACGCGTCGCTCCTTGGCTCGGCGATCTTTGTTTTGGTGGGCTCTTGTGTCTCGCCCGGCCATCATCTGACTGCTTCGCCCAGCGCCCAGCCCTGCACAATTTCGTCATCGCTACTATTGCTGCAGCACCTGTGAACCCGCCCCGACCGCTCACCCCAATCGCCCCCAATCGCCCCAAATCACCCCAAACCACCCCCAATCGGCCTTGTTTGACCCTGGTTGACCCTGGTTGACCCTGGCTTCGCAGACCCTGAAAACCGCCAACGTCCATCACGCGTTCTTGACGCTTCCGGCATTTCCTGTTTTCGCGGCGATGCTGCCTCTTTAAAGATCCTTTGTTCTTACGCGTCGGGGCTTTCTTTTGTTCTGTCGGCGTTTCTTCGTTCTGCTCGCTTCATTCGACGTTCGCCCTTCCATCCCACTCTTCCAAAGCAGATCGAGTCATCCAGTCTTGTTTCTTGGTCGCCCCAGTTTCGGGAGCAAGCATGTCCAACGACACAGCCAGCACTGTCAAAACGGACAACGACAACAGCAATGGCGAGATGAATGACGAGAAGGCATCCGGCCGCAGAGGCCGGCTGTGGCCATGGGGAGGGAGAAAGAGTACCACCAGAACACCTCCGGACAACGACACTGAAGATGACGTCGAAGGAGGCAGAGGGCGGCCCACGAAGTGGAGCATGGGCGTGCTGAACGATCCCAGGACGCACGAAGTGCCAGGTTTGTCTGCTCCTCTCTGTACCGAACTGTCTCAAAGTCCAAACTCCCGCTGACGTTGTAGGCTCCGTTCTGCTTCTGACCGGCTACCGAAACGAGCCGCTGGGTCTGCACAACGCCCCTGCACGAACATCCCACTCCTCCCTGCCGGCCCAGTCACCCATCCGGAGCCGACCAAACAGCCGGTCGAGCAGCCGCGCCCGGACCCGTCCGAGCCTGGGCAGCCGCCGCTCGTCCCGCCAGTCCGCCCGCGTGGTCGCCCCCGCCAAGAAGACCAAGGAAACCAAGAACGGCGCCATCATCCTCGACCCGCAGCCCGAAGAGTCCCAAAACGACCCCCTGAACTGGCCCACGTGGCGACGCGACGCCGCTCTGCTGTCTCTGGGCTTCTACTGCATGCTCGGCGGCGGCATGACGCCCATCCTGGCCGCCGGTTTCAACGACATCTCTGCCACGTTTCATGTCTCCACCGAACAGGTCGCCCTCACCACCGGCCTCTACATGATGGGCCTCGGTGTCGGCTCTGTCTTCTTCTCGCCCACGGCCATCTTGTGGGGCAAGCGGCCCGTCTACCTGCTGGCGTCCGTCATGTTCAGCGCCTCGGCCATCTGGTGTGCCTCGGCCACCAGCTTCACCTCCTTGCTGCTGGGCCGCATCTTCCAGGGCATCGCCGTCAGCCCCGTCGAGTGCCTGCCGTCCGCCACCATTGCCGAGATCTTCTTCCTGCACGAGCGCGCGTACCGCCTGGGCATCTACACGCTGCTGCTGCTGGGCGGCAAGAACCTGTCGCCGCTGGCGAGCGCCGCCATCATCCAGAGCAAGGGCTGGCGCTGGGTGTTCTGGGTCCTGGCCATCATTGTCGGCGCCTGCTTCTTTCTGCTCTTCTTCTTTGTCCCCGAGACATTCTGGGACCGCACGCCGCGACCCAAAGATCGCTCGCGGTCGAGGAAGTCGTCCAAACGGAACCTCTTTGATCACCACCATGAAGCACATCACCCTAAACCTCTAAACCCCGCTCAAGACGCGGTTGCTCCCACGCCCCAGCGTCCACAGCTCACCCACAGAAACACGCAGAACCTTCACGTCGGGTTCTCCGTTCCTGATGTAGACGCGCAGCGTGAACCCGATACGATTACCGAAGCAGCCCCAGTGACCCACCTCCAGGTGCCCGCCGAGGCTCTCTCGCCACAAACGCCCGTGGATGTGCGGAGCCCCGCGTATTCAGATGCCGATTCGGGCTATTTTCCGTCTCCTTCTCACCAGCAAGGCGCCGACGTCATCCCCGCAGGACTCGGCCAGTACACGCACGACCTGCGCGGCAAGCCCGCACAGACGTTTGTCCAGCAGCTGCGCCCTTGGAACGGCCGCCTCCACTACGACAACTGGTTCCGCGTGTCCCTGCGGCCCTTTGTTCTGTTCGCCTACCCGGCCGTCCTCTGGTCGGCTGTTGTCTATGCCTGCTCCATTGGCTGGCTCATTGTCCTGTCGGAATCCGTGTCCGTCATCTACCGCTCGCCCGACACGTACAATTTCTCGGCCCTCGGCGCCGGTCTTGTCTACATCTCGCCCTTTGTTGGCGGTGTCCTGGGCACCGCTGTCGCCGGCAAGGTCAGCGACGTCATCGTGCGCATCATGGCCCGCCGCAACGGCGGCTTGTACGAGCCCGAGTTTCGGCTCGTCATGGCCGCCCCCGTCGCCGTCACCACCGTCATCGGCCTCATGGGCTACGGCTGGTCGGTCGAGGTCCGCGACCAGTGGATCGTCCCCACCGTCTTCTTTGGCGTCATTTCGTTTGGCTGCTCGCTCGGGTCGACCACGTCCATCACGTTCTGTGTCGACTCATACCGCCAGTACGCCGGCGAGGCCCTGGTGACGCTCAACTTTTCCAAGAATGTGCTGCACGGCCTCGTCTTTAGCCTCTTCTTCAACAGCTGGCTGCACGCCAAGGGCAGCAAGTCGGTCTTTATCTGGCTCGGCGTGATCCAGCTGGTTCTGCTCCTGGGCACCGTACCCATGTACATTTACGGCAAGCGGGCACGTATGTGGACAGCGCGCCGGAACCTGATGGAGAAGCTGTAGCGTTGTTCATTGTGGCTTTTTGTCCTACGAGATTTACAGGTTTTTTTTTTTTCGATGTATGTACTTTGGAGACATCCACTATGTATTTTCATTGTTTTGCAATATTTTGGGTCGCACCACTGCATTTCTGCATATGTATCGGTATTCGTGTTGGAACAGCAAGGGCTTTGGAAGACCATTCAACGTGGCGGCATCTGCATTTTCTTGGATACATCATAAACGACACTCTGCATTTTGACTTTCTTTTCTGGAATAAAGAACAATTCACATTCCCTTTGCTCATGGCGTGACGGCTCCGACCAAACTTCCGTATTTGAGGGAGTTCAGAGTGGCTGCATACTGCCCGCTCGATGGCGACACCGTGACGATCATGGTCGAGTCACTGTCCTCGGACGCCACGAAATGCTCGCGAAGGACCATGGTCAGTGTCGACGAGCGGAACGGTATTCTGGGCTGGTTGGCCGACCATGCACGCATCACCTCCTTTAGTGCCAGCAGGTCGGTGTTGATTTGCTGCCCTTCCTGCCGCTCCTGGGGTGTCTGGCGGACGATGGGCTGTTTCGGCTCCGACGCGGTCTTGTCATGATGGTATTCGGCGCCAGCAAGGTCGACAAAGACCATCTTGCCTCCCAGACAGGCGGCCGCACGGTCGTCCGTAAGGATGGCGTCAACGTGCTCCTCGGCTGCCGCAACGCGCGCTTCGTACTCGTTCTTTTCGGCCTCGGCCTCATCGATCCGTGCCTGGTTGACCGTGTAGTCGGGATTGCGCTTCCATCCGCCGCCGGGCAGCCTCAGAATCCCCTTGCCCTGCTCCTCGATCATAATGTCCGTCGCGCGCTTGCCGACGGGGACGAGTTCCGACTGCCACTCGATCACCGCCTGGCGCGCCGCGACGAGCGTCGCGCAGACAATCTCGAGCTCGAGGATGGCGTGGGTGCGCGAGCTCTGGTCGTGCACGCTCGACGAGCCGACGGCGCGGCCGGCCAGCGCCTCGGTGAGGCCGTGGTGCAGCTCGTCAAACGACCAGCAGACGCGCTGGACGATCGGGCAGACGCGTACTTTGCCGTCCGCGAGCATCTCTGTCTCGCCGCGAATATGGACCTTGCCGTCGGCGCCTTGGCGGACGTGGCACTCTTTGTGGTGGTTGAGCAGGTCAAAGGCCGACCGTTTGCGCATCTCAAAGAGACGGAAACCAATGCCGAGACGCTCGCCGCTTGTGCCGGTGCCGGTGTCGTTGTTGCGCGCTGCGATCGCCTCAAACAGCTGCTGCGCTGCCATCAGGCACACCCCGGCCTCGGTCTTGCCGTCGTACCCGATAATGGTATGCGTCTTGCCGCTGCCGGAATGGCCATAGGCGAAAAAGCTGCACCGGCCCCCCTCCAGGACACGGGGCAGGGTGGGCGCAACGACGGCGTCGTAGACGCACTGGTTGTCGTCGTGTGGTACGAGGATGTGGCGAAACGCATGCGGGCTCGTCCACGATGGAATTTTTGGGCCTGCGTGCGTCGGGTCAGAGATGGACACAGACGACAGCACGAGCCCATTCTTGTCAACGGATGTTGTCGTTCGCGTAACCTCTCCCCGAGCGCTTTCCATGTCTTCCAGAGGCCGCCACCGCGCAACAACAGACATAGATCTCATTGTGAGTGTAGACAGTAACGAATTGTATTTTGTGAATATGGTAGTGCATGGTGAGCAGGAAGAATACCAGAAAGAAAATCGGGGGACGAATTCGAGACGAGGTTGTTGAAAAGTAAACAAAGTACCGAAATGTTGTTGCCTAGCGCCATCGGCATAACTTTCCACGACGAACCGACAAACTGAATTAACAGTGTATGCTGGCAAAGGCCGTGCACACTATGACGGGCATTACCCAAATAGAAAACAGCGTTGATTACTTATTTAAAGTTACGTCTGATTTGCAACTACTTGTAAACATTTATTTTTTCTTCTTGTGCAATTTTCGTTTCTTTTGCTTTATTTTTTTTGGTTGTTTTATTCTTCTTTACCCCTGAGATGCTCCGCAACACAGAAACATTAATACAAACAATTGTTGCATGTGTCCTTTGTTCTTGCCCATATCCTTTCTCACTGGTAACTTTCCATACATAACTAGTCAAAAACATCCAAAACAATCCCAATTGAGCGAACAAACTTGTCGGTATCCCATCTGCTCTCGCCAGGGATCGAACCCGTGATTTTCCAAAGTCTCCAGAATATGACATAGGAGACGAACACAGTTCTCAACGCCGATTTTCCATAAACGACCACGGCGCCCGTTTGGTGAGTGTCGTAAGAGTGGCCATTCTGCACTTTTCTGTGATCTCGGCTTATGCACCCAAGTTACAACTTGGTGGCTATTACTCCGGTCAGCAGAGGCTCCTTTCTCAATGTACGAGTTGTCATGTTGGTCGAGTTATGGGCTAAAAGTGCACAAGTCGTCTCAGACATGCAGCGTAGGACTTGAATGTTCAAGAGGCTCATTGATGCCCGACTCATGTGAGGGTTTTGATAATACCCAACATATAACTGGCAGCATTGGCCTTCTTACCCGTTTGTATTTTTGTTCCTCTGACTTTGCCCTGTCAACATACTTCACTCCTGGCTGGAGAAGGTCAAACGAGGCTTTTTGCGATGACATGTCAGGGAGGAATAGTATGAGGCCATTGCCAGATACGAAATGTACCTTCACAATCACATTTTTCTTGGAGCTCGGTAATGCAACCTGGCAATGCCTCTGCAATAGCAAGGAGCATCGAGAGGCCTTTGTCCAGGCCGCAAACGAGGCAGCAACTAGATTGCACTCCGCTCGAACACAGAATTTTCCGACGTGGGAAGCATTTCCGCAACAAGACAAACGAAGCGCCGAGACCGATTATCATCATCCGTTCCTCTAGAGACTTCGATGGTACGTCTCTCTGGGGCGTAAAGAGAGGCAGTAAGAACCAAAGGAGAAGACGCTTGAATTGTATGATACAGCCTAATTTCATATGTGATGATGGTGAAGGCGACCTACTCTACTTGAATCGTGAAGCCACAGCGTCTCGTAGTTTTGTTTACTATGGTCCAGGTGCAGTGAGGCCTCAGACAATACAAGACCACTTGGGTAATTTTGAACGCCAGGCAAGCAGCAATACATTCTCCATCCGTTTGTGGTGGGTGGGCCGCCCTCACTGCGTGTAACGCTGGCTGTTTGCAGTTGATTATTGCAAACAAGCCGCCGAACAAGTTGCCAGACAGGCGACGTATGATATATATTCTGGTTCCATGGCGCAACGAGAGATGTAGCTCTCAACGCCGATTTCCCATTTTTTCAGCCTCCCACTTTTGACCAGCTCACTTCATTCCTGTCCTGGATTGGAAATCCAAACGAACTAGCAAACATTAAGATTATATTCTCGTCGTACTCCTATTTGAGGTCCAAGAGTCTGTAAGTTGAAATACCGTTGAGCTCTTGCCTCTGGGGATGCGGTATTCTAACAAGATGTATAGGCCGTCACCTCGCCATGCCTCCCCCGATTTGCCTCATTTGCCATGAGCCAAGCGAACGCCTCGTGACAAGACAATCAAATCGAAAGAGAAATGCTGGACGCCCTTACTACAAGTGCAGACCGTGTAACAAATTTCTCTGCTTCGACGACGACCGGGGAACTGACCCCAACCACCCACGGTGTCATTGTCTTCGTCCGAGCAGACTACAAGTGTCGGGTCCGGAGAAGACAGTTCCCCGCTCGCTGCATTTTGTATGCAGAACCGGAACCTGCGACTATTTCAGCCGGCAGCTCGAGACCGGCGAGCCCGTCACCGTGACTGACGATTTTGTGGGCATGATGGCAAACCTAGGGATCGTTTAAGCTGCTATATGGTCGAGGGATTCGCATTTTGGAGTCTGCGGGTAGCCATACGTATGCTAGGGTCCTACTTGTGACCGTCTTTGCGTTAGGTTTGGCCGTGGGCAGCCGCGGTATGAGGTTACTGACCCTACTTGGGTATCTGTCTTATGCGTCAGGCGTCCAACAGTATTCTGTCAAATAAGAAAATAACATAATGGAGTACAAAGTTACCACTCTCTTCCGTTGTCTTTTCCATTCAAACAGACTGTCCGGCAACTGGCAGTCGACAGCCATCACTTTTTTTTGCCATATTCAGCACTATCTGTTTACAGTTGGGTTCTAAAAATTCCAAGGTGGTATTTCTCATTCACTCTCCCGTCTTCTTTTCTCACAACTTCGAGGTGCCCGCCAATGTGACGTCGCGCTGCACCTGCGCATCGTCCACGACAATCGCCGCCTTGCCCTTGATCGTGCCGCTGCGCACCAGCTCCACCAAGTCGTGGATCTTTTCCAGGCCCTGGAACGGTACCGTATGCAGCTCGATGCCGTGCTTCTGAATGGAAGCCACCATGTCCCGGCTCTCTTGCGGCGAGCAGAAACAACTGCCCACAAGCTTGATGTCGCGCATGATCAGCTCGGCAAACGGAATTGTAAAGGTATCGGGCTGCGCCAGCTCGACCACGGTGCCGTGCTTGCGTGTCACGGCACACGCAAGGGCAGCTGCGCTCGTCACGTCGGCCACCAGAAGCGTAGCGTCGACGCCGCCCGCCAATGCACCCGTCACCTCTTGTACTGCGGCGACATTGGCGTCTTTTCCGTCGCGCGCGTCCAGCACCAGTTCGGCACCGGCCTCACGCGTCGCTGCCAGGCCCTCAGGGCGGGCGTCAATGCCAATCACACGCATCCCTGATTGCACGGCAAACTGTACGGCCATATGACCGAGGCCACCGCCGGCGCCGACCACACAGACCCACGACCGGGGCTTCAAGGAAGCGTGCTGGATGGCCTGCTGCAGGCCCCGCCAGGCCGTCCGCCCTGCGCACGCCAGCGGTGCGGCCGCCAATAAAGACACATTGCCCGGCAGGAGCGTCGTCCAGCGCGCATCGACACGCGCGTATTCTGCAAAAAATCCGTCGACGGACAGCACGCCGCAGTGGCCTTCCAGTGCCGAGCAGTACTGCCGGTTGGACTCGGGCCCCGTGCACTCGCCGCAGGCGCCGCAGGTGTTGCGCGGCGTGCCGCACATGACGCGGTCGCCCACTTTGAATTCGCGCGAGGCAGCCACGGCCGATCCGATGGCCACGACGGTTCCGGATCCTTCGTGGGAGCCTGTGATCGGCTTCTTGGTGCCGCCAAACTTGCCCTCCAACACCATGAGGTCGGTGTGGCAGAAGGAGGCGACGGCGACCTTGACGAGCAGGTCGTGCGGTTCGAGGTCCTTGGGCACGGCCACGGTGCTGAGCACGTACGGCTGGTTGTACTCGACGACCTGCACGGCCTTCATTGAGTCGGGGATGGCCATTGTGGAGATGTGATGTTGAGGGCGCGAAATCAATATGACAGCGTGGGCTTACTGACAATTGACTGGCAATGCATGCCGCCAGGCAAGTTTGGTGATTGCTGACACGGACAATCGATGGCAAAGACATGATTTCGTCGTCGGCATATCGTTCTTTTATACTCGATCCGGGTATCAAGATCCGCTAGCCTCATCGCGGCTCCAAAACAGTTACAACGACTCAAGCGAACATGTCAGCAGACACGGCTTCTTGCGAACAAATTGAGATGCACTACGTAAATTATGTTAAAGAAACGATGGTATTGTAGGTAAGGATAGGGCTTCAAGGCAACTACTCTTGTTGGTGTCAACCTGTTAATTTTGGTTTGATAACCCAGTTCCTACTCACCAAAGGTACTCAATACACACTGGCGAGGGAGGTAGCAAACATTCCTGCCTTGAAGTCTTGTATGCATTGGTTTCATTGCAGCTTGCTACTTTGGTATAATATTGTCTAGTATATTATCTGTTTCAATATTAGAATGTTTGAACATCGGTATTCATGACATTTATTCCTATCGTTATTTTATTTATTGGAGAAATAATAACGAAAAAGTTCTGAAATTAAAACTCGTACATAAATCACAATAAATTAAAAAAACATCTGAAATACAATGTCGAGAGAGCAAATGGTTACACAATCCTCTTTTGAAATGGCTCTTATATAGGTACAAACTGTTGGCGCAACTGTTGCGGCGTCTGGCGCAGGTGGCTAGATCGGCTCGCTATAGCGTGCCGTAAATTTCTCAGTCTGCTTCCGCTATTTTTCGGTAAAGACCGCCACCTATCGGCCACTGTGTCAATCTTCACCTCAGTTCTCTGCGCCGCACCCGTCACTGTCTGGAATCGAAGACGACTCGTCGAAAATCTGCGCGTCGTTTGCAGGGACAAAAGCATACGGGTCATTCTTGCCTCGTATTGTCGTCAGTCGCCCCGCAAGCTGCACGGCAAGCCGCACCGCCAGTCGCACCTTCGTTGTTACCTTTTTTCTTCCGCTCCTTCCCAGCCCAATATGTCTGCGGGCCGACAGCAGCTGGCAAGCGCTGGCTGTCGACTGGCAGCCGTCAGTTCCAGATTGGCTAATCGGCGCGCAGTCGCACACAAGGCCTTGGCCTCCTTGGCCTCGAGACTGGTCCAGGGACAAGGCAAAGAGAGGACGCAGCCGCAGGGCCACCAGCAGCCAGCTTCCCGTGCGCCGACCGCCAGAGCCCTGCCAGCCCGTGGCAATTCCAACACCTACGCCATCGCCCCTTCCGCCCGCTTGCACCAATTGCACCACTCACACGCCAGCAAACGAGCAGCCCCGCCAGCAAGCACCAGCACCACCGCCAACCTGGCCGCAACCCCACCTTTTTTTTCTCGCGCATTTTCGCAGCTGCCCGCCCAATTCCAATTCCAAGCCGCTCTACTGTCGTCTCGGGCGATCTCGTCTTCGACTCCTTTTCCCTGGAATCCTTTTTTCTCCTCTCCTTCTCCTTCCCGCTCCTTTTCGTCCACTCCCGCCGCATCACCACCGCACCCATCACCCACCATGGCCTACACCACCCGCAAGATTGCTGCCCAGCACACGCTGGAGCACCGCGTCTACATTGAGCAGGATGGCCAGCCCATCTCGCCCTTCCACGACATCCCCCTGTACGCCAACGCCGAGAAGACGGTCCTGAACATGATTGTCGAGATCCCGCGCTGGACCAACGCGAAGATGGAGGTACGTGGCGCCTGCACACCATTCGGCCGGCAGCGCCTGTTGCAGCAGCATTGACAACCTGCTAACCCCTCCTCTCGCTCTAGATCTCCAAGGAGGAGACGCTCAACCCCATCAAGCAGGACACCAAGAAGGGCAAGCTCCGCTACGTCCGCAACTGCTTCCCCCACAAGGGCTACCTGTGGAACTACGGCGCCTTCCCCCAGACGTGGGAGGACCCCAACGTCGTGCACCCCGAGACCAAGGCCAAGGGCGACAACGACCCGCTCGACGTCTGCGAGATTGGCGAGCTTGTCGGCTACACGGGCCAGGTCAAGCAGGTCAAGGTCCTCGGCGTCATGGCCCTGCTCGACGAGGAGGAGACCGACTGGAAGGTCATTGTCATTGACGTCAACGACCCGCTGGCCAAGAGCCTCAACGACATTGAGGACGTCGAGCGCCACCTGCCCGGTCTGCTGCGCGCCACGAACGAGTGGTTCCGCATCTACAAGATCCCCGACGGCAAGCCCGAGAACCAGTTCGCCTTCACCGGCGAGTGCAAGAACAAGGCCTACGCCCACGAGGTCGTCGCCGAGTGCGCCGATGCCTGGGAGCGCCTCGTCACCGGCAAGACCCCGGCCAACGGCGTCCAGATCGCCAACCTGACGGTTGCGCAGTCGCCGGCCCGCGTCACCCCCGACCAGCTGCCGGCCATCCCCGCGCACCAGGAGCTGCCCGCCGAGAAGATTGACAGCTCGATAGACAAGTGGTTCTTCATCAGCGGCGCGTCGGCGTGACTACGCCCCGGGTCTCGTTTGTAGAGGGCGATCACGGTGCTTTGTCCATTTGATGCGAAACTATCAAAGACCAAACACCGAATCCGCATTCGCAAAGGTGATGGGTGCAAAGGAAAAAGCCAAGCTGAAAGAAACATTGATACTTTTAAAAGGAAATCATTTGCAGCACAAACCAGTGCTATGGAAGAAAAAAAAATGACCAAATACCAAAGAGCCCCTCGAGTGCCAAGACCGCGGGAATGGGACAACAAAAGTTCAACACAATAGATCGACATAGGAATTCAATGACCACAAAGACGTGTCGAGTTACGCTATGAAGTTTGCTTCTACACGGTGTGTCTAGTATGTTACTCGTGCAAGCCCTCGGACCTTGAAGTCGCTTCTGCCGCCCGAACAAAAGTGTATCTCAGTAAAATGCAAGAAAGATAACGCCGGCCAATGCATGTTCTCTTTTCCACCCTTCGTCGTTCTGTATTCGCCCTCACGCTTTCGTTTAGCCGTCTGCAAGGTCGGCCGCCTTCTGCAGCGCTCGCGAGTGCCGGTCCACCTCCTCCACCACGCGCTTGATGCCCATCTCCTCGCAGTCCAGCTTCATGACCTTGCCGTCCTCTGCGACCGTTTGTTAGCCGTGTATGCAAATGGTATGGTACACAAAACGCGACGCCGCTGCAACGTACTGAACTTGACCGTCAGCGTGCTGGGTTCGGTGGACGACCGCGGCAGCAGCTGTGTCGTCACGAGCATGCCTTGGTCGCGCGCCGTCGGCGGCAGCTGCGTCAGAAACAGCCGCGCCGCCTTGGACCGCACCGAGAACGGATTGAACCGCGACGTCACCTCTGTGATGAACCGGGTGAGCATTGTGGGTGGGGGGGCGGTGTAGAGTCGTAAATTCGCAAACGTCTTGTGTTGGCCTTTGGTTGCTGTCTCGGCCGTCGTCCGCTGAAATTTTTACGTAGCTTCGTGTCTGCCGAAACGGCCGTTGCCAATTGACCAAAAATGAGACCAAATGGCACGTGACCATCCCCTGATTTTTGCGGGTCCATAGCTCCTGCCAGCTGTTGCGCTCGAAGCACTGACGTCGTCTACTTCGAATAATCGCCTCGTTAAGGACGTTGCATCCTACATCTTCTCACTCAACAACATTTACGACACCTCCACATAACCAGCCATGGCATCTCTGGAGGAGCTTCACGATCGCCTGACGAAAGGACAAGATGTTCTGGTCGACTTACGGCAGATGATTGACCGCCTCGCCGGCAGAAGCAGCGATGCGCAGAGACGCAGGAGCAGTAGCAGCAGCTTCCACAATGACGACTACGACACAACAAACCCCACTCCAACAGGCGACCTCTTCCTCTACCTCGACAAGGAGGCTTCTGATGAGCTTGTCAATGACATCGCCGACACGCTGCGCGATGCCCAAGACGAGTTCGACCTGCTCCGCGAAGACGCCGTCGACCTGGGCGTGCTTGCAGCGGAACCAGCATCGCACGCGACGACCGACAACGACGAGTCGTCCGAGACGCCCTCCCCCGCCGCCTCCGGCGTCAACCGCACACTGCGCCCCTTCCGTGCCTCCCTGCGAGGGACCAGCGCCACCAGCGCCGGCAGTGGCGGCATGAGCGCGTCGTTTACCGGGGACGACGCGACGGCTGTGGATGAGCAGCACCTGAAGCGGGGCGTGATGCGTCTCGGCGAGGGTCTGGCCACCGCACGCAAGGCATTCCGTGCGGCCCAGCTCGCCGCCCACCGCAACCGCGAAGCTGCCCAGCGCCAGCAGCACCGCCTGATCCTGGCGTCCTACATTGAGGAGGAGGACGACGACGAGGACGGGGACAGCGAGGTGGAGGGGTACGACGACGAGGTTGAGGATGCGGATGCGCATACCCATGCCAACCAGAAGGGCGACCGCGATCGCTCGCATTCGCGCGCCCGGCGCCCCCTGCTGTCGAAACACACCTCCCCCACCACCTCGGCCGCGGCCGACGTCACGGCCGCCCTCCGCCAGACCCATGCCCGTATCGCCGGCGAGGTCGCCCGCTCCGACTTTGCCGCCCAGACACTGGCCGAGAGCTCGCGCGCGCTCGCCGAGCTCGGCGACAAGTACGGCAGCGGCGGCAGCACGGGCCCCGGCGGGGTCGGGGGCGGCGACATCGGCGCGTCGCTCAAGTCGGCGCGCACGCTCGTCAAGGGCCTCGTGGCCGCGCACAAGAGCGACACGTGGTACCTGCAGACGGCGCTCTACATGGTGGTGGCCACGATGGGGTGGCTGCTGTTCCGGCGGCTGCTGTACGGCCCGCTGTGGCTGCTGGTCTGGTGGCCGGTGCGGACGGTGTTTGGCACGGCGGCGCTGGTGGGCCGAGCAGGGTCGTCCGTGGCAGGCGTCGGCAGCAACAAGCACGGTGCCGGTTCTTCCGCAATGAGTAGGAGCGAAAACAGGGTCAGCGCGAGCATCGTGACGACGACAAGTGTGGCGGCCGAGGTGCACGCAACCGACCCGGCGCGGGCCGCCTCATCGGACTCGCTCGTGGACGAGGTGGGCCGTATGGTCGACGAGGCCGCAGAGGCGGGCGCTGCGCCGACGGGCGAGGCCGGCTCTGCCGCGGATGAGGCCGTGCAGCCCAACCCCAAGAAGCGCATGTGGGAAGAGCCCGTCGAGGCGGCCAAGCACGAGGCTGAACTACAAAAGGAGCGGGACGAAAAGGACGCCAAGGAAAAGGACACGGGCAAGGGCAAGGGCAAGGAGCCTGCCGACGGCGAGCGCAAGAAGGACGAGCTGTAAACAGTCCCCATCCACAACGCACACGAAAGAGGTCGCCGGGTTAGGCCGTTGGCAAGCATGCATGACAAAGAAGACAGTAAAAATGCGGGATAGATGTAATGTACATAACACAGGTTAAGCAAGCCTTTGCCAAACGTATTAGTTCAAAGTATGTGGTGCAACTCCTGTCCTCGTTTCTGCCTCCGCTTTCAATACAAACTGTACTGGAGCTCCATTGTATCGATCCTGTCACTACTGATTAGCCTCCCTGGTCTTTGCAAAGAAAGGCAAGGCGTTGTGAGACGTACCATTTATTGAATTTGAAGCCCACGCCAACAAGGTGACTCCTCTGTATCCCGTCAGCATGCTATGAAGAGCGTCTCGTCCGGCTCGCCACACACTCACCAGCACAAAACCGAAACTTTCGTAAAACGCCTTGAGCGCATGCCGTTCCGCTTGCCCTCGTCGTTGACCGCCATAACCGCAATCAAGTGCCGGATTCTGCGTGGCTGCACGCCGTCGGGGTAGCGACCGCCGTATTGGGTCAGGAACGTCTCGGGCGCCGCGAGGACGTCGAGAAGCGCCCGGAGCAAGCGCGACCCGATGCCGCGCCCCGTGTAGCTGTGGTCGCAGAACAGGGTCAGCTCGGACGTGAAGCGGTAGGCGGAGCGCGCCGCGCGAAAGCCCATGGCCGACGTGTAGCCGACGACGGCATCGTGGTCGTCGGCACGGACAGCGACCAGGTACGGCAGACCGGCGGCCTGGACGGCGCGGTAGGAGGCGACGTAGCTCTCCCGGGGTTGTGGTTCCTCGTGGAACGTGAGGACCTGGGGGTGTCAATCTTCTTTTTTATTTTGTTTCATTTTGTTTTGTATTTTTGTTTTCTGCGCTGGCACCCTCACCGTAGTCAGGATGTAGTGTCGGATGATACGCTCGATCTGGGGCATGTCAGCCTCGCGGGCTGCGCGAATGACAATGCCGTCCATGGTATATGGGGGTAGACGCTGTGCGATGGATTGGGGCTGAGGCGAGGAATGCTGTCGTCGATTGTGGTGTATTGATCTGCAAGCCCGAAGACCGAGTTCCCGCTCCAAGAGTTTGTTTCTGGCCCATTCATAACATGTCAAAACAGTCATGTACCCTGTCGACTGTCGATATTGAGATGTATATCGCAAACGAAACACAAGGTTATCCTTTGGTATCATCACTACTTACTTTTTCGTGATGAGAGATTCGGTCATTGAGTCACAGCCTTACGGGAGTCATCCCATATCTATGAGCGCTATGATAGGCCCGCGGCACTGGCCGTTCCTAATCGGGCAGGTCTCGTCTATTTTACCTAGAGCTCTTGGGTCACTTTCAATCCGTGCGAGCTTCAGCCCTTGGTACATCTCTGGGGGTTTGAGGAATATATGACTGCATTGTCAGTAAAGGATATGAGAACAAGGGCGCCGATACACAGGAGTGGTGTTTGTATTATCCGACAATCGATTTTTTAAAGAAACAGCCTTCGATCGTGATGCACACAGTCGATGACCGGCAAAACACGATGCGTCCTGTTCAACCTGGTAGAATCTCAGTCTGCAACATCCATTTTCTTGTCCGCACTACGACGCCGAGTACAACAAGACTAGTTCAACCGCAGGAAACGAGCATCCTACTCAAACTGACGGTCTGGCCTCGCTCACCGGAGACCTCCATTCGGAAGCGGATCCGTCTGCACCTCGTCAATGCACCGTTCCATGCACGCCCTACTCAATGCAAGCCACTTTGCTGTTTGCGCTGTCCGCTATTGGCAGGGTTTCTGCAGCAAAACGAATGCAGTAAGTCTGCAGTGAGCATCCAACGAGTCAGTCCCGAGGTTCTCTCTTTTCCTGCATTTCGCGGTTTGTCGCTGTCCATGCTTTCTCAGTTTCCAACGTCGAGAACATGGGACCGCATCAACAATGTCTCGAACCGCTTCATGGACAAACATGTGTACGAACATGTACATTGTTTCAATCACAATCCTCTGTCCACTGCCCACAACCCACATGATCTCTGTGATCTGCTTGCAAGGAAGAGACAACGCCTCAATGATTAAAAGCAGACACGGGGCTGGCAGGCATGCTCAGCCCTTGATCCTCGGTCCCAAATATATCCTTGGGTGTGCCTTATTCCGTGTCCCAAATCTCATATCTTGGGTAGCAAATGGCTTCGCTGGCAGTCCGTTGGTTCAATGGGCCGTACTCTGAAACAGAGAAACCCAAAGTAAGCAACAAGCTGTTGTGGATTGGCACTCGGGTATCTCGGTGTTGTCCAACCAGAAGCGGTGGCCGGGGCCTCGCCAGGTCCAGGCGCCTCGATGCAGCCACTCATGTTTTGCTTCTGATTTCAACGCACGGCTGTTGCTCGTTCTTAGGCTCGACACAGGCCGTCAGGGAGCCCAAGTACTGTGGCAGGAAGGATAGAATATTCCCTCTCGTGATTGCTGTCCATTCCCAAGTCTGTACTCTTGTCGTCTTCAGGCCACGGACTGCAGAAAACAAGGCCAGGTCGAGTCACCAAAAACATGATACTTGTGGGCGGTTTGTGGTGTACGTCGTGGCGCCATTTGGCGCGAGACAGTCGCGCAAGCCTACTGGAAAGTAACACCACTGCACCCTGAGATGGCGCTGTCTGTCGTTCGTGAGTCCCTTTCGTAGCTTCGGTCTCCCTCAAGTGTCTTCCTTACTTTGCCTCTTACTCTTCTTCTCCCTTCCCACCTCACTTCTGCTACTCCTCTCTTCCCTGCAGCTTTTTAAGTGCTTGCAGAAAACAGCGGAGCCTATGGGGCATTTTTCGACCTGGAGCCCCCCGATGCATCGGCTTGGACAGCGATGCAAATGGCGCTATCAAAAGCGCAAAGGCGAAGGTAAGTGACGAAATATACCTCACCTACGGATGTACTGATCAGGTGCCCTATCACGTGCAGGAAATAGGGGTAATTGTGGGACCTAATTTGGGAGATGAAAACCATGAAATTCGGGGGCACATTTGGTGAAAATATGACGATATTCTACAACACAAGTAATAACACACATAATTAAGGAACTCCGAAATACATTTACCTAATCTAATGGTTATATATTGAATTCGTTAGTTATAAGTCCGGGATTTCCGTTTATATTATAATTTTTACTATCTTATAACGTTAAAATTTATTAAAATACTTTAAATAATAGTTAAGTAGGTCGTTTTAACCTTAAGGAGTGACTAAAACCTTTAGTTTCGTTAGATACGGGTTAAAGTAGGTAGATATTAAAGTATTTGGGACTTTACGAAGAATTTAAAGGTTCCTTATATTACTCCTCGACCTCCCGAACCTTTACTTTTTATATTAGACCTTTTTAAACCGTAACCCTTTTAAAATATAGTAAGGACTCGTTCTTTAAACGTTAAAAGAGTAACGTACTTATAAAAAAACGAGGCTTTTATTAGTAACGTACGGGTTACGAAAGACTTTTATATATTTAAAAAAGAGTAATACGAAACTTAAAAGAAGGATTAAAAGACTTATATAAAAACCTTCGACAAAATCTTAGACTTAATTAAAGTTACTATTTACTTTACCGTTTTAAGTTATATTATAAATAAAAATATAAAGGATATAAACGAGTGGTTGTAAATCTTATACCGGTATTACGGTAAAAAGACCCTCGACTCGTAAATATACACGAAACTCGTTTATTATAACGTATTTAATAATTTTAACTTTATAAGTTATACGAAGTTTATATTATAGTTATAAAAGTAAAAGATAGTTATATACGAGTACGTCCGTTTAAAATTACTAGAAGTAATAAACGGAGATTAGTTAAAGGACTTAAAAGACGTGTTATAAGTTATCGATACTTTTAAGGAGTTAAGTACGTATATTTTTAACGATAAAGTGTAGTATATAACTTTAAAAGTTAACCTCGAGTTAGTTAAAAGTTAAGTCTTTAAGATTACTAGATTTAATAGTGTTATATAATTAAAAGTTTCGAAAGGTTGTATTATTCGTAGTAATATTACGTTTAATATAACTTTTACTCCTTTAAACGACGATAACGTTTACGATACCTTTCGAAGTTGAAAACGAGCGTTAAGTAACGTTTACGGAAGTGATTATAACTAAGAGTAATTATAAAAACGTTAAGTAAAGGACTCGTAGTATCTTAAAAAAGGATAAAAAGTATATTAAAAACGTTGTTCCGTGTGTTAAGTTATAAGATATAGTATAAACGACTATTTTTAAGTGTACTTATAATTAGTCCCGATAAAAATCGTTAAAGGTACGAAGGACCGTTAAAAGTATTTAGTCTAATACTTTATAAACCTTTTTACGGAGATAAAATAAAAGATCGAAGACTTACGAATATATAAGACGAGGATAAAGTAATAATTCGAGGGAAAGGGAGAAGTCGTAATATATATTACCGTAAATATTGTTTTAACCTTTATAACGTACAACGAGTAATAAAAACCGGTAGTTATAGTATTAGATTTAAAAGTAAACACTTATACCTTTTATAAACGTTCGTGTTTTAAGGATTATAAACTTACTCTTAACGTATTTATAAAAATTATAAACTTATAAGTAGTAATAAAAGGTAAAGACATTATTACTATAAAGTTAAAGCTCTCGAAAAGTAGTTATAATTTTTTAAAGTTTCGTAATATTACCTTTTACCTTGTTTTTTATTTAAACCTTATCTCCTTTTTTATATTAAAAAAGTAGTATATTTACTAAGATATACGATTAAACACTTTATTTTAACACTTTAAAGGTAACGTTATTAACCTCCTCTTTACCGTTAATAAGTTTAAAGTTATTTAAGAGTATTATTAAGTTACCCACTTATAATTACACGGGTAAGATTACGTACTTACCGTTTACAAACTAAAAACCTTACATACTAACGCTTTTTTATAGTACGAACGTATAAGACACCTCGGGTAAAAGGCTTTAAAGTATTTAAAAGATTAAACTATTAGTATAAAATTACGAGAGCCTTTAACCGTTAAATATAAGGCCTATGGGTAAGTAAAAACGGTGGTAGGAGTGTTATAACGTGGTGATTTAAAAAGAGAGGTGAGACTAAAGCCTTTCGAAGAGTTATACGTTAATTAGACCGACTACGAGGTTAACGTTTAAGGTTACTCACATATCGTATACCTTACCGACGTCGTCACCGTTTACGTTTTTAGTTATTATACGTAAGGTAAAGGAAGTGTAGTATCGACTATAGGTATACTCGAAAGCCTTTAATAGTGGGTAAATACTCGAAATTATCGTATAATAACCGTGTATTTAAACGACGAAATAATAACGAATATAACGTCGAATTAGGCCTTATAAAGAGGTGTATACTTATAACCGTCGGCACTATATATAACGGTGTAAAATAAACGGGTAAAACGTTTTAACGGAGTTATTACACGTACCGTTCGCACTTTACGTATTTTAACCTTACTTTTAACAACCTTATAACGAAAACTCTCCGAAGTAACCATTTACTTATTAAATCGTTCGTTAAAACGACGTTTAGGTTAGAAAACACTATATAAAATATTTTACGAGAGCCCTTTACGACTTTATTACCTCCGAACTTATAATTATAAGGCCTATACCCTTACACCGAATATACAACGAAAATAAAAAAGGTTAAAAAAGCTCGACGCTCGTATATACGTAGGTTATTTAATCGGTTACATAAACACAAACATTTACCGTATTTAACTCTTAAGTTAAAGTAAAGTCGTATTTATAAAAGACGTCACGTTTAACGAAGTAAACGTGTTTAATAATAAGTTACCCCTTTAACAAGTTATAAACGTTATAAAGGTGACTTTTAAAGAGTTAATAAAAGTTACTAGTTTTAATAGTAAAAAGGTAGTTATACGAAATAACCTTTTTATTTAAAAGTTTTTTAACGATAAGGGTAAAACTATAAATAAAGACGAAAACCGTGATAATACACGATAGTACGTAAAAATACTTATATACGACGCTCTCCTCTCTTTTATATACGAACCTTTTACTTATCCTTCGAACGAGTACGTATACGAAGTCGAAAAGACTTATTAGTTACTTTTTCCGTCGGAGTTTATAATAAGTCTAGTTATAATTAAAATACCACTCTTAAAGGGTAAAATAAATACTTAAAGAAGATAAAGTAGGTATTAAAAAAAAGTTAAACTTTACGTATACGGGGTGATAATTAAAAAACCCACTTTTATTACTACTTTAAGTAAAAGACTTATAATATTATTAAAACGTATATTAAATAAAAACGCCTTCTTACCGTTTAAGTTAAATATAATACCTTACGTAATATTACCGGTACTCGTAAAAGATATAGTTATATCACCGGAGTATTAACGAGACTTACGAGATTATTTTATATAATTAAAGTTCGAAAAGACGTAAACTAATTACTTATAATCTTACAAGTAAAAAAGTAGTTAAAAGTTGGTTAACGTAGTAACGGTAAACCGTACGAAGATATTAAATTACCGTTAAGTGTATATATATAAAAGTAATAATATAAGAAGGTTTAAAAGTTATAAAGTACGTATTATAGTAAAAAGAGACGAGTAAAAGGTTACTTACCTCGTTATAAGAGTTAACACTCTTTCGGGGGTAGTATTTCGTATTATAATAGTTATTATAACTCGTTTCGACTTAAAGATTATTTAATTCGACGTCGTAAACGTATTTATAAATACTAACCTCGATAAAAAAGTTTATATACGTATACCGTTAAAGTATCGAGTGTTTAATAAGGTCTTTAAGTTTAAAAAAGTACTTTATAGTCTTAAAAGGTTACTTAAATTATAATAAAAGTTTTTAACGGGTTATTTTACTAGTTTTAGGTTAAAAATAGTATTAAACGAACCGTATATCGTCGTAAATAAAAGGATCGTAACCTTCTTTTTCGTTAACGATATCGTTATAACCTTCCCGAAGTTAAAGGAGTTAACCGTTCGAGATATCGTTAATAAACTTTAAAAACGTATAAAAATAAAGGATTTAAGTAAAGTAAAATAGTTTTTAAATATTTATATTATTCGTAATAAAATAAGTCGAAAAACTTACCTTTTATAACGAGTATATATTACGAAATTTAATAAAACTCTTTTAACGGTAAACGAACTCTTTAAAAAGTCACTAAAAGTGTTATTAAGTGTATAGTTCCCGTAAAATATAAAGAAAGTGATATCGTCGAAAGTATAATAAACTTATTTACGAGTTATAAACTCGTACCTTTTTATTAGTATTACTATTAAGTTAAACGTTATATTTATTATAAATAAATTAACCTTATATAACTCGAACTTAAAGGAAATATATATAAAGACGGTTAAAAGCTTAACTCTTTACTTATATAATATAAAAACTTTTAAGTTAGTTTTTAATATTAAAGACTTAACGGTCCCGGTACTATCGATTTCGTTTAACTCTTTTTTTAAGGATAATAAAGAAGATAAACACAACTTTAATAGATTTATTATACGGTTTTTCGGAGGACCGGTAGTATAAAAGGTTAAAAAGTAGTTAATAATAACTATATCGTTTATTAAAACAAAGTTTTTAATTCTTTTTAAAGTAGTAAAAAAGGTTATTTTTTTAAGTAAGGTTATAAAAGGTATTAAGTTAAATTTTAACGAACCTTTTACGTTAAAATATAATAATAAAATAACCTTTAAGTTTATAAAAGACGATAGTTTAAAGTTATAAATAACGTTACGGTATATCGACATTTATAACCACTAGTTACGGTAAAAGAGGAGGGTATAACGGTTATAGTTTAAGTAGGTTAAAACGAAAGTTTAAAAGGTAAACGGAATAACGAAGTACCTTTCGAAGGTAAATCACTAGTATTTTTAATAACTTATTAACGTCGTTAACCTTTAAAATATACTTCCGTTAAAAAATAATAATAAGAATACTTTAAAGTTTAATAAAAGAGATCTTATATAAAAAAACGACCTTATAACGCTTTTAATACTATTTTACGACTTAAAAAGTATATCGAGACGGTAATACATATTTACAGGGTTTTTAAACGTTAAATTACTTCATCGTCTACGGAAGTGTAACGAAATATACCTCACCTACGGATATACTAATCAGGTACCCTATCACGTGTAGGAAATAGGGGTAATTGTGGGACTTAATTTGGGAGATGAAAACCATGAAATTCGGGGGCACATTTGGTGAAAATATGGCGATGTTCTACAACACAAGTAATAACACACACAATCAAGGAACTCCGAAATACATTTACCCAATCTAATGGCCATATACTGAATTCGTTAGTAAGAGGAGAGAATTTTGTAGACTGTGGAGATACGGCCAGTTGAGGTGGTTGGTTCAGATTAGAGGGGCAGCACTATCCATACTCCGAAAAAAAAAAAGTCAACAAATCGGGACCAGCAACAACAAAACAGGCAAGCGCCAGTCCACAACAAAACCCACAACGCCCAATTAGCCCAGAAATGCCCTGCAAAACCCATCAACCCACGCTTCCATCCACAGTTTTCTTCCAAGTTGCAGAGCCACACGGTTTATCGGGAAATCAGGTGTCAACCACGCGGCTTTTCAGCTTCTCTCTGTGCGTTTGCAGCAGTCTTTCTTCACTTTGTGCAGACGTAAATTGCCAGTCGTGACTGCCATTTTCGGACGTAGTTATCCCATTGTTTACAACATACGTTGACAGGAAAGAACCCCGAAAGCCCCGCTTGTCTACGATCCCACACGCCAGCCAGCCAGGTCGCTCCTGCCACCGCCGTTCGGCAGAAACGTGTACGACTTTTTGCATTGGGCAGGCACGGAAAGTCGAGAGCAGGGAAGGTACCTTTTTCAGTGGTGTGCCTGGACCGTCCTCGTGGCGTTGCATGTTGCCGAAACAGCTCAGCCCTGTTTATTTATTTATTTTGATGTTTTATTTTATCTGGAACGACCGGTGCCCATCCCACCTGCCGGCTCTTTCCTTACCTGGACCGCGATATATCTCATCGTTCCTTCCCTTCACTTTGCTACAGCATCCCGGCGTCTATCCCGTTCTCTTTTCTTCTCCTCTTTCCCCTTTCCTTTCTTTCTTCCTTTTCTCCTTTGCTCTTCATCACTTCACACATCCATGGAGCCATTCTCTTGCCGACCCCCTCTCCTGCTTCACTTCACCCTTTTGCCCATGATCCCTTGCAAAGCGTGATGGCTCAGAGCCATCCGCCTTATCATTCCTTTCTCCTCTCCCTCCGACAAATGTCAACATCAATCAATCTCAACAAAACCCGAATCAAGACTCATCCTTGGCCAGAGCAAAACAACACAGCATATTTAACCATCCGTCACCCTCCCACACAACACACATCACCAGCGAAATGAACGTAGAACGTCATACCCTACGGGGCCACCACCCGGGGTCGCCACTCTACGGCGGACGCGTTGTGTCGTCGTCCGGCAGCGGATCTCTTCTCCGGAAACTTACTTCCCTCACGAAGCGGTCGAAATCGCAGCCCATTCTCAACAGTTCACGACATAGCACCAATCCAGCTCCATCATCATCACCACACAACCAATCACAAACACCACCACCGGCCCTGTCCACTACACCTCGTCTGTCCCCGGATCGAATGGCCCTTGTTGCCGCGCAGGCAGCAGCTCTCAATGCCAGTGCCACCGCCAGCATCACCACAAATGCAAAGAGTGCCCGCCCCCCCTCGGGAGCACGGCGTCGTGTCACTACAACCGCACCCGTTCTCTCGCCAATGCCAGCATCTATCCCTCCACATTCTGTGGCAGCAGGTATAGCAGTGTCAGCAGTGTCAGCACCACTCGTTGTTCGGGTTAAGATTCGCTTCCCAAGTCTCAGTGGCTGCCCTGTTTACACCCACGAGTACGCCAGTTCGTCTGACCTCGCAGTCACCAACCGGCTCTTCAAAGGACTCCTACGGCGGCTGCACCACTGCAGCACGGAGCTGATCACTCGCAAAGACTCGCGCGCTCTCAAGCCTCTGCGGCGCCTAGCCGACAGCCAGGCAACCAACAAACCGCTCCGATATGAGATTCACTTCCACTTCCTCCGTCAAGACACCGGCCTCTGGACCGAGCGGACATATTCCTCGTACCAGCGGCAGGATATCACCAGTTCCGATGCACACGAGATTATCCTTGCCACCCACTATATGGTCGGCCTTTTCCTCCGCCGCCATGATCCTTCATTTCACTGGACGGACGGGCCCTTGGCAGACACGGCCACTTTTGCTCCTCGTCCCGAAGAGCCAGAACTGGTCCGCCATACTGTCGGTCATCCACTCCCGCTCTCGTGCGTCCCTCGGTCTCGCTTTCTGGAAGACTCTCAGTCTTTCGAATTCACACCCGGCTACGCTATCAATCTCACCTTCCGCAGCCGGTGCCACGGTCGCAAGCAATACGAATGGAAGCGCGTCATCAACCTACAAAGCAAGCAAAATGCTCCGCTCAGCCTATCTCTTGCCGAGAACCTGTTGTGGGACACATTCGGGTCGATTAATGAGACTCTGACTGCCCGCCGCGAAACCTTCTTGGACGAACACAAGGCCTGCGACTTTTTGGAGGGTGTTGTCGGCTGCCAGCATTTTGGCGAAGATGCCCTCGACATTGAGCTCGGTGTCGAAAACAAACTGGGCCCTGTCTTTGACCACCTCACGCGGTCCATCCAAAGTAAACTCGGCCTCTTCCGCGATCCAGACGCCCGCGATTGCCAGGATTTTTTCCGGGCCATCCACGCCCAGTTGCTCAATATGCGCGACAATGTCGATGCCCGGATCAGTGCATTCCCAGACTTTGACCTACGTATTCTTACCCTCTGTTCTCCAACATGGTCCGTCGAGAATCCGGCACGCTTTGTCCTCGACACAGCCACGTCCTACTCGCGCCGCACCGTCAAGGCCATGTTGGATCGCGTCCAAACGGGCGTCTCCGACGTTCTCCGCAACCGCGACTGCACCATCCACCTCGTTGCCTACAAGCGCGGTCACCTCATTCTTGACAAAGCATTGATTGCCCGCCCCCTGCCGCCCAAGCCGACCCTCTTCCCCATGCCAGCCGTCTTTGAGCAGCCTGACACCATTGTGGCCCGTCTCAAGGACCGCATCCACAGCGACCTCGATGCCGTCTGCAAGGACACTTGCTCACTAGACGGCATATCAGACAGCGCGGGTGATGAAGTTTTTCTTGCCAATAACAATGTCAATGCTGCCGCCAATGAAAATGACGCTCTGCCCGACAGCCCGTCATTCCCACTTCTTGTCCCGGGGGCCTTTGAGCAGGCCATCATTCTCGAGGACCCGACTGATGCCCACGAGGAAGAACCTACCATTCCTGCCCCGCGTGTGGTCGAGTTACCGGACGACGTCTTTGTTGACGCTCTTGAGCAGCCTCAGGCCTTGCCACAAACAGCGGCTCTCACTCCTCCGACAAGTGCTAGCAGCCGTCGCCGCGCCTTCCCACTCATACCGGAAAAGTTTACACTACCGCACTGTCGCAGCTCTTCGGGTGTGACCTTTGTATCGGCAAAACAGCCGACCGAGTCTGTGGAAGGGGTTGTAGAAGAGGCTCCGGAGTCTATGGTGCTTTGGACTTTACCGGTTGAGACTGTCGATTCTGCCGAGGCTGCCGTGGTTGCTGAACCAGTGTCGGTAGGATCGACTGCTGAGACTGCCGATGTTACCGAGCAAGTTGAGGCTATTAAAGCAATCGAGGAGGTGGGTGCCGACAAGGTTGGTGGGGCAGTTGAGGCAGTTGATTCTATTACGACTGCACGTGTAGTTGACGCTGTTACTACTACCGATGCTATCGATACCACTGCAGAGGAGCTGGTTGAAGGTGGCGATGGTCACGTCGATGTTCCCGTCGTTAACGTCGAAGAAAACCTCTGCCCATCTTCTCAACAATGTGATGCCGAATCTGTCGCTGAAAACAACGCTGAGGTTGAGGACCTTCTCATCATAGAGTCCGAACAGCCTGTTTTGGAGGACGATAGCCGTGTCAAATCAGGGCAGGACATCGAGGGACATTCTCCACGCGCGCCTATGCCAGTCGTCAAGGATAACGGGGACAAGGACACTGAATCTTTTGTCGAGGATGATGAGAAGACTTCCATCAACGCATATGCCATTCCCGGCGATGGTGCTCGGGTGGAATATGGGACCACTGTGCCGGAGATCGTGGAGGAGCTGGCCCAGCCGCTAGTTCTCGACTCACCCCCAATGTTCTACACATTCGATGATTCAGACTCTGCCGAGTTGGACAATCAGCCTTCAGTCGAGCTACGCTTTGACAACGTCCCGACTGTTGGCACCCAGTTTGACACAATAATCGAATCTGACATCGAAGACGCCGACCTCGCTTTTGATTTACCAGTGTATGGTGACTTCCTGCCGCCGCAGAATGAAGCCCTGTCCCTGTTTGGAACCACACCGCAAGCCGCTTCAACCATTTTCAGCGACGAGCCCGGAACACTAGCTGCCTCTGAGACTTCGTTTGAATCTGCCTATGAATCCGCTCCGGAGTCAGACGTGAATGAGGAGTCGTTTGTTTCGTCGTTCGCATTCTCCCAGAATGACCATGACGAATCATTCATTACCAACACTACAGCTCCCACAGCTGTCTCGCCCGAATGCACGCGCCCATCAACTCCTTCACTTAGCCTCAGCTCCGGTGACCTCAACTCGCCACAGACGAGCCTACTTGACACACCCAGCCTGAGCCGCGAAGTGCGTTCCGGCATCCTTTCTGGCTTTGACTCAGGCGGCACCACACGGCTGGACTTCAGCCGCGCGTATAGGTATGATGCCAACAGCGAGCCTGACCCCAGTGAATACTCCAACGGCGTCTGTCACTTTTCCCAGTTCCAGGGCGACATAAAGCAACGATCCGACTGTTCACTGGCCATCAAGAGCCTTTTTGGTCAGTCCGTGGCTGTGTCTACTTCATGCCATGTCGAACCTGTTTCTGAATCAGAGTCTGTCCCGGCAGAAATTTGGCCTAGCACCACTGATACCACACCGTCACCCGACATCGACTTTGATGTCAAAACCATGGACCAGCTGCTCAAGTTTGACGACGATGAGTTTGAGCCGAACTCGGTCCCCGCATCGCCCACGGTCAGCTGTGGCCTCAACTTCAAGGACTCTTTTGAAGAGTTTGCCATGACCAAGCCGACCCTCGACCTGGACGAGTATGCTGACCTTGTAGCTGACGACGACGCCATGTCAACTACTTCTCGAGTTAACGACATCATGGACAGCCTTCTAGAGGACGTCGTCGTCGACGAGCACAGTCAATCGCACACCGAAATTGAGAGCGTCATCAGCGCGGAACCCTGCGAATACGACAGGCCATTGCAGCCGGACGAGGAAGCCGATGACCTCCATGAGCTTCACGACCAGAAAAGCACTGAGCAGGCCCGCGCCGTAGAGCCTCAGCCTGAGCTTGCTGCCGAAACTAAGCTTGTCCGGCCCATCTCCATTTTCATCGTGCAGCCTGTTAATCAGCCGGCCGATGGGATGGCTATTACTTCCGACGGTAAACCAGACGTCGAAGAAACTGAAAGTTCCTTTGAGCAGAATGTCGTGGTTGAGAAGGTCACAGGAGAATGTCACAGCACTCCTAGTGTTTGCTTCCGAGACATCGCCTCTTCCGTTCCGCTGCCAGAGTCCGATGACCTGGAGCTAAACATTGAGCGTTTCGTCGTTAGCCACGAACAGGAGCCTCTAGTCACAGATGAGGAGCCCGACTCTGAAGCAACTTTCGACCCGGTTTCTGAGCTGCCTTCCAAGGTCGATGCGGATCAGGGAGTTGACGCACCGTGTGGGGCTGTCGCGATTGAAGATCCATTTGTTGAGGCGCCCATGGAGGAAACTAAAGTGACCCTGCCTGCTTTGATATCTGAGGTACCTCTCATTACACCAGCAACCGAGGAACACGAGATCACTGCTGTTGTGGTCAACGAAGATCGGAGTCTAGATGCAGCGCCAAGGCAGATCATTGCTGAAGCCACTCATGATGATACCCTGCACAATGCTGAGGAGGAGCTCCAGCCACCCACGGAAACTAATGACGATACGAATGAAGTTTCCGAGCTTGTGAATCCCACCAACCCCTACGTCATTGGCATTTCTGAGATGAATCAAGATCAAACACCTGTGCTCCAATGGTCCGCCCCGGATGATATTGTCGAGCTAGGCGTTGTGTCTTCACTTGTCCCTATTGCACAAACTCTTGTCGACGAAGTTCCGGTGCCTATCATTCCTGCCGAGATGAAATCTCTATCTATTGTTTCCGCCTTACGGTCGGCTCCTCTTGAGCAGATCGTGGAGATCCCGGGAAGGCCCACCAACTCTTCTACTTTTACGGACACGTGTGAGGAGACGACGTGTGACTCGACCGATTGCATCACAGACTTCAAAGAGACTCCAGCACCTCCCGCGCCAAAGCACACAATTTCCTGGTCTCTTCCTCGCGCCGGCCATCTCGGTCTGGATGAAACCCGCCTTATCCGGGTCGGACTTCGCAGTGCTTTGACTGGTTCACGCGCATTTGACAATGTACCCTTCACGATCAAAAAGTGGCAGCCGCCAACTCCGCCAGTTCCAGAACCTACAGTGGCTGAAGAAGACGGCGTACCGACCCAGTCTTCACCGGAAAGCTCGCCTGTACAAGCGTCCAAGTCTGAATTGCCGTCTACAGAGTCTAAAACCACGCACACAGCGTTGGTCACCAACGAGGCCCTAGGAGATGGTATGCCGACCACAAGACAAGACAACATGCTGCCCCGTGTGGTGATTGCATTCGCTAGCATGGCGATCATGTCGCAGATGATTAACAGGACGTCGTGATCTGCTATCTTTTCATCATGCTGTATTTTTGTTTATAATTTAATTTTGTTTTTGACATGGCGTTTGAGGGATATGGAATCGGATAAAACGAAGAACGTGAACGACATGTTTTATGGTAGTGTTTTGGAGCATTGGGTACGGATTTGGTTTTTGCATTTATTTTTGAGCATTTTCTGGCATCTTGGGACATGGATCATTATGGATTTGTATTTTAGAAAATATACAAACCGATATCACGAATTCCATACCGGTTTTATTATTACTACACTTTCGTGTCGTTTAACTCCTCACAGACATACTTTACTTTTCTTCATGGAAATTTTAAAAAAGTAAGAAACATTACAAGGCAGTTAAAGTAATACTCAAAGGCAGCAAATAAACAAACAACAAAAGGAGATGATTAGTTGCTTTCTCCACGTGGCAGTCCAGTCGGTTGAACAATTGACCTAGCGCATACGTCGCCGTTTTGTCCATAGCTTCTCAACAACGAATTTTCACTCAAAACAGTTACTACCATGTCCTTTGTTTGGGCCTGTGCTCGCATTCGTTAATTTAGCACCGTTGCACCTGTATTTTCTGTTTTGTTAAATCAGCGACGGAGTTGCTAAACCAGCAGACTGTCCCTAGTTAAAGCGTGATTAGTGAACATTGTGTATTCGACTTACACGATTACATACGTGGCAAACAGTGACACAAGACTAATGACATTGTTATATAAACAGCTTGGGAGGATAATAGTTAGCGTTTGTTACGTTTACTCATGTACTCCAGGCTCAGAAACATTCAGCTTCTCACTCGTGTTCTCAACATCGCCTTACATGATACTTCACCAAATCTCACCACCGCGCACCAATTTCAATCTTTTCACTTTTCTACACCTCTAGTACCATGCCTCTCTGGCAGTTCTTCCATCCCCCGACGGCCTTTTCCACGGCTGCCGAGAAACAGGCCGTCGTCGACGACGTCACGCGGATGTACACGGGCATTGGCCTGCCGGCGTTTTACGTTGTCGTGCAGTTTTTCCCGCTCGACGTGTCGGGGAGCGGCGGCAACTTCTTTGTCGGTGGGCAGCCGGCCACCAACTTTGTCCGCATCGTCATCCACCACCTGGCCTTCCAGTCGCAGGGCAGCGTCGCCGCGCACACGCGGATTGCCAGCAATGTGGACGGCGTCGTGCAGCCGCACCTAGAGGCGCGCGGGTTCGACTGGGAGTACCACGTCAGCGAGAGCCCGCCGACGATGTGGAAGATCAACGGGTACGTGCCGCCGGTGATGGGCAATCCGGCGGTGACGACATGGGCCAAGGAGAACAAGCCGAGCGCGTACGAGGGCGACGGCCGGTCCAAGACGGAGGAGGGCGGCGAGGCAAAGGCGTCGAAAGACGAAACGAGGTTGTAAAGAGGTGTGGTAGATTGTCTTCCGCAATCTCTTGTGTGTTTTCTTCTATTTTTATTTTTAAAAAACCGCTTTACCGCTTTACTTATATATGAAATACAGAGTGTAAACCGTTTTCTGGTTTTTGAGCATAGACTGACTTATTCTCATCGGATGCGCATTGCAACTTTTAGTGGGGCTACTTTGAGATTAGTTAGTGGTTCATTTGGGATTCACAAGCGGTCATAAATTTAGTGAGCTTCAGTGAGCTTCAGTGAAGTTCAGTGAATTTCAGTGACGCACCCGTGAATTGTGTGCCCCACATATTAGGCTGTGAGCCGCCTTAGCAGCCAACCATATCAGAGCATGGCCTGACCTTAAACCTCCAAAGCCGTGACAGCCTCTTTCATCGCGACCATATCACCTTCAACTCCATACATCTCCATCTCGTCTTCTGTGCAGCATACCATGGATGACGACGACTTTGGCGCGGATGCCGACTTCCTTGCAGCCCTGGCGGCCACGGATGTCGGCAACAACAGCAGCAGCAACAAGGCGCCTGCGCAGCAACAAGCACGAACACAACCACCAGCGCAACAACGGCCACCGCCGACAGCGCCGCGGATACAGCAGCCCACGCCACAGAGAATCCAGAAGCCTGGCGCAGCACCGAGGGGCCAGCCGACACCGCGCATTGTGCAGCCGACACCCCAGGCGCTGGGAGGGCCGGGCGTCGCAGGTGCGTCGGCCAGCGGCTCGTCGTCGACGCCGCATCTGACGCGCGGAGGACCGGCGTCCGGCTCGACCATTCTCGTGTCGCCGCGCCAAAAGGGCAACCCCATTCTGGCCCAGCTGCGGTCGGTGCCCTGGGAGTACAGCGACATTACCGCCGACTACGGTCTGGGGCCGTCGACCGTGGCCCTGTTTCTGAGTCTGAAATACCATCGGCTGCACCCCGAGTACGTCTTTGCGCGCTTTCGCGGTCTGACCGCCGGTGGCGCGCCGCGCCACCGGCTGCGCATCCTGCTAGCGCTCGTCGACATTGAGAACCACGAAGAGACGCTGCGCGAGCTCGCCAAGACGTCGCTCGTCAACCAGGTGACGCTGATTCTGTGCTGGTCGGCGGCCGAGGCCGCGCGCTACCTGGAGCTGTACAAGACCTTTGAGCACGCCTCCAACTTCTCGGCCATCCGCGGGCAGCAGGCCGCCGGCTACGCGGAGCGGCTGGTGCAGTTTGCAACGGTGCCGCGGGCGGTGAACAAGTCCGACGCGGTGGCGCTGGTGGGGTCCTTTGGCAGCCTGCGGCGGGCGGTGCAGGCGGAGCCGGAGCAGCTGGGACTCGTGGCCGGCTGGGGCGAGAAGAAAGTGCAGGCGTGGCGGCGGGCGGTGGAGGCGCCGTTCCGGGTGCAAAAGGGGCGGAAGAAGGGCGCCAAAGCGGCGGCGGGGACAGGGGCGGGGACTTTTGGCAACACGACTGCCGAGGCAGAGGCAGAGGCAGAAGCAGAAGCAGGGGAGATCGGCACCGACTTTGACTCGGTTTTCAACAATCGTTTGCATCAAGCGCAGACGGCGGATGGGGTGACAGCAGCAGCAGCAGCAGCAGTAGCAGCTCCTCCTCCTCTTCCTCCTCCACAATCGCCCAAGAAGCGCGGTACGTCGGCAGCCAGCACGTTTAGTCCGCCACGACCGCAGCGGCCGCCGGAGGAACTCAGCGACGGCATTGCAGCCGCCCTGGCCAAGCTGCGGGACAAGTGAAGCGACTCGACTTGTGGCCGAATGATGGACCTTCTTCCACATACCACCGTACGACTAAGACGCATTGTCACGTTGCACGAAATTAAGCATCCTCATTTTTGATGAACAATTTCATGTTGCTCAGCGAAAGCGGGGATCCATGTGGCCCGGTCTAGGTCGCAGCTCCTGGTCGAGACTGCGTCTACGGCTGCATGTGCGTCTGCATCAGCATCTGCATCGTCATTGTCATCTGCCTTGTCCGGCCCCGCCGCCACCGTCGCAGCAGCAGCGGAGGCCCCTTTGCCGAGAAGCGTGGACAAGCTTTCGGACAAACTCGCGAGAGATGCTTCCTCTTTTGCTGCACAAGTCGGCCTGTCGATCGTTGTGGAGGACAGAGACGGTTGAAGGGGTTTACATGGGTGCTCCCTCGGCACACGGCACACACAGCACACGGCTGACCACAATGGGGTACAGAGGCACGAGTGCAAACCGTGCTCACTGGTAGTGTAGTTGGTTGTGACTGTGGGCAGCCGAGGTCGACGGCATGTACAGTCTTGTATTTCGAAGTCGATGATATCAGCCGGAATACAAACTTACCCGCGGTCTTGGGTAGAGTTTGGAGGGATACCTTGCCAATCTATTTTGATCGTCTCTGTGCAAATCGAAGGGCCGCTCCAGCTGCTTGGCAGATAATGAACAAATCATATTACAACAAAAACAGACGAAGAAAAAGGAGAATAGCATCCCCCGCCCTGCTCTCACATTAAAGGGCCGAACTGACTGCACCTACGGCGTAGGGCAATGTCGCTTGCCTGTCGTTCCCCTCAGATCGACACGCACATTCCCATTCCTGCAACGCGCATTTTCCCACGTTCACGTCGTCCCATCGTCCTCTCTGATCTACTACCTCCTTTGGCTCCGTGAACGCCTTGTGCTTCATCTCTCGGAGAAAGAAAGGCTTGGCAGTCGGAATTTAAGATCAAAAGTATTGCCGACGTGACTGATGAGACAGGTGATTTGCAGTGATGGGTACGGGACCAACCAACCTCCCGCGTGGTCCATCCACATGCTCAATTTGAGAGACAGGCACACCTCTGTTCCATGGACGTTGGTGTGTCGTAATTACTCTGCAAAGTAAATTGGACTTGTGGCGTTGGCCGGTTCCGTTGGTCGATGCCCCCGAGCCGTGTCCAGCGCTCTTTCCCTTGGCGCCTTACAGTGTGCAAGTTCAGCCGCCAGCTGCAAAGGAAAGAGCCGCTCGCTATTTTGGGGAAAGAGCAATTTGGGGATATCTGCGCGGGCATCCAATTTGTCGATGGCGCTCCGTCGTCCCATTTCTCCCTCCAACGCCCGCACGTTTCGTCGCCAAATCATCTTATTTCGGAGCCCGTCGGCCAGTCCATCATACGTCTTCTTTTGGCATCATACCACCGCGCAAAATGGTACCCCCATGGGGCGCGCACTCTCGGAGATCGACATCGGATCCACATGCCGATCGACAAGAGAAACCGCCCAACCTGCCACCGTGCCGGCTACAAACAGACCAGCATGCGCAGGCCAAATAGTCACTTGCAGGGACATCGCGGGGCGGAGAAAGAAAAGTCATAAAGAACCTCGTCGCCTCGTCGCCTCATAACTTCTTCGCCTTCATTCCATGGTGTCTTGACTAGGGCAAGGCACCGACAGAGCAAAGAACATGAACTACCCAATTAGGAAAGTGCCAGTGATCGCCCGCACGATGCAGCCAATCAATGCAACGCCGCGCTGCCAGGGCAGGAGCCACGCGAAGGCGTCTCGCGCTCTTTCCGGTCCTTCCATCGCCGTTCGTGATAATTCGTCCCGTAGATCGCAAGGGTTCATCTTCTGTTCTTTGTCTCCTATCTCTCTCCTCTTCGCATCGCATGTTCCCTCTTGCTCTGCCAGTCTTCTCACACCGACGTGCGTGTCCGTCCTGGCCATCCATGCTCGACCGACGTTTCCGCCGCTGGCGTGCATGGCGCTGCGCCGGATGAGCTCATCCTAGAGTGCAGAGTGTCCGTTCGTGAGGGCAGGCCGGGACCCCAACAGGAGGTCCCTGCTTCCCCTCCTCGTCCCACGACCGACAGTCCGCGATGCTTGCTTCCTCTCTGCCCATGCCTGGCTCTGCAGCCTCGTGCGGTGGCCAGATGGCGGCGAACCGACATGCATGCCGCGATGCAAGACACGCTCCCGGACCGCCATTCGCTCCTGCCTGCATCACGCGCCTGCCTGCCCCCGGGCACAACATGCCACCGAGAGGAGGAGAGGAGGTGAGGAAGGTACTTGACTCCAGAGCGCCTGCCATGTGAGGACATCGAGTATGTCTTGCCTCTCTCCTTCCCTTCTTGCCCTTGCCCGTCTCACCGATCATCGCTCCTTCCCCCGTTCCCAGGATTGCAGAGACAGTCAATTTATTATGGCGTCTATATATCCCCGTTCCCCGTTCCTTTTTCCTTCTGCCGTGTCCATCCCTTTCCACTTTGTACCTCCTCCACCCGCCTCCCGGATGATCCATTCTTTAGTGGTCTCCAAGCGCATCTTCATTTAAGTCAATATCCCCCCTTGCTATTGCTCTCCCGAGCTGATATCCTCGACGGTGTCCCTCAATCTGTTCTCTTCTCCTGTTTGTTTGTCGTCCCAAGCTCCCACGTCACGTCCCCCAAAGACGTCACAGCTTTCAGCTTACATTCCCTATCGTGTTTTTTTTGTTGTCTCTCTTTCACTTTTAATTTTGTTTTACTCGTCCCTCGTTTGACGCGCTCTTGGCGTTGCAGCTCTTTTGATTTCATTTCTGGGTACTGTTGAAAGCGCTTTTGTTTCTTTATTTCTATTTTGTCCTCCCCTTCGTCATCGTTTTTCTTATTCTCTCACCACCCTCCCCCAACTCACACCTCCACTATGCACGTCCCCGGTGCCTTGCTGGGTGCCGGCACCCTCGCCGTGCTGGCGACGTCTGCCTCGGCGAGCCCGACCTCCCGTCGCAACCCGAAGCCGCACTACGTCTCCTGGCCCGACCGCGCCGAGGCCGTCAAGACGGCCTTCCAGATCAGCTGGGACGGCTACTACAAGTACGCGTTTCCGCACGACTCGCTCAAGCCCGTGTCCAAAACCTTCCAGGACGACCGCAACGGCTGGGGCGCCAGCGCGGTCGACGCGCTGTCGACGGCCCTCGTGATGGAGAACGAGAAGGCCATCGGCCAGATCCTGGCACACGTCCAGAACATCGACTTCAACTCGGCCGTCGGCGACATCTCGCTGTTCGAGACGACCATCCGCTACCTGGGCGGCCTGCTGTCCGGCTACGACTTGCTGACGACGCCGGGCGCGCTGGCGGGCAAGCACGACAGCGCCAACAAGACGCAGCTGGCGGCCGTGCTGAGCCAGGCGCAGCACCTGGCCGACAACCTCAAGGTCGCCTTTGACACGCCCTCGGGCATCCCCGACAACGACGTGCTGTTCGGTCCGCCGCGGCGTGGCGGGTCCGCGACCAACGGCATCGCCACGATCGGCACGCTCGTGCTCGAGTGGACGCGCCTGTCCGACCTGACGGGCGACCCGCAGTACGGGAAGCTGGCGCAGAAGGGCGAGGCGTATCTGCTGAACCCGCAGCCGCAGGCGCTGGCCGAGCCGTTCCCCGGTCTGGTGGGCAGCAACGTCAACATCACGACGGGCGAGTTTGTCGACGGCAACGGCGGCTGGGTCGGCGGCGACGACAGCTTCTACGAGTACCTCATCAAGATGTACATTTACGACCCCGTGCGGTTTGCGCACTACAAGGACCGCTGGGTGCTGGCCGTCGAGTCGTCGATGAAGCACCTGGCGTCGCACCCGGCATCGCGGCCCGACCTGACCTTTCTGGCCATGTTCGCCGGCACGTCGCCCCGCTTCGTCTCGCAGCACCTGGCCTGCTTCGACGGCGGCAACATCATTCTCGGCGGCCTCGTGCTCAACGAGCCCCGCTACGTGGCGTTTGGTCTGGAGCTCGCGGCCTCGTGCCACGACACATACACCGCGACGGCCACGCGCATCGGCCCGGAGACGTTTGCCTGGCAGGACGACGGCCGCCTCGCGGCCAAGAACGCGAGCAACAACGCCCCGCCGCCGGCGGACCAGGCCGATTTCTCTGCCAAGTCGGGCTTCTGGATCCAGGACGGCCAGTATGTCCTGCGGCCCGAGGTCATTGAGAGCTACTACTACGCCTACCGCGCGACCGGCGACCCCAAGTACCAGGACTGGGCGTGGGATGCGTTTTTGGCCATCAACAAGACGTGCGCGGCCGGCAGCGGCTACTCGTCGGTCAACAATGTGAACGCGGCCGGCGGCGGCTCGTTCCAAGACTTCCAAGAGAGCTTCTGGTTTGCCGAGGTGCTCAAGTACTCGTATTTGATCCAGTCCGACGACGCGCCGTACCAGGTGCAGGTGGACGGCTCGGGCGAGTTTGTGTACAACACGGAGTGCCACCCGGTGCGGATTGCCAACAGCAAGTCGTAGCGGGGAGAAAGGGGAAGAAGGGGAGGTTGCTGGTGCAGTTGGGTTCTTTTCTTTTGTTGTGACGGAAAAGGCGACGGAGGACCGTGTACATAGGTTTGTTTTTGTTTTTGTTTTCTTGCATCGAGTTTGCTTTTGACGTTGCATCATCTTCCAACGAGGTTCCGAGACACATGATCCATAAAGACAAAAGAGTATTACGAATACGGGTTATAGGCCATGATTATGTGATTGCCAATTGAACAAACACAAACTCGCTTGCGAGTCATGCAAGTGAGCCGTGAGACGTTTATGTTAGTCCAGGGACCACGGGAAGCTCCGTCGTCGCGTTGGTTGTCTTGGTGTGTGTCGTCAGCACGCCGCCGTATCTCACATGTTTTGAGGATTGGCCAACGATGACGTAGCCAAGAAAGGCAAAGCATCTCCAAAACAAAAGAAAAGAAAGAAGACGTTGCCGGGGTGGATGCTGGAGGGTGTGATGGAAAGATAATTTTGACTTTTCTGTAGGAGATGAGGTTCTTAAAAGGAACAAAAAAAAGCGACAATTAGACTGCAGCCATGCCAAGGGGAAACGCACAGGGATCGATCGAGGAAATGGAGCAGGGCCCGGGTCCGAACTAGTCCGGCGCAGCATCGATCTGGCAACACGAAAGCAGCTTTCGATGGCTGCGATGGAACAGGCTTATAAATCATGCGCACTCTCAACAGGGAATTGTGGGCCTTCACCACACCTGGACCATCCGCATCGTGATATATCTTTCGGTCCAAAACTTGCCCGAAAAGGATCGAGAAACAGTCGATTGCGTTCACGCTGTGACAGAGTACAGCGGCACGACTTATGTCTCTCGGGCCAATGGATTGGAAATGCAAATGACTCTTGACATGGTCCCGAGCCTGACCGTCGAATTGCTGTCGGGTTCCGGCCATGTATTGACCGTACCGACATTGAAAACACACGTCGCGATGTAGACAAGCTTCTAGCAGTCTGTGCTGGGACGCGGGCTCTCCAGAGTGTGTATGATACGAGTTACGGAGACGTATCTTTGGCGATGTACATACAGGAAGAAGTACTCTGAGCTTTCGTCCCAAACCAATGGAGAGTTGCCAGAACGCCATTCACTCGAGCACGACCTTGTTGCACGGTACGTTGCAATATACACGCGGCGAACAACCTGCAGCTGTCGTATGCTAAAACCAATGACGTCTTTTTCTTGCATGGACCAGTCGACGCCCAGCGGTGACACTAGAAGCGACTCTAACGCCGGCCTAGAGTTCGCGTCTCTGCACGCTCGCACCTGATTACAGATGCACAGCGGTTACAAATGCATCTCCTCTTGATTCTGCCCGCGTCCTTTCCATTCCCCGGCGGGTGGAGATGCGTTGGAAGCTGTCGCTGCAGCCCAGCCCTTCTCAATTCGGGCATGCGATGTACGAGTGACTCTGCCGCCCTGGCCCATGCCCTCGTCGCAAAGCACGCCATCGACGTCGGCCCTCTTTGTAATTCGTATTCTACGGCGTGCCAGGAACCAGCCAACATTGCTTTCTAAGGCATTAGCTAACATACAACAACGCCCATATGGTCCTCCATGAACCGGTCAAGGCGATGCCCGTGACAGGATAGAAAGTCCCCTGGTATGTTTTCGTTTTCTGTCTTTTTTTTCTTTTTGTTCTGTACGACTTGCATCCCCCCCCTTCTTTCTCTTTCCTCCCACCCTTGGGCCTATGGCGTCTTCGGTTGCTGTCCGCTTCAGCATAGTACGCCTACCGGTGCATCGTCTCGTTGGCGCCGGCGCAGGTAGCTCCCCTCTGCGTCGCAGCAGACCTGACCCGTCCTCTTCCTCGTCTGCCTTTTCGTCCTGCTCCTCCTCGTCCCTCTCTTCTGTGTATTTAACTCGCCCATCCCCTCTCCCCTCCTCCATCCCTTTTCCCCATTCCTCCCCATTTCCTCCATCCTCATCGTTGCTTCGTCCCATCTCTCCCACCAAAGCATCCCACTCTCGTCACTACTCGTCCTCGTCATCATCTTCACATCTTCATCCTCCGTCCAACGCCTCCTCCCCACCACCACCCACCAATTCATCGTCCTCCACCATGGCCGACGTGCCCCGTCCCACCGGCACCATTGCCACCAAGGGCATTGAGCTCTTCACCCTCAACACCCCCAACGGCTACAAGGAGTCGGTGCTCCTCGAAGAGCTCAAGGACGCCTACGGCATCGACTACACGTGGCAGCTCATTGACATCTCCAAGAACATCCAGAAGGAGCCCTGGTTCACCGCCCTCAACCCCAACGGCCGCATCCCCGTCATTGTCGACCACGACCGCAACGACCTCGCCGTCTTTGAAGGCGCCGCCATCCTCAACTACCTCGTCGCCCGCTTCGACAAGGACCACAAGTTCAGCTTCGACCCGGCCACCGAGCCCGACCAGGTCGCCATTGCCGAGTCGTGGATCGCCTGGCAGCACGGCGGCCTGGGCCCCATGCAGGGCCAGGCCAACCATTTCCTGCGCTACGCCCTCGACAAGCAGTCGCACTACGCCGTGCAGCGGTACGTCGGCGAGACCGAGCGGCTGTACGGCGTGCTGAACACGCGCCTGGCGGACCGTGACTTCATTGCCGGCGCCGGCCGCGGCAAGTACAGCATTGCAGACATCGCGGCGATCGGCTGGGCCTCGGGCATGCAGTTTGCGGGCGTGGATGTGGCCAAGTTCCCCAACGTCGTGGCGTGGGTGCAGCGGGTCCACGCGCGCCCCGCAACGGCCCGCGGCTTCACGATCCCCAAAGTAGGCGCCTACACCGATGCATACCGGGAGACGCGCCTGCAGGATCCCGAGGCCGCCAAGAAGGAGGAGGCGTCGCTGGCGTTCCTGGCCGATGCCCAGAAGCAGTTCAACTACAAGTACACGAGCCCGTAAGGAGGTGCGCGTGGGCCGTGTTGTCCAGAGGCAAAAGCAGTATGACAAGTTATATATCCAATATAAGCCGATATGATGGCCGAGTACATTTTGTTTTGTGTTGCAAGTCGATAAGTGAGAAAGTCATTCATTCAAGATTCAGGGAACTGATGCCCTCAAGCTGACAATATGAAGAAGGGCGAAAGAAAGAATGAAAAAAGGAAGCGAAGCAGAACCTAACAAACGGTTGTGTCGTTATATTCTCTGTCGTTGAACACGGCTGTCAGCCTTCCGCTGGCGCGTGTAAGTCGTAATGCGACGTTTGGCGTCAGCAGGAGTGAGATTTTTAAAAAAGGAAACAAAAAAAAAAATTCAACGTAGCCGCGTGGAGCTCAGTTAAATGCAGGTCACCCGGCCCCCACAAACGACCTGAGATGACAAGGGAAAGCACACATGTCGAAACGAAGAAATGAAAACAAACATAAAGCAATAATAAAAGACATAAATAAAACCTGATTTGATATCTTTTCATTATATTTCCAATAAAATCTTTTCCCAAAACCCAAAGTCAACATAAATAACAGCGTCAACGGGATCTATCGGCATGTGGCCGCTTTTGCCCGGTCGCCGTTTCGGGAAAGTCGAGGTCTTCGATGGTTCTCCGCCATTTGTGTAGACGACGGAAAGACGTCAAACGAAAGGGTCGAACCAGGGTCAAACCCACAGCACGTGGATGTTTCTATTACCATCATGAGGTCAAAATTCTGGCTCATTTAGGTATAGACGCTCAGACTGACACACTTGCGTGCGCTCGTACAATCGTACACACTCGTACACTAAAACACAAGCACACGAACGCATACGTCACCAGGCATCGTGCACGCCATACTCAATCCGCTCGTAAAGGAGACACCATCAGAACATGTAGGAAATCTCGCGCATGTTTACCAGTAACGGCGGTCATAATCGCGTGGAGGGTACCCATTATCACGCGGATAACCGGCATCGCGGGGCGGAAAGTCCCGGGGCGGCGGCGGGCGATCGTAAGGGCCACGGTTGGCATACGGGTCCGGCGGCGGGTAGTCGCGGCGGTAGGGGTCGTCGTAGCGGCGCTGTGGGGGCGGGTAGTCCTCCATTGGAGGGCGGCGGGACGGTGACGCGTAGCGCATGCGGTCGTCATAGTAGTCGCGACGGGGACTACGGTCGCGGTAGTTGTCGCGGTAGCCCGGGCCATCTCGGCGCGGGCTGTATCCGCCGCGAGGCGGCGGCGGACCACGTCGATCATAGTCATCACGAGGCGGTGGGTACGGCCGCCGTGGTGAGCGAGACCGACCACGGTCGCGATACTGGAAATCAGTGTGCGACTGTTTGCTGTGAGCGATACGACTTGGCAATTGCGAATCCTGGGTACTCCGCAAACAACTTACAATTGCTGTGCAGGTGACAACTTTGTCCCTAAACTCCGTGTTGTTTAGTTTCTCAATAGCCGTAGCGAGATCCTGGGCCGTTTCGAATTCGACGGAGCTGTCCTGTCAGTATGGAACACTGCGTGATATGTGATCTGAGAAAAATAAATGCGGGATTCTTACCCGTCACCAGACCGGCTGGTCTCCGAGTAAACCACGTCCAGTCCCGATCGGCGAGCAAAGTCTTTGAGATCCTGTAGGCCAGAGAGTCCGTAAGTTCGTGGTCCAGGAAACGTTGCGTGCTATGATGGTGTTGGGTCATTGGTGCTGGGTGTTTGTGCTTTGTGCCTCCTTCTGCCGTTGGGCCTAAGGTATGAGTCTTCCAGGTTCTTCACCTTCCTAGGACAAGCAAGGAGAAGAGCTTGACCATCCAGTTATAACCAAACCAATAAGAGAGCGTGCGTGTGGGAAGATGATGCAAAAAACGCGAGAGGGTGAACGCTAGAAATAGATACAGAGAGAGCCGAAAAACCATCCAAGGGGCTCCGTAGCCAGAAGCACCAGATCGTGAGTCTGCCAGTATGTCGTACCAGTCCGCTCCTGGAAGGTGCCGGGTGAGGGACTTGGGACGGAGAGAGGAAAGAAGAGGAGAACGTGATATGGCGGCCACCAAGGATGAGAAATAGGTGAAAAACAAGCCATCGAAAAAGAGAGAAGAGAAAGCCGGCAAGGCCAGGAGGAAGGACGACACACGAGAGTTGCGGCGAGACGAGCTGTTGGCGAGAGGCCCGCGGTGTTTCTGGCTGGCCCACAAGACGTTTCCAAGAATTGCTGTCCAAAGGAGGAGAACGGAGGGGCGTCTCCAGACGCAAAAGAACAACAACCATCCAGAGAAAGGGCTATATTAAATAAGGAGGGGGGCATGCAAGACGTGACGACACACGAGGGAAAGCAGAGGAAGAGGGTGCGGGAGATATACGGACCTGCCAGCTGGTGTCGTTGGGAAGGCCGGTGACACCCATCCGGTGAGCGGTGCGCCGTGGCCGGGGTGGTGGGCGTTCTTGAGATGTGTTTCCATTGCCGCCACCGCTGCCGCCGTCGCGGGTATTGCGAGCGCCACGCGCAAACTGGACTGTGAGGCGTTCACCCATGAATGTCGATCCGTCTTCGGGAAAAGGCGCAAGCGTGAATGTTAGTAAAGGGGAAACCAACAAGCGCATGGTGTCAACAAAGAACCAACTGGCTGGGCCGAGAACTACATACGAAAAGCTGGCACGACGTCGCGGGCATCCATGGCGTCCTTGTATTCGATGAAACCAAAGCCGTTCATCAGCTTGATCTCCAGGATATCACCGGTGCCATGTTTGTTGAAGTGGTTCTCGATGTCGGTTTTGGTGACTGTGGCCGTGAGGTTAGCGGTCGTGAAGGCGTGGCGGTCAAGCCTGGCAGGGCTGAATTGTGAGCTAGCATAGCTTGTTCGCAGCATACCAGTTCGTGGAAGGTTGCCCAGGTAGAGGCGGGTATTGGACACTTCGGTTGATCCAGAAGGCGTCGGGGCCGTGGATATGGGGCCCGTTGCCGTTGACATAGCGGACCAAGCTTCGGAGGAAGGTCTTTATTGAAGATTTCCAGATGGTGTAACTTTCGACGCAAAGGTCGGCGTACCCTAGATGAAGGAGACTTCGTCGGACAATCGGTCGGGAGGGTCTGGTCGAGGTAACTCGCAATGGTACTTTGGTGTAAACGGGACGAAGGAGACAAAGGATCGCTATAGAGAAGCAGTTCGGATGAAGGTCGAGAAATGCAAGTTGTTGAAAGCTCGGTCACAGTTGGCGAAATGAGAAACCGGAAAATGATCCGCTCGCTTGGGCAGACACTGGGAAAGGAGCTCGAAACAAGACGCAAGGTGAAGGCTCGCTCGGTGAGGAAAAGCTCGCAAAGCCCACTGAAGAAAAAGCACGGACGGGAAAGCGTGACGTCTTGAAGGGCGCAACAAGGATGAAAAATGAAGAAGGGGAGCAAAATGGGGGAGAGACGCAGAGACGGCAGCGGTGTGTTTATTATGGAAGAGCTCCTTGTAGAGCCGAACGGCTAGCTTGCAGGGGTTGGGTCAGATGGGGCGACCGCGTGTGTGGAGAGGTGATTGAAACGGGCAGAAAGTGGACCCTGTGTGAGTAAAAGGCTGTGATTGACAATGATGGAGGACGAGATGGACGCGCGCGCGAAAGAAAAAAGGTCGACGAAGTGGGATAAAGATGCAAAAAGATACAAAAACATGAGGTATTTTGAGATGAAAAGAAGAGAGATGCGCGGATAAGGAACAGAGGAGAAGGAGGGGAGGCAGTGGCCAAACAATATCAGGCATCGGACGGGCGTGGAGGGCAGGAGCAAACGGCCAACGAGGAGAGCCTGTAAGCCGGACGGAAGGTGCCCAGTGTGGAAAGGACGATCCGCAAATGAGTGAGGTGATTGGGGAAATCGCAACTGCGCAGAGTGAGGAAGGAGCATGGGGGTCTCTGGTCAGGCGGGCAGGCGCGCTCCACGGCTCTTTCCTGGTGTCGCATGTTCCAAGGAGACGCCGTTTATTTCCCTAAAACAACGTCGCAATGCTCCTTCGTTTGGATGCTGCCGTATCGAAGTTGGTTTTGATCATCGTGCTGTGATTGATTTATCATATGTTTTTGTTTATTTTTTGCAACGAGTCTCCATACGTGTCCGGCTACAAGGGTAGGATCATAGCCTGCAGTAGCATTGCATGTGGGAAAGACTTCAGTGCAGCGCAGTGCAGCAACACGAGGCAAGAGCGCACGATCTCGGGGAACAGGCAGCGTCGGTGGATGAGAAAGGCAAGAGCGGGCGTGGGCGTGGGCGCTCACAGCGGGTGTTCGCGAGCGTGACAAGTCAAAAGAGAAAGAACGAGGGGCTGGTTGGGTTTGGGCGAGAAGAAAAAAAGCGGGGCACGTGTGGCCTGCAGCCTGACTGCCGCCCAAGGCACCGGCGATGGAGACAAGAGGTGCGACAAGCCGTAAATGAATGGCCTGACCGAAGTCTTGGCTGGTCGGGCTAGCCTGATACAGAGCTCAACATGAGAGAGATCAGATGGGTGCTGTACTCCATAATTGGACAAGCGACTGTGAGTGTGCAATTTCCAGCGGCTCTTGGGACAAGATGAGAGATGAGATGTGATGACCTTCGTATCTGTCACTCATATCTGCTCTTCTTCGCTGACTATGGCTGCAGACGAGACGTAAATAGGATTAAGTGAATTGATTGAACATGCCAGGGACAACGGCTGTCCAGGTAGTAATGCGTGACGGGTACGGTGGTATACAACAGACAATAAGATAAACGGACAAAAAGGCCAGCAAAGTCAAAAAGTAAAACAAGAGCGCCGTGGCTATGCAACACCGTCGATCCCCTGTCCCCAAGCAGCACGTGCCTCCTCGCCTCCTCGCCTCACGCCTCGCCAAACAACACATCCACGGCCTCGTCGAGAATCGTAAACGCAAGATGGGCACTATCATCGGTTAGCAGGGGGGAAAGGAGGGGGTAAAATACCATAGATAGGGCAGTCATCGCCCAGGCACGAAGGGGAGAACCTACTTTAGTCGGCTGTTGTTGAACGTGGCAAAGATGCGCCGGCTCGCGGCCTGCGCGTTGAGCCGGCCGACAACGCTGCCCGCGAGGTCCGGCACGAGCGTGGCCAGCATCAGGCCGGTCTCGTTGCGCGTGCGCGCCTTCTGGGCGGGCGTGCGCGGCGGCTTCTTGATGCCGTCGGCCGGGAAGAGCGCGTCCTGGACCAGCCCCAGGTACTTGAGCAGGGCCTCCTCTTCCTGCAGGTGGGTGCGCACGTTCTCGCGCAGCTTGCGCTCAATGGTGCCGCCGAGCAGCTGGTGCAAGACGACGACGACAGCGCGGCCGCGGAGCCAGTTGTTGCCGCGGTTGAGCTCGAAAATCTCCAAGAAGATGTCGCAGATGGGCTTGACAAAGGGCGCCGCGGTCTCGTCGGGCAGCGTGGACGTGGCGGCGGCCAGCTCGGCAGCAGCCTCGGCCGAGGCCGCGACGGCGGCACCGGACGCCGACGCATTCTGGGCAGCCGCCGCATTGTGGGCTGCGGCGCCACCGCCCAGCTGGCTCGCGGCGGCCGCAATCAAGTTCTGGCCGGCCGTCGACAGCTGGTCCAGCACGGGGATGCTGCCGAGAATGTCCTCCATGCCGTCGGCGACGGAATCGTAGAGCCGCGAGATAACGTCGCGGCGGTCGGCGTCGAGGTTGCCCACGGACGCGGGCATATTGGTGCCACCACTAGCACTGGCACCCCCGTTGACATGCGTCGAGATCACGCGCTGCGACAAGAACGCGCGCAGCTCGCGGCTGCGACAGACGTCCGGCATCAGCAAGAGGGCGCGCAGGTAGCGCTCGAGGGCGGCGCGCCGTTTCTGCAAAAAGTCGCCCTGCAGCTTGTTGAGCACAACGCGCCGGCGCGGGAAGTCGAGGGCGCGCACCGAGGGATAGCGGCCGCGCAGCCGCTGGTGCAGCTCCCAGAACGCGCTGTAGCGGCGGACGACGGTCCAGGACACGGTGGCCGTGCCCGACGTTGCCATGTCAGCGTCGCGCCGCACCTCGATGACGTACTGTGCGTACTCTTTGCCCGTGTCCTCTTCGCGGCCCGACTGCACGCTCGTCAGGCGCACGTTGGCGCGGCCGTACAGACTGTTGTCCGTCTCTTGGAGGGCGTACTGCTGGCGCTGCAGCTCCTTGCGCCGGATCTCCCGCTGCAGGCTGGCCTTGGACTTGCGTAGAATGCGCAGCTCGGCGGTGTTGTTGGTGAGCTCGGCTTTTTTGAGGAGGGAGTTGACGACGGCGTCCTGGGCGCCCAAGCGGTCAATGTCGTCCGAGAGCGCGGCAATGGCCTCGACCAAGCCCAGATCGCCCGGTGCCGCCTCGTGCACGCCGCCTTCGTCGCTGTCGCCGGCGCCGGCATCTTTGGAAAAGTCTCTATCCTTGGCGGACGGGCCTTCCAGCAAGCCACTCCCCGCCAAGTCGGACCCGCCATCACCCTCGTCGTCCGACATGTACTTGGCCTGGTCGTCCCCAAACAGGTCGTCGTCCTCAAACACGCCAATGCGCGAGGCGGCACTGACCAGGCCCAGGGACGCAAGACTGGGCTTGCCGCTGTTGTCGCCGTGGAGCAGCAAGGCGTGCGCGTGAGGGTTCGGGTGCACGTGGCCAGCGCCGGGACCGGAACCGGGACCTTGGGACAGCTGCGGCGTACTACCGCGCCTCGGCTCACCTCCCACCTTTTTGGTGCTTGATGTGCTGCCGCCGTCGACATCAATCCCCGAAAAGATGCTTCCCTTGTCGGGAGTGCTGCTCCTTTCGGCCTCGCCGTCATCGTCACCAAAGAGCGACGCCCGCAGGTCTTCGGCGGTCGTCGGGCGCTTGTCCTCCATGATGGTCGTCAGCGCCTGCTCCACGGCCTGCACGACCTCGGTGTCGGGCACGTTGGGGTCGCCGCCGCCGAGGCTCTGCACAGAGTCGGCCATGGGATCCGGCGCGGGCGGGGGGGCTGCCAAGTTGCCGGTGCTGTTTGCTAAGCCACTGTTGCTGTTGCGGCCCGCACTGCCGCGTGGTGTCGTGAAGAAATCGTCGTCGTCGCCAAAGAGCGGGGTCGACGAGTTGTTGCTGTTGATTGCGCTGTTGCTGACGCCGTCGAGGGAATGTCGAGGGAAGAGCGGGTCGTCCTGGGCCATCAGACTGCTGTTGGCAGCGGGAGTGGTCAATGTCGTGCCCGTTGTGCGTAGATCCGTTGCCGAGCCTGCCCGCCGCGTCGGTGCCATCCCGTTGCCGCTACCTGCGCCAACTCCAGTACCTGCTGTCCCGTTGCCCGTCGTCGCTTGTGCACCCCGCAAGAGTCGGCTGGCCGGGTTTGGTGGTAGGGGCTTGTTTGGCGTGGCTGTACCTGACGAGTGTGCTTGTGGAATTGGGACGGCAGTCAATGGTGAAACGGACCGTTGCATCTGCTGCTGCTGCTGCTGCTGTTGACGCTGTTGCGCCGCGTCTTCCGTGGCGAGACATTTGTAGAACAGATCCGACTTCTTGAAGCCCTGAAAATGTTTGTCCTTCATCTCATTGAGCACAGCCATCTGGGCGCGTAGAATTGCACGGCGTGCCCGGTAGTACTGCTCGGGCGTAGCGGCGGGGCCGGCCTCCAGAAACACGCGCACCGTGCGGCGCGACGCATCCGAAATATGCAGTGCAGGCTGGGCGAGGTAGGCCTGGTCGATTTGGGCGATGTCCAAACGGTCCGCTTCGGTCCAGGGCGCGAGGCTGGCCGGTGTGTCGTCGACCGAGGTATCGAGCTCGTCGTCGTCATCCTCCTCCTCGTCTACTTCTTCAAGGGGATTGCGCAGGCCGTCGACGACGAGCCAGAACTGGACGAGGGGCATGAGCCGCTGCCGGTCCATATACTCCATGAAGTACGACAGAGCCGAGGCGTCGCGCAGCAGATCGGCCAGGCTGGCGGTCTCGAGACGGGAAACGGTGGGTGCCATGGGCCCTGCAAAAGAAAGTGGATGGCTGCCAGGACCGCCAGCGCCGGCACCGGCACCGGCACCGCCAACACCGCCGCCACTACCTAGTCCTGCCGGTGTGCCCGGGCCACCTGACGAGTCGTTGCCGACCAGAGCATGGCTATTGGCGCCGCCCGTAGCATGGATCGTGCCGTGCTTGCTGTCACCTCCAGCGGCCAGGTACTGCACTTTTTGGTCGAGCAGCCGCTTGCTCATCTCGAGCCGTCTCAAATACACCGTCATCTCGGGGTTGCTGTTGTGGCTGCCCGTGCCAGCGTGCAGGTCCTGGATCTGCTGCTGGGAGTCGCGCTTGAGCTGGCTGGCCACCTCGCTGCGGAATCGCCGTGCGTCGGACAGGATGTTGGTTTTGCGGATCGCCCGCACAAAGCGTTCGAACCGACGCTCGCTGTCGCCCGGTACCAGGCGAGGGAATGCGGCAGGCGGTGCTGCACGGCCACCCGATGCGCCTGCTCCACCGGCCAGGGCTGCCGCCGCCGCCGACAGCGGTGACGACGAGCGGCCGCCGCTGCCTCCGCTTTTCAACACAGCTCCGGACGAGGATGCGTGTTGGTCCAGCGCCGCCCGCAGCCGCCGCACCGTCGATCGGTCTTGCAGCATCGTCCGGCCGTAGTTCTCCATCAGCTGGTTGTACGTGTCTGGGTCCGCGAGCAATTGCAGCAGAGGGTACAGCACGGCGCACGCCACAATCTCGCGCACGAGCGCCGCGACGGGGCGGCTGGCCAGGAAGGGCGCGGGCAGCAGTTTGGGCAGCAAGCGGTCGCCGACCAGTTTTCGCAAGTAGTCCTGCTGCACGAGGCGCGTGCTGGCCTCGGAATAGGACAGCTGGGCGGCCGGGTGCAGTCCGTCCTTTGTTTCGTTCCTCCCTTCAGTCGCGCCCGCGGCAGCCCTGGTCTCCCGGTACTTGGCCGCAATCGCCAGGTCCAGCTCGTCCGACTCGGTCACGGACCGGTTCAGCTTCCGGCCGCGCACTGCCCGCTCGGCCTCGTTGAAATCGTGGAAGTGCGCCGTTAGCAGCGGCACGAGCCGGCTCGTCAGGACCTCAACGACGTCGTCGACTCCTAGAAGACGGTCCCGGAGGTGGCCCAGAGCGACGCGTACCGTGGCATCGACGTTGTTGGGAAACGTGGGGTTCTGGAGGGGCCCCGGTGCGCTGATGTGGGCGTACCATGAGCGGACGTTGTCGCGCAAGATGCCGGCCAGGATGGAGTCGAGGGCGGCCGAGACGCGTGGCATGGCCGGGTACAGAGGAACGGGGTGGTAGACGAGGCTGGCACGCAGGGCGGCGCGTTCCTGGGTCCAGTGGGCAGGCGAAACGAAGGCGGCGGTCGGGGTTCGTCGCGGAGAGGTCAATGTCGTGATGGTGGCCCTCGCCGTGGTTGTGGCCTCGGGGGCATAGATGGGGATGCGCACGGCGACAACAAATGCCAGAAGGCCGGCACAGCTCAGGAGAGCACCGGCCACGACGCCATGGCCGGCGAAGCGGATCGCCGGGAACCAGTGCGTGGCATAGCCCCAGGCAACGAAGCCGGCCACGCCGGCCAGCACGACGTCGCGCGCCCGCAGGGCCATCGTGGCCGCGGGCAATAAAGGGAGAGTGTGTGTCGGAGTCTGCTCGCAAAGGTGCTTCGTAGGTTGTCGTTCGCTGTGTCGTCGTTCATCTTTGGCCGACGGTGACGTCGATGTCGTTAATTGGGGGACTTTGAGTTGACGTCGACAGTGCCCCTGGCTTGGGACCGAGCTCAGGGTCGCGCTTTACTACAAAAGCGTTAATTAGTGGAGTCAGCCCCCAAATGCAGGTTCGCTGGCTGTAATTGGCAGCCACCAGCAAGGTCACCTGAACACCACAGAGCAGGCAGGCGAGGCCCGACTAGCCCCCACCTAGCGACATTTCGTAGTTGTGGCAGTCAAGTGTCAAGCTGAGTAGGTTTGGCGATATACGCAGTTCGTCGTACGGAATAATGACACTTCCCTCGCAGTCACTCACCACAACGGTTCTCGCGAATTCACATGTATTGAAAGCTTTTGCGACCGTTTTGTTTTGTTTCTTTATATTAAACCCTCCGAGACGTGCTCATAAATTGGGTATGTACATTCCAAGGCAACTTCGGCCTGTTAAACATTAAAAAAGAGCTTCTATGTGCCCCATGGCATGAAAAACAAATAGCAATGACGAAAACAGTTGCGTGCAAGTGTTCTCTTTCGGATGAGAAAACGGCTGGAGGCGACGCAAAATGGACAAACAAGAACATGAACAAGTAACCACTGCAAAACGCCGTGTCCATTGTATGTTGATGCTCCGATGTGCGTGAAGTGGCCACGTCGTCAATTAAACGAGGGCAAAAGTCATGACAGGAAAGTCTTCTAGAAACGAGAAGCGCCACGCATTTCTCGATTTATGCCTTGATCGAGTAGGTGCGCTGGAACATGTCGTTGATGTTCTCCAGATAGTAGACGCCGCTGGCAATGTCAGCGACCTGGCCTTCGGGTGTATAGTTCTTCTGGAGGTGGGCCTTCTTGCGCAGATCGCAGAGCTGGTGGTGTTAGCGGAACGTCCGATGAGAGGTAGAGAGAGAGAGATATAGAAAGAGAAGGGCAAACTTACAGCATCGTAGGTGGCAGGGGGGACGGCCTTGCGGGCGGCGAGGCGGGCCGGGATGTCGAGCGTCTTGAAGATCTCCTCGGTGCTGCCGTTGATGCGGAACGAGCAGAAGCTGGCAGCCAAACCGGAGCCGTAGCTGAAAAGGCCAATGCGCTTGCCCTGCAGAGCAGACGACTCGTTGTGGCTCAGGATGCCAGCCAGACCACCCCAGACACTGGCGCAGTACATGTTGCCGACATTGGTGGCGACCTGGAGGCCGCTGTTGACGCGCTCCTGGAAGCGCTTCTTGGTGAGGCCCATGAAGGTCTTCTCGACGACCTTGTCGGTCAGCGACTTCTCGTACGGCATGTCGCGCAGGTCAGCGGGCACCTCGGCAAACTGTGCATTGTCGGGGTTGGCCAGGTAGTCGTTGTACAGCAGACGGGCGTACGACTTGGCGACCAGCTTGCAGGTGGGCGCGTGGAAAGCAACGTAGTCGAAGCGGTCGAGGGGCGCCTTGGACGCATCGGTGGCCTCGCCGTTGCTGTGGCCGTTGGTACCGTTGGCGCGGGCCAGGACGGTCTGCTCGCGGGCGTTGTAGGCACGGTACGAGGCGTCCAGGGCGCGAGTGTAGCAGGTGAGGGAGTAGTGGCCATCAACGTAGGGGTACTCGCTGGTCAGGTCGGGCTTGTAGAAGTCGTAGACGTGCGACATGTAGGTGCCGCGCAGACCGGGCTCGATCACGACGGGCGCGTTGGGGCCAATGAGCATGGCGACGGCACCCGCACCACCCGAGGGGCGGGCGTTGCCCTTGGCGTAGAGGGCAATGTCACCAGCAACGACAATAGCGTCACGGCCGTCCCAGCCGCTGGACTCGACCCAGTTGATGGCGTTGAAAACGGCGTTGGTGCCGCCGTAGCAGGCGTTGACGGTGTCGACACCCTCAATGTTGGTGTTGTCGCCGAACAGCTGCATGAGCACGGACTTGACAGACTTGGACTTGTCGAGCATGGTCTCCGTGCCGACCTCGAGGCGGCCAATGTTGTTGGTGTCGATCTTGTACTTCTCGATCAGGTTCTTGGTAACCGTCAGAGCGAAGGAGTAGATGTCTAAAGGGGTACGATGTCAGCAGAGGGCATTTTGAGCTTGAGCACCTAGGACATATCGCCCTCGCGCCCTTCAAACCCTCTCGGAATGGATAATTTACCCTCGCGGTCGTCGCAGAAGCTCATGTTGGTCTGGCCGAGGCCAATGGTGTACTTGCCGGTGCTGACACCGTCAAACTTCTCGAGCTCGGCCTGCTCGACATACTGGAGAGTTGAGACTGGTCAGTAACATGAGGATACGAGAGCGCGCGTACTTGCGACAGAAACGAAAGCAATTGTGCGAAGCTAGACCATGTGGTACGGCGAATATGCAGGGTTTCGTTGGTGGCCAGTGGGTGGGGTAGATTGGGAAAAGAGCTGCGAAAAAGGGGGAAGAGGAGACTGGATTGGGCGGATGCGTCGCGCCAAAAAAAAAAAAAATCACAGCACGAGACACATGAGACGAGGAGCAACACCCAAGACAAGTCGGTAAACAAGAGACAAATAAGAATGGCAACATGGTGCACAAACACAGAGACGCAGGAGCAGCACGCAGGACAAAGTGGACGAGTAATTGGGGCACGGGGACACCAACCTGGCTAGGGAAGTAAATCTCAATGGCCTTGATGCCGATGTTCTCCGGGCGGGACGACATGATTGCGAGTGGCAGGGAGTTTGTGTATGCGTGGCAGGTAAATTGAGGCGGAAACCAGGGTCGAGGGGATTGAGAGATTCGAAGTGGTCAAAGATCGAGAGGTAAGAGAGGAAGAAGAGGTCGAAGTCGAGGTGCAGCGTGGGCGAGAAATTAGGATTGAAACGAGAGAAAAAGAACGACAACGGAATCCGCAAAGGGGGAACTAGGCAGTTAGCACGAGTGTCTTCAGATGCTAGGAATCGGTGGCCCAGCTCCTATTGTCGGTGGCGGCCAGCGGGCAATCAATTGAAAGGTTACATCCAAAGAGGGAAAATCGACCAGTCCTAAATGAGAGCGAGCAGCCAAAAAGCGTGCAAGGCCAGGCCCCCAACACATGTTCACCGCCGTTTTCTCTCGCCCCAGGGCACAACCCCACGCATCTTGAGGGCAGCTAAGAGCAACGAGGAGCAGCAAGGCCAGAAGAGGGCCGAAGCCTCGAGGGCAAGAGACAAAAAGGGGTACGAGGGTCCAGGCCCACTGTGTGATGGAGACATGGTGCGCAACCGGCCAATGCATTGCTCGCAGCGATGTGTAGTGCGCCGGTAGTGCTGGGTAGTGCTACCATGGATTGGATTACTCCAGACGGGGAAGTACATCATGTCTTGTACTTGGGCGGCCGAAAAGATAGTGGGTAAACGAGACGCGGACGCACCTTTGTTTTAGTTTAGTGGACGGCAACGACAGCTGTACGAAATGGACAGTGAGGAAGGCTGAGGGGAGAAGAGGTGTTGAAGGACGAGAAGATTTTGAAAGTTGGTGATCATCCAAAGAAGGGGACGTCGATGGTAGTGAAGAGGTAGAGGGAGTATTTATAAGAAGAAGAAAAAAAGAAAGAAAAACGAAAAAAGGGTGAGAGTGCAAATGATGGCCTCCGTACGAATGTATATTAGTGTAAAGTAAGAGGGTATGGACAAAGAGGCGCGAGAAACAATGGCAAGCAAAATGGTTGCCAGGGGCCAGTTTTGATAAAGTAGAAAGAAAAGAGAGGTTGGAGATGAAGTCCGTGGGGATGTGGTCTGTGATTGCAGTCTTAGGTTAGGACTTGAATGCAAAAAGGGAAGGCAATACGAATTAGAGAGCAGCTTGAGCGACAGACAGGGAAAGAAGGCGGGCGGCAGCTGTCTGGTTTTTGTTGGGCGGTTGACTGATCCTGCCGTTTATGCGATTTCGGCAGAGACAGAACTACAGAATACGGTAGACGAAAGAAGAAAGTACACACACCAACAGCATCCATCACGAACACGGAAGGTGCAGGTTGTTGCCCAGACGAGAGTCGCGCTTTCCCGCAACGTCGGGTGGCCGATCACGAAAGAGCGTACCACGATGGAGCGACCCCAGTCCAGCCGAAGAATTTCAGGCAGAAACATTTTAAAAGTCAATTTTGACTCTTTTCTGGCCCCTTGGCCCGGTCTCGTCAAGAAACGTCGTCATCTTGGAAAGGATGTTTGTTCTAACCCCGTCCAGCGGATCACGGAAGACTAAGAGCTGTGGGTTTTGCTGGCTGGGGATCATGGGTCAGTGCTGTTTTTTGGTGGTCACTCTTGGTCATATCCCTGCCCTGCATCGCTCCTTCCCCTGGTGGCACATCTCACAGCTTCTTTTAGGAAAGAGGCGGCCGGGAATTGTGCAGATGAGACCATTCTCGGGGGCTCTAAACAATTAGTACCGAGCCACTTCATTTTTGCTTTAATTAAAGAAGAAAAAATCGATGACGAAAAATCAGTAGGACAAGGAAGGCAAGAACGATGATGTCTGTGCCCCTTTTTGGGCCCGCAAAAAAGTTCGAGGCAAGAAGGACGGAAGGCTACCAAAATTTGTTAGGCATTTGGCGGAAAGAGCGTCCCATTTTGTTGAGCCGGACGTCAAAGTGCCAACAAAAAAAAAAGTCAATTCCACACTCACTGTCTGCGTCGATCAACGACGTCCTACCGACGGTTTTCCACATATTACGGCAGCCTGCTCCCGGGTTTGTTCCATTCTGGAAGAAGAGGCCGAGGAAAGAAAACGACAAATTTAAAATTACAGTTTTCTGATCGACCGTTCGACTCTCCCCACAGGGCCACAGGCAGCCTTGTTTCTCTATGCGGCTATTGGCCAATGGCTCTTTTTTTCTTGTTAATTCCGTGCCTCATTGAATCCTTGTTCCTGACTGGCGCTGCAAGGCACGGCATCGGACATAGAGAAGAGGCTGTGTTGATCTTGGTCTTTCATCTTGTTTCGCCATATTCTGTCCTGCCCCCAACCCCCCAAACGACAACGGGGTAATCTCTCGCCCGAGATGCGTCGTCATCCGAGATTTTAACAAAATCAGAAACTCAGCTGGCCATGGCTGGCATGGCGCCGGGCACTGGGCATCGCTGCAAGCGGCAGCATTAGCGAATCGCAGAGCGCATCGGCATTCGGGCAATGGCGGTTTGGGGTGCCTGCATTGCTATTGTACCACCGCTCCCTTGCTCTTTAACTTGCGACGGAGTGGCAACCATCACGATTCAGAGTAAGATGGAAACGCCAAGACGGCCTTTGTCCTTTGATTACGGAGTGGAGAGTAACGTGATGTCACCTTCTCTTTCATGTTTGTATTGTTTTGTTTTGAATCGCGGCTTTGCAAATTCGATTTGAAATCAGGTAAGTAAAATATGTCTGCCTGGAGGGTGGTCGTATTGGTTCTGATGAAGTCAAGGGAGGACATCTACCAAGGTAAGATGCTATACAAATAGAGACGATAAAAGTGGCTGACGGCCAATAATTCATTATTTGTTGTTGTCCGGCGGAACCTTCCGTGGCCGGGCGTAGCCTTCTTGGTCGGCAAAACGGCATCTAACAAGTCGGGCGGAGGTCGATGGCGTGGCCAACCAGGCATCAACACAGCCCGTTTTACAGAATACTAGTGTGAGACCATAGAAGAGATATGTCAACATTACTTCGTAAATCAGCTAACAAAAATGAAGGGAGATAATAGGCTGCAAGACGTGAGGTCGTGGGCTGACAAAAAAAGAAAGAAAAGACGAGAAATAAGCAAGAGAAATGCACCCTTTCCATTCCAATCTCCCACGTCCTCAACTTGGCAACTGCATGAACCGGTCGTAGTACGAGTCGAGCCACCGCGCTGCCTCCACGCCTGACTCGTCGATACTCGAGTCCCACCGGCCAATGGACCCGACATAGCCATCTGGCCGCACGTTGACAATCGACACTTCGCCGGGGCCGAGGCTGCCGAGCCACTTGTTGGTGCAGAGCGCGCCGCGTGTGTCGAGCTCGGGCACGTCGTCCAGGTAAAAGGTCCAGCGGCTGTCCTGCAGCAGCGGCGGCAGGTCGGCAATCTCGATCTCGCTCTTGGGCATGGTGGCTGCAGACACTGTGTTAGTCGATCCAAACGGAGACAACATGCAAAAAGAAGGAAAGAATGGTTGGGGCGGGGTCCCTGCGACGCACTGATTAAAGCAAAGGTAAACAGGTGGCTAATGGCCGTGTAGCGCTCCGGCCGCAGGTAAATGTCCTCGGGCGCCGAGAAGCGTGGCTGCAGGCCGTACGAGATCTTGGCGGCCGCGGACAGCCGGTTGACCAGCGAATCGGCCGACGCAATCGCCTCACAGAAGGTGTCGAGGAAGACGCGCGACTGGTGCACGTCCCACATCAGCAGGTAGATGCGGAACTGGCCGAGCATGGGGATGTCGAGCTGGATGTCGACGGGGTTCGAGTCCAGGTACCGCCGGACCTTGGCGGGCGGCAGCAGGCACCCCGGCTTGGCGTCGCCCATCATCCACGTCGCCGCATGCTCCAGGTCGACCATGTTGAGCGCGTTCTCCGAGTACTCGGCGCCGATGCCCGAGATGAAGCGCACGTTCGTCTTGAAGTTCTCGGCCAGCGCCACGGCGTCGCCCCCGGCGATCTGGTTCGCGTGCTCGTAGTCAAAGTTGACGAGGTCCAGCGCAATCTTGCGGCGCTCTTGCTCGTACGTCTCGAGCAGGACCGGCTTGGCCAAGCCGCGCACGGCAAAGTTGAGCTTCCACGCGAGGTTCCAGCCGTCGTGCATGGACGTGTTCATGCCCTGCGCCGATTTCGGCGAGTGCGTGTGACTGGCGTCGCCGGCCAAGAAGGCGCGGTTGTGGTTGTCGCAGAACCGGCTGGCCACGCGCTGGCCAATCTGGTAGCGGCCGAACCACTCAATGTACTTCCACCGCACGGTAAAGGGCGCCATGATCTCGCGCGCCCGCTGCATGACAAACTCCTGCCCCATCTCGCGCCGGTCGCCCTTGCCCGTGGCGGCGGCGCCCAGGCCGCCTCCTGTGCTGCCGCCGCCGCCGCTCTTGAGCTCAATGTACAGCCGCGTCATGTTGCGCTCGCGCGGGATGATCAGAATCGAGCCCAGGTCTTGCTGGTACACCAGCGTCTTGGACCAGATGTCGGGGAAGTCCGTGTCCAGCTCGCCGTCCAGCACACCCCATACCGCCGGCTGGGACATGCCCACGGGCTTCGCCTCGGGTATGCTCTGGCGCACCTTGGAGTGTGCGCCGTCGCAGCCCACCAGGTACTGTGTGAGGAGCGTGCGCCGGTCGAGCGTCACGTTGGCGCGGCAGTTGATCTGCAAGGGTCCCGTCCCCGTCTTGGAGTCGCACACGCTGTACGACTCAAACGCCGTATTGCGCTGCACGTCGAGCCCGCGCTTCTTCATGTCCTCCAAAAACAGGCTCTCGACCATGCCCTGGTGCACCAAGAGAATGTACGGGTCCAGCACGTCAATGACGGGCGGGTAGTGCACCTCGCGGCCGAGGCGGTGCAGCGGCTCGTCGGGCGTGCCGCGCCAAAACGAAATGTCGTAGACGCGGACACCGCGCTGCAGCAGCGGACCGGCCAGGCGCATTTGGCGGAAGGTCTCGATGGTCTTGGGCTGCAGGCCGTCGGCGCGGCCTACGGGTGTTGGGTCGGCCCGGTCGTCAATGACCTGCACCTTGACGCCAAATCGGGCCAGATTGGCCGCCGTCATCATGCCGGCGGGGCCAGCACCGACCACGCACACTTGACACACGAGCGGCGCCTCAGGCATGCTGCGCAGCATGGTCAGCGGGTCCACGCAGCTCTCCACCGTCATGGACGCCGCCACACTTGTGGCGCCTCCATCCATGGCAACATCGCCTGCGCTGCGGTTGTCGTCGTCGCCACTCGTTGTTTCGAGGACTGCTGGCGCCATGGCTGGCGTGGAAGCTTGACTGCCAGCCAGCTTTATATCTGGATGGGGTCGACAGGGAGGTGGAGATCCGGTCGAAGTGATACCGTCAATCAGCAACTGTAACCTTCCGATAGGACAGTAGAATGGCTAAAATTCTTAAGAGAGCGGCTCTTTTCTGAGACGTTTATATTGACTTTGATGGCAGCCAAACAAGGGACGTCGAAGTGATGGAATCGAGGCCAGTGGAGGTGTGTAAGACTGTTGGCGGAAGTGGCGCTAAGCCGAGGAACAGCTCCCAAAGGCGGAATAGTCTGCAAATCGAGGAATAACTATTGAAAAAAATGTTGGGGGAAGTGTAAGCCGGGCGCAGAAGCCTTGGCCGACAATCTACGCATCGGGGTTGAGGACAACAGGACGAAGCGGGCGAGGAAAATTGCGGGTATCGATGCAAGAACCGAGGATGCAAATTAAGAAAAGCCGGCCGAAAGAAGGGGCAAGGCAAAGGCAAACGGGAAGGTGTAAGGATGTGAGAATAGGAAGGAGCGATGGGCCTCCGGCGTCTAAGCCCACGATCGGGAGGAGGGAAGACAAAAGAAAAAGAAGAGGGAGAAAAGCAAGAGCCGCCGCGACAAGTTTCTGTAAAATAATAACACAAGAGAAGGCAGGGGGCCGGACCGAGCACGGCGCAAGATGGCACCCTCCTTGACTCTGATTCGTCTTTTGACGTTGTGAAGGGACAGATTTGGAGAGAAGCCCAGCCTCGACGGTGTTATGGGCTCATACACATGCGACGCACGTCCAATGGGGGGGGGTCAGCTCGGCCTTTCGTCTCTGCTTGTCGTGTGTTTCCGTGGTATCTCGGGAAGGCTGTAAGAATTGTAGGCGTAGAAATGGAGTGTTCTTGGTAATGCACGTCTTTTAGTCGCAAGTGTCGCGCGTGAGCGGGTGACGGAATGGAGTGGAGAGTTCTTTCCGTGTGGATGTACAAAAACAAAAAGTACATAGAGCGACTGAAAAGGGACAGAGCGATTGAGAAAGGTGAGAAGACGTGCCGAAGATTACAAAAAGGAAAGAGCAAGCGAAGAAAAAGGACGCTGCCCGGAAGGATCGGGGCGTCGATGAGGACAGGATGAAAAGGATGCAAAGTGCAAGTAAAGGACGAACGTGTCAGAGCAAGAACGGTGTCGTCAGACACTGAGCGAGATCGCACGACGACGGCGTGTGGTGACTAAGGCCAGGGCTGGCAAGCGCGATGCAAGACGCAGAGAGCCTCTGGCAAGGAGCCTTTGCTAAGGGAGCCGGCAAGAATAAAGCCGATAATCTCGACGGATACACGCAAGCACAAAAGGTACTCTTGCTTTTGCGGACGAGACGCGCTTGGAGCATATGGTCGAGGAAAAGTACCCAAGCAAATTCGACAAGAAAATTCAGGGGACTCTCAATGCCCATGTTTCTGTTCCTTTATCACTTCACCATTATCTGACTATTGGTTTCTTGCTCTCTCCTCCCAGAGGGGCCTTTGTTGGCGCAAGGGTGGCGTGCGTGACGAGGCGTACGATGCGTCCGAGGCGTACGTTTATCATGTCGCCGAGTTCATTCGATTTCGACGAGATGTGGTCTGATTCTTTGAAGCTCTGGGCCGCGCTGTGCCTTTTGAGGCGTGTCATTGGTCGTGATGAAAGGTACCATGAACGCCTTTTTGTATGGTCTGGGTACTTGTGTCAAAGAAAGTGGAGGTGCCTGCAGGACGCTAAAACGTTCCTGCCTAGCGATGTGTGACCAAATATACCCCGATGTTTTCGCTGCAGCAAAGGCAGGTGCGACCTGCTCGCGCCTTCCATAGCGGGGTCGAACCGCGAGACATCAGACCATTTATTCCTGCCGTCGTGGCTGTCCCTGCCGTTTCTGTCTCGCGCCACCATTGCATCTTGGCCGATTTCTCACCTCTTATCGTGACGCATTCCGTCTTGGATGGGTGACTTCCTCAGTGGGCGATATCCACGGAGGAAGGAGCTGCGGGGACTCTGTTGTAGGTTTCCTTGCACTGCCCATGGCAAAGGGAGCAGGGAGCAGAGAGCACGTGAGTACCATAAATACCAAATGAAGAGCAGCCTCCTGCGACACATACAGAGGCGGATTGGGATTTTAAGCCTCAAAGGTCAACAACCATGGCCGGATCTAGAGTTCGATATGTTTAGTCTCGTTAATCCGGTTGAAGCCAAGCCGGTTTGGCTGCTGTGCATGGGCGATGCCAAAACGAGCAGCTTTCCCAAGCGCCACTGGAGTGGTAAAGAGCAGCAAAAGGCGGCATTGATCGAACGTCCGTACGCGGACAGTTATGTCCTATACGAGCACGGGGAACGACGAAGAATGAACTGCAGATAATACGAACGGCAAAGCCAACAGCCGACCGGCGTGCTGACAGTTTGTCCAACCATGTCTGTTGCCTTGTTAAGAGACTCGACGGTGAACTATGCGGTGAGCTCAACGGCGTGCTCTGTGCAGGCAGTGAGCGGGAAAGTTGTCGACCGTGATGGTGAAGCGCCTTATGATTTATTCTCCTTGTCACTGATAGAAGCGGCAGGCGGCGTAGGTGGACATGCTGTTCTGTGCGATTTGAATTCTGCATATTACATTTCATAGTGGAGTCATCGATCATCTCGTGCCGTTATATCGTCCAGTCGGGTAAAGCCGTCGAAGAAGGTGAACAAAATCAAGTTGGTTCGGTGATGAGGACTCTGTGATGTCAGAGCACTTTGCAGGCTGGTACGCCTCCCCTTTGTAAAAAAAGTGACTACCGTTTTGAAAGTGAAGAATAATAATACTTCATTAGTAATAGTTGCTGAATATTCGTATCTTTATGTTGACTTCACCTACACAATAAACGGGATTCCTTGTGCACATTTTTATTTCACTTTTCTTTTAAGAAACAGAGAAAATATATTAATTGTTTAAAAATATTCAATGAAAAAAAACGTGTTTACGTGTAATAAAACATGGTGAATAAAAGAAAATAGGTCAGGGCCAAGCCGCAGTCAGTAAGAGACATAACAAGTACAAAAGTCTGAAGACAAAAATCATATACAAAGGGAAGAGGCTGTGAAGATTACGCAAGGGTATCATGCGATCAAAATATCAACGCTCAACTTGATTACCACGAACACATTGCGTCCATCGCCTACCAACTCAGCAAAGCCATGCCGATGCAGAGGCACAGAGCGGCTGTCGATGGCGGTATGCGGCCCCGTACACCGTCGCTGCCCAGTCCGTCGGACGGGCTTGCCGTGGGCTTGGACGGGCCCAGACCGTCGCCGGTCGCGTCGGCACCGCCGCTCTGGACCTGGACCTGGGTGGCGTCGCCGGGGGCAAAGAGCACGCCGACCGTATCGGCACCGGCGGCGTCAATCTCGTCCGGGGACAGGAGCGGGTTGTCGAGCGATGCGCACGACGGGCGGACGCCGTTGAGCTCCGACACAGCGGACGACGGCGACGAGAAGTTGGCACCGATTTCGTTGGTGACGGAAATGGGCAGGTCAAAGATGGTGTAGTGCTCGACGCCATTGAGGCGGAAGTTTTGGCGGATGGAGATGTTGTAGACGCCGCGGGCGCTGTCGAGGGCAATGGGCTGGCCGTTGCCGACGAGGCAGTCGGGCCAGACCCAGTTGACGTGCTTGACGGTGCTGGTGGGTTCTTGGAGCATAATAGGGCCGAGGGAGGCACCGCCGCCCGTCTTGGTGCCGTTGCTGATGGTGAAGTTGTGCTTGGTGTCGTAGCTGTACAAGAAGATGGTGATGTTGTGGATACTGCTGGGGCTGGACGAGGCAAGATCGGCAGGTAGCGGGAGGCGGCCGTTTGCCGTGACATCGAGCGCGACCTGCAGAAAATTACCGCCGAGGGGTGTACCAGGCTGGGGCGCGTCGACAATGGCGAAGCCTGGCGTGAAGATCTGGCCGTCTGCGATGGTAAAGTTGACGGCATCGGCCGTGGTCAAGAGGAGCGAGACGACGAGCCCGGCGGCCAACCGGCCGAGGCTGGACAATCGGTGGTCAAGCATTGTGCCGTGTGTTGGTGTTGATTTGGTGATGGCGAGATGGTGACGTGGTGGAACGAGATCGACAATCAAAGCATGGTGAATTTATTTGTCGTGGGACGTGCAGATAGAAGACAGAAAGAAGTAAAGGAAACGGCTACTCTAATTGGGACACCCATCTTTAAAGCAGTCTACGACAAAGGGGGCATCAAGTACGACATACACAGAGCCTCCGGGTATGACGGTGACGGCTCGCCACTTCCCTGTCCTAGTAACCAAAGAAAAGAAAAAATAGGGAACAAGCATGACGACAGGGGGTTGCAAGACCAAACTGCAAGCAGAGTTGGAGGTGGGCCGACAGCAACCAGTCGCGATGACCACGGAAAACTTTAATTCTGTGATGCGGCTCGCTTGGGTCGTGGTGGGTCTACGGAAGGATGCAATTACCTGGACTGGGAAAGTGTACAACGGTTTTGGGAATCCACCGTCGTGTCGCTTCCAAGTTTTGTTGTTTATGCGCACGAGCGCGGAAGACGTTGGTCCGGGTTGCGTGCATGTGTGTTTGGGCCACAGAATGACGATTTGGGTTCGATGCAGGGACAGTTGCTACGATGCGAGAGAAACCGGGATCGTGGAATGGCGGTGATCACTTCGAGAGGACTAAGATGTTCCGTACGATCAGACCGACATGCTCGCACAACTCAAGGAGGCGGACGGATCACGGCGGGACATGACGTCGTGGCTTTCTCCAAGTCAAAGCCAACAAAAGGCACTGGACCAACGGGCCGCGACGCCGAGCCTTTGTCTAGAATAAAATTGCAGCCCACTGGGTGGAGAGAGAAACGTGGAGAGAACGTGGCATCGCGCAGAGCGAGATACTCCATTTTGCGTACTGCAATTTGCCAACGAAAGCAAAGAATTCTTTGACACTCCGAGTGAATGCGGCAATGGATTTCACGTTGATGATCTAATCGCAAAACAAAAGTTCCCCGGAAATGAATACATTCGTACCCAGCTTTATTTTTACGTCTTTTTTATTCTTCTTCTTTTGTTCTCGAACAGTGGATGATACGCGTTGTGACGCCAACTGAAGCAGGTCTTGTTTCATGTTTTTGGAGGAAGCAAAGAGGAGACTCCAGGCAGCCAAGGACCACCTTGAATGAGCCAGGCCGTCTCGTCCCTAGTATGGTACTATTACATCGTAGTCTGATTAACACGACATACATAATCTTGGACATCGTCTTGGAAAGTCGTGTGTCGTATTTCGTATATGGTTGACAAAGATCGCTGTGCTATTATGCTGTGCTATAAAATGAAATGTGACACTATTTGCATATATGATGCGTGCTCCCCTACACCGCCGTCTTGGCCGCTGCCGTCAACGAGCCGGCCAGCGAACCAAGTCCGCCACCCACGCTCTGGCGGCTCCGCAGCGTCAGCACCGCCGCCTGTTGGGCCACATCCACCAGCTGCTCGGCGCGCCCGCCCTGCGCAAGACCGGCCACCAGGGCACCCAGGAACGTGTCGCCGACGCCGTTGACAGAGACCACGTCGTGGACGGGGACGTCCTCCACGGCCGGGAACAGACGCATGTAGATGCCACCGACGGCCGGCTCGGTGTCGTTGTGGTCTTGGCCCGGCACGAAGGGAGGCGCGCGCACCAGCAGGTACGGCTCGGCGGCGCGGTCGTGCAGCAGCGGGTCGTCGCGGTGCAGAAGCTTGGCAAACAAGACACCGCGGCTGCCGAGCTTGGTGAGGAGCGTCGGGATGTAGGGCAGCAGCTGGACCGCCTGCTGGGGCACGCCTTCGTCGGTGAGGGCAAACGACGTCAGGCGGACAAACCGCTCGCGGGCACCGGCACCCAGGCCCAAGGCATCAATCACGCGGAACCAGTGCGGGTCGTCAAGGACGAAGCCATGGCGCTGGGCGGCGGCGTGCATGGCGGCCAGTTCGTACTGGTTGGGGGTCGCCAGGTCGACAAGGGGGCGGGGGAACACGCGGCTGGCACGATCGTTCGACTTGTCGGCGTCCGTCACCTCAAACAAGCGGCTCGACTTGGCCACCGACACCGGCTCAAAGGCCACCTGCACGCCGCCCTGCTGCCGCGCCGCCCGGATCCAGCCGTGCAGACCAGACGCGCTCCAGTTGGCATCTGCTACTAGCCAGCTGGGCTGCGCGGCGGCGACGGCCGACGTCCAGTAGGTGGAAAAGTTGTGCTGCTCGTTGGAAAAGATGGCCATGTCGGCCATGGCCACCATCAGATTCTTGTCAGCACCGTTGATCGCGACGTAGTGTGCCGTGCGCGCGGCGCTGTACGTGGCCACATCGAGCTGTCGGACGCCGTCCGTGTCGAGGCCGTTGGCCGCCATGGCTGCAAGCACAGTGGCGCCGGCAATGTCCTCGCCGACGAGACTGCAAAGCCGCACACGCACGCCCTGGGGGCTTCCAATGGCATGTGCAGCCAGCGCCACGTTGTGGCCGACGCCGCCGACCGTGGGTACAATGGATGCCGGGTTCGATGTGTGCAGCCGTGGAGCCGGGTCGGATTTCTCGCCGCCAAGGCCGTCGCCAACGTAATCACAGCTGAGGTCGAGCGCCACAGAACCGGCAACAAGCACGTCGACGCGGCCCGATGGAGTGGTCTCTGGAGCAGGGCTTTGTGTCTGGGCTGCCCTTGGTGAACTCGTGACTGGATAGGATGTGTAGGACAGACTATCGTAGATGTGTGAGCTAGGTACACTGAAGACGACCATAAAAGAAAGAAAACAAAGAAAATAGAAACGCCAAACATCACGACGACGGAACGCTCACCTGTCCTCGCCGCCCGCCACCAGCGCACTCAGGTGCACTGCCACCTTGGCCGCCCGCGCTACATTGGCCTGCACCAGCGCCACGTTCGCGCTCACCGTGCGCTGGTCCGTCAGCTCGCGGATCCGCCGCAGCACAAACGGCGTGTTGCGGTTGCCCGTGTACCCGCCCGCGGCCGCCTCGTTGACCACGCGGTCGATGACGGCCTCCATCTCGAGGCGCGGCACCTCGCTGACGTGCGGGATCGCATTGGCAAACAGCAGGCCCGTCTCGACGCCGAGCTGTTCCTGTGCCCACACAATGGCCGCGGCCTCGGCCTCGTCGCCGACCACGGACGGGCTGGGGATGCCGCTCTCGCGCGCCCAGAACGCAGGGAACGCCACCTCTTTGGCGGGGCGGCCGTCGTCAAACGTGCCCACGTACACGCCCTGCGTCTCCAGGTACTCGAGCGTCGCGGCAATGTCCAGAAACCCCTTGCAGCCGCTGCTGACCACGGCCACGCGCGTGCGGCCCAGCTCGCTGAGGTCGGCCGAGATGTCCATGTGGTCGTGCCAGCCGCGGTGCACACCGCCGAGGCCGCCCGTGCCAAACACCCGGATGCCCGCGAGCCGCGCCAGCACCATCGTGCCTGAAATCGTCGTGCCGCCGTGCCGTCCGCGCTGGTGGCCCCGTGCCGACATGACCGCCAGGTCCCGTCGTGACACCTTTTGTGCGCCTTCCTCCACCATCCGGTTGATCTCGTCCGGCGACAGTCCCACGCGCGGCACGCCGTCCAGGACACCAACCACGGCCGGCACGCCGCCGTTCTCACGCACAATCGCCTCGAGCCGCAGGTCCATGCCGAGCGCGCCGTGTGTGTAGATGGTCGACTCGAGCGCGACGACGGGCTGGTTCGTCGCGAGCGCGGCCTCGACCTCCTCTGAGACGCGCAGGATGCCTCGTAAGGGCGACGTTGCCGCTGCGGCCGACGACACAAACCGCGGCCGGCTCACATGGCGTGACGCTGTCGATGCTGCCCACGATGCCAGCTGTGTTGGCGGTGTCCGGTGGCACCGTAAACAGCTGCTGGTCTGCCTCCACACGGCCGCCATGGTGATAACCGGCTCTAGCAGATGTAGACGTGATGTGAAAGAGAGTATGTCTGTCCACGTTGTGTGATTTAAAACCCTGGCGAGTCGTCGTGAAATTGTGCTCGTCGTGTGAGTTGTCTTATCAAGTGTTGAAGTGGTACGAGGTGCAAGTGGCCTACGAGGTAAGAAGACGTAGATCGGAAGACAGGGGTTTGGGGCGGGGCAGTAGCGGCCTGGAATGCTGTGGAGTGCTGATAGCGCTCACTGTAGTTCACCACGACGGCCGTGTCCGACGAGGAAGGAGCAAGCGAAGCACGAAGCACAGACATCTCACCGTCGCTTGGAAAGAGCGCCTGTCGTAGTTTCCCCGAGACAACTTTCGTATAGAATGCAATTTTATCATGGAAGGAAAGAACAAGAACAACACCATCGCTCCTGCCATGCCTGGTCTGTCAAAGTGGGCCGGCCAACTCTCAGTTCCATTCAATCCCTTCAGAAACAAGCCTTCCTCTTAACACAAAATTATACAAAATTTCGTGTGGCTGATTTGACACTTTCTGACAGAAGTGCCAGTCAATATGTCTGTGCTAGATCAGTTTGCTCGTTGTATTTGTTCTTGCCTCGGTGTTAGTATTGTGTAGTAACTAAGTGACCTGCTGCGGGGCCCGCCGATCTCTTTCATTGGCAGGCGCGAACGTCTTATCGATAAGCGATTATCTTTTTTTTTTTTTAATCAACCAATTTCTGCCCTCCAAAAAGTCTCGAGCATCACTCGTCTCCCATGCACAAGACACATTGAATCTGAACCACGACTCCTCCCTCCCTCAACCACCACCTCTTCTCCTCACACATACACACACCGTCATGGCGCCACGATCAAAAGCCGAGCGCCAGGTGGCGGCAACTGTTACCAATGACGCCGAAATGTCCGATGCAGGGAGCTCCGACTGGGAGATTGACAACAACAACAACGACAAAGGCGGCAAACGGCGAGCCGCTCTCGTGCTGGACAAAGACGCGGAGGAAGAAGACCTGGAGCGGCTGGTGCTGGGCGACCGGGCAGGCTTCCGTGCCCAGCTGTTTGGCGGTAGTGGCGACATTGTCGGTGACGCCGGCCGGTCGCTGGACGAGCTGGCTCTGGCTGTGATGGACGATCGCGGCGAAGACCGCGAAGACAACCCGTTTGAAGATGCCGAGGACGCACACATGTTTTTGTACGACGAGTCGATGCAGCCACACACATCGTTTGCCTCGACCACGACGAAGCAAATCAAGGCCTCCGGCACCGAAAACGGCCCCGATCCGAATGCGCCGGCATGGGAGGACAGCGACGACGAGCGGCTGGTGGTGTCGTTGGCCGGGCGGACGCAGCTGCGCAAGCTACGGCGGACAGAGGGCGAGGACATGGTGAACGGCACGGTGTACGCGGCGCGGCTGCGGCAGCAGTACTTGCGGCTGAACCCGCAGCCGGGATGGGCGGTCGAGGCAGACAATGCCCGGCTGGAGCGGCTGCAGCTGCGGAGTGGCGGCAAGAAGAAGGAGAAAAGGGAGAAGAAGGAAAAGAAGAGCAAGAAGAAAGCGCGTAGACGGTCATCTGCGGCTGCTGCTGCTGGCGACAATGATCTGTCCGACGAGGTGCGGAATAGCGACTCCGACTCAAACCTGGATGCCGCCTCCGACACGTCTTCGGATTCTGACTCGTCCGACGACGAGGCCAGCTATGAGCTGCTTGGGTCGGCCCTGCCCCTCGACGCCCTGCTGCGCAGCACCAGTGCCATGGCCAGCGCCAGCCAGATGCTCTTTGCCAAGGGCGGCAAGGGTGGCGTCGACCGTGCCCGCCGGCTGCGGCCCGAGGTCATAGACATCCAGAAGACACGCGACATCCCGACACCGCACGCCGGCCCTGTCGGTTCCCTCAGCTTCCATCCCGCCTACAACGTCTTGCTGTCGTCCAGCACCTCCTGCATGCTGCATCTGCACCAGATCGCGCCCGGCGCCCACCCGACGCCCAACCCCCTGCTGACGTCGGTGCGCGTGCGCCGCACACCCGTGCGCCGCTCCGACTTTTTGCTTGACCCGTCGTCCGCGTCGACCGACGCCCACCAGATTGTGTTTGCCGGCCGCCGTCGCTTCTTCCACACCTGGGACCTGGCCACCGGCAAAGTCCAAACGATCCACCGCGTCCAGGGCCACGCGCTCGAGCACCGCAGCATGGAGCGCTTCCGTTTGAGTCCCGCCGGCACGCACATGGCGCTGGTCGCGACCGACCGCAAGCGTGGCGGCATTGTCAACGTGCTGGACGTGCAGACGATGCAGTGGGTGGCACAAGCGCGGCACGAGAGCGTGGGCGGCGTGGCGGACCTGCAGTGGTGGCGCGACGGCAGCGGCATGACGATTCTGGGCCGCGACGGGAGCGTGGGCGAGTGGAGCCTGGAGGCGCGGCGGTTTGTGGGCGTCTGGCGCGACGACGGCTCGACGGGCGGCACGGTGCTGGCCCTGGGCGGCGGACAGGTGGCCGGCCAGACCGGTGGTCCTGCGATGCTGGGCGGCGACCGGTGGGTGGCCATTGGCAGCAAGACGGGCATTACCAACCTGTACGACCGTGCGCAGCTGGTCGAGACGAACGGCGCGGCCACCACCGTCGTGGCCACTCCCACGCCGCTGCGTGTCCTGGAGCAGCTCGTGACGCCCATTACGAGCATCTCGTTCACGCCCGACGGCCAGCTGATGGCGTTTGCCAGCAAGCACAAGCAAGACGCGCTGCGGCTGGTGCACCTGCCGAGCGCCACGGTGTACCGCAACTGGCCCACGAGCAAGACGCCGCTTGGCCGCATCACGGCCGTGGCCTTTAGCCGGGACAACGATTTCTTGGCTGTGGGCAACGATGCTGGCAAAACACGTCTTTGGGAGATTCGGGCTTGACCGGTGAAAAGTGAGGAAGGAAGACGAGGGACAAAAGGACGGCGTAAGGGCATTTGGATCATGGTTTCGTTCACTTTGTCATATTCCGTCCCTTGCGGGCTTTTGTTGCATATCTAGACATCTATCATACAAGCATATGCTTTGTCGTTACTGCATTAGGTCTCCGAGGTACAGCCCCGGCCTTGTTAATCGATTGTGGCCATCAACGCTGCCAATGGGCTTCCAGACACAATTCTGCTCCGCGCGAAGTACCGACCGGTTGTCTCCGTGTAGTATGCGAGGGCGCGGCGGTTTCGGTGTCGAGGAACCGTTTTATCGGCCGCGGCGGCCTGCAAAAAGTCGCGTATGTTCACCCAGACGCCGCGAAGGGCCTGTTGTAAGTCAGCGGGAAGCTGATTTGTCGGGACAAAGAGGAGGAAACATTACCTTCTTGCACTGCGTCTTGCTGGAAAAGTGCCCATCAATGCCCAGAACAGACAAGAGTCTCTGCCAATGTCCAAGTTCGTCCTCGTTGTAGTATTCTTCCCAAAGCTTGGACGCAATACCCTTGTTCTTGTTTTTCTTTGCCATTATGGTGGAAGCATACGTGATTCTGAGTTCTTCCGATATCGACTTGTAAAGATGCGTATGATTGGTATATCGTTGATTTGCTCAGGCAGCGAGATGATGATAAATGTTCATCCAAAGACAGGAACACGGAAGAAACAGAGAGCAGAAAATTATCAATTCAAGGACAGTGAATACCAAAACCCTACAGGGAAGCCAAGGCTTTGTTTACTCGCTTTTCGTTTGCCATGGTGCACGCTGGCTTTCGCCATATTTCGTTACCATTTTGTTCTTTGTCTCAAATATGACCGCCACGTTACTCGTCAACTCGACAAATTATAACAGTTAGTAATTCAATACGTACGACCAGCAATCGTAATTCTGTCGACGCAGACATCACCCAGATACACAGTTGCCAGCTTAGACGAAAACGTTGGAATGCGCACAAAACGGCTCCCGACTCTTGTAGATAATGAATGCAAAAATGTCGTCATCAAAAGGAAACAGGGGCAATGGCTCAGTTGGGAGAGCGTCAGACTGAAGTAATACTCCATTCAAAGCTTATCTGAAGGTCCTCGGTTCGATCCCGAGTTGCCCCAATTTTTTGGACTTTCAAGCTAATTGCTATCGACTTCGAGACAGTATACAAACCCGTCGTGTTTGTTATATATCTTAGTTCCGTTTCGGTGATATTTTTTTTTCCATTTGTTCTTTTGTAATTATAAATTCCTATTGTAGTACATGCTTCTTAAAATAAAAACGAAATCCGTTCTCTTTACCTTTCCCAGTTACGCTTGTCTACCCAGCCTCCTAAAGCAAATCAATTCATTATTCAAAGCAAAGCGTCCAAATGCTTAAATAATAACCATAAAAAATACATTACATAAACTCATATCGTAAAACATTAAGGTGATAAATCTTAGAGACGTCGTATGTCAAAGTAGGGGAAAAGCATACAAGGGTAGTGGTAAAGACAAAAAAGAAACGGAGGGAAGTATAGAAAGTGCTGTCAAAGCAGTTGCTAAATGAAGAACGAGACTCTAAGTGCCAGCCGCAGCGGAGGCGTAGTCGCTGTCACTCGTGTTGTTGAGTTCGTCATTGTCGTCTTCCTCATAGTCTTCTCCCGTCTTCTCGTCGCTCGTCAGCGAGTCGTGAATGCGGTACAAAGCCTTGATCCACAGGCTGAACATGGCCTCCAACTCGTTAGTGCTGGTCTCACCACCACTGGTCGCACCCCGCTTGCTGTCCTTGTTGTCTTTGCTGACTTTGGCCGTTTTCTGGGCTTCGGCGCGAAGCTGGTCGCGCAGTCGCTCGTACGCTTCGATCATGACAAGGATCTGCAGGGCAGAGCTGGTACTGTCGACAGGCATCGGTGTCAGGGCAAGGGGCGAATAGGGCGAGGTCACGGTTGAGGACTGGAGGCCGATGACATCTTGGCTATTGTTCTGCTGAAGATGGCGACGAGTGGCAGCGCGCTGCGACGCGGATGTGGCCGCAGCTGGTGACGACCGGCGCATGACAGCTGACGACAGTTCACGAGTGAGCAGGTCGACGCAAAGCTGCAGACCAAGGTTGTCGGTGCGGTCGGGTTGCGTCGGAGGTGTCGGCGTCTTCTTTTTGTTGTAGATGTTGCTGTTGCTGATGTTGTCGCTGCAGACATATTTGGCGTTGCTAACGTTGTCGTTGTGCATGTGATTAAGCCCCGTCATACGGCTGCGTGTGCGAAGGGGAGGTAGGGGCTGCGGTGGTGTCGGGGAGTTGATGGCGGCGCGTGACGGCAACTCTTGGAAGTTGGCTGTCGGTATCAGCGCGGAGCTGTCACGGGCCTCGGCCTTGTAAGTGCTCGTGATAGCCGGAGGCGCCAGCATGAACTTTCGCTGAGTGCCCATGGAGGCGGTATGCATTGGAATGTTGCGGCCAACGCTACTTCGGAAATTGCTAGTGCTGTTGCGGTTATTGCTGTTGCGATTATGATTGCGTCGGCCACCAGAGACTGGCCGCTGCATGGCGTCGACGTTGAGCTCTGACTTGTCATCTGCCGTGGACTGGGAGTTGCGTGATGCCAGCAGCGCACGGTATTCCTCGGCAATACACTCGATGCTCGACTTGGACTGCAGCAGGCTAAGCTCGACCTGCCGCGTAACGTCTTCAGTGGCGATGGCTGTGGCCACGCCGGTAGCTTCATCAGCGCATGCACCGCTCTCCAGCTGGCCAACGGCATAGACGGGTGTTTTGATCTTGCGGCGCTGCTTGGAACCGGGAACAGACGACTCATCGGCCGACGAGATCAAAGAGGGCGAGTCGGGTGTGGACTTTGAGCCCCGGCTACTGCTACCGGACAAGTACGACAGCTCGGGCACAGCACGTCGACTGTCGCTGCCGCTGCCACTGTCACTGCACTCGTGATCAAAGTCAAACTTGCTGCGGTTCCGTCTATGGCCAAGGGGATACGGGGCCGAGCTGCTCACAGAGTCGCTGGGAGACGATAGGGCACAGGATGAAGCGGAACCGTTGCCGGAGGTGGGAAGGTTGCTGTGGGTTTGGTCGAAAGAAGTGGCGGCAGTGACGGCGAGAGAGGCAGAGGACTGGTCGAATCCGACTGAGGTGGGCGACAACATGGACGCCGACGAGGAGTCTGACATGGCTGAAGAAGGGATCGGGGATCGGGGAGAAGTGCGGTTTGTCTTTCTCGGAATGGCAATGGGCGCTGGTACGGCCGAATGCATCGACTTGCGAGATGTGTATGGTGGCCGGTTGGCAGTCGCAGAGGAAATCCGCCACGCATCGGACTCCTTGGATGAAATAATATTTTGCGGCTGGGATTTGCTGTAAGGGCGGTGGAACATAGGATATGACCGTGCCGTCGGCTTCTCTGCGGTTCCGTCCCGTTGGGCGGCCAAGGCCGGAGGCAACATTGATATGTGCTTGGTGCGTGATGCAGACGGCGGTGTGCTCTTAATACGGTTCTGCAGGGCCCGCTCTTGCGCGCTGAGGCGCTCGTGCTCCTCCATCATCTGGATAGCACGAGCATGAACCGCGGCCTGTGCTGCCTTCACCTGCGCTCGGGCAGCGTCTTGGACATCGCCGAGTGCCTGAGACTCGACGGCAGACCCGGACTGAGAGTCAATGGCGGCCGTGGCCACTGTAGGATTTGTGCCTTCACCCCATGTTGCGCTTGGTCTAATAGCAGAGGAAGTGCTGCTGGTAGTGGTGAAAGTAGCGGTGCGAGTGCAGCTTGTGGACCGAGAGGAGCTGGGAACGCGGCTGGTACTGGATGACCTGAAGAAGGATCGTGTCCTGCTCTCGCGACGAGCCTGCTCCTCCTCCTTGGAGGGACGTGGCGCGAGTTTACTGCAGCCATCACGGCTGGAAGGTGGTCGTGAAGCGTTGTATTTTGTGGCAAGAAAATATTCGTCGCCGGGCAGCTTGACAGTCTGGACGCCGCCAACGTCCGGTGCCGGAACCGCTGTGCTAGTTGTGTTTGTGGACGAGGTGCTCATATCCGTGCTGTCAGCCTGCTTTGTGACCTTTTGCAGCTTCCGACGGACCTTCGGGAGGCTGTCAGTCATAGGATCAGTCTTGGGCTCTTCCTTGCTGAAGCCGAAGAAGAGCGAGAAGCTCTTGCGGCGCTCTGCAGTCGCCATTGTGGCTAGACCTGGTAATTTGGACGGTGATATGGTCGGACCACGATTTTTTTTTTATTCCTGGTACAGGACGGGCCTTTCCAAGACAGCAGCCTCTAAGAAACGGCTTTGTGTTTGACTGCAGCCTTGGCTCAGGCCGTGTGTGCCTGCACTGGGGAGAAAAGACAAATGTAGGGCCGTAGGAAATGGGAAATGGAAAGTAAACGAGTGAATAGAAAAAAAGGCGAAAGGTGCAGGGCCTCGGAAGCTCAATAAAAAATAAAGGTTATACGACATCGAGGGCGAGGGTAGGATGTGGGATGAATTATATCGGCCAGGCGGCAATGGGAGAAGTCTGGACCTTTCGTCAGATACGGGCTGCAGGGTGCTGTTGTCTTCCTACTGGGGGCAGGCCCACGGACCAAGTCCTCGAGGTACTATTGTATCGAGATCCGATGCGTGAGAGAGCTGGCCGGCCTAGGCCATGTCCCACCTGGTTCTTTTCTTTGTTGCTTGGCGGCCTTGTGCGTCTTGGTCGATAGCGTAATATTTCCAGGTGACGTTATGGTACTTCTTTTCTTTCTTTCTTTGTAGTGCTTATTGTGATTTATCGGATTTTGGTGTCTTCCTTTCTTCTGCTCCAGCGTCTCCAACATGGCCTCTACCTTCCTTTCCCCTTCGCTTTCAATTCGTCTCTTGTCCGTCGATCAGCTAGGACGTCTCAGGTCGCCGAGCTTCATTCATCCTCTCGTCCGTGTCTTTGGGGGACCATTCCAGCTGGACTTGGTCTCGATGCACGATTACCTCATAGTTGTGAAAGAGACATTGGGAGGAAACGAAGGAGGGAAAGCAACCAAACCACGCTAAGACGCTAAGGTCGCATGAACGAGAAAGTCAAGCACGGTCAAGCGTAGACTGTCTACAAGCCGGGTCCCAGTCAAGCTAGACTCGCCAGGCCTCGTATTCGAAGCAGCCTGCAGGTCGCTTGTAGCCAATCCGCATTGTAAGCTGCCGGGGATCTGTTGACTGCAGGCCTGCAGAGCTGTAAAGTTGCAGCGCTGCAGATGCAGAACGAAAAAAATAGAGGTGGCAAGCAGACTGCATACGAGGTGTGTGGGTTCTGGAAGGTTGGGCTGTTGTGTGGTATTGTGTGGGACGTCGAGTGTGTCTTGCAAGAAAGTGGTGGATGCAAAGGTTGTCTTCAACGTTGTGATGATGGGATGAGAGAATGACAGGGGTTAACAAAGTACGACAAGACTGACGACGCGGAAAGAGCGAACGATGAAATGAAGAGTTCTTCCTGTAAAATCCCGGGCCTTGTGGTATAAAACAGAGGGGAAGGAACGAGGCCACAAGGAGAGAAGGCGCAATGGATACAACACGGAATCTATGATACTCAGGAAAAGTCAGGAAGGTGCGAAGCAGGTTCGGTCGCCAAAGACGATGCGGCAATGTTCCGTCCACACAAAAAGGAAGGAACCGCTCAGGAGTCCATGATGCAATTGGAACAAGCAGAGGGTACTTTTGTGTGTGTAAGACGGGGGTGATTTGCTGTTCTGCTGGGGTCCAATTCTTCGTTCGACATACAATGCTCTGGTGGGGTACATGGGTCTGCCACACATTGCACAGCGTCCTGCAAGTACCCATTAAAGCGCAGGATGTGGGGGTATTGTTGCTATGCTCGATTTTGTTTTTGCTTCGATCTTACCGACCCCAAATAATATTCAAATGTGCGAGACAGTGTTGATCGAGTTTGATAACTTCAAGTAGCCCTAGATGTACCGCACTCATGTGACACCAATATCTGGCAGGCGGACGAAATAGAGAAGGAAAAAATACGGGAAGTAACTGAATTGTATCAGTGAGCGACAGGATGAGAAAACAAGAACGAGGGGCAACCAAAAATGGTAAGACTTACCTTCATGCGGAACCCAGGTCATTGGGTATACGAAGTAGAGGGGCAGCTGAACAGTGCACGTCCCAACCCTTTTTCAGTAGTGTATGGTGTCTGTACATTGCTTGCGATTGGAAGAACGTAACACGACACTTCACGATAGTCAAGACAACAAAGGGAGAAACACACGATCAAATACAGAGTGAAGGGATAGAGGCCATAATTTCAGTGGGGAAATGAGACGATAGAGACAAAATAAAAACATGTGCTCTTCTCTGATGACAGAATTCAAGAGGGCGGGCAGCCCAAGAGAACCTGGAGATACAAGAGCAAGATATGGCAGCATGCCAAAGATCTTAGCTGACGAGTACGAACATCTTCGCTCCCGCCGACTATCGACAACGGTCGGTTCTTTGAGCAGTCGTCTGTCTCACGCAAGTCGATGGGCTTTGATACGACTAGGGTAGATCCACCTAGCGGCCAAGCAAGGTCCATAACCGTCATAAAATTGGAGGATTTTGATAGTATGAGGGATGAGCTTCGTAAGACACAGCACCAAAGACGAGGCGTTCAGAAGCACTATAGAACGCCACTCTTCAGTATGTGCTATTCAAACAACATCACACAATGCCCGTATGCCAAAAATATACGAACCCACGCACTCATCTGCATGACGTGTTGCCGAAAACGACGACTAGAGCCGAAGGAGTGGAGCCTTCTTGAGGCCCGTCCCTCAGGGAGTTCCGCGCTCTTCTGGGGACTCGAGTGGCATATTCCCCAGCAATACCCAGCTGTAACAGTACGATGGAGCAGATGGGACACAGACCAACCTCTCCGTCACCAATGATGGCGAGTGACAGCAGGATACAGTTGCTGAAAACGAAGCATGAGAGGGGCAGCGATCCACTTTGAAGCACTAATACGAAGTTTTACTTCCTTTTTCTCGGGTTTTACCCTCCACTACGACGTACTGCAGGTATCCTCACGGCCGAGTCCTTTTCTGTACAATACTGTATTCAACATGTAGGTGGCTGGTAGTTGGTTTATTGTGCGTCTGCTGAATCGAAGATCAGAAAAGAACCGGCCGACTTATGTTGGGCTGATCTGAAGTTCACTAGACTATGATGATCCTGGGTATTGACGGGTGACGGACAATCGGCTCGTTTCCGTGGCGCGCCGTCTCCCGCAACCCGTTTGAGAATACGAGACGAGATATGGAGCTGCCAATGCCTCTCTTTTGCCACCTTCGTGAGTTAACCACATATCTAGAACAACTGACCATGCAGAGCGATGGCCGTTATAGACGTGACCGCTTAAGACCCCCTCGGAGTGCCGTCGAGGTTGCTTCGACTGTCTCATGCTGTCTTGGGTCACGGGATGTTCTGGATGCTTCTTTCGTCGAGAAATTGTTTCCCTGAATTTCCTAACGAGCCTTGTCTCAAATACTCCCGCATCCTTCTCTCGGGAGCACAAAGCCTTATGGCCCACAACCCAAGTCAGGCCAGTTGTTGCGCACTGTCCGACTCTGTGTGACAAGTGAAGCTGATCTTGGGATCGACAGTGCAGTGTAAAGCACCGCACTGCTGGCAATGACGGCTGGCCAGCCAGAGAAGTCCACAATCAATGTGCGCAAAGTACTTGCGCTGGAGAACCAATGACCTTTTTGTTCGTTCTCAGCCCAGCCCTCGTATTATGAACTGTTCCGTGCCCTCTTTTGGTTAAGGGGATGGCCTTCTCCTCGTCCTTATCTTGCTCCATTGCGTTGATATCTTATTCCGTCTTGGATCTGTCTCACTCGCTGCTTGGCGTAGGTCGGACGGCCACCGGTCGAACAGTTATGTCGTGCATGGAATGTCCTGTACACAGCTGCCGTATATGAAGAGGCGGCGTTGTTAAGCTCCGACCTCTGCAAAAGCACTCTACTTTGTCCCCTTGCATGAAGAAAACATGAGAGTGAAAATCGAGACATCCCTTAGACAGAAACATCGCAGAGGTAAGACACCCGTATCACGTAGATGCACTGCATTTCGCTCGGCATGTTACTGTGGTCCCACGTTGCACAAGTACAGCTGCAAGAGTCCGTATTTCCGATTCGAATTGTTGTACCACATGATTCACTGAAATTGACAAAGTTGTCTAAATACTGGTCTGCATCTCGACCGCATCGAACGAACTAGACCGACAGTTTGAGAGATGGTTGCCGCAACAACGTCCCTCTGCAATGTTTCGATGAACAAAGAAACACCACATATGACGATGCGTGCACTCGACGCACAAGACGATGTAAGTAGTGCCAAGGGAAAAAATCTCGAGACACAATATGTAAATATATTTTCAAAAAGAACAAGGAATCTGGGGTAGTAAAGTTGGCACCGCATGTGGCCTGCTTCGAACCATGTCCCGCGCTTCGCATGCAAGCAATATTTACGTTGTCCTACGACTGCAAGTAGATGCTGGCAGCACAATGCCACAAAACACCGAGTAGCTTCCTCCTGCTGTTTCTGCTCAGGAACTTCGCGTTGCTCGCTGCATGTGAAGCCATCGGCGAACAATAGAAAGTGCAGCTCAAGCAGAGCGGCTCATGAAGAGTGGCTCATGCAGAGTAGCTTATGAAGATCCGCTCCAGCCCAGACCGCCAAATCCTAAAATTACACCAGCCGGCTACCAGTAGCCCAAATATTCCGCATCCGATCAAGGAGCGAGCCCGGGGGGAATATTCCCACGAGGACGGCGAGACGTCAAGGATATGGAAATTCTGGGACTGGCCTGGGGAGAAAGTTATAGCGAGCGCACCAAAACGCCCCATAAAAATAGTTTCTCCATCAATCACAGGCCGGTTTTCGGTGAAATTTTGGCCATCGGAGACGTTCCAGGCGCCTTCCCCCGCCAAAGCTTCATAGGCTGGTGCACCGAAGCTGTCGCTGCCCCTCACTAAATTGGCCCAAAGAAGAAGTCGCAGGTGTTAGTCGCGTCGCGCCAGGAAGGTGCGACTCGGGAGAGGGAAAGAAATGCCGGCAAACCGTCAAGAGTCGCCAACGACAAGAAAAAGGAAAGATAGAAGAGAGCATTGAAGACGGGGCTCGACGACGGAGAAAATAATAAAGGTTCTGCGAAGCATCCGGCCATTGTGCGGAGTACATATACTCGGACGCGCAAATTTACGAAGCTGCTGCCAGTCGTTCTGTTGAATCCAGTTTGCTGGCGCCTGTTCAAACTGCCTCACTCCTTCCCTTCTCGACCATTGTCGGCTCCTTCCCATCCATTGGACATCACTTGGCATTCGTCTTTGCCCCACGAACACTCTAAAACCGTCTTCTCACAATAACAACAACAACCCTACAACTCCCTCACATTCTCGCCATGCCTGAGATCACAATCACCGGCTGGTCGACGCGCGATGTGCGCTTTCCCACGTCGCTCGACAAGACGGGCTCCGACGCCATGAACGCCGCCGGCGACTACTCGTCCGCCTACTGCATCCTCGAGACCGACGACCCGGCCTTCCAGGGCCACGGCATGACGTTCACCATTGGCCGTGGCAACGACATAGTGTGCGCCGCCATCAACCACGTGGCCGACCGTGTCCGCGGGCGCACGCTGTCGTCGCTGGTCGCCGACTGGGGCGCCACCTGGCGCCATCTGGTCAACGACAGCCAGCTGCGCTGGATCGGCCCCGAAAAAGGGGTCATCCACCTGGCGCTGGGCGCCGTGGTCAACGCCATCTGGGACCTGTGGGCCAAGGTGCTGGGCAAGCCGGTGTGGCGCATCGTGGCGGAGATGTCGCCCGCGGAGTTTGTGCGGTGCATTGACTTCCGGTACATTACGGACGCGCTGACGCCGGCCGAGGCGCTGGCGATGCTGCAGGCGGGCGAGGTCGGCAAGGCCGAGCGCATGCGCGACGCTGAGCGGAACCGCGCGGTCCCCGCGTACACGACGTCGGCGGGCTGGCTCGGGTACGGCGAGGACAAGATGGAGGCGCTGCTGCGTGACACGCTGAGCAAGGGGTACAAGCACTTCAAGCTCAAGGTCGGCGGCGACCTGGCGCGCGACCGGCTGCGGCTGTCGATTGCCCGCAAGGTCATCGGCTACGACAAGGGCAACGTGCTCATGGTCGACGCGAACCAGGTGTGGTCGGTGCCCGAGGCCGTCGAGTACATGACGGCGCTCCAGGAGTTCCGGCCGTGGTTCATCGAGGAGCCCACGTCGCCCGACGACGTGCTGGGCCACAAGGCGGTGCGCGACGCCCTCCGCCCCTTTGGCATTGGCGTCGCCACGGGCGAGATGTGCCAGAACCGCGTCGTGTTCAAGCAGCTGCTGGCCGCGGGCGCCATTGACGTGTGCCAGATTGATGCGTGCCGGATGGGCGGCGTCAACGAGGTGTTGGCCGTGCTGCTGATGGCCAAGAAGTTCAACGTGCCGATCGTGCCGCACTCGGGCGGTGTCGGCCTGCCCGAGTACACGCAGCACCTGAGCACCATCGACTACGTCGCTGTGAGCGGCAAGCTGTCGGTGCTCGAGTACGTGGACCACCTGCACGAGCACTTCAAGCACCCTGCGGTGATCAAGGACGGCTACTACACGACGCCCACCGAGCCCGGGTACAGCGTGGAGATGAAGGCAGCCAGCATGGACGCGTACGAGTTCCCCGGCAAGCCAGGTGTGAGCTGGTGGCAGTCGGAGGAGGCGAAGCCGATTCTTGATGGCATCAAGATCTAATATCTGAATTGTCTTTTGATGGGAAAGACGAAACAGTGTGTTCCGGAGAGAAACACACGAGGGGTCAAGCAGCATGGTTTGCTTGTCCGCAGGGCAACGATGGCATCCTGTATAGTACAGTAGGTGTGCCTTTGGAGCAAAACAAAAACGAAACGACTGACGACATGGCATGGAACGGTTTATTTGGGAACATGGGCAACATCTACGGCAAAACTATCCTCATGAAGCGGCATAGAAAGCGGACTGATTTATATTTCGCGTTGATTTACTTTCGATCTCATTTTCTTTCATTTTAATTTTCATTGAAGTTCATTGTATCATACATTCTTACACTACACATAGAGAATACCAAAGTCTTGTCCAATTCTTTACCCCACGCGTTAGCCCTGCGTCGCTACACAGGACGTGGTCTACTCCTCCGCGAGGAACAACAGGGCAATCCCCATGATGGGCTTCGCCAGGCCGTTGGTCGTCTCTAAACCGGGATGGGCTGTAAAGTTGTAGTGCGCCGTGATGGACCACGCGTCACTGCTGCTTGTCGGGCCCACGTCATAGCACTTGTGGATGGCCGAGATGTGTGTCAACGGCACCGGACCCATGCTCATGCCCGGCATCCCCGGCATGTCCGGGCCCGGCACCTGACTAACGTATTCGGGTGTCCCGCCGTAGGTGGCCACACCCTCGCAGACTGTGGCCCCGTTCTTGGCAATGTCGAGCTGCAGAGCGCCGTCGTGCAGGTGGCTCGCAGACACGAGGACACTGTAGTTCTTGGCGGCACCGCCCGTACCTGACTGCGGATGCCACGGCTGGGGCGACGAGTAGGAGAACACGGCGTCGCCCGGCGGCACGGCCACCTCGGAGCCGTTCAGATAGGTCCCGCAGTCGCCGTCAATGTCGAGCCACACAGGGACAGCCGGAGCCCAGCGTTCAGCAGCAGCAGCAGCAGCAGCAGCAGCAGCAGCAGGAGCGTCCGTCTTTGTCATATTCGACGACGAGGGCGCCTGCACATAGTCCCAGGTCGTCGTCACGTAGACGTCCCGCGCTGCGCCAGCTTGCATGCTCATAATTTCGGCGATTAACAACACGGTCTCGTCGGGCGCGACGTAGTAGCCAGCGCGGCGCGTGCCGTTGGACGTCAGGTCGATGTAGCCGCGCTCGTTGCCAGCGCCAAACATGCGCTGGATACTGCCCCCGCCGAGCTTGTCGCAGGTGGTGTCGGAGCGGTTGAGATTGACGAGAACGCCGTGGTGCAGGTAAATGCCCGTGTCAACGTTGGCAATGGCACCGGCGGACCCGTTGGGCCCGTCGCCGTAGCGCACGTCAAAGGAGAAGCCGGTGATGTAGCAGTCGACGCAGGGCATGAGCGCAGGTCTCTGGAAGGTCGCCATGCCGTTGTCGTCGCTGGTGTCGTTGGCGACCATGCCGGGGACAGAAAAGGGTCCGCTGGCGGTACGGGCGCGCTGGATGCCGAGATTTGCGAGCGGTTCGGGGACGGTGAGATGCTGCAATGGCTCTTTGTCCAACGTGCTGGTGAGGCCAGCCGGGCCGGTCGCGGCCAGAGCCGCCAAAATGGCAGAAACGTGCATGCTGAGGGGCGTTGTGAGTGTTTAGGACGGCAATAAAGTGCAAGGGAAGAGAGCGTAGGTCGAATATGACCAGGTTGTCCAGAGATGCGGCGAACAGTCGCCTTTTTAATCCAGCGGCTTGACAGACAAGAAGCGAGTCAGTCCAATATAAAAAACGTAAGACGGAGTCTTTCTGAGAACCCGGTTCCCGCGTCCGGTCACTATTGTTTTGTCCTTCATCTCCAATTGTAGGATGGAGCCATCAAGTTTGACCCTGCCCGGCGCCTCTTTCGGAAAGGCAAAGACCGTGGCACAACACGAACCGGGACAGACTCCCGTGGTTCGCAGCCATGGCCGCCCAAAGCAGGTATACACTGGTCCCAGCACAGCCTCCGTTGAGTACACAACGGGTGACTTTGTGCGAGGATACATGAATGTCTACTTAAAAAGAGTAGACAGTGGGAGAGTATGTGGAAAGCGGGAAAAGGAAACAATTAAATAGAAGCTCTGCACAAGCGGGATAGCCAAGCAGAGGACGAATTAGCCGGATAGTGGCCTGCCAGCCGCTGTGCTTCGATACTATAAGGCCACTCGAGTGCCCGGATGCCCATATTAAGCCGAAGACGAGCCACCAACGTCTTGCTTTTATTTCATCTCCTCGCTTTTTCCCGATTTTGTCTCATGGCCAGCTGTTGCCACGGTGAGAATCTCGTCCTCGAGGCCGGCCACGTGCACGAAACGGATGCCGGCGCCCTCGAGGGTCTGGCGGCCCGTGTTTTTGGAGACAAACGTATCAGGCTCCGTGACACCCGAGTAGACAGTGATCTGACGAGGAGTCGTAGTCTCTGGCGTCGCGGAAGCCAGCCGCAGCACCCTCTGGACACACGGCAGATTGCCGCTCATGCGGAACGAGCAGGGCTCCATTGTTGTATACAGGCCGAGCTGGCGAGGCAGTGCCGCCTCGCTTAGGCGAGGCAAGCCTTCTTCCTCAACGCCATGCTTCTCGGCCAACTTCATCAGGCAGCACTGCTCGGCGTGGGTGTTGCCCGGCAGCTCGAGGGTGTAGCCTTCCGATAGAACGGTGTTGGTGGCCTCGTCGACGAGGACGGCGCCGACGCGAAAGTTGGAGGGCCTTGGGGGCGAGTTGCGGGCCAGGTCGAGGGCCTGTCGCATGTAGGCGAGATCACGGTGATCCAATGAGTCGGACATGGCGGATGAAAACGGCGTCCTCGAGGTAGTTGTCGACTGACGTGAGGTCGAACAGCGTGAAGTTTATCATTCAGTTTCATTCAGTTCACCAGCTATTCATTAGCGGGTCTCCAGCAGCGGGGTAGCTGTGCGAACTGTCGTTAGCGCTCTCGCGCTGTTCTGCCATTTAGCTGTTGACGCGACGCGTTACACCGCTGCAACACGTCACGTCCGCTAAAATCAGGAACAAAGGTCGTGCTTCCCTCTTTTTTCCCACTACAAGAGAAGCACAACGACAAGAAGAACACGTACGACAAATATCTTACTCAACATCGCGACGACACAATGGACTCCGATTCCGACCATGAAGACGACCTCGGCGCCGGCGAGCCGCCCGCCATCGATCCCTATGCTGTCCTTGGGCTCGACCGCGCCGCGGCGCCCACGACCGACCAGGTCAAGTCCGCCTATCGCAAAGCGGCACTCCGATGCCACCCCGACAAGGTCCCTCCCGAACAAAGGGACACGGCCCATACCCAGTTCCAAGAGGTTGCTCTCGCGTACGCCGTCCTGTCGGACCCGGCCCGCCGCAAGCGCTACGACGAGACCGGCTCGACGGCCGAGTCCGTCGTCGACTCGGACGGCTTCAGCTGGTCCGACTTTTACCGTGCCGCGTTTGCCGACGCCGTCAACCCTAGCGCCATCGAGACGTTTGCCGCGAAGTACAAGCACTCGGACGAGGAGCGGGACGACGTGCTGGCGGCGTACACGCGGCACCGCGGCGACATGGACGGCGTGTACGAGTCGGTGATGCTCAGCGACGTGCTGGCCGACGACGCGCGGTTTCGGGCCATCATTGACGAGGCGATTGCGGCGGGCGACGTCAAATCCTTTACCAAGTACGCCAACGAGACGGCGGCCTCGAAGAAGGCACGCAAGGCAGCGGCGTCGCGTGAGAGCCGGGAGGCAGAGGAGTACGCCAAGGAGCTGGGCGTGCACGACAAGCTGTTTGGCAACGGCAAGGGCCGGCGGAGCCACGACGGCGAGGAGGTCGGAGAGAGCACTTCGCCGCGGCCCGCAAAGACCAAGGGCGGAAAGGGGGCCACTGGAGGCAAGGGAAAAGGAGGCAAGAAGAAGGACGACGACCAGGCTGGACTGGCAGCGCTGATTCAGCAGCGTCAACAGGAGCGGTCGGCAACGTTCCTCGACAACCTGGCGGCCAAGTACGGGGTGACCGAGCAGAAGAAAAAGAAAGGCAAGGGCGGCAAAAAGCGGCAGGCCGTGGACGAGGACGACGGGGACGACGAACCGTCGGAGGAGGCCTTCCAGGCCGCCGCAGCTCGGCTCAAGAATGGGAAGAAAACGAAGCGGTAGACGGAGGTTCTACAAAGGACTGCTTTACATGGCATGGCGGCTGCACGGCGTTCTGTGGCGTTAGAAGGCTTCGGCACGTAAGACTAGCGATCTGAGTTACAGCTCTCCATTTACAACTGCATCGAATCAATTGGGTTTCTTTTGAGAGTTTTGTTTACTTTGAAAAGAGTGATTGCGTGCGTGACCTTGTGAACGTGAGTTTTGTGATGCCGTTGTTAGCGCAGTTAGTGGGGTTTCGGCGGGCGGCGAGGCTGCAGGGTGGCTACAACAGGCGCGTTGCCGGCGGCGTAAATCATCCTTGCGTCGAACATAACGGCACGACTGTCGACTTGCGTTGCACAACGTCTTCTGCCTCGACCACATCACTCGTCGCTCCACTATGCCATGACCGAGGCAGCGTCGGCAGACGCGGCCAATGTAGCAGAACGGCCAGAACAAAAGCCGGCAGAGACTGCAGTGGGAGCGACGTCTTCGTCAACCAAGATCTCCTACTACGCGCAGTATTGCTTCCACCTCTCGCCCACACTCAATCAGTGGTGTCCCATGCGCGTGGCCGATGTTGCGAGCCTCGACGAATATGCCGAATTCCACGGCAAGTCAGAATACCTGTCCAGTTTGCCGAACGGCCACCTCTGCTGACCTGCCAGGCCAAGATGTCTACTTCCACATGAACCACCCCATCAAGTGGGTGCGCGTCGCTGGCGTTGTCGTCGCCATGAGCAACAACGACTACCTGACGATCTACACCATTGACGACGGCAGCGGGGCCACCATTGAGTGCGTGTACAAAAAGCAAAGGTGGCCCCCTTCTGCTGCCACGCCTCCTCCCCTGCCCTCTACCATTACCCCCGGCACTGTCGTCAGTATCAAGGGCGCGCTCCAAATGTACCGCGGTGTCCTGCAGGCCCTTATTGTCAAGCTGGCTGTCCTGCGCTCCACCGAGCAGGAGATGCAGTTCTGGGCCAAGGTCCACAGCTTCGCGCAGACAACGCTCTACCGGCCGTGGGTGCTGGATCGGGAGACGGTGCGGGCGTGCCGGAAGGCGGCCAAGGCGGCGCAGCGGGCCAGGGACGAAGAAGAGGTGCGCAAAGAGATGGAGCAGGAGAAGAAGGCGCGCGCAAAGGAGCAGAAGCGGAGGGGTGACGACATGGATGGGGAGACGGAGGACGCGGCCGACAGGGACATGCCGGACAATGAAGGCTCGGACGGTATCCATGCGGGCTCGACGTAGAGGGCTCTTCCTTTCGCGGAAAAGTACTACAGGCTCAGTTCGCGAGTGTGCGTTCGGGCATTGTTCGATATACATATTTCAAGACGCGCCTGGCTTGAGAATCCAGACACAATGTTGGGAGGTTGGACTTGGTAGAAACCCTGTTCTTAACGTTCGCAAGAAATATATCTAAATTCATGACACTTACGACGCCGAAGACTCTGCATGAGAAATGTGGTTGAATCCAGTTGCTTTCTTTCGTTGTCGGACTTGTATCTGCGGCGATAGCACATTCTAGGGCGGTTCTTGGCGACCCCGCCTATCCGCACTATGTGGCACGAGCGCCACCAGCCCGAAATGACATCACTTCATGTTGGACATTGACCTCGCCGTCACATCTCAACAGCTACCAATCAACCACGCAAACTCCCAAAGCATAAAGCATTCTCCCTTGTCTCCTCTATCATGGACCTGTTCCCGCCGGTGCCGGCCGCGTCGTCGGCATCGGGTCTGCCGGCTGCCATCTCGTCCCGCCCGGACCACCCGCTGAAGCCAGTAGGCATCTCCGATGCCGTCCGCCGATCCACGGGCCCTCTGCAGAGCAACAAATTTTATACCAACTTCATGCTGCACAATCAGGACCTTCCCACGTACCTGCTGCCCTACTCCGTGTCCTGGACCAATGGCCGCGGCCCCACGAACTGCTGGGGACTGACTGTGTCGTATGCCACGCCCGACCAGCGCGTCTTCGGCCCGACCACGGGTCCCTGCGGCCACCAGGGCCCGCCCGCCTCGTACTTTTACAGCCCGCCCATACAGCCCAGCTTGGTATTGGATGCGGCCGAGCTGAACCACCAGACAGCGCTGACGCTCGACGACGCGACAGACATGTTTGTGCTCGTGAGTCTACGGCCGGGCGGTCCGGCAGCGCCACCGGCGGTCCAGTTTCCCCTGGTGCAGGGCCAAGGCTTTATAACGGCTCTGTACCACGGCGCTCGGCCCATTCTGCGGACGGGCATGGCCATTCTGTCCGTATGGGACCCGTACAACGGCCAGGGCCGCGACGGCGGGCCTCTCAAGCCGGGGATGCAGCGTTGGGTCCTGAAAATGAACGACGGCTCGACGTGGCTGGTGTATGCGCGGGCGCGGCCGGGGGCGCCACCGCTGGCGTTCCGGCAGACGGCGGATGGTGCGTTGGAGGGCAAGGGCGGATTCTACGGGTCGGTGCACGTGGCACGCGTCCTCCACCCGGAACAAGGCTGGGCAGCCTACGACCAAGCTGCGGGTGTGTTTGCTGTGGGCGTGCATCTGTCGGGCCATACCGAGAATGGCGGTGCCGTTGGCCAGTACAGCTTTGCGTTTCGCAAGGTCGACGTGACGGGCGACGGGGCATTTTTGGCCCACTCGCCGCTGCTCATGTTCGCGCTGCCGCACCACCTGGCGTCCTTTGACGAGCGCACACGAGCCGCCGTCCAGCCGCACATCGCCATGGAGACGCCGGTGAAGGGAACGGCACGGGCGGTGCTGGCAGATGCGTGGACCATGGTCGAGCCCTCTCTCCCGGCGAACATGGGATTTCTGCCGTGGGACGGGCACACTAAACAAGCCGGCCGCAGCACGTTGTCCGACGCAGCGCGCCGTACGATTGCGCAGGTGGCTCGCCAGGAGCTCGGCCAGGACATGGACGCCCAGAGCAACCTCGAGTCGGCCTACTTTGCGGGCAAAGCGCTGGCCAAGTTTGCATTGATTGTGCTGTGCGCCCACAGGCTGCTAGGCGACGAGGTCAAAGATGCAGCCGCCGACGGCTTGGCCCGCCTCAAGGCCGCCTTTGCCCGGTTTGCCGACAACCGCCAGAAGCACCCGCTCGTCTACGAGGCCACGTGGGGCGGCGTCGTGTCCACCGCCGCCTACACGACGGGCGACGCCATGGCCGACTTTGGCAACTCGTACTACAACGACCACCACTTCCACTATGGCTACTTTGTCTTTGCGGGGGCGGTGCTGGCCCATCTCGACCCGTCGTGGCTGCAGAACCGGGCCAACGCCGAGTACGTCGACCTGCTCGTGCGCGACTACGCCAACCCGAGCCGCCAGGACGCGCAGTTCCCCGTCTTCCGCAGCTTCGACTGGTACCACGGCCACAGCTGGGCCAGCGGCGTCTTCCCGTCCATGGACGGCAAGAACCAAGAGTCCAGCTCCGAGGACGCCATGGCCGTGTATGCCATCAAGATGTGGGGCCACGTCAAGGGCGACGCGGCCATGGAGCAGCGCGGCAACCTGATGCTGTCGGTGCTGGCCCGGTCGCTCCAGACATATTACTACTACGCCGCCGCCTCCTCGTCCGAGATGCCTGCCCCCTTCGTCGGCAACCAGGTCGGCGGCATCGTGTTTGAAAACAAAATCGACCACACCACGTTCTTTGGCGGCGACCCAGAGCTCATCCATGGTATCCATATGCTGCCCCTGCTGCCGTGCTCGCCGTTTTGTCGGCCACCCGCCTACGTCCTGCAGGAGTGGAACGACACCTTCTCCAACGGCCGCGCCGACAAGGCCCAGGGTGGCTGGCGCGGCGTCCTGTACGCCAACCTGGGCACGGCTGACCCGCACGCCGCTTTTGACTACTTCAGCAAGCCAGGCTTCGCCGACGACATGCTGGACCAGGGCGCGAGCCGAACGTGGTATCTGTGCTATGCAGCAGGTGAGTACACGTGGACGACGGACCCGTTTTATCCCATTCTTTCGATGTCGTGCGACAGCTAACAGTATCAGTCTTGGCCGGTCGTTGAGTGGGCAGCCATGTATCGACGATGAAGTAGTACAAACATACGAAAGGGGACATCAACACAGAACGGCACAAAATGAAATGGTCAGCATGGCCACTGTTGGAAACTTCGTTGGATGGTGCCGACGATCCGCGCTGTATACAAACCACGCAGGTACGGCCGGGCGGGTGCGGAATGGACGGACGTGTCGAGGTGTCGAGGTGTCGTGTTTCTTTTCTCTCACTGGGATTTAATGTCATAGAATTTTTGTTAAGATTTTTTCAGCTCACTGACCTCTTTCACCAGCCTCTTTTCGTGGTGTACAGAGTACAATGCCCAGACATCTAAACCATGCCCAAACGCGGGCAAATGCAAAGCGTCCACTGCTCGTGCTGATCAGCTACGATAATGTGTCGTTGCGTTCGTCGACAGTTGTACACCTTCTCCCTCTATGTTTATCTTCTTTTGCTTCACAGCCACGCTTGGCAACACGACTCCGCACACGAGTCGCTCTTTCCCATTTTCTGAACTCACCATTGTGATCGTTCTTTCCTCGTGCCCATCAGCGGTTGGCAGGAACCTACCCACCTCTTACGTACATCGTAGCTCTTTCCCAAATTTCTTCCGCACGACGTAATAGCGCGCTTTCCCACTGAGAAGAGCAGGCGCGTTGTCAATCTCTTCGGCACCTTCTGACTGCAACCCCACTCTGCGCTCTGGCGCTCTTGCACTTTTTGACGTTTGGGTGTCGTTGGGACTAAAGCTTGGCAGATCCGCTTGCATAGGCTGCCTCTTTTTCGCCCCGTTATTTCCCTGTTTGAGCGTGTTTCCGCATGCTCGCACCTTCCAAGCTAGTGCTCCCTTGGAGCTTGGCTCTTTGTGCTACCTTTCTGCTTTCTACCCCCAAGCTTCGCAGCTTTGCAAGCTTCCTCCCCCCCTCTTTCAACTTCCCACATTCTCTTTTCTCGATGCTACCAGAGCAATAACACAGCACCAAACAACAACAATTAAATCTTACGTCTGCAGCACCAGACCCGTCCGGCCTGTCTCGGCAAAAGCTTCTTTTCCATTTGGTCACCGTCCGTCCTGCCTGTCGTCCGAATTTATCACTCAATTGGGTCCACACGCTCGTACGAACGTGAGATACCACGACAACCATATCAAACTGTCGACAGTTCCGTTGTTTTGATTACTCTTGAGCTTCCACGACTGTCTCCATTCGGCTCTATGCAGCTCTGTTGAGGTCCATCTCTCGCAGGTCGTCAATCAATATTGCATTGGGCCTCGTTTAAACAAACCCCACGTCCCACAACATACGCCTCACGACTCGCATCTGCATCTCGTGCATCCGGGCACAACACACCAGTTCAACAGCACCTTGCTTCTGGTAGGTCCATCTCTGTTGTCAAGTTGTTCCTCTACGGTTGCCCATCATTCCCCGTTCCATGATGATTGCGCGTCGGGCGTCGGGCGTCGCAAGTCGTACAAATGCCGATGTGCGGTCGCTTCCCTGTGATCGCAATCTGCACGTCGTCGCTACATGGGCAAGTGTCATGTTCATGTCCATTATTATACTCCTTTCGACAGAACACTCCGTCGCCTTTTGCACTATTTACTTTGCCCTGGTCTGCCAAGACATGCTGCCCAATATTCTCGAGAGCAGTGCCTCGCTCAGCGATGCCGTGTTGCCCCAGCCTTGCCTCACCTTTTTGTTTCTGATCCCGACGTGCTCTTGGTTCCACTGATTTCACACACGTCGTTCCAACGACGAAACACCGTGGGACACCCCGCCGTCCATCCCCCGGCCGTCTCCTCTCTCACGTTCCTGTCTATGCTCGATGCAACCCTTGATCACAATGGCTCGCCTTCTGCTCGTTTAGAACATCTTCGTCCCTTATCTGGCAATCGTGATGGCTGCACGGTCTGATATTGCCCCATCTTTTTGTTCTTCCCGTCTTTCTTTCTACTTTGCATAGTAGGAGCTCGACACCGCTTGTTTCCCTCTCTACGCCCTGCCCACTTGAACCCCTGTATCTAAACCGTTACCTCGAGCTCGACCCCGTGCCTAGGTCTTTTGTTGTGTAATCAGTCTCCCGTCATTCCCGCGGAAATCGTGATGATGTACCTTCATCCGCGGTAGCTTGATGGAGTGTTTTCGTTACTGACAGCTGTTTTGAGTCTCTTGTCCAGTCCAGTATTTGCGGCTCAGTAAACCGAGTGTTGCCCAAATGCAGCACGTGTGAAAACGCAAAGGACAATTTTGTGCTCGCCCGATTTCACTTTCTGTCGACTCCGATATTTTCCAATAGTCCAAAATCCCTTTTGGATTAAACAGTGCAGAACGGGAGAAGACAACCAACGACAGAACTGCTACCGAAACGGACGAGAAGAATCCAACTCGCCTCCCATCGCCATCCATTCCGTAAACTGCGCCTTTCCGAACTGGCCGTTCCGACCCGTCTTATTTTGCCATTTGACATTTTTCTGCCACTTGGGCAATTTTTCCCCTTCTTCCCCAGTTTTTGCGTGGGTTTTCTGTCGTCCTTTTGTCATTCCCAATTCACAATGTGTAAGTTTCGGTTACGACAACCGCCAACCCAACTCCAAGCCTCCTTAGCACCACCCTAGAAACGCCACTATGTCTTGTCCCAACTGTCTTTGGCGCTCACACTTTCACACTCCAGTCACTTCGTATCACACTATATACCCCCGGCTTGCTCTCCCTCCCCGTCTTTGATAAAGAAACATCATACCTCACCTCCCTTTCCTCGTCTCCTCGCAGTGGCCGTCAGCTTATTTCTTTCCATTTTGTCCGGAATGACTCTTTGTCTATAATCGCTCCTTAATCTCTTCTACCTCGATATCACCTAGACATGGGTTGAGACGTCGCTCGTGCTTTTATTGTTGCAAAACTACAAGACGAGTTGTGCATCAACCACGTCTCGCAACAACGTCACTGTTGTGTCTATATTTTCACCCTTACTGCCCACTCCACCCGCACATCTCACCTACTATGCCGCAACCACATGATAATCCCAACGGCAACGGGGCCGATGCTAACAAGAATGTCGACAATGAAGCGTCTGTAGCTTTCCGCCGCGGCATCCAGAGGGCCGTTAGTGGCCTTTACGGATCCACCGACAATGATGACACCGGCAACCGCGTGGACGGCATCCTTCGTGGGGGCGCCGGCAACGAAGCTGCGCCCCTGCTGGTAGGCGCCGGCGCCAACTCGCGCCGCAGCACGTCTGGTTCATACGTCCCACACGTCCACTCTTCCGATGAAGAACACGGCTTTGCCCGCCGCCTGTTCTTCGACAAGTACCACACCCCGGGCTACGACAGCTCCAACGTCTTTGTCCGCTACCTTGCCCACGTCCTCAACATCACCAAGGCCACACTCTACTCCAGCCCCGTCAACGTCCTGCTCGTCTTCGTCCCCATCGGTATTGTCGCCGGCGCCCTCGGCTGGAGCGCCGTCACTGTCTTTACCCTGAACTTCTTCGCCATCATCCCGCTCGCTGCCGTCCTCTCCTTTGCTACTGAAGAAATCTCTGTGCGTCTCGGCGAATCCTTGGGCGGCCTGCTCAACGCTACCTTTGGCAATGCCGTCGAGCTGATTGTCAGCATTGTCGCCCTGCGTCAGGGCCAGATTGAGGTCGTTCAGTCGTCCATGCTGGGCTCCATTCTTTCCAACTTGCTGCTCGTCTTGGGCATGTGCTTCCTGCTTGGCGGTATCTGGAACATGCGCGACCGTGACAACCGGCCTATGGAGCAGAGCTTCGCCACGGTCACCGCTCAGACCAGTTGCTCGCTGATGGCACTGTCCATGGCGTCTCTGATAATTCCGGCGACAGTAAGCCAGCTGCTTTTCCCCCAACTTTCCGATTGATCAAGGTCGGCTTGACAACCCAACTTACTAACTGCTAATTCTCCTCCAGCTTTACAGCGCCATTGACGACTCCGCCGACAAGGCGGCCAAGGACGCCTCCATCCTGGTCCTGTCGCGTGGCACCGCCATCATCCTCCTGTGCCTCTATGTGCTCTTCCTCTTTTTCCAGCTGCGCACCCACTCCACCCTCTTCGACCCCGAAACCACCCCTTCCGCTAGTGTCAACGGTCTCCGCCGCGACGATGTTAGTGACGACGAAGATGATTCCCCGGCTGGTGAAGAGGAGGAGGAGCCTCACATGAACCCCTGGTCCGCTGCCGGCGTGCTCGTCGTTGTCACCTTGCTTGTGTCCGTCTGTGCTGAGTACCTGGTCGACAGTATCGACGAGATTGTCGCGTCTGGCAAGATCTCCAAGAGCTTCATCGGCTTGATTCTGCTGCCCATTGTTGGAAACGCCGCTGAGCACGTTACCGCCTGTGTTGTCGCTACCCGCAACAAGATGGATCTGGCTCTGGGAGTTGCACTCGGGTCCAGCATCCAGATCGCCCTCCTTGTCACGCCCTTCCTCGTCATTGTTGGCTGGTTGGTTCTCGACCAGCCCATGTCGCTGCGTTTCGAGACATTCGAAACGGTCGTTTTCGCCCTCAGCGTGCTCGTTGTTGCCTACACGGTCCAGGACGGCAAGTCCAACTACCTCGAGGGTGCTATGCTTATGGGCATGTACATTATCATTGCACTGGCGTTCTACGTCAGCCCTGGCGATGCCCTCGACAAGGCCATGTCTGGCGTTTACAGCGTCTTCTCCAGCGTGGCGCCCGGTGCGTGAAGCATCACCTAAGAGGAAGTCCACAAAATACGCGATTGAATACACAACTATAAAAGAATTTGTATACATGAACTCGACAACACACACATCACAGGATTGGGGGAAGAAACGATCTGAGAATAATTTCTTCTATTTTTCTTCTTCTTTTATTTGCCTCCTCAGGATACACGTTTTTCATATGTACGCATAGGTTTTGGTCATTTCGGTTGTTTTCTATTTTCTTTGGTACTTCATATTGGACTTTGGTTGTTTGTTTTTGAGCTCTTATACGCTGGTCTTTTTTGACTTTTGACATTGGTTTCAACCTGTAACAAGACTTTTTGATATCCATTGTGTTCTTTTGACTATCCCAAATGCTAAATGCTATGCGTTTTGAATACGAAGCTGCACCACATACGCCACTCTTCTCCAGCATATGTGCGCACCAGAAATGGGTTCCCCTACAGCTGCGGCTTAGCCATCGGCAGCACCACACCTTGCTTCTGAAGCACCCGCGGCTTCGTCGCGTCCTGGAACGCAAACGTTGTCGACCACTCCGGGCCCACCGGCAGACGCAGCGACCGCTCGTACTGGCTGCGCGTCTCAAATTCGTGCGGCAGCTGCGATGCCAGGTACTTTTCGTTCTTGTGCACCCGCCGTTCGCTGATAATCACCTTGTCCATCTTGGCGTCCCGGCGCACGACCATCTCGGCCTTGTTCTTGCCATTCCTGCCGTCCTTGCCGTCCTTGTTCGCGACCGCCCGCTGGTCTCGCTTGACGGCCCGCTTGCTCACGCCGTCACCGACCCACGAGCCCCATCCGGGCATGAGCGCGCTGTTCTTGTTCTTTTTGCCGCCCACCCGCGCTTGCTCCTCCTCCCACACTGCCGCCTCCTCGGCCGCCTGCCGCACCTTTTCGGCGGCAAACTCAGCCGCCGCGCCGTCTTCGCCCAGCGCCTTGCGCAGCAGCAGCTCGTTCTCGGCCCGGAATTTGAAGTACTTGCTGCGGTTGGCTGCACCGCGAGTGTCATCCGCGTCGTCGCTGTCGGAACCCGACGAGGACGTCTCAGACTCATCGACGCCGCCGTTGGCTTGGCTCGCACGGGCGGCGGCAGCAGCAGCAGCTTTTTGGGCGGCCTTCTTCGCCGCAGCAGTCTCCTTGGCGGTGGAACGGTTCTCGGCGACCGTATTCTGCGCCAGTACGTCATCCACAACAGCGGACATGACGAGACGGCCGTCCGCCGTCAGACCGGGCGTGGCATCCGCGTCAGCTCCCGTCTTCTTCGACTTCTTGTCTTTGTTACTACTACTCTTGGCCACCACTGTCCACGAGCCTGCATCACCCGGCGCCGAAGTCGTACGGGCAGGGAATGTGTTGGAGACGTCAGCGGCGGCGGTGGCGGCGGCGGCGGCGGCGGCAGCCTCACGCTCAGCAGCGGCTTGTTTCCGGCGCTCCTGGCGGTTGGGGCCAGTGTCGGCGTTGGCAGCGCGGCCCGTTTGGCCCGCAACAGGGCCGTAGCTGCGACGACCGACAGCCTTGTCGGCCGCATCGTTGTCACCATCGTCACCGTCAACGTCAACGTCAATCATGTTCTCGTCGCTGTCGTCGCCGCGATCAAGATCACGCATAATCTCCGCCACGGCCTCGTCGTTGGCCTTTTTGCGTGCAAGCTCTGCCTTCTTCATAAAGGCAATGCCCATCAGACCCTTGGGCTCCGCCTCGTCGTCCATGCCGCCTGCCGCTGCTAGCTTCTGCTTTGTCCGCAGTTTGAATGCCTCCTCATCGCTTTCCTCGCCAAAGCTGTCGCTATCGCTCTCTTCGTCTGCTTCGCCAGCCTTGCCAACGCGGCCACCACCGACACCGGCACCGTCCACGCGCCGCCGCAGTTCCTCATCCTGCCGCGCCATATCCACCAGACCCGTGCGGAACTCATCGTCCCACGCGGCACGGTTTGTGTTCTTGGCCCGCTTCGCCCAGCGGCTGTCCCGGTGCCGAGCGCCCATGCGCTCCAGCGCCCGCCGGCGGTGGGCCGCATCACGCTCTGCCTCCGAATCGTGGTCTTCGTCGACCTCGTCGTGCTCTGCATCCGAAGCGTCCAGCGCCTCCTCAGCACGTTGCCGCTCGCGACGGTGCACGCGGCGGTAGGCTTTACTCTTGATCTTCTTGATGCGCTTGGCGCGCGCCTGCTCGCGCGACTGCAGCTCGCGCGCGCGGCGCTTTTGGCCTATAATGGCCTTGAGGGCGTCCGGCGACAGCATGCTGGCCTCCTCCTCGGCCTTCTGGCGCTCTATCTGTTTTTGCTTGGCGCGCTCCTCGGCCTGTGCTTGCGGGCCGAGGCCGCTCTCCTCCATGATGGACAGGATCGTCTTTTCGAGGTCTGTTTGGGCGGATTTTTGGTTGATGGGCAGCAGATTGGCGGTATCGAGGCCCGAGGTAGCGAGCGCGCCGGCCACTTCAAAGGTCAGGTGCTCGGCACGGCGGTTCTGCTTGACGGTCTCGGTCCAGCGGTCGAGCGTCTCGTGCGCCTTGTCGGCGGCGGCGATGCGCAGCTGGCGGTCCTGCTGCATGGGCAGCAGAGGCACCTCGAGCTTCTTGTCTGAAGATGCACCGACGGCAGCCTTGATGGACTTTTTCAGGCTGCGGTCTTTGCTGCCGAGCTGGGCGTTGAACTGGTAGGGGTTCGCGGCGCGGGCTGCGTCGTCGGCGTCGCTGTCGTCTTCGTCACTGTCGCCGTTTTGGCCCGCGGCATAGGCAGAGGCGATGCTCTGAAGGGCGTTCGACTTTCCGAGACTGGCATCCTCATCCTCACCGTCCTCCTCGTCCTCCTCGTCGCTGTCGTACTCGGACGACTCTGTTGACGACAGCTCGTCACTATCACTACCATCATCATCGTCCGAGCCAGAACCAGACAGGCCCGATACGTCCGACGTGTCGTCAGATGCTGATAGATCGCTGTCATCAGCCTGCTGTCTCTTTTTTTTTCGTGTCTTGTCCTTCTTGGAGGAGGGCGCGGCTGCCTCGTCGTCCTCGTCCGACGACACAATGTCCAGCGCCGCAGCCAGATCAATGGCCTCGTCGCCCAGGTCGGCACCATCGTCACCAACGTCCTGATCTTCTCCTTCATCATCCTCGTCGAAACCGTCAAATTCGTCCGCAGCCTGTTTTGACTTTGACTTTTTGTTCTTGTTCTGTTTCGACGAACTACCACGGAAGGCAAACGCATCAAAGATCTCGTCGTCGTCGCTGTCGCCAAACGCCTCGTCGCTGTCAATCTCCGAATCGTCGTCGTCACTGCCGACGCCCTCGCGCCACTCATTGCCAGAGCTGTCACTGTGAATGTCGTTGGACGAGCCGTCCGAGTCGGCGCCGCCGTCTTCGTCGTTGCGGCCGTTGTTGGGCCGGCGTCGCTTGGCTGCACTGCCACCGCCCTCTTCGTCGTCGTCGTCGTCGCCGTCATCTCCGTCGTCATCGCGTCGGCGCTTGGTCTGGTCGCGCTCAATCTCTAGATCGCGCACGCGCACACCTTTTGTACGGGACTCGCCGATCTGTTGCTTGGCCAGCGCCATGACGTCCACTCGGCCACCCTGCCGTGTCCGGGGAGCACCGCCGCTGCTGCGTGTGCTAGACGGGCCTCCACCTGAACGGCCACCAGCACCGCCATTACCGCCAGTCTTCTTGCCGCTCTTCCGCTTCTTGTTCGGGTCCGCCAACAAGGGCCTCCCGTGGGCCTGGCGACCAGGCATCGCTTGTCTTTTGTGTTTCTTGGGAAACGGTCGATTTCGTTAAATGATTACGTGAATTGTCGATAAATTGTTCGCCGAGTACATTCGCAAGAGAACCACGCAACAATAGGGCGGTTTGCGTCTGGTTTTTCAAGTCGGGGTAAGTTAACTTGTGGATGGCAGCTGCTACTTTGCCCATAACAAAATTTCCAGCCAGCATTTTGGCATGCAATGCGAAACTTTTTTTTAGTGGGGTTTTCTGCCGCTTTTTTATCCCAACGGAAGCCTTGGTACAAAAGGCGGTGAAAGGCCGTCCTGTGGGTCCCTGGCTTCGCCGAGTCCGGTGAGAGCTTTCGGGCTATCCAATTGAAATTTGAAGCATCAAAATCGCTTTCTGAGGCTCTGGAACCACCTCAATCGACTACCAGCAACCCGACCGACGGCAAGCCAACAGCGACACCCTTCCAGGCGCACCTCCCGAACGAGTATTTTCTAGAGATCCCCCCTTAGTCTCTCTTCACTGAGCCAGAACAGTGACAGCAATTGGCCCGTGACCCATCGTCGACGCCGAACTCACTGTCGACATTGAACCAAGACTCGAGCTCTTCGTCCCATCAACCTTTCCCTTACCGTCGCCCTCTCACGCTCACACACAATGCGCGCCACCGACATTCTTCTGCGGCCATACCGCAAGCTGCGGCTCACTGTCAAGGACGTCAACAAGGGCTTCTACAAGGGCACGCGCACCGGCTCCATGGGTCGGCATACCAAGAAGGGTGGCTACGTGATTGAGTATGAGAAGGTGCGCACTTACGTCGTGCCGAGTCTGGTGGACTTTAACGTATGTTGTCATTCGTCCCCTGGCCCCTTGTCGCAGTTTACAAGATATTGAAAAAAAAAAAAAAAAAAAAAAAAAAAAAAAAAAAAAAGTAGAGCATCGCTAACCTCTGTAGCTCACCCCCTTTGTCACAAAACGCGTGCGTCCGACGTTTGGCGTGTATTCCCAGAGCGAAGGCCCGCTCAAGGGCCCGCGGAGTCCATCGCTGTATCTGGCCCGGTGGAAGGCTGAGAACGGTCTGGACTAAGCCTATGTGCAGACAAATTAAAAGGGAATGAAGGAAATGAAAGTTGAAGAAGAGCGTTTGATTTACTTACTATCTGTACATTTTTCATATTGCATAGCTCGGATGGCGGAATACCTCTAGATACAGGAGACAAGGAATTGTGTACAAAAGACAAAAGGAGAAACATGAAAGCTGTACGAATAAAACATATCGGTTGGCCATAGCCGGGCTTTGGAGGATATATAACCCACGGGTAACGATACGATTAAATTCACCAAATTTCACCTCGGACAATACCATCCTAGCAGTGTTTACTTGTGCTGTCATACACGGCTGTTGCAGAAAAGAAAGTATAAATATACAAAGCGGAAAGATGGACAACTTGATACAAGTTGGCGTACACTTCGCAACGAGAGCACTCTATATACTAACTACATGGCCGTGATGTGCTCGTCTGCGTTTAGGATCAGTATTTACTGATGCAAATCGTGTTTCTGCGCGCTCTCTTGTCAATGCGCGGGCGTCATGGGGGCCGCAGGTGACGGTTTTGCCGAAGTCTCCTGCAAGCCCGGCACGCCAGCAGTCGACTGCAGCGTCACCATGCTTGCCGTCTCGGCATCTTTGTTTAGCGAGAACGGTAGCGCGATGCCGCCGAGGAACGGCCGCTTGCCCGTCGAGCCCACATGGTTGGCGTCGCCAGCAGCCCTGGCCGCATCGTAGGGTGTCAACAGTTTACCCCGGGCAGGCTTTTCCATAGTGGTGGCATCACTGGACATGCCATTGGGCATGCCATTGGGCATACTGTCGGTCATGCTGTCGCCATTCGCCAGCGTCGATTCCTCTGGCAGGAGAACTGGAATTGGAGTCGGTGCTGGCATCGGCTCATCCTGCCCGTCGGCTTGGTTCTCGTTCCGCACATATCGCCGGCGCGATCTACTGCGGTCATCTGCACGTGTTGCAGCTTCCTTTTCCCCTGGTACAGCCGACGAGTCACGGCCACGGAGTAACGGATCGGCCGCGGCCGGGTCCGCTGCCACCTCCTTCGGCGCTCCCTGGGCATCATGCTCGCGGGCGTCCTGCTCACGCTCAACCGTCGACTCGTCGTGCTTCGAACCCCACAGAGACCACAGGGCCAAACCGTGACTCTGCTTGCGAGGGCCGTGCTCGGTCAGGTCCTCTCCAATCTTGACACAGCCGGCCAAGGCGCTCGGCGGCGGGTGCTCACCAGGACCAAACGACTCGAAGCCGACGGCAGCGTCGCGGAGGCGCTTCTTAAGCACTTTGCTCCGGTCGCGAGAGTAACGGCTGTCCCACTGCTGCTTCGTGGCCGTCCACCTTCGAACGGGGCCTTCTTTGGGCACGCCAACATATGCGGGGTTCTCGAGTGCCATTTTCGTGCCGGGCAGCTCATCAGGGGGCGCGAGCGGATAGACGTCGCCGTGGCGGGTGACCCGCTGGCGAATCATGTGGTGTTTGAAAGGCGGGAGCGAGTCACCTGCCTTTCCAATATGCTGGCAAGGACCGGCACAATCGTCCACCTCTTTCTTAGTACTTGCTTGTGCATGGTCGTACGTGGCGGGAGCATGAGCAGCACCCCCTGAGGCAGTCGTGTCGGTGTGAGCAGGCCTAGATGAAGCACCATCGGGGGGCGCGTCCAAATCCGAGCTCGAGGCCGAGATAACAGAAATTGCATCGTCATCTAAGATGTCTATTTCCGTCTTTTGTGCGCGTGCCAGGACCCAGGCGCCAAACTGCGCAATCGACCGGAACATGAACTTGGCCGGGCGTGTGAAGCTCAACGTCGTTGCCACATGGCACAAGTCGTCCCAGACCTGGAGCTGGACATCCGTGGGAGGGTAGCGCGCGATCTGCGCCTTGGCTTCTTCATCGAGGCTGGCCTCGGGGCCCGCGTACTTTGCCGGGTCGGCGCACTTGTGGGCAACATACATCTGCTCGTCTCGCAAAATCTCACCGCCGCCGGAGATTATCAACAGCGGAGGGAGTCCACCAAGCGTGGGCTGCAGGGCCGGGCTGACAAGCGGATGGCTAAGCATGTTGTTGGTCGTGTACATGTGGATCTGCTCGTTGACCAGAATTTCTTCGGTCCCGTCGTTCGCCACCAGTTTCAAGTTGTTGGCCGCAAACATGTTTAGCTTTGCCTCGTTCTCAGCCGCTTCTTCAGCTTCCGTAAGAGGCGGCGATGGGCACGCAGAAACGCCGCTGCCAGTACTATCTTTGCCCTTTGTCGCATGAAACTCCGCCCGGGCCCTTTGGTTCATCTTGTCCACTTCCTCGAGAACAGTGGCGCTCGGAGGAGGCCAGGATTTGGACGGTCGCTGGTGGAAGCCGTAAGGTGGGATGTAGTCGAACGGCGCGTCGACGGTCAAGCTGGGGAATGAATGCGTCAGGTCAACCCAGGGGCTGATGAGGATTGCGCCGGCAGGAAGCGCAATCCCACGATCACGCAAAACGACGAGAAGCGACAAAACCATACCGCCACCAGCGGAATCGCCAGCCAGTACGATGGTATTCGCATCGTTACCCTGCAGGCTGAGCAGGTGCAGGTAAGCGCCCAGGCAGTCGTGCAAGCCGCAAGGGAAAGGAAACTGTGGAGCGAGACGGTACCGTGGCGCAAACACGCGGGCCTTGAGCTTCCGCGCATGTCGTTGCAATTGATAGCGGTGCTCGTGAACGCTGCCCAGATAGTAGGCGCCGCCATGAATGTAGAACATGACACGTCGGGCAGGTTTGCCTCCGTCGTTCTTCTTGCGCTCGGTGTAATTGGACTTCATCTCGATCCATTCGGCCTGCAACGGACTCTTTGGTTTGCGCCACTGCCACCATTTTTTGCCGCCAACAAGGCGAAGGCCATCGGGGCCAAGTTGTGTCTGCAGTGCCGTGGCAGCTTCGGCAAGGTGCTCGTCGGAGATTGTGACAATCTCAAGGCGGATCCAGGTCGGGGCCGGCACCCACTGAGCCATAAAAGCCTGCACCTCTTCGACAGTGTGGTGCGAGGCATAGATGAGAAAAGTGCGCACAAGATTCAGGCCTTGGTCGTAAGGAAGGTGAGCCGTTGGTCGCTGACGCCGGGGAGTGCGGTTGAGGAACTATGAGTGGTGTCAGTGGCCACAAAGAAGGGGTAGACCTGCAGCTAGAAGGATCCCGCAAAGGGTTCAGCTTACATGTGAGAAGAAAGTTGCAACAACCGCGGGCGAAACCGCCATAGAGACGGACAGCGTATTGACAACCATCGTCGAGGTAACGAGAAGACGAAATAAGAGGCCAAGATACCTACACGTCGTGCCAACGAGCTGCCAATGTCAAACAAATGTTTTGGGAAATGGGGTGTGATAGCAGACGATGCGGAGGAGACATCATGATCCTCGGAGTCAGGTGCCTCGGTTATTGCCAGTCGCGTCCGAGTGTCTTAGATTTCGATGGCTACGCAGCTAGATTAGGTTTCTCGAGTGTTGTTTTCTCCGTCTTGTCTTTCGTTTCGTTCTTTATCCAATGTTGTCTTCGTTTCGCCTCATTTTTGTCCTTGGTTTGCTGGCCTGGGTCCTGTCTCGAGTTTCCCCTTTGCTGGAAGTTGTAGCTGTGCAGTGTAGGACCTTTGGCTTGTTCCTGGCATTTCCACGGCGCATTGTTAGATCCGGTCCTCGTTAGTGATGTCATGGCAGAGCCGCGGGCCATGAAATTGAGTGGATCCAACGGATCCAGCGACATGTAGCGCCACGGGCGCACTGTTTTCAAGTCGGACTACGCCAGGCACGTCGGGGACTGATCTTCAGGTATATCGCCCAAAACAACACCTGGAGCTGGACTCCCGGGTTTGCAAAATACGAAAGTATCCAGCAACGATCAGCATTTTCAGGCAAGATTTTAACATTATTTGCAAGAAATGGCCACGCTAAACGTCGTTCTAGTAGTCTGGCAGTGTTGCAACGGCGGTTTCTGGAGCGGATGGATTATCGATGTCGTGAGGTCGTCCAAAAATTTCGAAAAGATGGACAGGACAGAGTAGAGTTGTCCACTACCAAAACCAGTTGAGATGGTAAACAAGTCCGCGTGTTATTGAATTCGTTAATCTGTCGGGTGGCGGCATGTCAGCAACAGTGGCAGAAACAACTCAGCCGCATGGATCATAGCGGATGGGTAAGGTTTCTTCTCTAGAGTCCTGAAGTGTTCGACTGCATCATATGTCTATAAAGTTGCCTGGGCGAAGACACATGTTAGCTTGGAGGTCAATTGAGGCAAGACAATGAAATCTTGAAGGTTGTCCTAGACACACGCTGTGGAGATACTCTAAAATGAGTGGTCTTACACGAATGGAGACTTGACTCAGTATGCTGTTGTCGTCTATCCGGGCCAGCACTGCCGCCGCACGAGATGTATTTCCGTGTAATTACAGATAACCCCGTAGAGAGTCATATCCCAGCGCCAGGTGCGGCAAATGCCAATGGGCACTTGGACATGACGGATGCCATAACGCATTCCTTCAAAGCAAGTTGGCCTATGGGAATTTGCTGTATACCAGTGTGCCCTGGACTCGGATTCTGGGTTACAATGGCCGCGGCGAGACACATTGGATAGCCTTGAATCACGGCCGGAGATGCTCACGCCCTACCATCGCAACGGCAACGTCAGTGTGGATTTTCGAATCAGAAGAGTCAGGACACTTACCGCCTGTCCGTGAAAGCTCCAGATGGGTCATGTCCAGTTGATAGAATGCGTGGCCATTAAATAGGGGGAAGCTTGCAAAGCCCAAAACTGTTGAGGGGTTATCAACACAACTCTGTACGACATACGCCGTCGCGCCTTCTGTTTTGGGGCCGTCCGTCCCTTCCGTTTGGTTGCGCATAGTGCAGGTCACGACACATGTGATCAAATGAAGATGAGACTAATACGTCTACTCACAAAGTGAAGATATTGCGAATTTACGTTCATCAAATCCTTTTGGCCCTACGGTTCTCGATTGATAGCAGAGCAAATTTGAAAATGCATAAGCATGTCCACGTCTCCAAATGTGCTTATATCCTCCAGATTTGTCCATCAACAACGACGAAATTACACTTACAACTTTGGCCCTACCACGAAATTACTTTGTATTATTTTCACAAAGCCACAAAATAACACAAAAAAGGAATGCAATAATAGATACGATAAAATTTTCCACGCGACAATTACTGCCACCTTGTCACAGTTGCACCACTCCCGAGGTGCCGGACACGAGGGAGGACCTCGGTGCATCGGTATGTTGAGCCCGAGTCTCGCAAAGTCGCTCCGTCTAAGGGGAGCCGAAGGCCAACTGTGGGCCGTTTCCAGATCTTCCTCCAATCATTCTGCCATCCAGCAGCATGGAGTGGACTCTTGGTACGGCCAAAGCCTGTGGGGATTTCATGGATCTTGCCACAGCGCCAGGTTCAAGCACCACCAAAAAAGGGAGTCTCCAAAACTTTCTCCAAAAAGTGGAAGAAAAGGAAAGCGCAGGCAAGAACGACCCAGTGTTCGGGGCATCGCTATTCGGCATTTCCAGTTACGGCGTAAGATACATCCACAAAAGCGTGTAAGTTGATCACACGGAAAGAGCAAATAGCGAGAAAAACTAGAAGTGACGAGCCACGAGGCGCCATGGTGGTTTCTTGGGACGATTGCGTCCTTTTTGTCCTTTGTTCCTTCCCCAGAACAGCTGTCAAATCCATCCCCTCATCTCCCGGTCCTCTTTTACGACGTCCTGCCCGATTTGTTCTCCAAATTTATCGTCTCCCGTCTTCGTTCTTTTCCAATTTTTGAGACAAGCTAAATCGATCTCGCCATACGTCTCGGCTTTGCCTAGCTGATCCGTTCCTCAAGCGCCAGTTTTGCAACCAGCCTTTGTCCCCTTGCACGAGCATTTGCTATTTTGTACTTACCCCTGCCGGACTTTTGCGTTTGCGCGACCCCAAGAGCTAGGAACGAGCTGGCTGGGAGTGACGTATTCAATTCTAGAATTCGAGCAGTGCAAATCACAAAAACAGCGAATCTTTGTTCTTTCACCTACAAAACGACGACGTCACGTACAACCGACGACGCCGCTCCTCCTCACTCACCTTGCCGCCACTAAACGGAAGTAACGGTCGCTGCAATTGAAGGCCGCTGTGCCATTCCGTCCGATATACCTCCGCGGCCCCCGGGTCTTTTCTTCGCCGTTTTTTTTCTTCTTCTTCACCATCTTTAAGGCCGTCGCTGTCTACTTCTCCTCTACTTCTCCTTCATTGCCCGTCAAACACCCAGAGTCTTCCGGTACCAGTTGCCACGATGGCGGAAAACAACAGCAACGTCGTCGAATTCCCCACCAACCCCGCCGTGTATCAGCGGAAGCCGAGACGACTTCGCATCGACGAGCTGGACGAGGCTGCGTCTGAGCTGGCCACAGCAACTGCTTCTGAGCGTACAACTCCTCAGGCGGAGAGATTGCCTGCCGATCTTTTCGTGACTGACGAAGAGAAGGAACGGAAATGGTTCGTTGGCAGCATCGACCAGGGCACTACGTCATCACGGTTTATCATCTTCGATGGTGATGGTTCTCCCGTTGCCAGCCACCAGCTCGAGTTTGAGAACCTGTATCCCAACTCAGGGTGAGTGCTGTTGCCATTGCTTCCAAAGGGAGCTCGGTTCCGACGCTCCACTGCCAAATAACTGCTAATGGGTCTCTTCCTTCAGATGGCACGAGCATGACCCAATGGAGCTCCTTGCCTCCGTCACGACGTGCATGGAGAAGGCGGTCGAGCAATTCGTCGAGAAGGGCCATTCCAAGCAGCTCATCCGCTCAGTTGGCATCACGAACCAGCGCGAGACGACTCTTGTATGGGATTCAGAGACCGGTGAGCCACTGTACAACGCCGTTGTGTGGCCCGATACACGCACAACCGGCCTCGTGCGTCAATTGAAGAACGCCCCCAAGGCCGACACACTCCAGGACATCTGCGGTCTGCCGCTCTCGACATACCCAAGCAGTGTCAAGTTAAGGTGGCTGCTAGACAATGTCGAAGCTGTGCGCAAGGCCTCGGAGGAGGGCCGGCTGGCCTTTGGTACGGTCGACTCCTGGCTCATTTACAAGCTCAACGGCGGCCCCACCGGCGGCCACGACGGCAAAGGTGTGCACGTCACCGACAGCACAAACGCCAGCCGTACCATGTTCATGAACCTCAAGACTCTCAAGTACGACGACCGCCTGCTCGCGTTCTTCGGCATCGACCCCGCAAAAATCCAGCTGCCACGAATTGTACCCTCGTCCGATGCGGAGGCATTTGGCTCCATCGCCGACGGCCCTCTCGAGGGCATTCGCATCGCTGGCTGCTTGGGCGACCAGTCCAGTGCACTTGTCGGGCAGTGCGGCTTCCATCCGGGCCAGGCTAAGAACACCTATGGCACGGGATGCTTTTTGCTCTACAACGTCGGTACTGAACCCGTCATTTCGAAGCAGGGTCTGTTGGCCACTGTTGCCTACGACTTTGGTCACGGCACCAAGCCCATCTACGCTCTCGAAGGCAGTATTGCGGTCGCCGGCGCCGGTGTCAAGTTTTTGACAAACAACATGGGATTCGCCAAAGAGTCGCACGAAATCACAGAACTGGCCGAGTCAGTCCCCAACAACGGCGGTGTCGTGTTTGTTACGGCCTTTAGTGGTCTTTTCGCACCTTACTGGATCGATGATGCCAAAGGCACTCTCTGTACGTAGCTGCCTGCTCTTCATCATTTCCGCATCTTACTTTACTGACCTTGTTTGCACCCACAGTCGGCCTTACCCAGTTCACGAAGAAGGCACATATCGCCCGGGCCACCCTTGAGGCTACCTGCTACCAGACCAAGGCCATCCTTGACGCCATGGAGCGCGACAGCGGCAAGCGCCTCGAGAGCTTAGCCGTTGACGGCGGCCTCTCCAACAGCGACCTGACCATGCAGTTCCAGGCCGACGTTACCGGCATCCCTGTTGATCGTCCCGCTATGCGCGAGACGACGGCTCTGGGTGCCGCTATTGCTGCCGGCCTTGCTACTGGTGTGTGGAACAAGCTGACGGATCTTCGGGACGTCAACCGCTCCGGCCGCAAGATCTTCCAGCCGTGCGAGGACCGCGCCCCCATTGGCCGCATGGTGCGCAAGTGGGAGCAAGCCGTGGAGATGAGCCGCGGCTGGGTGCTGACCGAGGCCGACGCCCAGGAGGAGGCGGAACGGGAAGAGGCCGACAAGGCCTTGGCCAAGGAGACGGCTGATGCGGAGGCCGCGGCCGCCGAAGAGTCCAAGGCAGAAGTCGTGCACGTCGAGTCTGCAACCAAAGCTGCATAACGAAGACGCCAAGGGGCGAAACAGGAAAACATAAAGCGATGCGTATCTCCTGCCTTCTGTATAGTCGGAATAAGACAAAGATATAATGGACATGTATATATGAGTACCTATTTCTTGTGTTGACACCATTGAAAGGTTAAATCTGAAGCAATATTTCGTGCACTGTCAAAACCCACTCAAGCGAGCGATGCTCGACTGCAGATGGAATTTTCTTTCCCTTCTTCTCCTGACTACAACATACGTGTACGCAAATCCGCCTATTACCACAGAGTGAAACATGCCAGCACAGGCCGAAACAGAGATGGCCCTTGCCGTTTTCAGCGTGTATTACGCTCGTTTGCCCGCTCGCGTGTCTGTCTCAGTTATTAGTCTACATTCCAGTCGAACCTACGGACCGTGCACGATACTAGATTACCGTTTTCCAAAGAAGCTGCTGTAGTTTTTCCCGCACGATATTTTCAATTATTCCTTCTATCAAGCACCATCTTATTTTTGAGTTCTTTGTGAGCGAAATACAGGGTACATGTAATAAAAGAGTCACCTAAAACAGTCGAAAACTAGGAGACAACGCATGGACTTGGAAGAAACGTGTTGGGAGAGGAGAGTGGTCGGATCAAAAAGAAACGAGAAACAAGACAACAAATGAGTATCAAACAAGAAAAGTAGACACCAAATACATCAGGGTCAAAGTATAAAGGATGCAACCGGGCCATCGAGACAGTGCAGTGGTTCCAAAAGATCGTTGCAATCGACATGCGGCAAGACACAAAACAAAACAACCGCGTCCCATCAGTGCAAAAATACCCAATTCAAGACGAGGAATCGGTGCTGCCAAAATAAAAACAAAGTAAAAAATTGAGGTTTTAAAAATAAAGTATAGGATATATTTTGACGAGTTATAATCGAGGTTGCAAGGCTGGTCAAGTCACAGCCGGAGAACGAGGAGAAAAAGCGCAGAGCAGACGGGAGAAAAAGAAAATAAGGAGAAAAATTGTCTGGTCGCGAAACGGGAGATCTGGCTCACTCCCGCAAAAGGAGCCGGCCCGCGGTTGGATTTCCAGTTTGATCTATTTTTATTTTGTTTTGTTTTGTCGATCAAACAAACAGGAACATAAGAGAAGACAAGAAACGACAAACATTACACCCATATTACATAATGACTTGGGGTCTGTCGACATTCGCCTTGATGCTCTTGTGGGGAAGCACGCTGCCGCCGTTGACGTAGACCTCGTCGCCGATAGTGACGTCGTCACCCAGGACGGTAACGTTCTCCAGGCGGGCCCAGCGGCCGACGGTGCTGTGCCAGCCGACAATGGTGCTCTTGATCCAGGCGTGGTCCTTCACCTTAGATTCGGCCAACAGGACGCAGCGCTGCAGGCGGACGCCGTCGCCGACAACGACACCGGGGCCAATGGTCACATTGGGACCTATCCGGCAGTTGTTGCCAATCTTGGCAGTAGGGTCGATCAGGACGTTGCCACCGTGCACGTAGGACTCGGTCGAGGGCGCGAGCAGCTTCGAGCCCTGCTTCGTCAGGGAGGACAGGTATAGGCATGTACCGGTCAGGAAGTCCTTGGGCTGGCCAACGTCCATCCAGTAGCCCTCCAGGTCAAACGAGTGCAATTGGCCATCGGTGACCATGGCAGGGAAAGTCTCCTGTTCAATCGACGTGGGGCGCAGTTCGATGCGGTCCAGCACGGAGGTGTTGAAGATGTACAGGCCGGCGTTAATGCGGTTGCCAACAAACTCGACGGGCTTCTCAACGAAGCGGTCGATGCGCGACGGGTGGTCGGGCTTGTGGACAATGACACCGTACTTGGACGGCTCCTCGACCTTGGTGACAGCAATCGTACCCTCGTCACCGTGCGCCTTATGGAACCCTGCCAGCTCTTTAAAGGGGAATTCGCAAATGACGTCGGAGTTGAGGACGAAGAAAGGAGACTCATCCTTGCGCAAGACATCCTCAGCCAGCTTCAGGGGGCCGGCAGTGCCCAGGGGCTCGGTCTCGATAGAGAATGTGATGTTAATGCCAAACTTGGTGGCAATCTGTTTGTAGGGGGTAACAATATTAGCACAATATTAGCAACTATGGTGGCTTCATTCGGGGTCACAAATGTGCGCAACGTACCTCAGATAGACGGTCCTCCATCAGTTCAGGACGGTAGTTGACGGCGAGAACGACATCGGTAACTCCTGCATCGGCCAGTGCCTCGATCTGGTGCAGGATCATGGGCTTGTTGCCAAACTCGACGAGGGGCTTGGGAATAGAGAGGGTCTAGAAGGGACGCGCGAGAAGCTTAACGTTAGCGACTATACGTCGAAAGAGTAGAGTATGCTGAGGGACGAGGTGGTCTGCAACCGATGCTGCCCGTAGTCGCGAAAAAAAACAGTGCTCAGAGACAGGAAGTTCAGATGTGCAGAACAAGGCGGTGGGTGGTGCATACAAGAGGCCGAAGACGCGTGCCGAAGCCGCCGACAAGAATGAGAGCTGCAGAAAGGAGAAGAAAAACATGTTAGCGAACTGGGCTTGTCAAGAAAAGTAGCTGGAGTAGAAAGTGGGCGCGACAGAGAGTGGTGAACGCGAGCCGAGAAGCTCCCAAGAGAGGGGGGGGCAGCAAGCTGCGGAGGGGCAAGGCGAGGCACACTTCGCAAAACCAAAAGCTGGATAGCGAGCAGGAGGAAGAGTATTGCACAGACGCTGCCATAAACGTACCCTTCATACTGATGTTGGAAAAGTAATTAGGTGACGAGAAGTCGAATGGAGGCGAGGAAATCTAAAAATCAAACAGGACGAGATGCGTGGTAGATGCGAAAATCGTCGGTAGATTAAACGGGTTTGCAAAAACGAGCGTATCGAAGTGAAACGAAGGAGACTGCAAAGCTTTGAAAAGAAGAAGAGGGACCCCGGGCCAAGGAGGTTTAAGGGTTGGAGATTGTCGACAAAAGACGCTTTGTTGGAATTTGTTTATAGCGATTGAGAGGTTCAAAGTGGAAAGGAGACGAGAGGAGAGGAAAGAAAACAGGAGACACGAGAAACGAGGCGGAAGGTGGAAGGTGTCCTGAAGTCGTCCGAAAATGGACAAGTGGGAAAAGGCTTGGTAGACGTTCGAAGCAGGACGGGGGAAGGAGCCACCATGGAGAAGGAAAAGGGGTGCCAATTCGGAGGGGAGATCACAGTGGGGTGCCAGTACTTGCCTACGTGGTCGTTGTGCTTCTGACTAGGGAGCACAGTGTGATGAAGGAGGTATTCATTAGCACCTAATACATTGCAACTGAGCAAAGCTACAGAGAGCATTGGGCGGCGCACTTTAGCACGAGCTGGGGAAGGAACGAGGGGTGCCAGCAACGGCCGAGAAGCAGAAACTACGGTGCTAAAAATTGAATAAGGGGGGAAGGAGCGAACGACGAAGAATGTAAATCGTATGTCTCGCCGCTTTGGGGAGTTTAGTTTGTGAGACTACCCGGACCTGGTGGTTGAGGCAGAAATTGCTACAGAGTAGGCGAAGTACCTGCTACCGTCGTTCTTCTGTCTCATAACGGTGCTCTATTGGTTCTACGGCTCTCTTTCTTTTGCGATTATTGGCCTCACTGTGTGACGAGGTATTTCGAGGTCGTGTGGTAACACATGACGAGAAGGAGCGAGGATGGCCCTTTTAGCGGGCAGTTGGGATTACTTTCTGTTTTGGGAAGTGTTGTTGGAAGTAGATGCATTGTCAAAGGTGGCTTAGTGAACCGAAAACGACCAAAGAGCTTTTACGCTGCGAGGCTGCTTTCACTCCGTATCTACGAGGTAGAGTCTATTATTGACAGTTCCTTTCATGCGAAGACTGCAATAGGAGGTGTCCCACTATGCCAGTCTCGAATCCGTTATTGTGACTTTTTGCATGTCCTTTGGAGCCAAAGACGGCTCTAGGTTAAGTTACTAAGAATAGGGGCAGTTGAGGGACCCGCAAAACAGCTGAAGAATAGCATGGGCACGGCAAGATTGAAAGACAGGACGAAACGAAAGGGGCCCCCAAGGCGGCGAACAGACGCCATAACGAAAGGGCAGGGAGTGCGACAGGCTGGCGGTGCCCAGGTTCATTTATGAGTTAATTTTGTTAGGGCACCACGTTAAGGACTGGACTGGACCAGACTGATCGTCCCCGCTGGACTTCCTAGCGAGCAATTCGCTTGCCATGTCATGTGGTGCGATAGTTCTTGTCAATCAGGCTTCTTGAGAAAGAAGGAAGGGAAGAAGTACGAGTAAAGAACGTGTTGGGGTCGGGGAGGAGTGATTTTCCCCTTCCCCCCAAATCCAGGCTGTGGCAAACCCAGAACAACAGGAAAGACTAATGCTCCATAAAGCAGTCGTTATTCTTTTCATGCGTTTAAATTGGAAGGCGTCATGCCTTTTGATTTTTGGGATCACCAGATTTGGCGGTGGTAATGATGTCGTACCTCTACGCCATATATGTTAATCCTGGAAATTTCAGTTCAGCCCTTCTTCAATTTTCCACATACGGTTTGATGATGTCGGCCAGGCCGTAGTTGCTCGTATTGACGCATTTGCCCCTTCGCATTTCAGATACGACATCAATACAGCGAGATTGCTAGACTTAACCTTCCGTGGCCTCATTAGCGGGAAGGGAAAGGAGATTTGCGGGACGAGGGAACGAGATGTCACATCCGTCGCCAACAGTCCCTGTCAAACAATGGCATACTCCGAAAATAGGGCATGTTCTTATGTTAATTAGGGAAGGTGATCAGCATGTCTGTACCAGAAACATTGTTTTGATTTGTTCTGGAACACTGGCAAAAAAGGGAATAAGAATGGCAAATGCAAGGTGGAAGAGTTAACTCGTGTTGATGGCCGCGTTCAGTGATTGGCTCAGGCAACTCACATGCTAATTTCACCGGAAAAAAATTATTTCACAGTAGAACATCGATTTTAAAATACACAGAAATAATTCCGCCAGGGCGGCGCGTGAAATTAACACAAACCCGGGACTTCCCCAAAGGGATAAATGTTTATGGCGCCCTGTCTGCGGAGCATTGGATGTTTTTCATTTCATGTAATACCACGGTGACCTCCTTTGCACAACAACAGTGATCAACGGTTATCGAGCTGAAAGAGAACGAACCCGTGGCTTTAATGATGATGGTCAAACCACACGGAGCCTGCTCAATCAAGGGTAATGTGCGCCGGCACTTGGTAATTGTCCATCCAATGCTGGGCCCGGCAGCCTTGTCCTCCTGTACTTTGTGTATCAGCAGCCGCACCAAATAGTTTTTAGTAAAGGACCGCTCGCTACCTCTCAATCAATTGCCAATATAGCGAAATATAAAAATACCGAATACGCTCAGTTTGTTGACAACTATGCCACTATAAATGGCATTGTATATTGAAATATTATCGAAGCTGTACCAAGCAGGTGCAGATCAGCCAGATGGAATGGATTGGGGAGAAAAAAAGTGAACGATAGTCATGCCGTGAAGGTTATAAAATGGGTTTGTGAATCCTTGCAAAAGTGGAAAGCACAGAGACACGAAAAGAACGTATGCAAACCACCGAGTGAACAGAAAGATTGAAAATTGTAAAACGCTGGAGCACCCAGACGGCTCACTGACTCACATTCTGGAAATCTGTCTTGGCCGACACCACCTGTTACCAGGAGAGACAGCTCCGGTTGTTTGTTCAACTAAAGAGAGACAGAAAGAAAATAAAATGCAAAATCTTGAAGCGCGCTATGTTTTGAAAAATGAAAGGCCATTCTGGCCGCCGCCGTTTCGTCTCATCAGTCTGGCAAACCATGCATCAAAATGGTCATTAAAAGGCTCAAATCTAACCTCCAGTCGGTCAAGAAACAATATGCCACAAATGAATGACAGGAATAAAATGGGCAAGAAAGAAAAAAAGAAAACAAAGTCCAGGGATTATGTTTCCATAAGGCTATGGCAAGTAAACTAACAGCATCGGACATACCATTAGCTACGTTATTGTGCAGCAAAGTCGATCCGGTCCGAGGATTTGCCCAACTGAAAGCCGTGAAGGACTCACAATTATCTCGGGTCGAGCTCGGTTGGGCGGATCGTTTCCCAAGAGTCCCCGGATGGAGGACTGCAGGCCACAATTGCAAAACCTGGGGCAATCCACATATTGACATCGGGTCCAGTGGTCATGAAGGTCATGAAGGTCAGAATGAAACATAAAAGAAAAGGAGTGGCGCAGAAAGCAAAAGTAAAAAAATGGCCAAAATCAAAATATTGTCGTGAAAGTTCGTTTCTATGTCATAAGCGTCGTTAAAATATAAAGTTGTGTCGTCAAAAGAAGAACAGTGCATCTTTTCATCATGTCATGCAGTGTCGACAATGTGTGATTTTTTTTTGTTTTGTTTTTCTTTTTTCTTGTCGTAGTCCGTTTTTTTTTTTCGTGCAGTTGTAGGTCTCGTAGAAATCGTTGATATCGTAAGGCTGTATGTTGTTTCGTCATTGTGCCCAGATCTTTCTTTTCATCGGTTCGACTTTTGGGGGTTAGGCAGCTGCCCATCAAGGCCAGCGTCCGGGTATTCTCTCAGTGAATCGTAGTTGTAGAAGCTGCGAAGCTTCATGTCGAAGTGCATTGTATCGGTTGGGCAGAAGCATTTATGAGGAAGCAAAATAAAGAGAAAAAAATCACATACAAAAAGCATCAGGGAAAAGGAATGGGAGCGGAAGGAGGAGGAAGAAGAAAATATCAAAGGGGGTGAAAAGGAATTTTTAAAAAATAGGCTTGTGAAGGTGGAGAGATGAAGTCAAAGAGCACGTGGATTTGGCAAGGCTCAGTCTACAGCCTTTGGTTGGCAGTCGGTCCAGAACAATTTGCGACCCACGATCGATGCGATAGGTCAATATGAAAGGACGCCCAGTGGCACCGGTTTGGTGTGGCAAGTGAGTCGCTGGTTTATATCGTCGACAAGGCAGCAACCAAAATGAAGCGCGCGAGGCTTTCAAATCGTAGGATCCAAGTGGTCGTTCACAAATTAAGCGATTTCTGTTTGCTCAGTCGAAAGTTTGATCCCGGTACTCTGACGTTGTATTTCGTCTTATTCAAACGAGGCTGTCGAGGAGCTGCTCGAATGAGTACCGGATCGCCGGCTGCTGCGGCTGCTCTTGCTGTGGCTGCTTGACGCCTGGCGGCCCCGTCGGTGCTTCCGGTTGGACTCGTCTGCAGGAAGACCTTGGACAATACCGTTCCTGGCCAGCATGCCACCGTTAACGGAAAAATTCCGGCAGACCATAAATGCACGCATAGCGGCGTTTTCTTGGGCCAGCATGTCCGATTCGTATGCAAGATCCGTCTGATACTCGCGGCCGTTCACAAGAACCAGACAAGTGTAACCGTTGCTATCACGGTAACACTCGTACATAGGGTCCTGCCACCCACGACGCCGGCACAGGCCTGTTGGGACGAGAAACTGTCAGCCATACGTTTCAACCTCAGCCTCATTTTTGCGCATACAACCATCAGATGAAGGGAAAATGAGATTCAAGGTGTGTGCCATCGTGCTATCAGGCTTTGGCCTCATCTCCCATTGCAGATTTCACGATGCGGCCTGAAACACCCAACACGATCTTGTCTGCATTTCAGCCCAACCGGGGGGGGGGGGGGTACAATGCTCGCGTGTAGATTGCTACCCCAGATTTGTCGGGCCTCCCACACATGTCAGAGATCTGAGATGCCGCAAGGTACCACGCGGGGGAAAATGTCAAAACGAGGCGTTGGATCTTTTCTCGCTAGATAGTATAACAAAAGAACACATAAAAACAGGTGTTACCTGTTCGTAAATGAGCGCCACGACTATGACGGCTGCCAACCTGTGTTCCGAGATGGGACAACAAGGCTGCGCATACATGCAACATCTCGACGAGTGAAAGAACGCGTTGCAAATAACAATGACATGCAGCTGGTGACTTACTCTCTAAGTATTGCATGTAAAAACCGAACGAACTCATTTTGCCTCAGAAAATATTGCCCAATTCGATGCAGCCAGGTGTAAAGAAGGGATGACTGCAGTGGGCGTGTTCGAGCAGCTTGGCGCAGGGGTCAATATGGCGAGCCTGGTAGGCAGCAAACGGCTATCGAGACAATTGACGCTGTAGATCGTATCCGGCGTGAGAAGGGGCGTCAAGGCTCGAAGCGAGATACACAGACAGGGAGACCAGTCCAGTACTTGGGTGTCTAATGCAAATATGCCCAACCGAAACTGGAGCGGCTAGGCAATGGACGTATTTGCAGCCCGACGCAGACGTGAATTAAAACTGAGAGACGGGTAATGGCATATGAAGGTGTTTGCTTTTACATAAAGGAAAGGTGAATAATTTGAATAGATTTGGTATCGTAACCGGAAAAAGTAGAAGGGGGATCGTAAAAGAGATAGAAATACACAGACACCGGTTGAAAGTCGAACATAAGCTGGCGTGCTTTTGCGTGTAAGTGAAAACAGGAGGCGTGATGTTGTGTGTGTGTGAGAGAGATGTTGGGCGGGTGTGGGTGTTATAAAAGCGCAAACGCGTTTGAGTGTGTAATGTCTGCTGCTATGTGCGGAGAATATGTGCGCGTGCCAGGGCTGTTTTAAGACAGACATGCAACTTCGTAGTCGTTTTTCTGCAGTTCTGGTGGTGGTTCTGAGTGGTCGAGGGTGTTGACGGGAGATGTCTTCACCAGCAGTTCCAACAACGGCGAGACACTCGTGCTTTATTGCAGAAAACACCGGCCGCCTGGTGCGGGGCACGAATTTTCTAGATAGCGCTCGGAAATTGAGGACGCAACCGAAAGCAAGCGGGATAGAGACGAAGATGCAAGTCGAAAGATGCGGCTCTCAGGGTGTGACCCATCTTGATGTGTTGGCGCTGCCGTTGCCAGTTGATAAAAACAGTCCAGACTAGGGGGGTCCACAAAGCGTATTTGGAGGGTGGGGAGGGAAATAACAGGAACGGCGCATCATCAAACCTGGCGCGAAGATCTCCTTGATAAGTTCGCTCGGCGGACAGTATCGCTATTTAGCACGAGTTACTGCTGCAGTTGCCGCCGGTTGGAAAAAAAGGAAAACAACAGGCGAGGAAAAAAATATATATATACTAATACAAATCAAGACCGCAAGGTCAACAGAGTACGGTGACATTAGGAGGTGTGAGAATAGAACTAAAGCAGATTGGGATTTCTTCTCATACGGGATGGGGTGAGAAAAGAAAGAGGCAATGAGAGTCAACCAAAACATTTGGATGAGCGAGACGCAGAAGATCCAGCCAGGGTGAGAGGGACGGGCCAACAAGGACAACACAAGAAGCACCTATGCATCAGAATTAGAGCTCGTCAAAATTCTTGCAGATTCTTGGGCATTTTGAGACCGAACCCAACAGGGAAGTGTTTGTGGCGGGTACCGAGAAACGGGGAAAACTGGACGGGAATCATGTTGTAAATGAAAAGCATAAAAATAAATTTAAAAAATGTGCTTCGGTGTATGCAAAGAAACGGGGAATGGGGGGTAAGGAAAAGTAGGGCAGAAAAAAAACAACATGGTGAAGAAATTGCAGACCAAAGGCCACTCATCATGCAGGTCTAGGCATAGTGAGGTGGCAAAATGAAACCAGCTTCACAGAGCCAATCGAGTGCATTGCGGGACGCGAATGGCAACAGAAACGACGCGGCCCCAGTAAAACAAGAGCCGGAAGCGTGACAACAAGAAACTTGTCCGAAGAGGCCGCGGGCTGTGGAAAAGAAAAACAAGACCAGGCGGCCACCTTCAGTACAACCGCCGGCCAGTCAGGTTGCGTGTTTTGAGTAAGTAGCTCCGCGCCGGGTCGGGGCTGCTCGCAGTGGGTTTTACAACCGGCGGGCGCGTATTGCAGCTTTCCAACGGACCATCTTCGGATTCGCGACTTTGTCGTGCGGTACTTCATTGCCCCAGTCTAGCATTCGGTGGGATATTTTAAACAGAGCGTGACGCCGGGGTATAGTTGCAGAGCCAAAAGTTGACACCCGGCGCCTATTCTGGGCAACCTGGTGAGCAAATTGAAAATCCGCGCATATGCCACCAACATCAACAACAAACAACTGCCCTCGTGGCCCGTTACGGGAGGAAAAAAAAGCAAGGCCATCGATGTTCAGCAAGATCTCCACTGTGGTCAGCAGTGAAAACGTTGCGATATTATCAGGAAAATGCTTTTGCCTGGTCCAAAGAACTGCGTCCCCACCCGTCATACGACCGGAGCTTGACCTTGCAGAGAGGGGGCACGGCGTAATGGCATGGTCTGCTAAACGTACCCTTGCGTGGTACGATGTAAATGCGATAGGATGCACGAGCATATGCATTGGGATGTGTGCATGCAGTTGTGGCTCTTTCCTTTCTCAGAGTACTTCATATTCCGCTCGCACCCTAGACACACACATGTTCAACTTGGTGGATGATGCAACGAGGGAGGACCACTCAAAGTGCCACTGTGAGAGAAGGGAGCGGGAAAAAACGGCGTACTGTTGTAAATAATACTTTTTTGGTAATAATAAAGACTGGTGGCAACCGCGTTAGCAAGGAAGTGCAACTTTTTGGGAGCAAAAAAAAGAGAATTGCACAGGTGACTGCAAATCCAGTAAAATAAATAATTGAGAAGAAAGAGTCAGAAAACCCGGTGTTAAACGATTGAACTGGCCTGTATAAAAACCCTTAGCTCATTGCGCCAGATCACTCCAACGCTAACTTCCGACATACCGGAGTGGAACGAGTAATAGCGAAGGCAAGGTGGTGGATCAGCGAGATGTATTAAACGCCCACGCCCTCCACATAATATGGAATCTGAGTGGTAAGGGCGATACGCAGAGATCCCTTTGGCCCATTGGTTGTCTGTGCCAGCGGTTGTCGATGCCTGGCGTTAAAGATGAGCCACTCACACCAAGGAGTAGATTCTTCCGCAGAAGACAAGGTAAAGACTTGTGGAAGAACCGTCGAACAGACATGGAAGCGGAGCTTGAGTGTGAAGGATGCTCCTAAGAAATGTAGCGTTATCCATAAGCCTGTAAGAAAAGAAAATCTGTATCGAGCAAATCAGAAGATCTAGCAGGGGAGTGGGCTGGGACACAACGAAAATAGCGGGAACGGAGATTTGTAGAGTTGTGAAATGAAATGGTGGACGAAAAAGTGTCAACGTATAGGTGCATGGCTAGCGACGTTGTTAAGGACTAGGCTATTTGTGCTCGTTTCATAAACCTGCAGTCGTCGAGTTAGTATGCCCTTGTGCAAGATTCGAAAATCAAAAAAGAAAGAAAAAAAAAAGAAAGAAAAAAGAAAAAAGAAAGAAACAAGGCAGTTCGTGGCGGACAATTGGAGGCCAGAGGATTCGTGACAAGGTTGCTGACAATCTTGTTAAAACGAGCAATTGATATGTCGTCTTCGACTGCTTAGGGGGATATCTTTTGAGGTTGATATCCAAACTAAAAAGCATGAAGACACCCAAAAGATGTACGGAACAAACAGAGTCGGAGCGGTTGTGGAGAGAATATGTAGCAAGGGGTTGGTGGGAAGGTTGCGGACCACGAAGTCGGTGAGCAGGAAGCATTAAAAAACTGCAGAAATCGAGCTAACAAAACCCCAAATAACAGACATGGACAGGAACAATGCGTGTGTGTGTGTGTGTAAGATATGTGTAGAATGAGAGAGAGGACCGGGCTGATCAAGGAAGCGAGATGGAACCCAGCAACGCCAACAAGCGACAAAATGAGATGCATGAACAGCGACCAAGGAGCAAAAGAACCGTTGCATAGGGTGACAGATGAGGGACCAGGGGCTTATTGATCGTCAAGCCAGTCTCTTTGAACAAGAGGCCCTAGCAATGACTTAACAAGGAACCGCAAAGAAGAAAAGACAATGAGGGGGCGTGAGGATTGGAAGGGGTGGTCAATAGGTTTGGACAAATTCAATTGGGAAACCCACGGATGGCGTGGTAAAGCAGGCAACCCTATGCACAGTTCTCATGCAATGATGTGTTGGCAATGCTTCTCTGATATTAAACAACGAAACAACGGCCGGCATGGCGGCGACGGCATTGGTAGCGTCGAGAATGCACGAGAACCATGTGGGCGAAGAACGGGGATGGTGGAAGACGACGAGACGACAATTGCGGGGAGACAAAATAAAAACGGCGGTCGTTTTGATGTTTTGTTCAATAGACCAATATATTGCACCTTCCTCCCCGATTTTCGAAAACATGAGGAAGGCGCTGTGCGTCTCCAATTGTAGGAAAGAACGAATCAGCACTTTTTGCTCTGTTTGCGGAAGTTCGACCCCTTACAAAACAATGCACGTGCAATGGACTTTACTTGTTCAACTCCCTCATATATCTTCAATGGATTTGCCAAAGCTTCAGCGTTGCTTTCTTATAGTTTGTGCTTTCTCAGTGTGAAAAAATAGTGCAAGAAAAGCCAGAATGCGACTGAGAGGACATTCGCATACATCACGAGAAAGCTATTTAAAGGGGGGTTGCCCACGCCAGCCCCTCGCTCTTGCCTTAACGAGAAACGATACCCTTCACGCAAACGTCAAGAACGAAGGTGCAAGCCCCAAAAGCGACCGTCTCCTCGGAGGATTTATCTGTGTCGTCTCGTATTACCCAGCACCAGCATACAACAAAAGAGAATAAAAAGGAAACGAATAACAGCAAACAACGGTCGGCGCGGCCGGTCCAGGGTACGTCGGGGTCCTGCAGGCAGACCAGACCCTAGCAGAGCGACCTCTCGAGACGTCAATGTCATCTTTGAAGTGAAGAACTGAGGAAAAAAAGGCAATGGCAAGCAAGCGACAAAGGTCGAGCCAGAAAACTATTGACAGAAGTGAAGCATATGGAAGGGCCCCTTTTGCAGCTTTTGCTGCACCTTCTCAGGATTTCTTGTCTCTCGTTTTGCCAGTTTCGACGCAGGGCATCAGCGCCAGTGCAAGCAAAATTCCACGACTGGTGCTCGGCGACATGCAAGGAAACGGGGGAAGTCTGTCTTGGACGAGGCAGTATTACGCAAGGGAGCCACCAGATGCCGCTGGCCTAACCCTCGATCCCCGCATGGAACACAAAAGCGTCGTTTGCATGGCCGAAATTCGACGGTTTGGAGCTTGCTTCGCTGGCAAGCGAGGCTAGAAGAACCTTTGAGCAGGGGTGCAAAGTTCCCCAATTAGCCTTGTTGATTCAGAATTGCAACAATTACTCTCCGTAATGCTGGCACAGATCTGTTTCTCTTGCTAACACTGCTGATTAGACGCCCCAGTGCCGTCTTCGGCAATTCTCTCCGCATCTCTCAGAATGAAGGCATTGAGATCTCATTGGGTTCGTCTCATCTTGTCACAAAATCACGTGCATTTCTAAAAATCAGAGCCGGTTTACAAAAGAAAGAAAGGTGAGAAACAAGGTAGAACGGAAGGGTTAAAGGCAGAACAACGTCGAATACACCCACAGCGGTCGAGTGGGACATGGGATGGAGAGGACCTTCCGCTTTTCGCACAGCATGTGTGGATCTCTGACATGGAAGAGCGCTGGAAGAGAGAGAAAAATGACCAATAGCCCTTTTATGTGGCCTCGCGAACACCTCGAACGCAGCTTCGTACTCACAAAGTGCACAATGCAAGCAAGCAAAACGAAGACAAAGCTAGTGGCTGATCCACTGTTGCCGATAACTTCTGCATTACAGGCCTGCCATAGCTTATCATGCGACCACGCAAACCCCTCGGCCCAGTTTCTCTGTAGCTGCCCTTACGTTGTCTCTTCCCCTCGGTACAATACTGTTCTGGCTGTGGGAAGCGTTTTGCCAAAGTGCTCTGCCAGAAAGCTGAGTAACGAACAAAACACCAAATGGGAAGAGTATGGCCATCATTTTCTGTGGGAAGCGTGCCTCGGAAGCAAGGGGCAGTCTTGGACTCAACACCACATCTCGTTTGGTTCTACTTGCCTGCCAGTCGTCAGCGATTTGGTAATAGCACGGGCACCTGCCTTGACGTGTGCGATTCTTTTTCACCGAGAACGCTATACGGGAACACAAATAAGGCATCTACGAGCCTTGGAGAAGCTAGCATATTGCCGGTTGAGCACACTACATTTCCGTTGTCTCATTGTCTCATTGCCTCATTACATCTTTTTCGTCTATACCCCTACTTGACATAAAGCACTGTTGGGGAGTCTCATGTACTCTCTGGGCACAACGGCAGCCATATCCATGGTAGATGCATATGTGACGACGCAGTGTTCCTCAACAAACCCCAAAAATGTATCCCACTGCACACCATGGCCGGCAGCGGTACTGCAACCATTGCATGTTTCCTCTAATTTTCTACAAAAGCTAACGACACCAGACCCAGTGGGGCAAGGAACACCAGAAGGGCGTGAAGTATACTGCCCAGAAGGCCTCTTTGTGATTCTTTTCCTTTTGACCCCTATTCGTTTTCTTCGTTCATGCTTGTAAACTTTTTCCCCGCCCATTCTATTTGTCTTCCCGAAAGATCCCACGGAACACGGGAAACGGATAGCATGGGGGCCAGGGTAACATCCAAATGGCGGAGGCGGGACAGAGAATTGAGCGCCACGGGCGAAAAAAAATAAAGACGGCAAGAATGTGTTGTTGTGTCGACTTCTTTCTTGTATTGTTTTTGGCAGTAGGTTTTTTCTTTCTCCCTTTTTGCCTCTTTGTGCCCTTTGATGCTTCAGTTTTCTTTGGTTCTGAGGCCTTACTTCGACACCGACCAGAACGGCCACCACGTCAGAATGAGAAACGCCAGGATTCAGACAGCCTCTCATTTCAGGCCATGCGGTACCGGAACGGAGCTCGATGCCGACCGCCCTTTGTTGCAGCACGCGGTACGTTCACGCCCCCAACGGTGAAATATGAGCATGCATGCATGCAAGTCATGGGCCAATGCAACGCATTCTATTTCTGATTTTATTTTCTCGGTCGATTTATGCCTATCCCTCGGCCCTGCAAGGCCCCTCCCGTTCTTTGTTTTGCCCTTCATCGCTTCCCGGATTTTCCTCCTTTTGGCTCTGTTCGAGATTTCTCTTTGCCTTTTTTGTTCAATTTGCTTGAAAATTTATCGACCCACAGTGGCGTGCAACGTTCGGAGAAAAGCGACAAAAGGCGCACGAGAAGAGAGAACCATCAAGGACATACAAAAAGAACGGGGAGCAACCCAGGCAGTGATCGTCTGATAAATGCATGTGCTGGCGTAGCCACACAATAAAAGGCGAGGCCCGTTACGGCGGCCAGGCCAGGTCTGATACGTGGTTTTCTGCAGGACATGCAGGGCGTACAGGATATGCAGTGCATGTGGTGGCAAACAGCAAGAAGGAAAGGGAATGGAACACAAAACAGCAAAGCAGAAAGGAGAAACGTGCATGCCATTCCTGTCTGCAACATATACATTGCGAGGGTCCAGAGAGGGGCGATGCAGACAAGACAAGTGTCACAAGGGCACACAAAACATACAGAAGGAGGGTATTGCAACACGTTCATCTATGGCCACATACGAGGTCTCTGCTCGTGATAGTAGGAGAGACAAAGCCAAAGCCTGGAATGAATTCGCATGCAAGTTCAAAGTTCGCAACATAACACGAGGATCAACGCGGCACGGACTAGGCAGCGCAGTTTCAACAGGGTGTTGCTCCAACATGAAAGCGTGTTTGATGACACTGGTCAAGTTTTATTATTTCCATCTTGTCTCATACGATCTCATCCTTTAAATGACAATATCCCCGGCCCTTACCACTACATCCCGGGATAGGCCCCGGCCTGCAAGGTTCTTCCTCAAGATCGGCAGAAAATTAGGAAGCTGTGATGGCCAAAATGCAAGTCGCGATGGGCAGGAGCGAGAAACAGGACGATTAAATGGTGTGCTGCGATCCTAGTTGTCATGCTGAGATGCCATGAGCAAAATCATTTGCGCTGGCAGGACTGGGCCGTCCATTTGCACCACCTTTCGCGTCGTCCTCTGACTCGAGATCGAAATGGGATATGGCAATCCATTGGAATGAAATTTATGGAGATCACTGTCCATTATCTTGCTATGAATATGTGTTCAGTACGAGAGAAAATCCATGCGGGCCCACTCTCAGAGGAAAACTGAGCAGGCTGGCTTGCCTTACATTACTCCTTTGTTCTTTTTGTTTTGATTTCACTATCTACAGATGCAGGGCCGACACAGACATAAAAGAGAAGGTGCCAGGCAGTAGCAGTTCGTGAGCATGACCTCTGCACTCGTGCATGTAATCTCTGTATTGTATCTTTACTTTTTTGTTCTGGATGGTCACCGTGATGAATAGACGGCCCTCAACCTTCCGATATCTCGTCATCATGCCTCGTTTCCCATCGGCCTCCAATCCCGATTATCCACGGTCTCGGCCGCATGCACTTTGTTCACCTATTTGTATTTTATCTATTTGTTGATTTTTTTTATCCGCGTCATCCTTTATTTATTCCTCCAGTCTCGCTTCCTCTGCTTTCCGTAGGAGGTTCTGTTCTATTTTGATTTTCAGTTAAGTCTCATATAACCAGCATGGCCAACTCAGCCTTGGCCGCAGAAAAGGCGGCCATGCAACCCACCCTCACCCACCTCACCCTTTTTTTATTGTCATCGATGTATCTGGCACGGGCCGACCAGTTTGTGACTATAATGACAAGGAGGTAGGAGAGGAAGGGTGATTGAGCCAGCCAACCTTAAACCATGACATGTTAGCAACTAGGTATAGAGAAAACCCTTTGACGATTCAGCCGCTAATCCTGTCGTCGTGATTATGTTTATGAATTATATCAGTGTGTTTATTATGGTCGTCTTGGATGAGCCAAGGTTGTTTCTTTCTTTCGTTCTTTCATTTCCTTTTTTTTTTAAAAAAAAATGTTAAAATTAAAACCTATACTTGTATATGAAATTCATAAACTACCTTATTTGGCAAGGTTAGTAAGTCTACTATTTAAAACTGTTTTTGAAGAATTTCGGTCAAGTACGGCACAAACGTAGATAAACAAAACAAAATGAAATCACGAAAGCAATGCAAATGTAGATTTTAAACGACTAGGCCTTGACATTACAAAGTTTCCCAGGCTCCTCCGTCTGTCGACGTACATCACTACTGTGCTTTAGAAGCCAACCTTAGCCCTGAAGTAGGCTTGGATCTGGTCAACACGTTCGGCTGAAATGGTGTAAATGGGGTGCACGGTAGACACGCGGTCTTCCTCATCAAAGACCTGCATCCCCCCTTCATCAGAGAATGGGAAGGGCGAGACTTTCCAGACTAGTTCGGAGTAGTCGTTGGCCCCTGCATCGACGCCTGCCTCCACATCCGTCTCGGTGGCCGGTTTGTCGACCAGCTCCCACTTGTGCTGAGCGGAGCTCAGACCCGATAGGACGTAGCAGGTGTGGTACGGGTCTGACATCCTGCAGGACAAGAATTGTTAGCTTCGTTCCCTCGAAAGGAAGACAACAAACACTTAAACATTAATTTTTCATAAACACACCGTCCTGGCTTGTCTCTGAGGCCACCGCGTTTCGTCTCATCCTGACAGCAGCAGAGAATGTAGCGGATCAGGCCTTCACGGCTGAACAGAGAATGTGGCGGTTTCGGTACGCCGTCGCTGGACCTCTGGAGACTGGCCTCGACCAGGGGCCAGCAGTCACCGACCCAGTGGCTGTAGCACCCGTCAACAAGCTTGTTCGTGCGCCCCGAGAAGCCGCCTTCAGGGGCGTACTGGCGCGATGCCAGCCAGGACACAAGACGGGGCACGTTGAGGTATCTAAATGAGGTTAGATGAGTGATTTCTCAAGTGGCAATAAGCAACACAACAAGCGAAGGTGTCCAAGCCCGGACAGACTCCAAACCGTTCTCGATCTCGCTGCCACCACCACAACAAAAAAAGTCACATCAAAGGCAGCCACGGCCTGCTGCTACCACACCCATAGGGGGCACCGGAAGACCAGATCGGGCCCCATTTATGCATGAGTTGTTGTCACTCCGTGAATGGCCAGTCCCAGGACCCTCATTCTTTACTTCACCATTTTTTCTCTTTTTTTTTCTCCGACTACACCGTCTTCATCACTTTCTCTGAATCGTTTCCGCCCTCCTCATTAAACGAGGTCATGGTACATACCGCGGGATGGAACGGTTGGGTGAGTCTAGAATAGACAGACAGCCCAGAGCACAGAATGCATACCCGCCGTGGGCTTCCGAGCCTGGCTGTGCCGATATGCCGCCCTCGTATGTTTGGCCTGTGGTTGGCAGATTGTCCCCTCCGGTTAGCGAAGGCAAACAAGGATCAAAACAGTCATGCAGGACAAAACAGGACGAGCATGGTCAAGAAACAAAAGGTGGGAACCAAAGAAAACGATATGCACGACATCTGCCACGTAGGCAACACAGCAAGCAGCAGGGATGATCGGAGTGAGTGGCAAAGAAAAGGAAGAAAGGAAAGAACCTACACCGCTGCACATAGTTAGCAAGCCCCGTGTAGAGCGTTGGCTTGTCGGACGTCCAGGCTAGCGAATCCGGGCTTAAGTCCAAAGGCAAGTTCAGGATCGAGATGATGACTGCCGCGCAATAAGCTCCTCTGTCGAAACTCAATGTCAGCTCTTGCTTTGTCGAATACATCCACTTCCTCACTTATCTCGCACTCTAGATCCCATTATTCCATCTTACCTGACGTCTTCCTCGCCGCCCACCGACATCTGGAAACCACCGTCCGGCTGCTTAAGTGCACACAACCATTTCCACAAGGCCCGCCGGTCAATGGCCTCATAGCAAGCCTCGCCACCCACAATGGCCAGCCCCATTACCACGGCGTACGTCGTAGCCAGGTGCGATGACTGCCCGTGGCCGCCACCGAACCCACCAGACGCGTTCTGCATCGACCGCGCCGTCTCGACCAGCCGTGCACGATACGGCGTCACATCCTCGCCCAGCAAGTGTAGACCGTTGAGGCACCAGAACAGGAACCAAGGCCGACTGGGATCATAGCCGACAAATATGCCTGGCAGTGGCTCCAAGCTCTTGTGGAGGAAGCGAGCGTGACGCTTGCGGTCGAGGTGCGGCACGCCGAACTCGTTGAGTGGTGTATCACCGCTCTGGACATTTTGCCTAAAGATGTCCGTCAGGCACATCTGGGCCGTGCTTTCCTGCATCTCAGAAGTGTCTGTGATGAGGTGGTCGCGCACCAGCGGCATGTGGGTGAAGTACTCCGGGATCATGACGTCGGGCTGAGCCTGGACTGGGCGGTAGGGAAACGTGTTGCTGCTGCTGCTGTTGTTGTCGTGACTGTCGTACCGACCACTTGTGATGGGAATCTCTTCGTCTACGGTGTCGTCTGGGTTTGAAGCCATGGCTGGTGCCCACCGGAGTGTCGCGCTGCTCTTCTTTATAAACACCGCCCTGTGGCGGTAGCGAGTAGTCCTGGACCGCGCGCTTGCGCTGACCATGTGTGTCGGCACGGATGCGTGGTGAATGAGAACAATAGCAAATGTAGCGTTGGTAGAATCACCAGTTGGAAGATCTCCCTTGCAGTTGCTTCTTACTATTGTTCCTGTCGCTGAAAGGTCCCTTGTCTGTTGGCACCGACTACCGGTTTTCGGTCTCTTTTTGCTGGTGTGGATTTCGGCCACTGGCGGCGAGACCGAACGGCCTGAATTCAGTAGCAGAGTGTGGAAATGTGCATAGAATGGAAGCAGAAGACAAGGCACCAAAGTAAGAAGTTCCAGATGGAGCAACCCTAAGCTGAGCTCGTCTGTCGTCGCAACCTGAGAAAATGTTATGAGCCTGTTGGTTCGTACTGTGCGGTTGTGAGGGATGCGTTTGTTGACGGTCGTAGCCGTGCGGTGTTGAAAAAATATGATTAAATTTTTAAAGAAAAATTAGGTCCATGCCTGAAATGAGTGTATTGGGTATGAAAGTGTGCGAGAGCATCACAGCTGAGACGTTAAGCTTCATAACGGAGACAGGACTTTGCTCGTGCTCTCAGTCGCACCTGCCAAAAGCTATCGTAGTCCAACCGTGCAAAAGGAGGAAATATAGCAATGTCTGCACTGTGTTAACACGACACGCGCCACACTGTTGCGCCACAGCACCCGTCTGTCTGGCACCAGCGCACGCCCCATTCGCTCGGGCGCCTCCATCAACAAATTGCCCACATGGACGAATAGCCTCAAATTTCCGATCTGCATGAGTCGACGTCTGAGAAACCACCAATCTTGCACATCCCACGCTTTCTGGGGTCATTATTGCGCAACGTTCAAGCGATCTATTTGGTTCAATCTTCTTCTCAACATTTGAAAGCCTTCTTTCGTTTCTGTCCCACTGGCCCACCGCTTTTGCCCCGGTTGGCGCTTCTTATTTTACTCATCTGCACATCCCAAATGAGGCCATCATCAGTTGCTTGCGTGACAGCACCATCTCATCGAGCCTCCCGCCCCGGAGCTGAGGCCACCCTTACCGGATTACGCTCGCCACCACCACCTAGCTATGGACAGTATGCCGCCTGCAACACTGTGTCTCCTTGTGTATGATCTCAGCTAGTCCCGTCGCAGGCCACCGCCGCAGAGGGAGATAGTGCCGACAGTTTTTAGCTTCACTTCGGCCGCTTTTTATCCTCACCTTGATCTGAGATTGGATCTCACTTTGCCCTCACCTCGCGCCCACGCCTAAACCGCGTGTGAGAGTCTCCCAGCGCCGCGCCACCTAAGTCGGTGTCAACGCCATGGCCGCTACAAACAGCAAAATGGCCGCTGGGCTGGAGGCCAGCGAGGCCGAGCAACATTGGCTGTAGGTCGCAGTTGTCTATGCCCGGGTTGTGTTATATGTTGCGCAATGTCTGACATCCTTGCAGTGAAGCCAAGAAAACCATACACTCCATGGTCAAAAAGCTGGAGCAGATTGATAAAGACGAGGCCGGAAGCAAGAAGCTCCTTGCCGAGCTCGAATCCGTCGAGCATATGCTGGAAAGGTAGGGTGCAATGCGTCCTTTTTCCCCCCCTTTTTTCTTTTTTTTTTTCTCTCCTTTTCTCTTTTGCTTCTTCCCTCGTCCTTTGCCTTCCCACTAACACGCTACCTATCAGCCTCCGTCTTGCGTGCATGGCTACGACCTTTACGGACTTTAAATTTTCTCACAACAACCGCGTGCTCGACCGGCTGTGGCACGTCCATACTCTTATCAGCACCGAGTACAAAAAGGGTCTGCAGCGCCACCGCGGCCAAGGTCAGATTGTGCAATTTCGCACCATCGAGAAGCAGTACGCCAAACACCTCAAGACCGCCCAGTACTTTTACAAGGGCTTCATCGAACGGCTTTCTGCCCGCTACCGTCTGCGGTCGCTCCAGCGCGTCGCCCATGCGATGCAGTCGGGCAACCTCAAAATCAGCGACGTGATTGACGCTGACGAGGCCCATCTAAGCGACGAACTGACCATGGCCTGCTACCGCACGGTACTGCATATGGGCGACATTGCGCGGTACCGTCTCAACGCATCTCGCCAAAAGGGCCACAGCCCGGATGTGGCCATGACGTATTACGCACTAGCTCAGGATCTCATGCCGCAGGAAGGCGATGCCCACCACCAGATGGCCGTTGTGCTCGCCGAGCAGCGCCGTGACTTTGATGTTGTCTATCACTTTCTGCGTTCCTGGTCCGTGCAGAAGCCTTTTCCACTGGCCCCAAAAAACCTGGCATCAGAGTTTAAGAAGCTTTTGCAGCCGCCCTCCAACTCTCGCAAGACAGGTAATGCACCCCCGGACGCTCACGATCTCTTCGGCACCTGGCTCGTGCGCCTCCACGCCAACTATTTTAAGGGAGAGGAGTTCTCCTCACAGGGCGAGCTAGAACGGGAGGTCCTGCATCGTTGGGAGGCACTGCTAAGGCAGTCGGCGCAGCCTGCCTACCTGCAAAAGGCCGTGCTCATGAACATTGCGGCATACGACATTGCCCTGAAGAGAGTGCAGTGTGAGTATAGCACGAGCATCACTTAGCCTATGTTGTTTGCCATAAACTAACGTCCATAGATGAATGGACAGCAGCAAGTTCGCAATCTTGTCAGTTCATCCTTCAGTTCATAGTACGCACTATCCTCGTCCTCAGTCGGGTTCTTGAGACAGAAACACAACGTTTCTTTGAGGAGACTGCGTTAGAAGACGAGCCAGAGGCTGTACCGACACCTGCCACGCCTGCATCTGCCAAGAAAACATCGCCTACACCCGCCGAAAAGGGCGACAGAAATGACAGGAACTCCAGACACAACGGCCGCAATCGGGGTGGCAACAGCAACAACAACAACAACAACAACAACAACAACAACAACACCAATGCCAAGAAGCCCACGGATACCGACTTCCAGAAACAGTCCGTATCCGACACGTGCCTATCACTCTTCCGTGTCTGCGTGGCATGGATTGCCACCAATTACGAGGATCTCGTCAAATTCGAAGGGCACCTCACTCCCTATATCGCAGACATGCATCGGTCCGTGACCCGGTGCCTGAATCTTTTTGTCGAGCTCATCACCAAAACGGAGGCGTCACCCACAGCATACCTCCTCCCCGAAGACGTTGAAGTCATCGGCCTCGCGACCCTCGACGGCTGGACCGCACTCCGGGAAGGCGATGCCAACAGTTCATTCAAGCCGCGCTTTGACGAGGAGGGTGTCGAGCGTAAGAGCAGCACGTACGAAACGATGGCCCGTATCTATGACGTCGTCGAGTGCACGGTGCGTCTCATCGGTGACCCTTCGTTCCCGTGGGTTATCGAAAATGTACAGGAAGATGGCCGCAACGTGACCAAGATCTCTTACTCTGAAGATCGTACGTCAGCACCCGCGCCTGCGATTCCCCTCATGTCGATCCCAGCCACTGCCCCTATGGCGTCTGCCTCGTATGCGGCTGCTTCAGCTACCCCCAGCTCTGCCAGTCCAGCACCTGCTATAATGCGGCAGGCGCCGTCTTCAGATCGCAGCCGCGAGCCACGCAATCGGGGCCAAAGACCTGCCGAAGTCACTCAATCTGTACCTGCCGAGGCAGCCCCTGTTGCCACTGCTGCGCAATTCAGACAGCCCACGATCAGCTTACCAAATAATGGTCCTGTCAATGTTTCTCACCCGGCTGACTCGCGTCCCATGCCCCCTCCTCGGCGTGTGAGCTACAAGGACATGGATGACGACGACTTCCTGCCAGGGTCCATGAAAGAGCCTCCTTTTATGCCACTAAACAGAATCGCAGCCGCCCCGATTGGCGCCGGTCATGACCCCACCACCACTACGACCGACTCGGAGCTCGATTTCCTTGAATCGGCCGCCTACAGCCGCGTCGCCAACTTCTTGACCCCACCTGAGCTGAATCCCCAGCCGCCACAGGTGGCTGCGCCTCACAACATGTCGCCGTCGTCGCCGTCGTTCGGCATGCACTCATCCACCGTCGACGACGTCTTTGGTCAACTGCAAACACCCAGCATGCCCAACGCATCCAGCTCCTTGTCGCCCGCCGCTAAGCCGATTCCGAGCTCACCTTGGGCCGGCAGCAGCTACATGCACTCACTTGGGTACTACCCTCAACAGCAGCAGCAGCAGCAACAACAACAACAACAACAACAACAACAACAACAACAACAACAACAACAACAGATGACGTATAGCATGTCCAACATGGACCGCCAGCCGACGAGCATTGAAGACCAACTGGCATACTTGACCCTCGCCAAGGAGCAAGAACGCCAGATGACAACGGCTGCCGCGGCTGCTTCGGCCGCTGGTGTACAGATGCAGACATCCTCGTCATCGTACGGTATAGATAGTTCCCGTGGTTTTCCCAGCGCTCTGTCTCCCGTCGGCGCAGCCAAGCAGCAGCATCACAGCCCGAACGGTGGCGGCCCGGCTGGGTTTCCCAATCCATGGGCGACTACTGGTGGCGGCGGCGCGATCGGCGGCAATCCCAACGGCTCGCGTCTGCGTCCTCAACAGCTTCAGCAGGCCCAGGCGGCATCGCTCGGTGTTGGAGGGGCCGTCGGCGCCGTCGGCGCCATCGGCATGGGCATGGGCCTGGGCGGCATGAGCAATCAGCCGGCTCCTGGCTCCTCTCCGGCCATGCTGTACTCAAGCAACTTTAGCATGAATAACAGCATGCCGTCGGTGCAGAGTTCGCATGCTCCTGGTGGAGGCAGTGGCGTCTTTGATAGCTCGTACGAGTCCATCTACGGCTCCCGCGGAACCGATAACGACTACCAGATGCAGCAACAACAGCAGCTGCAACAGCTGCATATCCTTCAACAGTATCATCAGCAGCAGCAGCAGCAGCAGCAGCAGTTGGCTGCGTACGGCGGCTACGGGGATTTCAATGTTGCCGATGACAGGATCATCGGCAGCGGCAGTAGTGCCGCGATTGCGTCTCCCTCGTCCAACGCGATGTGGCAGGATGCAGCCACCGCCTGGGGCCGTGGCATGCCACTCGGCAAGGACGACCCGACGCATTTCCGCAATACGATGCGGCAGTCGGGCCTCATGGAGGACACGAATGCGTACGATCGCAATGCGCTGCTGAGCGCCCTGGACGAGGAGGCCGACTCAGCCCAGCCGCGGTGAAGGCAATCGACGACAAGGAGGGGGAGATGGGCGCCTTTACGAGTCAGAGATACGAACAAGACAACGGCAACCCGACATTGATACTCAGTTCGGCAACATATTCTATGGGCGTGAACTTTTTTTGTTTCATATTTTGGGTCGAGCTACGATGCTACGCGAACCACATAATGAAGTTGAGGGTTACTTTGTCTTCCGAACTGGGACCGGCCAGGGAGCTGTCTTGATTGATGGGATGGCGCGATGTGACACGAAGCAATCCACAACCATGAAAGATCAAACTGGGGGCGACATCATGGCCTGTTGCAGTGGGGAAAATAATTTGTTGTTGACCGAGCTAGAAATGTAATTATCTGGTGTACTGTCTATGTAAATACGATGCCATTTTCACACCTATTGTCCTTCTTTGTTTAATACGCTAATACAACTCACCAGGCCGTATCGCTCTTCGTTTTTGAAACTTGTCGACTATCAATAATCAGGAGGATATCATAAGTTGAAATTTTTGTCGTAGCAGTTCATTGCTGCTTTAGAACCTTCCACGTTAAGCAAAAAAGGTCCAGTGCCCGTCTCTTTGCTCGCGGGATAGCCACATGCTACTCATGTTGGTCCCCGCTCCGCATTATCTATGTAACGCATAAATGTCCGTCGTAAAACAAATGGTAAAATCATAACCTCCATGTTGTTGAAACCTTTTACAAGACGCCAGTGCAAATTTATGGCAGTCCTCGTTTTGCGTAGACTCCCCAAAATAAAGAGCAAAAATATATATATATATATAAAAATCACAGGACCATATTTGCGGTCCGCATTTATGCCTTCGGGGTGAAGGTCTGCTTCGGGAAGGGGTACGAGGCGCCGAGCTGGGTCAGCGACAGGCTGGCCAGCCACTGGCCCTGGTCAATGCAGACATCGAGCGACTTGCCCTCGATGAGGCCGGCCACGAAACCAGCAGCAAAGGCGTCGCCGGCACCCAGGGTGTCGACAATGTCGTCCTTGGCAATAGCGCGGACAGGGTACTCCTTGACCTCGGTCTCGCCCTGGACGGCGACCAGAGTGGGCTGGCTGCCGTGCGTCACAATGGCGACACGCTTGCGCTTGGTGTTCTCCTTGGGCAGGTCGGCCATGTACTGGGCAATCTTCTTGAGGTCAGCCGTGGTGGCCGTGCCATCGACATCAGCCAGGTCAATGTTGCTGACGCCGTGGGTGTTGCCAAAGGCGGCGGCCTCTCCCTCGTTGCCGAGGACAAAGTCGAGGTAGGGCAAGGTGGCATCCAGAGCGTCCTTGAAGGCGAGCGGGATGAAGGGGGCCGAGATGGACAGAACAAAAGTCTTGTCGTTAGCCGCGGCCTCCTTGGCCAGGGCCATAATGGCCGGCGGGCACACCGTCAGGTGGTAGCCACCAATGTAGAAGGCCTCGGCGCTCTGGACAAGGGGCCAGATGGCGGGCGACTGCAGGTGCTCGAGGTCGTAGTGGTTGGCGGCACCGAGGTCGGTGATCATGGAGCGGTTGCCGGGGGTCACGACGACAGCGCAACGGCCAGTAGGCACCTTCTCGTCGACGCGGTACTCGACACGCAAACCGGCCTTCGCGGCCGTCTCGCTCAGGATATCAGCGTACTTGTCCTTGCCAACACCGCCCAGGAAGACGACGCTGTCATCGGGCAGGATGTACTGAGCACCACGGGCGGTGTTCTGGGCAGCACCGCCGGCGGAGAGGGCAGCCTTGCGGTTGTTGAGGAAGTCCTCGTAGATGCCGAGGTGCTGGGGCTCAGCAAGGATGGCATCGTTCGCCTTGATCTTGTAGGTGTCCAGAGTAGCCTGGTCGCCGTCGGCAATGATGTCTGCGAGCTGTTAGTGGGGGGAAGGGGAGCATTGTTGATATTCATCGAGAAAGAGGAGGATGGAGAACCAGGAACGTACCGAGGAGAGGGTTCTCCAGACACAGGAGACGGAAGTTCTTCTGAGCAGCCATTGTGGACAATTGGGTGAGATAAGCGGTATGTGAGGTAAGGGGAGGATGCTGGTGAGATGAAGAGTTCGGAAAGCGACAGAAACGGGAGAAGCGAGAGAACGAAGAGGTCGAAGTCGAGAAGCAGGAGGGACGACAGAGTGAGCTGCTGCTGTAGTTCCAATTCGGCAGGATAGCAGTAGCGGGGTTACTGACACAACCTGTAATAGTACTGAGCCAACAGGGTTTTCTCGCCAGAGTGGGGCAGCATGGTTGGCCAGCAAAGGAGACTTTGGTGACCACGGCAGATGAGGATTTTAAAGTCGAGAACATGGTTGGAATCAATCGATAGCTAGAAATAAAATATGGAGGCTGTCGGAAACGTGGACGAGGTGGACGGATCGTTCGTTTGTTATCTGGGCTGACCTGGCAGGTCATTGATTTGGCCGTTGAACTCCAACCGAACTACTATGAGACGGCCAAAAAAGTGCAGCCACAAAGGAGCAGACTCAGCACCATGCACATTGCTTTGCACACGCAAACATATGTAATTCTTTTTTTATTTTTGAGAATATAGCAGAATGGCGCCTGTTCCCGGTCGTATCTTTCCCAGGCCCCCAACTACCCCAGCGCGCCTGAGTCGGCACCGGCACGACAAAGCACGGCGCTGTCCGCTGGAGAGAAGAGCCCCGGAACTCCCGCCCGAAGGTTTTCATGTTCAAAAAATATAGACAGTATTCTTTTTCGATTTTAAGAAGTCCAATGCCCGTACCCGTATCCTCGCCTTACGTTCTCATCCCAACGGCAAAAAAAGCAACCCTTTTAGTCCTTGACCTTCTGGGTACCACGCAGCAGACCCGTTCTCCGCGCAGCAATAAGACCGGCCTTCTGGCCCTGGGCGGCGTATCTGGAGATGGTCGAGGCCTTACCGATATGCTGGTGGTTACCACCACCGTGAGGATGGTCGACAGGGTTCATGGCCACACCACGGGTCTTGGGCCAGCTGTTGCGCTTGACAGCGAACTTATGCTTGGCACGCGAAGCCTCTGTTATTTTTGTTAGTAATTGGTACAGAGGGCTACACGGAATCATTCATGAGTGTCGATGGAACGTACTCAGCAGGGGCTTGTCAGTACGGCCGCCACCAGCAACAATGCCGATCATGCCGCGGGCCTTGCTGCTGACGACCTTCTTGGCGCCAGACGGCAGCTTGATGCGGGTCTTGCCCTCATCGGGGTTGTGGCCGACAATGGTGATGTAGTTGCCAGACGTGCGGCCCAGAGCACCGCGATCGCCAGCGCGCTCCTCAACGTTGGTCACGACGGTACCCTCGGGCATGGAGCCCAGAGGCAGGATGTTGCCGATGGTCAGGGTGGCGTTCTTGCCGGCGTAGACGAACTGGCCAGTGTACATGCCCTCGTTGGCAATCATCGTCTCGGTGTGGAGCTTGAACCGGTAGGGGTCGCGGAACGAGACACGGGCCAGGGGAGCGCCCCGGCCAGGGTCGTGGATGATCTCGCGAACAATGCCGCGGATGTAGCCGTGGCGTTCGGCATAGTCGAGCTGGCGGAACTTGGCGGGGTTCTTACGAAGGCGAGTGATCTGTCAAGTGTGTGAGTGTTTGCTCTTTTGTCATCTGGTCTCCTTCTCTTGTTTATCGTCTCCGGCCTCGACGCCACAGAATGGACCATCGGCTCTGCCAACTCAATCTTCCTCGCCTATTCCTCATGATCCTCTAAGTTCTTCGATCGGGGGGAAAGTAACGTACGGCCTTGAAGATGCCGCCAGCGCCCTTGCGCTGATTGCGAATAACGCGACCCATGGCTCCGGATTAATAAAATGGGTATCGGAGTCCTGCAAAGAAGAAAAGAAACAGTTGTTTAGCAAATACTCCGGAAGATGAAGCAACACTCAATGTCGTCGTCGGCCGTCGTCGAGCGAGTACTCAGAGCGTGCAAAACTGTCGTCCGATGTATCGTGGTTCCAAGAAAAAAAATCGTCGTGTTGCTCCGGCGACAAATGTCACAACCGCAAGCCGAAAAAGTCCTTCTTGCCGATTCTATCGAGACGCGTGTCGTGCACACAATGAATAATCGAGCGACGAAGCCGAGGCGATCAAGATATCGTGCGAATGTAGGGGGTACTGGCTTACCCGTTTGGATGGTTGATGGTGGTGATTAGGTAGACGGAGGAAAAAGTTGGAATTTTCGAGATGCACCCGCTTCGTCGATTCTTTTGCGGGAGTGGGAGAGTGGACCACCACACAAGGACCACACCAAAATAATTTTTTCATCTCTTGGGGGTTTTAGTCTAAATCAGGGTTGCCCTAAAATATTAGTCATCCTACAAAATAGCACCAATTTTTCCGCCCTGGCCAAAATAGTCACGTGGACCTTTCTTTATCGATAACAGATGTCATACAGCATTAGCTTACAGTGTGTGCTTTATAATATCACTGTGTTTAAGTGGGTCGTTGGGCCCCACTCAACCGTGACTTTGACGCGCCCATCACCCACACCACTTTTGGACTTCACTTGCTAACGGCAACTCATATATCATTACTATTCCCACCCAACGTCTACGACAGAAACGTCGCGAACACGACCCCTGAGTGCCTCTTTTTCCTTGTCATTTCAGGTGTGCTGAAAAGTGTGGTCCTACTTGACGAATGCGCGTCACTGCCAATCAACGGGCACAATAATATCAGACACTCACAACACGAAGTATCATTATATTCAAGCTTTGATATTCCTGAGTATCAATTTTATGTTTTTGCAAACTTTTGTTAACATCTCAGTGTCTATAAGTGGATATTTGTTGTTTTCGTGGTCTTCATGCTCCAGATCAGACGCTTTCACACCAAGCGGGATAAGGCGAAACCAGACGTCTCAAACCTCTTCAAATCCGTTTTGACCTCAAGCGAGTTATCGGCGGGCATGCATGCTACTCCTTGGCTTGTACTTTATGCCCAAGTGAGATGGATATTCTGAGAGTTGGGGTGTTGCTGCTCCACTAGCAAACAGCTGCATGGCAAGTGCCTCCCAGCTGCTCCGACTGATGGCCCTGTTCAAGTGGCCCAGACTTGCTCTCAGTAACGACAGTTATACTGTGACATTGCGGCGGTATAGAAGATGCTACCTCGACGACAAATGGTGTGCACCTGGGTTGATAGGACTCATCAACCTTCACTCAGGTTTGTCTTCCGTTGCTGCACGTTCTTCCCTTTATGCCTCCTGGGGGAGCGGGGTCGACTTTGGTTCCTTCCAAGCATGTTTTTGGGGCCCTGTGTCTCTCACAACTTGTCACTACCAGCACCATGAGCGCAAGCCTATCCGAATGCATTTCCAAATTTTACGCATAGCCCAATGGTGGTGGTACGGTCTACCTGGGCAGAATGCAGCTGTACGTCGAAGCCGATACTGTGGTTCGGGTGGGCGTGACACACCAAAAAAATATGAATTTTTGATTTTGTTGAGAATGATGGCACCGCAACGTTCGTCAGTTGAGATATGTGTGCCGCTATGATGCTAACGTTGAACGTGTCTGCGGCACTGGTCATCCAGTGCGAGACGTCCTGGCTCCAAACCGTGCACAATAACCGATAAAGACGTGTCTGTTATGGCTGGCAGCAAAAGGTGTATGGCGCGCCTAACAGCCAAAACAGAAAAGCGACCGTGGCGGGATTTGCGTTGCGTTCTTGTGTGGTTGGCCCCTTCCTAAGAAGGTCACAATCTGCTCCGTAGTTGTAGTGTGGTAAGATGCGCGGCTCTCCTTAGCTCTTTAGTCCCAAAGGGCAATTGCGACCTTTTTCTTGGCCCCTTGCCCTTTGCACTTTCCCACATAACTCTTCCCTGCGACTTCCCAATCAACATTTTTTTGAAAGCATCTTTTAAATTTCGCCATCGGCAAAATATCATTTTCGACGCACGTGCCCGTTGTTACGCGCATCTACCATACTTGTATTGTCATCGCGCGACGGCGGTGTGTCCTTCCCCGCGACACGTACCTGGTCGTCCCGAACCCGTGGCCTCGCAACCTCGACGCGTCTCGAAAAGACGCCCATTTGGACGCCACACTCCCTTTCCTAGCGAGATCGGCTTCGGCACGTCAAATAAGCAACACAGCGCGACAAAAGGCAAAGGAGACTAGATTTCTAGGAACTCGACACGACTTGCAGCGCCAGCACGCAAACTCACAAGACCATCTCCTCCGTTTCTTGCCCCCTCGCCTTCTACCATGTCGTCCGACGACGAGCTCTCTGACCTCTCGTCGCTGTCGTCGCTCTCTCCAGCTCCCTCCGACGATGAGTCCGACCTCCAATTGCGCCCCGAGAAGGGCATTCTCAAGTTCTTTCACAAGGTGCCCAAGCCCAAGACGACAATCAAGCTCACAAACAAGAACAAGGGCAAGGCCGCTGCTCCAGCCGCAGCGAGCGTGGCAAAAAAGAACAAGAAAAAGGCGAGCGGAGGGGATGCCGACAAGAAGCAGGACGATAGCGACGATAACGACGCGCCAGCAGCTAAGCGCGAACGGGAACCGTCGCCGCCGCACGAGTACGTGCTCGCGGACAACCAGGACATTGCTGTAAGTACTCGTCTGCATTTCTGAATGCCAGACGCGAAACGACGCGTACAGACCGCTTTTTACGAGTTAATAGACGGAAAGCTTACCCATGATGCCTACCACCAGTTCATCGTTCTGTTCCGCAACCGCTTTGCCGAGGCCTTCTCGAAGAACATGGTCAACTTCGGTCCCCAAGAGCTTGAACGCGACATTGTCGATAGCGTACCCAGCGAGCGCGTTGAGTACTTCCTGTGCGCGTTGCTCAAGCTTCTGTTGAACCGCCAGCAAGACGTAAAGTGAGTATTGCGCATCCCTTCTCTCCCTCCGCGCTCTATTGCTAACCGATGCCCTCTCTTCGCAGACCCGGCCATTACCATCGCGCCCTTGAAGAAGCCATCCAGTCGCACAAGTCGCAATGGGTCTCCGCTTGGAAAGAGAACCCTCTCGCCGACGGCAAGACGTTCCAGACTATGACACCCGCCGAGCGCCTCACATTGCTTCGCGCCCTGGTCCTGTGGGCCATGTCCTCGTCCAAAGTTATCCGCGACATCATCGACCAGTCATACAAGGGCAAGCGGAAAGATGAGGACGCCGACGTATCTGTCTCTGTCCAGTCATGGGGCAACGACAGTGACAAGCGGCGCTACTACCTTGTTGAGGGCCGCGACGACACGGCGTTCCGTGTCTATCGCGAGAGCAACCCGGCCGGCTTCATCAATCGCACATGGTGGAGCGTCGCGGGTTCCATTGACGAGATCAAGGTGCTGATTGAGCGGCTCGAGACACACGACGGCGGCCCCAAGGCCCGGAAGCTGGCCAAGCGGCTCCAGGACGAGATCCCTCGCTTCGAGGCGACCGAGGAGAAGCGTCGCCGCAGAGAATACCGGCAACAGCAACGCGATCGGTTCAAGCGCCCAGAGCCTGGTTTCTCGCTCTACGAGGGCCGCACACGTGGTAAGCGTATAAAGTACACGTACTCGGACGACGAGGAATTTTACACCGACTCAACGGACTTGCGCCGCTCCTCCCGCAACACCGGTACGCATACCCCTGCGGAATCCGTTACCACAGCCAGCGGACGTCAGATCCGGGCACCCAGTCGGCTCAATGGCGGGTTCAGCGCAACGGCAAGCGTTCAAGGCGACTCGGCAATGGACGCAGATGCAGAGGCTACAGGTGGTGAGGAGCGTGAGCTCTCGCTCGGTCCGACTGGCCGGCCACGCCGATCAGCTGCTGTGAACCACAGCATGAACGGTTGGAACAAGAAGCAGCAAGCGGATGAGTATGACGAGTACGACTCGCAAGCCGACGAGGAGGACGAGGAGGAGGAGGATAACCACAGCGAGCCAGACCTCGGCGACGATGAAGAAGACGAGGACGAGGAGGCCTTCGATGAGGACAAGGATGCTATGCTTCTGGATGACGAAGAGGAGGCCGAGCTGGCCGATAAGAGCAACAGTAGTGTTATGGTCAAGCTCCCCGTCAAGGCCGTGCTGGACCAGGGGACGGGCAAATGGGAGAAGGGAGACGCGTCAAACGAAACCGCAGCGGCGTCGGAAGCCGGAGCCGCAGCGGCTACATACACGCAGCGGCTCTCGGGCGCCTCGACACCGGTCAACGGTAACAGCAAAGATCACGACTACGGCGATGCCGACGCTACGATGACGGGCTCGATCACACAGGGCAGCGATGCAACAGCAACGTCGCCGGTCGTACAGCACGTGACACCCACCGCGAAAGACGAGGCATTGGCGGACAAGCCCGTAGACAACATCAACAACAACGACGCGCTTCCGGAAGACGCCGCCAAGGAGCCCGTCCGCGCCGAGACGCCTGGCAAAGAGAACGGCGTACACGCAAACGCGACGTCGGCAGCACTGGCTTACCGGGGCAGCCCAGAGAAGACGCACCAGACACCGCGACCTGTGGATGTTCCTGGAAACTAGAAACCGGGGCATATATAGACGGGTCGAGTTGTGCTTTTTGGTTTTATGTTTATATTTCCTTCTTTTGTTTTATGTCTTACTCGGACCTTCATAGTTGAGAATTCATTATGCATTGCGGCATTATCTTTACAAATTAGGGCCGGTTTTGTTTCGTTGAGAAGGAGGCGAGTTGGCGTCTGCATCCACAATAGATAGGATTGGTTTTCTGAGCTTCACTAGGTCCTTTTGTTTTCCTACGCTTTCTTTATTTCTTCCAGTGTCCTCTTAAGCTGTACATATATACATATTTCTGTCGTTTTATGCATCTGCTTTTGAATCCCTGTAACACCATTGTTGGCGTATAATCTCGCTACATACCATTAGTATCATGTTATAGATGTTTACCGAGGTCGCGTATCACGAGTTAACGAACTGCAATTTAAGTTGTTGGCCATCTCTGTGCCTGTCTAATTCAAAACACCGTGCCGTGGGTGTCGTATGTGCTGATATGTGCCTATATATATGTACAGATTGTGCCCTTCTTGCCTACCATCCTTCCCCGTCCCTCCCCCACTAATACTGCGTATTTACGGGGCGCCGTTCTGCCGCCGACGCCACCGTAGTCAGTGCTCCTGTTCCTGGGATCGTCCAGTTGTTCACTCCCCACCACCATCGCCTTACGCGCGCGCCCACAGACTGCCCGCTCAACTTCGAGGCACGGTTCCAATACTGCCATCCGCACACCGCCAGATTGTAGAGCAGGCCTTGCACGAACGGCATCAGGAGCTGGTCGCGCACCGTTACTAGTCCCACCTTCCACCACGTGTCGGCTGCCGCTAGGCTGTGGAGGTAGCTCTGCTCAAAACGTAGGTCGGGCAGCGGTGGGAGCTGCTGGTGTGGGCGCGACGACGCGCGTCCGCCGTAGTGGGTGCTCCGGTCCACGCTCGGGTCCCACGGCCGAATGATGCTGTACGGGCTCTCTCCGCCCTCGCCCTCGCCCTCGCCCTCGTCCTCCTCATCGTCTAGCGCGTCAAGCTCAAGCGGGTCTTCGTCGAGCTCCGGCACTGCACCGTGTCGTCTGGTTTTGCGGCCGCTTACTGTCTCCAACACAACCGGCTCACGGATATCGGCGGCTGTCGATGGCGCAAGATCACGCTCGGCCGACGGGTTGTGGACGATGTGTGCCGTCTGTAGCGTCTCCGCGATCTGGAGGGGAACGGAGGAGGACATTGTGAGTGTGTCGGTGCTGCTGAGTCTCCGCGACAATGGGGTCGTGATAGAATGCAGTCCCCGGTTCCGGCGTGGTTGTCTGCGCGCTATTTCCCGATCCTATTGTTCCGCGCCGCTCGATTGGTGTTTGCTGTGGGTGGGCGCGAACACCTAAATCGACAGCTATCGTACTATTCGTACCTTTGTGCTTTGCTTCTGCTGGTGCTTCTGCTGGACGTCATACGGCGGTTGTGGCCCGTGCGCTGCTGACTACGACGGCCCACAAAAGCCCGATACAGCGTTTTGCACACACCACAAAGGGACTTACAGCTTGCCAGCGCCTTGCTCGTGCCCCTCCATGTCGCGTTCCCGAGTGAGTCGACGACCCGCCGAGTGCGCTGGGCCGCATTTACAGGCGAGAAAGACAGGGCACACCTACTAACCCGCCCAACACCACAACGACGACAGAATTTTCACTTGCCGCTCACCAAGTAAGATATATTGGTCCAAAAACACATGCCCCGAATTTTTATTTTAGCCCCGCCATCCACAGCCCACTCTCCCCTGTCTCTTGGCTGCTGCACAACCTGCTTTTGGTCGTGCCTTCCTAATTTGCCGTTGTTTGCTGTGCTGGCAAGCGTCCTCCGTCCCTCCTTCCCTGGCTTGTAAAACCCACCTCCTTCTCTCTGTCGCCGTTTTCACGACTTCTGGTTGTTTGCTCCTATTTTTCTTTGTCTCCTTGTCTATTTTCTGTTCACCACAAATCGAAAAGCTCTTGAGGACAGCACTCGCAGGAAAGTCAACCACGCAAACGACATCCATAGGTCCAAGGCCTTTTGTGGAATTTTGTTTCCAGCCTCGCACCCTTTTTTTCGATCCTCGAACCTTTATATTGTTTTGACAACCCCCCCCCCCCCCCCCCCCCCCAAACCCGCCCAAGATGAGCGACCCCCAGAGCAATGAGGCCGAGAAGAACGTTAGTTGTGCCTCTCCGATGCGAACGGATGCCGTCGCCCCCGACCCAGCTTCACCTCGTTTGCGTCTGCTAACACCCTCCTAGATCGAGATGTGGAAGGTGAAGAAGCTGATCAAGCGGCTCGAAGCTGCTCGCGGCAACGGAACCAGCATGATCTCGCTGATTATTCGTGCGTGATATTCCACCTCCCCGCTTGTTGTGGACTTTGGGTTGTCTCTCAAACAGAGAGAGGCATTGGAAAGAACTGCCCACTGACAGCCTTGCAGCGCCCAAGGATCAGGTCTCGCGTATCTCCAAGATGTTGGCCGAAGAATACGTACGTCACAGCTCCCGCAAAGCTCGGCTTCCCGCACGTTGCGCGCCACTAACACAGCTCTCCTCGCCAGGGTACCGCCTCGAACATCAAGTCGCGTGTCAACCGCCAGTCGGTGTTGTCCGCCATTACCTCGACCCAGCAGCGCCTCAAGCTTTACAACAAGGTCCCGCCCAATGGTCTTGTCGTGTACTGTGGTGAAATCTTGACCCAGGAGGGCAAGGAGCGCAAGGTCAACATTGACTTTGAGCCCTTCAAGCCCATCAACACCTCGCTGTATCTCTGCGACAACAAGTTCCACACCGAGGCCCTTGCCGAGCTGCTCGAGTCCGACCAAAAGTTCGGCTTCATCATCATGGACGGTAACGGCGCTCTCTTCGGTACGCTCAGCGGCAACACGCGCGAAATTGTGCACAAGTTCTCTGTTGATCTGCCCAAGAAGCACGGACGTGGTGGTCAGTCCGCTCTGCGTTTCGCCCGTCTGCGTGACGAGAAGCGCCACAACTACGTCCGCAAAGTGGCCGAGCTGGCCGTGCAGAACTTCATCACCAACGACAAGGTCAACGTGGCCGGCCTCATTCTTGCTGGTTCCGCCGATTTCAAGAACGACCTCAACGCTTCCGACATGTTCGACAACCGACTGGCTGTCAAGGTCATCAAGGTCGTCGACGTGTCGTACGGTGGCGAGAACGGCTTCAACCAGGCCATTGAGCTGTCGTCGGAGACGCTCGGCAACGTCAAATTCATCCAGGAGAAGAAGCTGATCGGCAAGTACTTTGAGGAGATCAGCCAGGACACCGGCCGCGTTTGCTACGGTATCGAGGACACGCTCAAGGCGCTGGAGCTCGGTGCCGTCGAGACGCTGATTGTGTTCGAGAACCTCGAGATCACGCGCTGGGTGCTGAAGGACAGCAACGGTGCCGACATCGTCCTGCACACGACCAAGCAGCAGGAGACTGGCAACCGCGAGAAGTTCCTCGACAAGGTGACCGGCCAGGAGATGGAGGTCTCGTCGCAGGAGTCGTTCCTCGAGTGGATCGCCGAGCACTACAAGGATTTTGGTACCGCGCTGGAGTTTGTGTCGGACCGCTCGACCGAGGGCAACCAGTTCGTCAAGGGCTTTGGTGGCATTGGCGGTCTGCTGCGCTACAAGGTCAACTTCGAGCAGTTGGCTGAAGTGGATGACGACGATGACTACTACGATGATTGACAAACTGACTCCCTCGTGAGCAGCGAGGGATCTGTGGCTCAAATGTTTACAACCACGGCTACCGCCACCACAAGCTTCAGCACCACCCCAGTCACCGCCACGAACGCCGTCAGCATCGGCTGCGCAAAGAGGGACGAGATCGAGATGAAGACGGGCCCCCATGGCAACGAGTTTGACAACGAGTTTGCCGTGGGAGACTGCGCCGGCAGGAACAGCCCCAACTACAGCCTCAGCAACAGCGGCCGCAGTTGCGGCAGTTACGGCAGCGGCAACGACCAGCTCTCGTCGACGCCTCGCTCCAGCCACCAAGATGCCACGACCACGACTACGACCTCGCCGTCATCGCCGACGCCCGACAAGCGCCCCAAGCCCCACGGACGGGGTCTTGACATTGCGAAAGCGGCCAGTGCGGGCGGCGGCCGAGGCCATCAGGTGACCCGGCCGAGCCCGCTCCGCTCCATGATGACGGCAACGTAAACTTGAGTCCCAAGAATGAAAGGGTAGGTGCTCACCTGAATTTCTTCTTGCTCCTTCGGTTCGTTTTCTGACTCGAGTGTATAGACGACTAGATGCATGTTTTGTTGGCAGATATCTGCTACTGTCCCTTGTCCGGGCAGGGTTTTGCTTGTGACGGTGTGGAGGATGATAAGGTTGTGGAGGAAAGTCGAAAATAAACAGAAACCCAAAAAAATCAGTAGTTAAAGCGCAGAAAACAACAGAAATTCAAGATAGGGCCCAGCAAGCGAAGACGGAGCCTCCCCAAGACTTCGCCCACTGCGTGAAAATGAATTGTGTACGACACATCTTATGTGTCCTTGTGTCAAATGTTGGGCGTAGGGCGTCTGGTGGGCTCAGACAGTACCATGAGCGGCGCATTGCTGGGACGTTTACATGCCGAGTAGGGTCATACTGTCCTCGTCTTCAAGTATTGTCGTTCAATTTGGCATGTAACGTGAGTTTCTCACCATATATTTCACCATTTCCACAAAAGTAGCGTTCCTGGTTTCCAATTGACGCTGTGTTCGGGAAAGACCCACTAAAAATTCACAAGTATCTTTTACCCAACCTCAACTACTTCAGGTTGCGCTACGTCCACTAAACTAAGTAGCACGCGTTTGGGGGCCTGTTTTAAGTAATTTTTTTTTTTTTAAAAAAAAAAAAAAAAAAAGAACGGCCAAGGAAGCTCTTTTCCCCCTCCTTCATCAGCTGGGCCGCTCTAAGTTGGGTTCCTGAACGTCTTCTAACCGGCTCAAAACTTTGATACATTCTGCCATTGACCAGAAATCTCCAGAGAAGAGTCGGCCATTGACCAGGACGCCTCCAATTCCACCCTCATTCAGCACCTGCAATCTAATATCACAGAACTTTCACCCCACAAATGACACGGCCGGCCGTGGCCTTTCTGGGGCCCGTTGCGTCTTATACACACCAGGTGCGTTCCGTGACTGAGACAGTCTTCGATATAGCAAAGAACGGACATGTGTTCCCATCTTGCCTTCCTTCCCTTTCAATCTGCACCAATGCTAATTGCATCTTCCTCAAAAGGCTGCCAAGTCTGTCTTCGCTGGAACAAGCAACGAGCTGTTACCAGTCACCACCATTAAGGGTATTTCGCCCTTGCTCTCACCCTTGTCTTACTGTTACTCACATTTACGTATACACGCTGACCACCCAAGATGTCTTTGAGGCTGTCCGCAATGGCGACGCGGCGTACGGCGTCGTGCCCTTTGAGAACTCCACACACGGCCCAGTGACCTTTACACTGGCCGGCCTCGCCGACCGCGACGGGGCATATGGCGAGCTGTCCGTCTGCGGTGAGACCTACCTGGCCGTGCACCACTACCTTCTCGGGCGGCGGAGACTGCAGTCCTCGGACGCTGACGGCGCGGCCGCTGACCCTTCTGCTACGGGCGTGCCCCTCGCATCCCTCGACCACATCACCCGCATCCACTCCCACCCACAAGCCTTTGGCCAGACCACTGCCTTCTTTCGGCGGTACTTCCCCGACGCCAGTCGCCGGCCTGAGATGATCGATGCCAGCTCCACCAGCCGCGCTGCCGAGCTGGCTGCTGCCGACGAATCGGGCGCCAGCGCCGCCATCTCGAGCGCCATGGCCGCCGAGACGTCTGGGCTCGACGTGCTGGCGCGCTGCATCGAAGACCGCGCCGACAACACAACACGATTCTACGTCCTGCAAAAGAGCCCGCCACAGGCACCCGCGACGACACCAGCAACAATGTGCCCCAAGTCGCTCGTCTCGTTCACGGTGCCACACCGCAGTCCCGGTGCCCTGGCAGACGTGCTGGAGTGCTTCCGTCGGGCACGGCTGAACTTGACGAGCATCAACAGTCTGCCGAGTCTGGTGCTGCCGTTCCAGTACCTGTTCTTTGTCGAGTTTGAGCACGGCGACGAGCCCGAGAGCAAAGAATCCGGCGCAGAAGCTTCGACAGACTCAGCATCGACGGGAGAGACGGCAGATGCGAGAGTGCAGCGGGTGCTGGCCGAGGTGGCCAAGGTGGCAGAGACGCACCGGTTATTGGGCACGTGGAATAAACCAGAGCCATTGTCGTGGGAGAAAAGCGCAGATGGAATGGTCTACGAAAGGGATGAAGGGACATCTGCATGCCATTAAAAAGCGTATCTATAGAGATTCTAATGTGAACAAGTCCGATACCTTTTTTTAAAAAATATATATATATATATGAGATACTTGCAAAATAAGACCATATACGTACTAAAATATTACACAAAAGACAGTTTGACGTTATGACTTCACAATTGCGATGCTGTAAGAGTCATTTCTTGAATACCAAGCCGGTGTTGAGTTGTAGTGTGCCTGGATATCGTAGCTCAGTCTGCCGAGAACGCTCGCCTTAGTTCCCCACAATTTCTCCAAGCCAAACCTCTCTTCTTACAAGTAAAGCCGTGAGAGACCTCCCCATAAACACACGGGCTCTGCACCCACTCCGCGCAGCCCATGTTGCAAAATTCCAGCAGCTTTTTCTATCCAGGACCATAGTCACCAGCCAGTGTCACAGACATACAGAGAATGTTACAATCTTTGCGGCTGCAGGCCCCAAAAGGCCGCCAGTTGCATTCACATCTCATCGCACGGCCATCATCCTTTACAGCCTCGGCGCTGAGTGCCAGTCCGTCATGGGCCTCGATCTGGTCGCGTGGTCTGAAAACGACAGTCGAAGCTGGTCAGCCCGATCCCCGAGGGGAGGCTTCCTACACTCAGCTCAACGACGACGAGCTCAACAAGGGCCTTCTGCACGAGACCAGTCTGTCCGCCGCGGGCAAACCTTTTGATGTTGAGTACCTCCGCGAGAGCATGGCGCGCCGGCCACACCGCGCTACCTACGATCACCTCTCGCCTACACACTCACACCTGCTCAACATTGCGCTCTACGATGTGCTGCCACGCAGTGCCCAGGCCGGCGCGATCCCTGATTTTCGAAAGGCTGCGTCCAAAGAGCTTGTGAACCGCTTTGCCCTGCCGGTGACCAAGTCTGCCACCGGTATCGCCGCCGACCACGAGCGGATCCTGCCCGCGGGCCACCATCTCGTGTACTACCCGCTGCAGCGGCCCATCTCGCTGCTAGAGCCAGACGGCACAGACCCCGCGCAGTCGCCCGGTCCGCCCTTTGTGCGGCGCATGTGGGCCGGCGGCTCTCTGCACTTTCTGAAGCCCCACCAGCTGGCGCTCAACGGCCAGCGTACCGTTTGCGTCGAGGGCCTGGATACGAAGAACATGGTGATGCGGGGCGAGGCGGGCCGCGAGAAGATTTTTGTTGATGTGGTGCGGCGGTACGGCACGGCCGATACCAGGAATAGCGCCCCATTGAGCCCGGACCAGGTTCTGGAATTAGAGGACGGCGTGTGGAAGGACCCGGCTCTGGAAGAGCGGCGGACGCTCGTCTTTTTGCGGGCCAAGAACGACAACGCCTCCCAAGGTGGCCATGCCACAATAGAGGCGGAGACAAAGGCGAGGCCCAAAACCCAGGAAGAGCGGGTCATCAAAGGTGAGTAGCGAAAGGGGAAAGCCAAAAAAAAGGCCCCCTTCCTCCAAAAAAAAGGTACTGCCATCTAATATACTGACAACATATAGCCAACCGGGCACCGCAGTATTCATTCTCCTTCACGCCCACCTCCACGCTGCTCTTCCAGTTCAGCGCCCTCTCCTACAACGCCCACGCCATTCACCTCGATGTCGATTACTGCCGAAACGTCGAGGGCTACCGCGACCTGCTGGTGCACGGCCCTCTGACCCTTGTGCTCATGTTGTCGGCGCTTCGCGGCCAACTGCATGAGGTTGTCCGGGCGGGTGCCAGCTCCAGTAGTCTTAGCACTGGACACCTGCCGATACCGTACCGCTACATCCGCAAGCTGGACTACCGCAACCTTGCGCCGCTGTACGCCAACGAAGAGCTCAAGGTGTGTGTGCACCGCAATGCGCAGGACCCCAGCCGCGACGGCCAGCGCAGAGGCTTCTCCAGGTGGGATGTATGGGTTGAGAACAGTCGGGGCAGCATCTGCGCGCGCGGCACAGCCATTACATGTCCAGACATGCGCGAGCCCACGCCAAGAAATGCCAAACGGCCGGCCAGCGACGACGACCAATGGGAAGACGAATGGTACTACGAGGAGTAGCAATCCTAGCCACGCAGTTGATGAAGATATGATAATGACAGAATAAAGAAAAATAATTTTAATACAACAGTGTGAGGTATCGTTCGAAGTGCCATGCATCTATGATGTGGTATACCCAAATTATGATCCCAGCCTCAGTTCGCCAGAAATGCCATGCCTTTTTAAACCAAAAGTATCCCCCCCCCCCAAAATGTAAACTAATGAAAACAACAAAAGTCGAAATGAGTGAAATGCCCTTGAATAGCATTGCAGCAAATAAACAATCAACTTAGGGCGGGAGTCTCCAAACGAGGTGTATTACGACTCTGTGCAGATGACATACTCAGTGCCATCCGCCATTGTAAACTTTTCCAGAATTTTGGACAGATCCGGCTCGGCGAGAAAGGCCTTCTCCAGGAATGAACTATCAAGCGTGGTATCAATGGTCGTTTCCGATGCAACCTTGGGCGTCTTGGGTAGGTCCCAGCTGAGACCCGAGCCATCGATGGGACTATTGAGGGCTTCATCGTCAGGCTGCACCCGATACGGCATGTCCTCTGTGATCTGCGGCGCCACCATGGATGAGTTGATGGGTTGCTGGCGTGCGGGAGTGCCTGACGCGCCGCTATGTGACGAAGATTGCGGACCGGTGGACAACTGGTCCATAGACTGGCCGTCTGACTGGTCCTGCATATCCTGCTCCTCCTCCTCTTCCATAGGCGTCGTCGTGAACATGACACCCTCGGGCATGCGCAGCTGGAGGCTTGGCCAGCCCCGCTCTCCGCACGTGTCGTACGCCTCGCCCAAGTCGAGGACGCAGCCCGTGTCCTGCTGCAGCTTGGTCATGTTGCGCGACATGTACGACATGATCTCTGAGGCCGCTGCCTCGATCTCGCCTCGCAAAAGTTCCTTTTGGCGCTCCAGGCCGGGGTCGACTGTGGGGCCAGACAGCTTCTTCTTGTGCTTTGAGTTGGACGGCTGTGTCGGAGATGGCGGAGGAGGAATGCCTTTGACGCAATGCTTCAGCACATCCTCGAGATCCTCAGACGAGAACGGGTACACAAGAAGGGTGGTGTTGGTCTCGAGGCTCTTGGCCATGTAGAGCAGGCTGGTGGCATTGAACCCGTTGTCACCGCAGTCAAGGTATAGCAGGGCCTTGTTAGCCTGCACGGCTGTGCCGAACGTGCCCGTGCTGTCGTGCAGTCTCTGGTTGCGAACGCGAAGGTGCGTCAGCGTCTTGTTGTTCGCGAGGCCTCGGAGGGCACGGCCGAAACCTTTGCCCAACTGTCCATCGTCCAGCTTGCCACAGTAGCCAGAAATGTCAAGGTATCGCACAGACTGGTTCTCCTCAAAGAAACGTTCTAATGCTTCGATCGTGTTGTCGCTGCAGGCGTCATCGGTGACCGGAACCGGGGCGGTACCGACCAAGCTCAGGTAATCGATGAACGGGTTCGAAGCCAGGGCGCCCATAAGCTGAATGTACTTTGCCTCGTTTTGGAACTCGATCATGTTGAGATGCAGACCGAAGCGGCCGCCCCAGTTGTGTCCCAGTGCTGAGACAAAGTCCGCGATACCATCCTCGAGAGGATTGCTGCTGAGGTGGAGGTGGATGTCGTACAGGCCAGCCATGGCATTGAAGATGCGGCCAGCTAGATGCCCCGTGATGCCGCAGTTGTTCAGGACAAGGCGTCGGAGAGAATAGCCGTAACCGCCGTTCTGCATAGATGCTTGGCGTGCTGATAGCGTTTGTAAGAACGTCTCCAGGGCGTTGACGGAGCTCTCGTTGAGCTTGAAGTTCGAGATGTCCAGCACTTCGAGGTACTCAAGCCGGTCGAGGACCTCAAGCGGAAGAAGCTCACCCTCAAAAGTGCCCGTGATGCCGCTCGCGAGGTTGAGTTGTCTCAGGCTACCAACCGATTCCATAAATTGCTGGATCAGAGCCGCCGGCGCACGGCCAAAATTCTGTGACACATCCAGCATTTGAAGTGTCCAAGCTGACTGTGAAAGCGCCTGGAACAGCATTTTCATGTGCAGGTCAGCCAAACCACAGCTGGCCACATCAAGGGCTTCCAGGCTGACAGCCTCCTGTCCTGGAGCAATAATGCCTTCAGGCTGATCACTAGCTGAAGGGGAGATGCACCCAGCTTGCAAATTGTTAGTTCTGCAATGTCTTGCCATCTACCATATGTCTCCGCAAGAAATAGGACGTACCAAGACTATCAACGTCAATATCCCCTAGGTGACAACCCCGAAGGAGAAGGCGGTTGCAACGAGTGAGACCAGCGGCTAAAAGGTTCATAATAGGAACGACAAACTGAACGCTGCGGCTGCTCGCATCACCGTCCTTAGAAAGCGCCGGGAGACAGTTGGTAAAGTCAATTTGCCGGACTTTGCCAGAGGAGAACGCCAGAGCGTGGAACTCCTGGTAGAGGATGCTGGCCTTCTGTACCAGAGAGGTTTCGTGTGAGGTTAAGCAGACTCCTGGATCGAGGGATTAGTTGAAGTTCGAAAACGTCGAGGCTAAAATGCACCAAGGCGAACCTTACCATTGCGACTCAAGTAAGCGACGTTTCCCTTCCTGGAGCTGTCAAACTTGCCAAGGAGACCAGATAGGTCGACGTCACAAAAAGAGAGGGATTTGAAGTAGTCATTGTACCGCAGGGCGCGCAAGACAGCAAGCAGCTGCAGATCAGTGTACACTCCCTTTACTGAAGGAAGTACACGGAACTCGGGTGCAAAGGGAGTGCGCCAGTTAATCTCCCAGTCCACAGGGTTGCACCGGTATGCAGCATAGAAAGCAGAGAGTGTCCTTTGGAAACCACCGAAATCCTCGCCCGCGACAATGTGCTGAGGCGTTGGGAGGCCGGCAACGTGGAACACCTCTTGGATCTGCCACTGAGTCGGCCAGGCGGGCTTCAGGAACTTATCGGCTTTGGTGAGTGTCAGGATGATGCGGCGGTAGTGACGACTTGACAGCTCAAGGCCAACAGGGCTCTTGAAAGGATCCCGAAAGCGCATAGCAAACCGCTCATCTCGAGACGTCCAGTCAGCTGCAAACGACTCCAGTGTGACAAGGCCACAGGTTTGGTACTTCATCTCGAGGGCAGTCGATTGCACAGCAGAGGCGCGACTAATCTGTATAAAGAAACACAGGTTCACACCAACAACCAAGTAGTGAGACGAGACACCTTCAATCTGACCCTTTCTGAGTTGCTTGTCGTCTGCCTTGGATTTGATACGATCGGGCGCATTCCGGTAGACAACAGGGAAGATCTCGGGGATGGTGTTGGTGAAGCCTGGCTCTTCTGCTTGGAAGACCTTGCGGATGCACTCTTCCACTTCATAGTAGACACGCGATGCGTCAGGCTGGTCCTGGTTGCGGATCTTGACCATGGAGGCAAGCATATCGAGATAATTCTCCCGGTCACGGCCGTCCTTAAAGTAGATGGTCGAGCTGCAAGTAGCAATAGCAGGATATGGCATGCGCCACCAAATCTCAATGCCATACGGGGCACGCATTGTGTCGGTGCGAAAGACGGAGATGATGGCGTGTAGTGGAATAACATGGACCGGGTCGGCGGGTGGCAGCATGGACGAAGGTTTGGACGTCGTAGCGCTCTCCGGGCTCTGGGCAGCAACGTCGGCCAGTTGTGGGAGGGCAGCAAAGGCATCAGCTCGCGTCTTGAAGATGATGATGTAGTCGGCTGTGGCCACGAGGTAGCTTAGCCGGTTCTTAGAAGACAGGGACTCCGGGTAGTCGAGCGAGGTGTGCATCTCGATGGGCTGAATGCGCCAGTCAATGATGTTGCTGGAAGAGCTGCCGCTCAGGGTGGTCGAGGCCCGGGACACGCGGCTAAAGACATCAGAACTAGTCGAGCCTCGGCGACTGTTGAGCTCATGGCTGGACGACTTGCGCTTGTGTGACTTGCGAAGGACTTTGCGGGGGAATTGTGAAATGAACTGCTGCTGCGGTGAAGAAGACGACGGCGTCACGTCAGGCGAGGTGGCTGCCGTGTTCATGGAGGTGGTAGAGGACGCGGCCGACTGACGTATCGACGCATTCGAACCACGGCTCAGCGTCCGCATAGCTCGTGGCATATAGCCATGGAAGAAGCCGCTCTTGTTGCTGTCAATGGAGCTCGTACGCGAGTTGGTGGTTAACCCAGCCATGTCATTATGTGACCTGGACTTGCTGATGGCCGCAGTAGATGAGCCTCCTTTGGATCCGCTGCTTGTGCTTGAAGAAACGCCATCAAGAGAAACGGGTGACACGGGTGAGATGGGCGTAAAAGTGAGCGAGGGAGCAGAGGGTGGCGGCATACTGGCCTGCTGCGTGCCATTGCTTCTTTTCCGGCGGAGGATATCCATTGTGTGAGCTTTACGAGGCTGATGAGATGTTGATGAAGTGCGGCCGACGTTTGCTTGGGCCGAATTCAAAATTTCACTTGTGAGGCAAATAAGGCAAGCCTCGGTGGGCAGCCCAAGGCTTTTGTTGTCGATGTCTTTCCGATCAGGTGAGCTGCGTGGGGAGGCGATAAGGATAAAGGAAGTGGGCCGATGTCGACGCAAAGCTGTTTTGGAGCTTGGGATCGCCGTCAGTCAGCAACAGAAAGCCGGAGTGGGCGCCAAAGCAGGTATTTTCCAAGTATTTGCCAATGGGGACTAAGAAAACGACTGGCAAGAGACCACGAAAATAAAAAANAGGGGGGGGGGGGGGGGGGGGGT